TAGGTAGGTATGTAGATAGGTAGGTATGTAGATAGGTAGGTATGTAGATAGGTAGGTATGTAGATAGGTAGGTATGTAGATAGGTAGGTAGGTAGGTCGAGAGTTTCACTCCAGACAAGCCTTGAGAGAATTGACACGGCTACAGTAAGCTTGTTTTCGTAAGTCCCATGCTGAAAAATATCTGGGCTCTGGGCTCTGGGCTTTATCATACATGTAAGGCATACATTCGATTCCTGGGATTGCCAGTGCCAATACCAATACCAGTACCAATGCCGATGCCAATGCTAGTGCAATGCCAATGCAATAACATTCATTCCTGGACGTCATGTTGCATATTCCCGAACCACCTCCCGATGGTCGACCACCAACACTAAACAAACAACTTGGTTTGAAGCCACCTGGCAAACCTGATGACTTGCTTGTCGACCCGCTCAAAGTAATCGGCAGCAATCAAAACCATCAGAGGGTAGGCTATCAGACCCGGGATATATTTGATGACTGGCCACCCGCCCAGGTACTGCTCCCGAAGCGGGATCATGACTTGAAAGTACGGGCCCAGGGCCAGTGGGACATGCATGGCGTAGATGCCGAAGGACAAGTCGCCAATGTACTGCGAGTATCGCCAATTGAGCGGCTTCTGCAGCGTCGGATAGAATTCCAGCGCGTAGACCAGCATGAAGGCGCCGATTCCAAGCCAAAACAGATAATTGCCCGAGTCGTCCCACCATCCAGGGATGAAGCGTTTGAGAAACTCCCAGGGAAAGGTGCCCATTATCCCCATGGTTGTGTCGTCTGGTTCACCGAGGATGAAGATGCCGAGAACAAACAGACAACCATAGCCGACTTTTTCCCAGAGAGTCTGCTGCTTGTGGTGGTGATGCGGCCCCGTGAGGCTTCTAGGGTTGTCCAGTCGCTCCGGGTGCCGGCTCAAAGACAGGTCGGCGATGAATAAGCCCGCCATGAACTCGGCGACATAGATGGCCTGCCAGATGTAGCAAGCGACGATAATGACCCAAGTTAGAACCATGCGAGATCGGGTCGTCAGTCTACACGCCGCGGTGCAGAAGGCAAAGATGGCCACGCTGCCTCGATACTCGGCTGGGATGCTCCACATTTGATCGAGATATCTCGAGTCGAAAGAGGACGGCCACCCCCTGATATCGCCAAAGGGGTTGCTGAAGTACACCAGATCCCAACCCCAGTCAACGAGTTGCTCCCAGAAGGTATCCTTGTACATGGGTGGCCGGCAGCCAGGGTATATCTTGAACCGGACCATGATCATGGCGATGAAACAAGCACATTCTGTACTTCCGTAGAGTCGGACGTATCTTCGAAAGGTTGAAGACGCGAGGGAGCTGATGAGCCGCTCAAACTCCTGTTTGCGGATGTAGATGAGGAGTCGGTAGCTCAGTACATAACCTGATATCACGAAGAAGAGAGCCACCATCGACGAGCCGTGGAAGAGGAAGCTGATCAAAGGCTCTCTTCTCCAGTTGTCGCCAAAGGTGTTGAACGAATGTGCAATAAACACGCAGACCGCCGCGTATCCCCGGAGAGCGTCCAAGTAGGAAGTGGGCCCGATCTCTCGGTCGGTAATGCCTCCAGGTCGAGCAAAGCGTGGTAAGGCTGCAACCAAGTGTCTTTTGAAGCGGCGCGACTTTATAGTCTTCTCAGTCTCAAAGCCCAAAGCTGAAGGAACTGTGGGCCAGGGGCCGTCGGCAGCATGGCTCAAGGAAATGCTGTCTTGGTCCACAAGAGGCATGTACGCAGCCATCTTGACTGCTTGGAATTTGGTCGATCAAAAGGCACACGTGCAAGTGGGCAATGCCAATGATTAAAAGAAAGGGAAAGATAACAATACCCCAGCGTATAATAAACCCAGAAAGCTGGCATGCGGGCTTCTGCAAGGGGTTTCCAAGGGGGGTGAGTGATCACGAGCCCCTTCTCACAGCAAGCCTGCGAGGCCAGACCATGAGCCTTAGCTCAGGAGAAGGATTATATGGGTGGGAACATGCTGTCAATTTTTAGTCCAGAAAACAACAATATCTGCTGAACAATGAGGTGTCGGTCCACGGGAGACATGTCTGTGCAGCTCGTATGTCGGTACTACTAGGAGGCGGAAAGCTTGGTAGAGATCTTACTGGCAGTTGATTTGGATTCAGAATCAATCATATTGCTCCACGGAGGACTGAAATTAAGCAAGCGACAAAAATGGACGAGGCAGTTGCCAGACCCTGACGGTGATGGGTTGTGTCGAGTAAGCGAGAAAGATATGGCGGCCGTGAATTGGGTCCGGTCCATCCAAGTGCCTTGGGCGCTGCTGATCCGTAGCTGAGAGCTGAAGCCAAGATTGTTAGTGGAGGCGGTTGTCGCAAGAGATGTCGACCAGACGTCTGTATCCGTACTCTGTGCAGTGTACGGAGTACTCTGTAAAATGTACGGTACATACATATTCGGTGCACAAGTAGAAAGTTAGCAGCTACCGTCCCGTCCGCCGAACCGTTCCTACCGCGTCTCGAGTTGTCGTCCCTCCTCCAAGGTTTGTAAGTGTACACAGTAAAGAGTCCACGGAATTTCCCGTTGCTGCATGGGCTGCACGGGCTGCGTCGTAAGCTAGATACATAGTAGTAGTAGGCTGTCAGGACAGTTTTTTGTACAGTTGACAGAGCGCCAGCGCGTGTTGAAAGCTGTTAGTCGTGACAGTGACAGGCAGCTACGACAGGAGTTGCAGGGGCTTGCTTCGGAGTTGGCATCTATCACACAACGTGGTCTGTAACCGTACAGTGCTTAGCACAGAGTAACCACGACGTTTCGAAGGTTGATGCCTGGACGAATATACGGAGTACTCTGTACTCTGGAGTCTGTACAGATACTCGGTACGGGTACAGAGACACCGTCCTCCATACTCCGCAATCCGTTCTCTTTCGATTTCGATTTCTCCACAAGTCGGAGCAGGCGAGATTGGGCTTCGACCATCGAACGATCGTCTGTCTCGGCGGCGGGTTTATAACCAGAGCCGCGTCACGCAATGGTGTATCACGTGACCAGCGACCCCGTGATCAGTGTCTCGTGTCCTGGCCCCTCACGTGATTCCGTGTAGATATCGCCCGGTATCGCGTTTTCGCGTTTCTACGCGCGTCACTCATGTATTACGGTTTCAAGTACTAGGATGACGAGGCTGACAAGGCAATCGAATCCACACCACTGACGCTGTACGCTGTACGGATACTGATACTCTGGACGGTACCATGGACGACTTGCTCTACGACACCTCCTGGCTCTTGCACACTGTCCCTCATCTTACACCCGCTCTCTGCGCTCTGTCGGACCCATCCATTTCTGCAGTGGATGAACTGCAGCACCAGTTCTCCCACCATGCCGATGCTCTACGCGTCTCACTTGGCAAGGACCGTCCGCGGTACGAAGAAGTCGAAGAAAAAGAGAAGCTAGGCGGCCTGAAACAATGCACATGGCGCAGGCTACGGAGCACACTCACCGAAGAGACAAGTGTAGTGGCTACAAAGCGGAAGCGAGACAATGGGCAATCGAGATCGGATTCGGGTTCGAACTCAACTCCGACCGATGGTCATGGGCTGGTTATATCCCTTGTCTATGAGAAAGCAACGTACAAGTTCATCATATACACCTCCAACACGTCGAGCGCTGCGAACTCAAAAGGCTCGAAACGCAGCCATACCGGCTCGTCGACGAGGCCGAGGTTGCGGGCAATGTCAGATTCAACGGCGACTTGCGAACCCGCCATCCTGCTTTCCAAATCCTCGCCGGCAGCGTTCAAAGCCGTCACGGCTTACTTGGTCGACAGTTTCGCCCTCCCAGAGATCGGAGCTCTCAAGCTACCGTCAGCTGTCATCCAGACAACCCTCGAAAGGTACCTGACATCGGTGTCTACCTCACTCGGGGCGATGGACATTGAGACCAGCGCTCGACGGTCGGTCTTCCACTCCATCGTGGGGACGTTGAGGATCACCATATCGTTTATGCCACCTGTCGCTCCGAGCTTGAAAACCATCGACATTAGTATCCCTCCGTACACAGTCGAGCAGCAGTATCAAAGCGCACTCGACGAAGGGGAAGAAGGGCAGGCGGATAGACAGGTGGATTTCATGTCCACTGTGGCGGCCTGGATCCTGACCAAGACAGGGCTGAACATCAACCCATCACAGCTCACCAGTCAAAACAATGATGATAGTGACAAAGAAAACACACCCGCCGCCGATCCAGCAGTACCAAGCACCCACGCTCGCGAGGAGGACCGAGTCAGCGAGACCCCAGGCAAGAGTTCTGCCAAGACTCAGTCATCTCCAATGCGAATCTCGAGGATCTCAACTGGCGCATATGCTATCTCAATTGAAGGACGACTGAAGTTCGCGTCCAAGCCAGTTGAGATAGTCGACGGTATAAGTGAAGAAGGCGAAGGCGACGACAAGAACTTGGTCCGCAGAGCAAACGAGGGGCTGTTGAGGTCTGCCCTAGAGGAAACGAGAAAGCAGGCTAGAGAAGAAGGTTGACCGAGAATCTCATCTGTGATATCGAATCACCATATAGACAGACGTCTTTCTACCCGAGGCCCGTTTGTCCTGGTGAACTCCGTACTGAGGATCTCATGCCCGAAACGAACAATTGTGCGACAATCAAGTTCTTTCCCATCCATTGCATGCTCTGGGCTCCATCGCCTTCCGCCTCTGGATGCGTCGTTTCGCCGCGTCGTTCGAGAAGCTTTGTGCGCAGCAACGCTACCCCCCACCGACTCCTTGGCCGGAACAACGAAGGGACGGACCCCAACCTCAATGATTCAGTTATCGAGGGTCTGCTCGCCGCAAGCAAAAGCGAGGAGCAGCAAAGGACAACCAAAACAACTAGTAACGCCAGAGTATAGCAAAGCATTCTCTCAAAGTCGACAATAACAGCATCACTTCGTGAAAGTTGACAGGCCAAACGCGAAAGAGCCCTGGTTGATCCTCGCGGCTGGAATCCATCCCCATGATCTATGCTTGAGCACAGAACTAGCCAGCTGGACCTGTGAAGGTCACCAGCTAAAGCCGTAGACTTGGACCTACTTCAAGCCGCAGCCCAGAATATAGCAGTCGGATGCTTAATATATCCGTCACCCATTTTCTGCTCCAGTCCTCGGCTTCCCCGTTCCCATGTCCGCGCCTTTCCGCGCAGGACTGTTGACGCGGCTTCCCAATCCGTTGGTGGCGGGAAGGCCTGTATACACGCCTTCGAATTCGTTACGCAGGTTATCGACGAGCTTCTGTACTCGGTCGATCTCCGCACTGAGGTCTTCGACGTTGCCCGCAAGAGCGGCAACCTCGTCGAACTTGCGTCGGCGATTGGCGTCGGCGATCATCTCCTGCACCATGAACTTCTGCTCCTCCAGTACGATGAGACGCTCGCGTAAGACTTTCTCTTCGGCTTCGAGTTCGCTGACCCGGGAGGAAGTGACGCTCGCAACGGATATATTGGAGCTGCTATCATTGCGTACGTGGGTACGATTGAGCACGGCCAGGGACGCGCGGGGATTGCTCAAGTCAGGTTTGCCGCTGCCCGCCCCGTGTGGAGTCGCGTGTTTGAGGATCTTGGGTAGCGATTTCAGAGGCAGCATGTGGAGATGGAGGAACTGAGTAGCGTTCTGATGGATGGCTTTCTGCAGTCTGAGCTGTGTCGCCGACTGGCTGGGCATGTCTCTGATCCGCCGGGCCGCCGTGTCGTATTGTGCGAACGAGTCCATAAGTCGTCTGCGGGTGCGGGATGCATCTGTGAGTTGGGAAGAAGAGGGTGGCTGGTCAGGGTCTTGGAGAGCTTGAATGAGTTTTTGGAATCTTGGTAGTAGAAGTCGAATCCCCCTTTCAAACTGTAGGAGATTGTTGTACGCTCGGTTGAACGCTTCGGTCGAAGGGGATTTCAGAGAGGCTTGGAAGTCCCGATGGGAGAATAGCGTGTGATTGCAATCTTTGCAGATGCGGATGTCTAGGGAGACGGTGTCATCGGGAGGAAGCTTTTCTGTCAGGGGAAGGCGGGTGTTAGCTGTTGTTTTGGAAATCAGTACGGGTGGGACAGGAGAACAGGAGAAAAGGACCACATACTTGTTGCAACATTGAGGCCAATGACAACCGAACACGCCGTGACTGGATCTCCACAGACAACTTTTCCACAGGTCCTGCAATGGTGTCGACGAAATGTATACTGGGTGAAATCTTGCTGACAGTAGGGGCATCGTTGCACTTCCGCATCGCTTTGCCATGCCACGATGCTTTGTTCGAGCGTCTTTCGTGGATCGGTCTGAGCCCAATTCAGTGACCATCTCTTATTAGGAGTCGGTAGTGGGATCTCGTCTGGTGGGTTTGCCAACAAATGGGTCAACCTGGACAGCCTCTTTTCTAGCCGGGTGACTTCCATCTCCTTGTGACTGACTCGGTTCCGTCTGACAGCCTCAAACTCGCTCATTCGGTCTCGCTCCAGACCATGCCTATCCATATAACCTTCGCGACTCTTATAGCACGTCTCGCACACCCGATACCAGAGACCTCGGACTGGCTCATGTTGGGCCGATCTTGACAGCTTCATCTGATACATTGTGTCTTCCTCACAAAAGAGTTTACCGCAGTGCCTGCAATTGACGATGCCTGTCGTCGTAGAGCCCAGCCTTTTTCCGCATGCTGGGTCCGAGCACATATCATTACCGGTTCTCTTCTGCCAGTGCTGTTTGGTAATGATATCGTCCGGATCTATGACATTCGCGGCCGGCTTCGGTGGTAGTGGAGGGTTACTGGGATCTCTGATCTCCCTTGGGGCATAGTCGCTCCTCGGCGTAGGAGTACTGCTTCTCGCAATTTCGTGATTCGACTCGAAGACATCCAACCCCTTGAGTTTCTGGTTTAAGACCGCCAATGGTTGGAACTTTTTGGCCTTGACCATTTGTTGTTTAAACCAGTCCTTGACTTCGTCCTGCTGCTCATCCTCTATTTCCTTATGTGCATCATCCAGATGTCGGTTCAACTGTAGCAGGGTGACCATCTCCTCATTGCATATCGGGCAGACCAAGCGGTCTCCCGCAGCAGCCGCTGCCATGGCCAGATCTGGTGTCGCATGATCGATAGATATCCGGGCGGCAATATCTTGTGTGTCGGAAGATGGTGGCGTAGAGTTCTCGCTGGCAGAGGTATTTAAGGATAGACTCGAGGCCGAAGGCGAAAGGACATGAGCGGGAACAGGGGAGGAGGACTTTGGTGGAGGAATAGGCGGTCCTAAGGTTCTACCGCTTCCCAGTACCCTTCCACCACCGATGGTGCGCCGGGACATTGCACTGGAAGGTGGCTTCCATGAAGCCGGATCAGTTGAAGACGGTCATCTCTCTGAGACGGTGATTTGGAGCAACGCAGCGAGCATGGACATCCAAAGATGCACGGCGGAGCAAGGCGGAGCGGAGTGTCAAGTGTGTCATTGGTACGGCTTAGGAGGCTTAGTCATCCACCATATGCGCAGCCAGCCTCATCCATCACCAACAGGGCATGATACTAGGGACAGGCTTATCCTAGAGCTCGAGGTCGAGGTTCACCGCATTCCATCCTGCATATGCATTCACTCTGCCGTTACGAGTCTATCGTGTACTACCAGGCCTAGAGCACATTCTCCCGAGACCTCACATTCCTCCCTAGACTTTCTATAATGTGTGTCATTAATGGCGTTCATCTGACTCCGGGTCTCGTCCTTCAAGCGCTCTTCCCGGCATCCTCCTTCAATGTCACGATCCGATTGAGGACTACCTTTCCCGCTGCCTCTTCGGTATCCTTATCCAAACAGAAGTACCCCGTTCTCATCGCCTGGAATCTGACCGACTCGAACCCACAGTCGTCCTTTTTCTCTCCGGCCTCTTCGGGCCATGGCGCCCTCGCACGAATCTCTTTCAACCCAACCTCGGCCAGTGCGTTCGGATAAACTTTGAGACTGTCTTCCCGCAAGTCTGCCATGAAGCTCGGCTCTACGGCATCCGGATTGTCGGATTTGAACAGTGGGTGGAAGACGCGAACTTCACACTTGATGGGTGATCCATTCTCTGGCGCATCCGCAACCCAATGGATATAGGCTTTAGGCTTTTTGATCTTTTCCCCCTCGGCTGGTTTGTCGAACTTGGCGTGGATCTCGGTAACTAGGCCAGTGGTTTCGTCCTTCTTGAAGCTCGTGGCAATGACCGGATATGGAACCTTCAGGAGCCCCACTGGTTTTCCGGGGGCCATTCGGAAGAAATCTTTGCTGTCGACTTCTCGGAAATCGTCCCGCTCGATATACACCTTCTTCGTAAGAGGCAATCGATGAGTACCCATGTCGACATCTTTGGGACCGAAGGCATTTTCGATTTCCTCATAATGATCATCTGGTAGATCGTCAATGATGACCGGTACCGGATCCAGGACTACCATCAGACGGGGGACCGTGCTTTCCAGATATTTTCGGACTGACTGCTCGAATCGAGAGATTTGAATATTGGTCTTGGCTGTTGTAACGCCCAATTCATTGACAAACGAAAGGATTGCCCCGGGTGGGATACCTCTTCTTCTAAGAGCCACAAGGGTGTATAGTCTCGGATCATCCCACCCGCCCACAACCCCTTCATCTACCAATTTCTTGATCTTTCGTTTTGACAAGACAGTTCCGGTGACGTTGAGACGGCCATACTCTCTTTGCATGGGCTTGTGTGGCACATCGAGCTTGTTATTCAGCCATTCGTAAGACACCCTGGATAGAATGAACTCGGTCGTACACAATGAATGAGTAATGCCCTCGAAGCTATCGCACAGACAGTGGGTGAAGTCGTAGGTAGGATAGATTCTCCATTTGTCACCGGTGCGGTGATGCGGCTTCTCCAGAACACGGTACGCAACGAGATCCCACATCTGTGGGTTGCCATCACTAATGTCCTGCTTCATGCGCAAGAAGGCTTCTTTCGGCTTGTATTTCCCATCTTTCATGGCCCGAAACTCGGCTAGAGAATCTTCAACTGGTCGTCCTCTGTGAGGACAGGCATATCGCTCATGCTTGTTCTTCGGATCAGTCCCACCGCGTTGATCCTTCAGCTCATCATCTGTGCAGTGACAGACGTAGGCGCCGTCTAGGGTAATAAGCTTTTCGGCAAGCTCGTAAAGCTGGTCGAAGAAGTCGCTGGAGTAGGTGATTCGCGCAGGCTTGAAGCCTAGCCATCTAACAATATCCTCAATTGCAGTGAAGTAGACTTCTTCTTCAGCCTCGGGATTGGTGTCGTCAAATCGCAAATTGCATTTGCCGCCGTAGTATCGTGCAAATCCAAAGTTGATGGCAATGGCTTTGCTATGACCGACATGAAGGTAGCCATTTGGCTCTGGTGGGAATCGAGTGACCACCGCCTCGTCTGCCGGTCTTTCCTTCCGGACAGCTGCTAACCAGCCCTCTTTGAACATCGAATCGGGATCAAGAGGAACTGCTGGGCCAGAGTTTGCTGGCTTCGGAGGCTTTGGCGCTGGTGCTTTCGCCGCCTTTGGCGGTTTGGGTTGCTTTTCCGCCTTTTCTTTCTTTGGCTTTTTCTCGGAGACTACATTTTCGACCTTGTCCTTGACACGCTCTGGCAAGCTCTTACTTGCTTCTGTGGTTTCCGCCATCGAGGCGCTTCGAGTCGTTGGGTATCTGTCAAGGTGCTCCGGCGGCAGAGGGTTGTCTCGCCTTATATTCAGACTGATAGTGATTATGACACGTGAGATGAGCGTGCTAGGCACTCGACAATCCCAGGATGTTCTCCTCAGGTTACGATAGACTCTGTTGACTAAAATTCAAGGGTTGAGTCTCTGATCGGAGAGTTGGACAATGTCCAGAGAGAAGATGAGCCTTGATTTGAGACGCCTTACCCTGTATCTTGATCCCAGCCTGCTTTTCGGTGACTCAAATCTTGACTGCAGTTCAGTGACAAACACGCCAAGCCCGATGGATGGGAAGCGCAGAAAAGAGGTCGGTCTGACCACTGGATTTTCTCCTATGGCACCGACAACGCCTGGAAGTTTCTTGCCTGACAGGCTGCCCTATAGCTGACGAGTCGGAAGATTCCCTCCTCCGGAGGCGTGAAACTAATATGTGCATTGCCATTCCATCGCGCCTCCATCACGCCGATTCTTTGTGAGGACACTCTGTTCACGGTAATCGTCGCCGCTCTTGGGGAGATATATCGCTGCATTGCCCCCTTTGCATTCGAGCTCTTGATTGACGCTCGTCATGGCGCCGCAACCGTAGGTACCCGCCTCCAGATGGTAACTTCTGTGCTAACCTAGTTGTACAGTTCCAAACTCGTGGATAACGAGCAGATATCCGCCGCAAGCCTGCACAATCCTCTCCCCGTTTACCTCAAGACTTACGTATGGCCCTTCACAATATTATGGCCTGTTTTTCTCGCCTTCTACCTCAATGAGGATCTCTACGATGAATACATCGACGGCCAAGAGTGGACATTCGTCTGGATCACCACAATCATTACTCTTCAGTCACTAGCATGGCTCTCCACGAAATGGAGTGTCAATTTGAACACTGTCTTTACCACCAGCAAGGCAACAGGAATCCAGGATGCACAGCTCATCAAGGTCATCCCCGTGGTCAACTCCGGAGCACCTGCGATCTGCAAGTTGGACAAGGAGCCTGATGGACGAATCTCCTTTGCATTTCAGAAGAGAAGATTTTTGTATTCCCCCGAGAAAGGCACATTTGCACCATTGGAATTCGCGCTTGACCGAGAGGAAAAGCCTCTGCTGCGGGATTTCCAACTGTCAAAAGGACTGACCTCCGAAGCCGAAATCGAGACCCTGCACAACCATTATGGCAACAACACCTTCGATATCCCCATTCCTACATTCACTGAACTCTTTAAGGAGCATGCCGTGGCTCCCTTCTTCATCTTCCAAGTCTTTTGCGTGGGTCTGTGGTTACTCGACGATTATTGGTACTACTCCCTGTTCACTCTGTTCATGCTGGTTGCCTTCGAAAGCACGGTCGTCTGGCAGAGGCAACGGACCTTGAACGAGTTTATGGGTATGAGCATTAAACCCTACGACATATGGGTGTATCGAGTCCGCAAGTGGGTGCAGATCACAAGCGACAAGCTACTCCCTGGCGACCTGGTGTCAGTTGGGAGAACCCAGGAAGATTCCGGCGTGGCCTGCGATATGCTCCTTATTGAGGGCACAGCTATAGTTAACGAGGCTATGTTGTCCGGCGAGAGCACACCACTCCTGAAAGAGTCAGTTTTGCTCCGTCCAGGCGACACACCGATCGATCCCGACGGCTTGGATAAAAACGCTCTACTCTGGGGAGGGACCAAGGTCCTACAGATCACTCATCCCTCTGCCAGCGATGATCCCTCGGAAAATGTACCAATAGTCAAGTCTGGGGTACCTCCGCCGCCGGATAATGGCGCTTTGGCTATTATTCTGAAGACTGGTTTCGAGACCAGCCAGGGCAGCCTTGTACGAACCATGATATTCTCCACGGAACGGGTCTCGGCCAACAATGCCGAAGCACTGTGGTTTATCCTGTTCTTGCTCGTCTTTGCACTCGCAGCTTCGTGGTATGTGTGGCAAGAGGGTGTCAAGAACAATCGGAAACGATCCAAGCTGCTCCTGGACTGCATTTTGATCGTCACCAGCGTTGTACCTCCCGAGCTGCCGATGGAGTTATCGTTGGCTGTCAACACCAGTCTCGCGGCGCTCAGTAAATTTGCCATCTTCTGTACCGAACCATTTCGGATCCCCTTCGCAGGACGTGTTGATGTCGCGTGTTTTGACAAGACAGGTACCCTTACCGGTGAAGATCTCGTTGTCGATGGCATTGCAGGCCTCGGGTTAGGGAAACGGGGCGCGCCTACTCAACCCGACGGCGCTCAATCTACTGTCACCAAAGTGACAGATTGTGGCATTTACACGACTCTTGTGCTAGCGACGGCACATGCCCTCGTCAAACTCGATGAAGGAGATATTGTCGGAGACCCCATGGAAAAGGCCACGCTTACAGCTCTCAACTGGAGCCTCGGCGATCATGACACCTTGACAAGTAGCCCACCACCCAAGTCCAAGAAGCATCATGTCTCAACCTCGGGAGCTTCGCATATTGTGCAGATCAAACGGCGCTTTCAATTCTCTTCTGCTCTCAAGCGTCAAAGTTCGGTGGCTGTCGTAGTGACAACTGATCCTAAGACTGGACGAAAAGCAAAAGGCACCTTCGTTGGTGTCAAAGGCGCACCGGAAACCATTCAAAAGATGTTGGTGGAAACACCGCCCAAATACGAAGAGACCTTCAAATACTTCACCCGGAATGGAGCACGAGTTCTGGCGCTTGGGTACAAGTACCTCTCCACTGATGCCGAACTTGGTCAAAAACGCGTCAATGATCTGAAGCGGGACGAAGTCGAGTCTGGCCTTCATTTCGCTGGCTTTCTGGTTCTGCAAACGCCACTGAAAGAGGATGCCATCCGAGCAATTCAAATGCTAAACGAAAGCAGCCATCGTGTCATCATGATCACCGGCGACAACCCTCTAACCGCGGTTCACGTGGCGAGAGAGGTTGAGATCGTTGATCGAGATTGTTTGATTCTGGATGCTCCCGAGCACGATGACTCTGGCACCAAACTGGTCTGGCGGAGCGTTGATGAAAAAGTCATTATCCCTGTCGATCCTTCGGCCGAACTTGACCCTCAAATCCTCAACACCAAGGATCTTTGCGTCACCGGTTATGCACTCGCCAAGTTCAGTGGACAAAAGGCCCTGCCTTCGTTGCTTCGACACACGTGGGTGTACGCAAGAGTCTCGCCCAAACAGAAAGAAGAAATTCTCATCGGCTTCAAAGACCTCGGCTACACCACTTTGATGTGTGGTGACGGGACGAATGATGTCGGCGCACTCAAGCAAGCCCATATTGGTGTTGCCCTGTTGAATGGTTCTCAAGATGATCTCAACAAGATTGGCGAACATTTCCGGACCACCAAAATGAAGGAGATTTACGAAAAGCAGGTCCAACTTATGAAACGGTTCAACCAACCTCCACCACCAGTACCGATTGGCATTGCACACCTGTATCCGCCAGGTCCCGGGAACCCTCACCATGAGAAGGCCATTAAGGCTCTAGCCGAGAAGAAGGGAATCGACCTGGAAAATGGCGACGCAGAGAACGGTACGATCGAGACAATCACCTCTCCGGGTGCCCAAGCTATTCAGCAGTCGAATGCAAATCTCACCCCTCAACAACGACGACAGGTCGAAGCGCAACAGAAGGCGGCAGGCTGGGCCGACAAGTTTACATCGACCATGCTGGAAAACGAACTCGATGATAATGAGCCGCCCACGATCAAGTTGGGTGATGCTTCGGTGGCAGCGCCTTTTACGAGCAAGCTGGCAAATGTGATGGCCATTCCGAACATCATCCGCCAGGGCAGGTGTACCTTGGTCGCAACCATTCAAATGTACAAAATTCTCGCCCTGAACTGCTTGATCAGTGCCTACAGCCTGTCTGTCATCTACCTCTCGGGTATCAAGTTTAGTGATGGCCAGGTCACAATCAGTGGAATGCTGATGTCAGTCTGCTTCCTCTCCATCTCTCGGGCGAAACCGGTGGAAGCCCTATCCCGAGAGCGCCCTCAACCAAATATCCTGAACGCGTACATTCTTGGATCTGTCCTTGCGCAATTCGCCATACACTGTGCAACGCTGATATACCTCTCAAACTATGTCTATTCCCTTGTGCCGCCAGCGGAGGAAGTTGACCTGGAGGGCGAATTCGAACCCTCCCTCCTCAACAGCGCGGTTTATTTGATTCAACTTATTCAACAAGTCTCGACTTTTGCCATCAACTATCAAGGCCGCCCGTTCCGCGAAAGTATCCGGGAAAACCGTGGCATGTACTGGGGTTTGTTGGCCTGTTCCTTCGTCGCTTTCTCTGGCAGCACAGAGTTCCTGCCCGAGCTCAGTCAGAAGCTACGCCTTGTCCCCTTCACAAGCGAGTTCAAGTGGGTGCTGACCACACTCATGATCGTCGACTTCTGTGGTTGCTGGGCAGTGGAGCAGATTTTCAAGAACTTGTTCAGCGATTTCCGACCCAAGGATATTGCGATCAAGCGGCCAGATCAGGTAGAGAGGGACGAAAGACGAAAGAGAGAGCTAGCGGAGAAGGCGGAGCGAGAGAGGATTGAAGCCATCGAAAAGCAGAGAGGCGTCGCCAACAACACGGCCCCTCCAAGAGCAAGGTAGTAAGCCTTCGGCGAAGGTGACTTGATGTACGGATAGACAAGAATAAGCCGGATGACTGACTGGGTCTGGGACATAGAAGGCGCGGTTGCATTACCAGAACTGGGGGTGATAGAAGGCAACTAGCTACGAGCACCTGCACCTGCACCTGCACCTTCAGTCCCAGCGACACTACACTCCATATGGGCCGGGTGATAGATGTGGCCAAGTGACAAACATGGTGTAACCTGTACAGACAGTAAACTTTTCTCACATGTCAGGGCATTGTCACTGTCACTGTGCAGTTGGGAGTATGTGTGTTATGTCTAGACAGTTTTAGTAGTAAGACTAGCCACAGCAATCTTGCCTAACTTGGACTAGCTGGTGGCATTAAGGCTGCTTGGCACATCATGCTTAACCTTAACGAGACCTAGGGCTTGCCATCGCCATCCACCTAGTAGGTGCCAGGTACCTAAGATATCTACTTTATATCCATCTCCTCGCCTGACCCAAACTATGTATCTGTAATTAGACCGTTTGGGATCTCTTACGCGTCCAAGCTCCACCGGAACACGTACATCTACGGATGTATTCGTGGCATGTCTCCCTTCGCATGGGCTGCGGGAGAAGGCGGTGTCCACCTCCATCGTCGTTCCTGGAGTCTGAGGCGTGGTTCGACGATTTTTCTTTCCTTATCCATGCTCCGCCACCATCCTGAGACACGAACCTGCGTCACTCTTGCAGCGAAACATGCCGCAAGTACGGACTACTAGCTTGGACCCAGAGTGCGCGATTGTGCAGGGTTCTTGTATCGCCTGTATCCGTACAATCTTGGGCTCCTCGCCATATAAGTGATGGTTCCCTGGAAAAGCCCACGCAGTGACCAGGCCACTCATTCTTGATCTCACGCTGTCACTCTTTACACGGTTCAGGGCCATGTCTTACCACTCGGCCTCACGCCGGCTCGTCGACCAACCCCCTCCATACCCTTCTCCATACTATGCACGAGGCGACGGGCTCCCGAATCCTCCCAAGTATGTTGAAATGCACACCTCTCCGGCCTCCGACCTCCCGAACAGACCATTGTCGAAGCGGAATCCTAAAACTTGGTCGCGGAAATGCTGGATCATTCTAGCCATCACGTTGATCGTGATTGCCATAATTGTGATTGTTGTTGCCGTGGTTGTTAGTCGCAAGAATCGATATCCGGACTACTCTTCCCTGACCTATGCGCTTGTCGCAACATATTCTGGTACAGGCTTTTTCGATAATTTCGACTACTTTACAGGATACGATCCTGCCGCGGGATTTGTGCAGTAAGTGATCCGCCGCTGCTTTCCCACCCGTGCTGAAGACACTAACTGTTCCCAAGTTATGTCGATGCAGCAGGTTCTGTTGATCTTAATCTGACGTATGCAACGTCGACCTCTGCTGTCTTGCGCGTCGATCTTTCTGATACGGACACGACTACTGGTCGCAAATCTGCAAGAATCACGTCCAAGGCCACCTACAACGACGGGCTTTTCATCTTCGATGTCTTGCACTCTCCCTATGGCTGCTCCACCTGGCCAGCGTTGTGGCTATCCGATCCATCAAACTGGCCGACCAATGGTGAAATCGACGTCATGGAGGCTACCAACCTCGCTCCGGACGGGAATCAAGTAACCCTCCACACAACCAAGCACTGCAGTATGGGGGTCAAACGCAAGGAGACCGGCAAGGTTCTGAAGACCAATTGTCTAAATTCCACCGACGGTGACAGTGGATGTGGTGTCCAAGGCACGACCGCCACATTTGGAGAAGAATTCAACAATAACGGCGGTGGCGTCTATGCCATGGAACTTCGCGACGCTGGCATTCGCGTCTGGTTCTTTGACCGAGACAACATCCCTGACGATATCACTACCTCTACCTCTAATTCGACCGACGTCATCCCTGACCCTTCGACGTGGTCTGAGGCCCTGGCAGATTTCCCAAACACCAACTGCAACATTGGGGACCATTTTCGCAACCAAAGCATCATTGTCGATATAGACCTATGTGGCCAGTGGGCTGGACAATCGCAGTATTTCAACACTCAGTCTGGCTGTTCCGGCACGTGCGTCGACTATGTGAGCAACCAGCCGGGAAGTGCGTACCAAAATGCCTATTGGGAATTCGGAAGCTTCAGAGTCTACCAAGCCGCTTAAGATGCTGATATCGCCATTAATGACCGCCTCGGCAGACTGCCTGGGGAACCACACACGATCGAATCATGGCTCTGCAGGACGTATTCTATGATTGCACTGGGAGACACACCGCTCCCACAACTTGCACATGTACCCAAGGGCCGAGACTCGATTCTACATTGATTCCAAGACTGCCAGAATATGGACCGATCCGCTTTTCACCATCACGCAGCTCGTGTTTACAGCATCTAGGATGCGGAGACGTCCCCGAGCAGGCCCTTCTCTCTGGCACGACGCCCTTATGCATTTGGAGCACAGCATCTCATGAAAGTTTCTGCTTCACCCAACTTGAGTTCAACGTGGATGACTGCCATGCAGCATTGAACGCGGCTCATCTGCGTGACGGTCGAAAAGGCTCTACTTGAGCACTCAACACAGTATAGGTGGTCAAGGCTCAGCCGTGTCCTGTGCGATGTTCTGGAGGTAGACTTGTTATTCAGTGACAGCATAAGGCTGTCGTGTGGTCGATTTGGTCGTCATCGGAAAGCAGGAGAACCAGCAAACGTGCCGATCCGGCAGAAACGACTTGAGGTCTGCAATATCTTCCCGATACGGCATAGAAGGCTTGTAAAAAGAAAGGGCGGTGAGGGAAATACCGTAAATAGAGGCCGCAAGATTCAGCAGCACATTCCTTACTAGACAGGTCTCGAAAGTCTGACTCATCCAAGGAGGTTGGGAGTACTCATCACTTGGGCACAATTATCAAAGGCTTCGAGAAATCGCAAGTTATAAAACTCTAGTCTTTCACGCTTTTGCATTCTTCACGCGTAGACGGCGTGCTCGTTTCGGTAGTCAAATGTGTACCCCCTTTTTGGGTATAATGCCTCATCATATATCAAGATCCATCATCACATCTCTCACGAAGGTTGGTGACTATTCAGACGTTCGTCGAAGAAGTGCTCTAAATCCTCGGCCTCGGACAAGCGCAGTGCTTCCTCCACACTGCCCACAAAATGCGACCGGCCCCCGCAAAGGTCTACAATGCCGCTCCTTTCGAAACTCAGAAACACCTTGCTGCGCCGATGGGGCAGCCGGCAAAAGATGACGCGGATGCCTCGTTTGGCGTAGTCCTCGACGATCTCTTTGAGGACTTGGGTGCCTGAGCCATCAACGGACGTGACGCCGTGGACATCAAAGATGACGTTTCTGTTGTGTTCCTCCGACCTCACACGCGGGAGCGAGGGGTGTGCCTTGTTTGTGCCGTACTGCTCGAGTCGGCGCAGTCGTGTTTTCAGCTCCCCGGTGTTCGCAAAGGTGAGAGGTTCGGGGATCTTGACGATCAGGCATCCCTCGATATACTCGACATTGTCGGGCGAGAGCTCTGCGTTCTCGAATTGGTTGGTCGTGCCGGGAATCTTGCCGAGAATCTGGATCCTTGGTTTCGTTGCATGTCGAATCAGCTGTAGCAATGAAAGACCAATACCCAAGGCGATACCCAGAGACAAAGAATAGAAGACTGTCGCAAGAAAGATGATGCTCATCAGGAACAGCTCAGTCCAGCCCCTGATCTTGATGAAAAACTTGATGTCGTGTGGACATTCTTCGATCAACGAATATGCAACAACTGAAATCATCGCCGACAGCACTCCTCGTGGAATGTAGTAGAAGTAAGGGAGAAGGTAGAGCACGCATATCAGAGTGATGAAGCTGAGGATGATGCTGCTCATGGGGGTGGTGCCGCCGGTCGAGGCGTTGACTTTACTTCGGCCGTATCCTCCAAACGCGGGCAATGCATTGAAACAACCACCGATGATGTTGGCCGTACCGAGCGCGACCATTTCGCGGTTGGGACTCAGAGTCATTCCTTGCAAGCCGTGAGTACCCTCGCCTAAGCTTTTGGCAGCCACGGAAGATTCGAAGAACCCGAGCAGGGCTATCAGAAAGGAGGTGCTCAGAGCAGTGTCGATGTCCTTCATGTGCCGGAATTGGAAGGGCCATTGGAACGGAATGGATGAGCTGCCGGATGACTTGACCTCGCCAAGGACCCTAAGGCCTTGTTTGTCCCATGAAAATGCCCAAGCGAAGACAGCCGAGAGGGCAACAACGATGAACCGGTCCGGGAAGTATGCGACCCAATGGATCCGGGGCTGGAGGGTTCGCTTGAGAGTCCTAGCGTCGTTGTCAGTTGCATGAAGCAGGATGCCGAGACAAGGGGAGCGTACCGAAAGACCATGATGATAGCAAAGCTTGTCAGTGACACAGCAGCGGTCAAGCCATGAGAGTGTGCGATATTCCTAACCAGAAAGACAAGTTTCTGAGCACTGCTCCCGTGGGAAACGCCTCCTTCTGCCTTGGCCACGTCGGAAAGGCCCAATTCAGGAATCAACTGATCGACCAAGATGACGAACCCGATCGCGCTGATAAAGCCTCGAAGAAAAGGTCGGCTCAAGACACTGTCCAAGAATCCAAGGCGACATAGGCCGGCAACAAATATCACGGCCCCCGCTATGGCGGTGACAAGGCCGGCAATCTGCGCGTTGAGCACATCGTCGTCATCTCCCGACTTCCCCTGGTCGATGCAAGTCTTCACCACCTGGCCCACCAGCAAAGATCCGGCCGCTTCAGGGCCGACCACCATCTGTGGGCAGGTTCCGAGAAAGGCGTAGATCAGAGGATTGAACACGAAGGAGTACAGCCCATTGATGGGAGGTATGTGTGCTAAGTTTGAGGAGTATGATAAAGACATGGGAATGTAAAATGATGCCATAGTAATAGCAGCTATCAGGTCACCACGCAACCATTGCCACTGGTACTGACCTATCCATCGGATGAAGGGGAAATAGTAGGAAATGTACATGAAGGTCGGGCTCTTGATCCCGTGCTTTTGAGCGAGCCATTTTGTAGTGCTGATCCTTTTGTTGCGGAAGAAAGAGTCGGTCACGGAGTCACCCAGGATGGCACGAGCTGGATCTGTTGGACCGCCATCTTCACCAATGGCCCCCGGATAAGGGCCTCCGAAGGCTATACGAGGGGTATCGATACTGCTCCTCTCGCTCCGGACGGAAGGGGCTCTAGGCGAAAACGTGCCATGATCGCAATCCTTTAGCCCGCAGACCCGGTTGTGATGGTAGTTGCCGAGGAGACTGGTCCTTGCATCAACATGACGGGAAGACGGTTCTTCAATCAGGCCTTGAGCGACCTCGTTCTCCTCGTCTAACAGAGCCTCAGGTTCAGATATAATGGGCATATTCGACTCTGGCATGAGTACAGGTGGGGGGTTGTTGTCACTGCCCACCTCTTCACTTGATTTCGACCTGGCTATCCTGTCCTCGGGCGACATGTTGGTAGCCTCTCGCAGGCGGCTAGGGTAAATAGGTACATGTTGGCTCGAGCCACGAGTGTGCGGAAGAGGGTGTCGCGGAGAAGTCGGGGGACTCGAGTCCCTGGAGGAGGAGGATGACGATGGGCGTTGTTCTGCCATGGGTATGGTTTTGATGCAGTGTAGCCGGTAACAATGCTGATATTATTGTATTTCCATGGTTTTACCACATTCACCACCGTGTAAAGGTCAAAGGGCGATTGTGTGTTCCTGTCAGCCAGAACTCTGTCTTCTCAGCCAACAGAGCAGTGGAGGCAACAATATACAGGCGTGAGAACAGAGTATTCAGTATTCGAATGGTGTCGAGGGGCATCCACTATGCCAACCAACCTCCACAAGTCCTATCAGCGATCTGGGGAGAGTCATGTGAACCGTCCCCTACAAATGATGGTAGTAATCATGGAAATCTTGCTAGTAACGTAGTAATTCTTAGTACGTACGTAGTGAGATGGGATGGATCATGGATGGCTGATGCTGGGGACTAGCGGGATGGAGGCTCTGTGCACGTGACACTACTTCTGGCTCCTGGCTTCTTTGCGTCACCGTAGCTCCAACCCAAGTCTTGGCAGCCAGAAAGTTCCGCCGCAGATGACTGAATCGCCCGCACATGGTGGACATCTTGAGTGGCATAACAGTCACCACGCTCGTCTTCGCCTCTGTGACTTTTTCCCACCAGCACCGGAGTTGCAACGCCCCTAGAGGAAACCACAGACTCAGCCTACAAAGAAGTCACCGTCTCTGTCAGCCGCCAACATGTCCGATCCAGATTCTTTGACCAACTGCCGCTTCTATGAAGGAAAATATCCGGAAGTGGACAGTTTCGTGATGGTGAATGTGAAGCAGGTGAGCGGTGTCCCAAGGCTAAGGCTCTTTCTCGGTGAGTGGTAATGTTGACGATGAACGCGGATAGATAGCGGAAATGGGGGCCTACGTCAAGCTACTCGAATACGACAATATCGACGGCATGATTCTCCTTTCAGAACTCTCGCGAAGACGTATCAGGTCAATACAGAAGCTCATCAGAATCGGCCGAAATGAGGTGGTGGTCGTGCTCAGAGTGGACAAGGAGAAAGGATATATCGATCTGTCGAAACGAAGAGTGTCTGCTGAAGATATTGTCCGATGTGAAGAAAGATACAACAAAAGCAAGTCGGTCCATTCGATCATGCGCCATGTAGCCGAGAAGACGAAGACTCCCATCCTGAAGTTGTATGAGGAGATTGGCTGGCCACTCAACCGAAAATACGGGCACGCCTATGATGCGTTCAAGCTGTCGATTACGAACCCAGAGGTGTGGAACGATGTCGTATTTCCGAACGATGTTGTCAAGGACGAGTTCCACTCATATATCGGCAAGAAATTGACGCCGCACCCGACAAAAGTACGTGCGGATGTGGAGGTGACATGCTTCAAGTACGACGGTATCGATGCCGTGAAAGACGCCTTGAGGACAGCAGAGGCCAGGAACAACCCTACCACCCAAGTTAGAGTGAAGCTGGTGTCTCCGCCACATTACGTCTTGACCAGTCAGTGTCTTGACAAGAATCAAGGTATTGATCTACTAGAACAGGCAATCAAGGATATCGAGGAGAGCATCGAAAAGGCTGGGGGCAGCTGTGTGGTCAAGATGGCTCCCAAAGCTGTGACCGAACACGACGACGCCGAGCTGCAGGCACTGATGGACAAACGGGCCAAGGAGAACGAGGAAGTGAGCGGTGATGAAGACGTGAGCGAGAGTGACGAGGCCCCCGAGGTCGCATAAGCGGTAGCGGTAGCGGTTTCGGTCTCAAACGCCTCACGAGTCCAAGTCATTCTTGTCGGGGGGACAGGAGACGAAAAGTCGTACACGCCTTTTGATGAAGCTACGCCTACGGCCGCCACATGTCAGCGAGGTTGAGGGCCCAATACTACCTTCGATGCAGCGCATTCCACCATTGCCATGTTCTTTCAAGTGCCACACTAGCATTTACTATAGATTATAGACGATGCTGCCCTTGACAAGGCGGGCCAAGGCCTTAGGGCCCAAGGGGGGGCGCCAGCAAGGTTGGTTGGCGGCGGAAGCAAGGTGCGGGGAGGGAAACTTGATTTTCCAGCTGAGGTCCAAGCTGCTCGCTGCTGTGACTAGGTACTACTACTCTACTATTCACTTCAGTACGGAGTACATTAATTAGGTAGTATTCAGCTGAGTCTCAGCAAGCCTTAGCCCTGCCTCTCTTCTCAAATGACATTCTTCCCGTCAATGCCTCACTGAGCCCTGCTGTTTCGCCTCAACCTTCAACCCTCAACCCTCAACGAGCTCCACGGACACGTCCCTTAGACATACCGCCCTTGTAACCCTCAGCACGCTGTCCGCACAGCCTACACCCTACACCCTACACCCTGCACCCTACGTCATAGGCAATGGTGAAATGGCATCAGCTGTTTGCACGCGCGACCGAGAGGGACTCTCCGCATCTTCGCGAGGAGATGCGACGATGTGAGCATACAGAAGAGCTGTGCATTGGCCGAGTGCATTCACATTAACCGCGACCCAGTGCTTCCGACTTCCAATCATGATTTCCCTCCATCTGCGTTCCCTGCCAAGGAAGTGACCAAAGTCGCCCTACGTCTCAAATACCAGATCGAAGAGGTGATCCCAATTGAGATCGCAGAAGACAAGGTCACCGCCGCCAACAGCCCGATCATTACCCCCAAAGTGGTCGCAACAGCCAAACAGGCAGGCGGCGAGGACTATGCCGCGTGTGTGGTCTATTGCCTGCTGGTCTGTAAGCGCTGGTTTGTCCGACAGGCCAATCTGGAGCTCTGGGATGCCGACTTACATCATGTACGGGCTGTGGCCTGTGAAATCCTCGCCAAGCGCATCATTGAGGGCGAAGAGGACCAGGAATTCCTGTTGCAAGACGTGCTTTTGAAGAGATACTCGGTGCTGCGCAAGGACGAGGTAACCCAGCCTGCCAATGCGATCGAGAGAGCCGTCGACCTACACTGCTTGACCGTCATCGGTTCTTCCGGATACCAGAAATGCATCAAGTATCTGTGGCGCGGCTGGATCCATCAAGACGACAAAGATCCGAGCAACTATGTCTTCTACGCGCAACGCGACAACACCAACTACTGGGCCCATCTCGACCCTGACCGGATGCGGGCGCCCATCTACCAGAACGTCGTCCAGATCTCGTTTTCCATCATCTATCTTGCGCTGTTCACGGGCGCTGTGAACACGATTAACGAGGATGGCGACCTCGACGTTGTCGAAGGCATCCTTTATCTGATGACGCTAGGCTTCATATGCGACGAGTTTGCCAAGTTCTGGAAGGTTGGATTGTGGTACTTTGGGTTCTGGAATGCATTCAACAACTTCCTGTACGCGTTGCTCACAGCATCATTCGTCATCCGCATGATGGCGCTGGCTCACTCGCCCGAGGCAAGTGACGAACGGCGGGCCGAGCTCAACAAGCTAGGCTATCATATCTTCTGCTTCTCCGCCCCGATGTTCTGGATGAGGCTGTTACTGTACCTCGACACGTTCCGCTTCTTTGGGGCCATGCTGGTAGTACTCAAAGTCATGATGCGCGAATCCATCATCTTCTTCGCTTTATTGGTCGTGGTCTGCGTGGGCTTCTTGCAGGCCTTTATCGGTCTCAACCAAGTGGAAGGGAACAGTTCGATCACGTCTTTTATCCTGACAGCCATGGCCAATTCGGTCATGCAGTCACCTGAATTCGACGGATTCGACGACTATGCCCACCCGTTCGGGCTGATCTTGTACTACATCTTTACCTTCGTCGTCATGGTCATTCTCCTCAACATCCTGATTGCGCTATACAACAGCGCATATGAGGACATCACAGACAATGCCATCGACGAGTACATGGCCATGTTTGCGCAAAAAACCCTACAATTCACCCGGGCTCCGGACGAGAATGTTTTCATCGCTCCCCTGAATCTCATCGAGCTCTTTTTTCTGATCATTCCGTTCGAGTGGTGGATGGACAGGTACCACTACGGAAGACTCAACGACTACGTCATGGCCGTCATCTACTCGCCCCTGCTCCTCGGCACGGCCGCCCTGGAAGCCAGAGAGGCACAGTCGGTCCGGAACAATCGTAAGCGAGGCGAAGAGGACGACGACACCGTCGAAGAGTGGGAAGAGTTGGAGGACGAACTGGACTTTGAAGCTGAAGGCTGGGAGAAGAAAGTCCGTACCACGAAACCCATCGTCGAGGTCGATACCGATGTTCAGGAGATTCGACAGCTCAAGGAACAGGTCAAAGAGCTTCACCATATGATTAGGGCTTTGAGCCCGGAAGTTGGGAGTGATGGGAAGTGATCATCTCTCATCTCAGACAGACGGTTGGATAGAAAGAATGCTTCAGGTCTCAAGTTCTGGAAGGCATCTCTGGTACCTATGGTACGAATACTAGCCCGTCACTCAAATTTGTTGGGCTACCACTCCGAGATCATCAGCCGGGCCGGGCGGTCCACTTCCACTGCAGAGAAAGCTACCTACCTATGTGGATGCATTGTTGATTGTCGGGATCCTGCCTGCCAAAATGCCAAAGGCCAAAAGCCAAAAGCCAAAAGCCAAAAGCCAAAAGCCAAAAGCCAAAATGCGAGCTGCACTTAGGTGGCACTGTTTGCGCAATCCTAGTGGGATAGAAGGGGGTCGAGTTATTGAGCTTATAGCGTCAGCATTGACATAGTTAACTATAGGTAGGGTACTCCGTACACATGATTGAATCTCCTGCTAGGAATGTTGGACTACCTTACACATGATTGAATCTCCTACTAGCTTGGGCACATTGGACTGCATCTGCATCTGCATGTGCATTCGCATTGCATCTGCGTTAATTGCACCACCCGCTCTGACTGTGTCGGAGACGGTCGTTACCCGCTCGTGACAATGGGAAAGGAAACACGGCGTCCTCGTCCTTGTCCTTGTCCTCGTCCTCATCCACGCCCGTTTCCGTACCGTGATGCCCTACCTGTCTGTCTGTCTGTCTCTAGGCGAGTCTTGATCTGCGCGAGGTAGCTTCCCAAGACAAATGATTTGCAGAGGTACAGTAGCTTCCCCTGACAAATAAATTGCAGAGGTATAGGTAGCTTCCCCAGACAAATAAGTGGCAGATTGCCATCTATTCAGTACTACTAGTTATTTATTTACCTTACTGCTTATACATAATTGCTCCGTACATACATGGCTCATTATCAACACTGACGTTCCCGCACGAGCATCGATTCTTCCGTCCTCCAAACAACAACAACGGGGATGTGTACAAGAGCGGTGGGTGAGTAGATGGACAATCTGATCACGTACGCGGCTGGGCCAGACCTACACGTGGATCTGGAGCCATGGAGCCATGGAGCCATGGGTAATGTCATTCCAGGAGCTTTGATCGATCCGGTATGTCCCAAACAAGGCTGATACTCGGATCCTCGATGATGCAGGAGCTGACGAGGTCCATTCCACTGTGACATCGATAGATATGTCTGCGGGTCACCTCCACACGGTGCCTGCCTGACTCGAACTCCACGCAGTCCAGCTTCCGGCTTAGACAACTGTGATATCCATAAGTTTGTGGCTGTCGGTGCTGGCCCAGCGCTGGCCATCCATGTATCCGTCGACAATGGCATGGCCGATGATGCGGTACATGGGCGGCGGCACGACGGAATCGCTGGGACGATGCCTCGTTGACGAGCTGGGGGTGGGCGTAGACAGTTTCTGGGCCGAGGCCATGCGGGGGTCTTTACTCAGGGGCCTCAGCACGACACACAAACTACATCCCTGGAAGAGAAAAATCTCGTCGTCCGGGAGGGCGCAAGGCTCGACCCAGCCAACCTCGCCCTCGAACGTGGACATGAGGCTCAGGTTCTGGGTGATGATGCGGGCCACAGACTCGGTGATGTGGCGATAGTGCCACACGGTCATGGTTTTGGCGTTCAGCTTGAAGAAGCCGGCGAGGAAGTTGTGGCTGACGCGGTCCCACGAGTAGAAGGCCCGGTCGCGCAGCGACTTGCCGTGGATAAACAGGTTGCGGTTCTTCTTCAGCCAATTCCACACAATGTCGGCCTTGGTGCCGCCAACCGCCGCGTACGCCAGGTAGCCGATGTTGTACAGCATCCCCAGCACAATCGGACTCTTGGTAAACTCGGCGTAGTGGCTGTCGTAGATGAGCAGCATGCGGCACAGCCCGTCGTAGGTCGAGTAGCCTCGCTTCACCTCGCTAGAAGGCCGCTGCGCGTGGTTCGGCAGGCTGGGCCGTGTCTTGGTGAGGCTCGTGTCTTGCTTGGTGAGTATGAACGGCTGAGCCGACGCCGTGCTCTGATGGCCCGTCGCACCCAGTCCGCTGATCTTGCCAATCCTCAGGCCCCGGAGTCCGAGTTCACTGTCTCGGAACTCGACATTCACTCGCCGTTCTCCGTTGCGCCCGCCTGTCGTCTCCCACATGATGCCCTCTTTTCCGAGTCGGTGGCACTTGTCTTCTCCGGAGAGATACTTGACGAAGCTGTTGTCGTCGACCGCCAAGGGCGTGTTGGCGATCCTCAGGTAATCTGGACACCAGGACGGTAATGGTGAGTCTTCTGGATTGCGGCTCCCCGCCAGGATAATGTCCAGGTTCTGTCGAGATTCGATGAACGAGCGAGTCATCCTCATACATACTTCCGTCTCGGGTATTTTGTAGTCTGGCTCTGCCACGAAATCTGGCCCGTCAGTGGTCAAGCTGAGGAGCCCAAACACTTTGTCGTGCGGGATGGTGGAAAGCGATCTTTGCGTGTTGGCTAGAATCTGGAGCAGTTGGAGGGGTTTGTTGTTGATTCGACGCGCACGAATCTCCAGAATCTGCCTGACCAACTGCAAATCCCGGTTAAACTCGGGCCATTCGGTCTGATGAGGCGGCTGTTTATCCACGTGTGCCAGAAGATGTGAGAGCTTTTCCAATGGAACCCTCTGGCCGCAAGCCAGCAGTGATACTTTTCGAGCAGCGGCGATTTCTTGGATGATCCACACGCGGCGCCAGTACGGGCGTCGCACAAGAGCTTTCAAATCGTCGAAGGAAGCTTTGCCGTAAGCAGGAAACTCTACTTGTTCCTGCCCGTCCATCGATATCGAGTTGAGGAAGCCCATCATTTGGGAGCAATGCTCGTCATCGTCCTCGGTGCCGAGGCAGGCGACAACCTCTTTCGCTCTTCCGTAGATGGCTTTCATGCGGAGGACCTGAGCACTCCGCTCGGCTAGATCACTCTGATTGATACCCAAGGCATCCACCCAGAAGGGCATGTTGCAGTGGTGGCACACCTCAAGCAAGGTGTCGTACAGCCTTCTGGTGACGAATGCTTTGTGTCCATTGATATAGATACACTTCCTCTCTCGTGTATGCTTCCCCCAGTAGTAGCTCACCGCAATATATTGGCCTTCAAGGTCGGAGAGCGGGCGATCGATCAAAGTGAAATGCAGTTCCTCCGTCCCGGCAGAGACATCCGGAACAACTTGAAGGATTCGGATCTTGTCATCTGTCAAGTGGTTGTAGACAATCCCTGTGGACCACTCGGAGAAGGCTTCGCGTTGCTCGAGGTCAACCGATTCTGTATCCTCCGAGCTTTGCACTGATGGTGGCGGCGGTACGATGGTGGCTGCATCAATGCCGGTCTGCTCTGAGAGATTACGTCTCTCTCTAACCGCCTGACTCCCAGCCTGAACGAAGACTAAGATGTCGATGAGATGAGGCCGAAGGTCTCCATAACCGCCCCACGAGCGATACACGGGTAGCATGGAACAGCCCAGCAGAGCCCAAAAGTATGGAGAAATGGAAGGAGACATTTCTGGTAACACGTGGAGAGAATTTTGACCACTGGAAATACTCAAGGCTGCCGCCACTGCACAGACTATAACCGCATAAATGCTTAAATCAGCAGGCCACCGGTGTAGGTAATATATCAGGTTCGCTGCGAGAAACACACTTAAGCCCCAGTTCGCAAGGTCGGTAGAGGCGGGAGAGGCGGCAACTGCGGCAATTGACGCGGAATTCTGTGAACGGAGGAAGACTGATTGTTGAACACCTAGACTCAGATGCCCTGACACAAGAACAAGTCCCAAGGCAACCAGTATACCTATAGTTTGCCGCTTCAAAGGCCGCCGAAAGGTGTAACCATAGATAACCAGAAGAAGAACGCGGGTCAGACATATCCGATAGCTGAAAGAGTAAATCTCATTGGTGGTGTATTTAGACATATCATTTGCCATTCGAAGGCGGTGTGTCTTGCAGAGCTGGCCAGTGAGCCTTGATCGATCGTTCCGGGTGGTCGGTTGGTGCTTCCAGACAAGCCTGAGCCGATGATAGCGACCATTCGAGCAAGGGTCACAAGAAGGGCTCTCCCAGCCTTGGGAAACTCGGTCACAAAACAGCAACGATTCTCTCAACCCCTGCTGGGAGATGATCGCAATATAGCAGTGTTATTTCCACCGGGGAAGAAACATTCTAAGCTCAAACTCGACTTCAAGGTAAGGGGGCTGGCCTTTTCATATCGCTCACTGCAGGGCAGGGGTAGTCCAAGTCTGAAGAGTGCCGCGTACAGTTCAGTACAAGCTAAATTGCGGCTGAAAAGAGTGGCCAGGCATCATTGGATGCGCTTGTGCAACGCTGCATGCCATTTCAACGCCAGGATGCAGGATGCGGTCAGCAACAACAGGCCTGTGGTGTCTGCTCCTACCCATGTAGATGAGGACGTAGTATCGAGGAGCAAGACTAGCCGCCTACCTGCATTCAGGCCACCCCTCCTTGGCCCGTTCGCCCGGAGGGAGTCGACGGGACCCGTGATGTTGCGCAAGACAACCCCTGGACGCTGCTAATCAGGCTGAGAAAAACAAGGGCCATTGAAGCCGAATCCTGGCGCTGGGGAGCAGGCCAGAGGCGATCGAGAATAATCGACAGTGTCCATAGCAGTCAAGGGTCTACATGAACTCATGAGCTGCAATCGGTAGCACTTGGTCAGCGAGCGGTTGCTACGAGAGAGATTCAACATTGAAGAAAACTGCAGTGGTAGAGGCTGAAGTTGGCTTGGCGAGTCATGTGCTGCGGCGCCTCGTGGTCGGACGCCTACCGCCCATGACTCGTGGGCTGATCGGGTCTCTGCCCTCGATATCTGTGTATCCGTACTCCATAAGTCGTCGAGAGGAAATTAATCTATCTCGAGTGGACGAAACAATCGCAGTCTTCATGTTGTATTCTTGCATTCACGAGCCGAATCAAAGGCGCAACCTCCATTAAATCGGAGACCACCGAGTCAATACAACTCTCCTGCGCAGTCCCTCACCTCCTCTGCCAGTGTGTCATGCAATAGTATTTCTGCACCATGATCTCTACTACGAGCATTCCACAACGAGAGGCGCAACCCTTCCTCCCCTATCCTTTCACAGAAACCCAACCTCCCCCCCACCTCGTCACGCAGGGCGCCGAAGCGCTCCTTTATCGCACGCATTTCCTCACACCCTCCACCGCTGCCGCATTGAAGGCACGTCCAAGTAAACCCTACCGACACCCAACCCTCGATGCCCGACTCACGAAACAGCGCGTCCTTGCCGAGGCAAGAGTGCTAGTCAAACTCTCTGCTTTGGCAAGCGACCCAGACAATGAAGTCAAAGTCCCTGCTGTGTTCAATCTGGAGTGGGATGCCGCAAGGAAGATCAATGGCTTGACTGAAGATCAGCGAGGTGCACGGAGGACTACGGCCGCAGGGGCATGGCTCCTTATGGAATGGATCGAAGGGAAAAGTGTCAAAGACTTGTTGCGCGAGTGGGATTCGTGGTTCATGGCAACAGGCTCGACTGCGTCGCCGGAGGAGGTCCAAGCCCAGGTAGAGGCAGTGAAGAGGTTGCTCCGCAGGATTGGGAGAGCCGTGGGCGCATTGCACAGTAAAGGCGGAGTGGTCCATGGTGATCTGACGACCAGTAACATCATGGTCCGGCCCGCTACCAATTCCTCGACATCAAACGGGTCGGCCGCTCCGACGATTGACGAAAATGCGCAGGCAGATGACATGCCGGCAAGGCCACCGAACTTTGAGGGTGAGATTGTGCTGATCGATTTTGGCCTCGCCACGCAGTCGGTCCAAGACGAAGACCGTGCAGTGGATTTGTATGTCCTTGAGCGGGCTTTTGGGTCAACCCACCCAAGGCAAGAAGGTCAATTCGATGCCGAAGTGCTACAAAGCCAAGAGGGCTACAGAGGCAGTTATAAGGGCGCCAACGTCGTGCTCAAAAGACTCGAAGAAGTCAGGTTGAGAGGCAGGAAAAAGAGTATGATCGGGTGAAAAAGAGCCCAAGCTTAACCAGCCAGCGCCGTGCTCAAAACCAGACCTTTCTGTGATGCCACAGTGCTTATGCTGACTGAGCCGGCTTCTCCTCAATGCAACTGCCTAACTGCCCTACGGCAAAGTATCCTTTGTTCTCAATGACACCGCGGTTCTTTACCACGGCTGTATATTTGACCACCCACTGAAGTTCAATATCGCCCTTCAAACCAAGGTCTTCGGGACCGGCGTCTGGACGTGCGGCAATGATATTTGCACTGTCCTTCCCAGGACCCAGGAGTTCCCTCGTTGTTCCCGGGGGAAGAATATCCGTACAGTCGGCATGAGTCAGCAACTCGATATTGTTTTCTTTGGCATACACGATGAGGGACTTGGGCACTACACAGCAATCCTTGACATTGATCTGGTCCACCGTCGGCCGCACTTTGACCTTGGGTAAAAATTTGCTGAGGCGTTCTGAACTGAACTCTGACACTCCGAGTTGCGAGATCACGCCCTGTTCGTGCAGCGATTCCAAAACCAGCCATGTCCTCACCTGCGCATCCAATCCCTGAGTCTCGTCGCTCCTCGCGCTCTCGTCCTCGTCCGCAGAACCCTCATCCTCGTCATCCGCGTCAAGGCTTACACCGGGATAACTCACAATCAGCAAGTCAATGCTCTCAATGCCCAATTCTTTCAGCACCAAATCTATGGCTTCTCGGGTATGCTTGCACCGCCGCTCGGTTGGTATGGAGGGCAAAAAGAACAGCTTCGCCGTGACATCGTAGGAATCGCGAGGTTCGGTCAGTGGCGTCGGCCGCCACGAGGGTACATAAAGTGTATCATTATCCTGGTGTGTCCAATGCCGGTAATCGGAAATTTCTTGGTTTGCGCCACTCAGAGAATGATGATGTTGGTAGGCGGCGAAGTTTGCTCGCAATGCATTGATGAGCTCGATGTTCGACTTGGAGAACAGTGGCCGACGCACAATCGCTTGACTTGAGCACATTATGTTCCTGCGCGACCAGACTCAGGTCAGATCCAAGATAGAGAAGGGAGAAAGGAAATACGCACGAGGTGGAGAGTACTATTTTCATCTTGAAAGCCCCTCTCACAGGAGGACTGTTGTAGCGCGCCTCGATTCCAACAGTGTGAGATATACACAGGTAATCGGCTGGTCGTTGATTTGATCCAGGAAGCGTGTTCTTTGATTGAGGTCTCACGACAGAGGGGAATATTAGGCCATTTTCGCAGCGGGGTTGACGAGTTTGCCATCGGGTTGAACTGTCCATCAGGCTAGATGTGATTTGGTGCTTGGGTTTTCACCAAACCACCTCGGGATAGGCCGCTGAAGCCCGACAACTAAACCAAGTTTGGTATTATTAACTCCTTGTCACGGTCAACAAAAGCACGGTAATTATGCCCACTTGGCTCGCGGTTCCCGGTCCACTGGCTTAATTTCCTGCATCTTCTATTTTGTGGTTTGTGGCATTGTGTCTTCTTGCATCTTCTCGACACACCTGCGAACTATGACGGCAAGATGGCCATCAAGTGAGGCATTATGTTCTATGTTTTGCAAACAGGATACTGACCGCCAGTAGCTATCTCATCTTGCTGTCACGGCAGGGCAAAGTGGTACGATCATTCTGTCACGGTTGCCCACCGCTGTTCCTTTAGCTGACCTCAATCTGCAAATAGAGGCTTGCGAAGTGGTTCACCACGCTCTCGCCCAGAGAGAAGGCCAAAATCATTAAGGATGTCTCTCAACTTGTTCTCTCTCGACGGACTCGAATGTGCAATTTTCTTGAATACAAGGGTGCGTGCGGAAGTCCACACTTTGTGCTCATGTCCATTTGCTCTCCATCTCTGACCATTCACTGTCTCCATTTTCTCTCAACCACCTCAGGCTGACCGCTCCTTACTATCAGACAGCAAAGTTGTGTATCGTCGCTATGCGTCCCTCTTTTTCATCGCCGGCTGTGCCTCCACAGACAATGAATTGATCACCCTTGAGATCGTTCACCGATACGTTGAACAAATGGACAAGTACTATGGAAATGTGTGCGAGTTGGACATCATTTTCAACTTCCAAAAGGCATACTTTATTTTGGATGAATTGCTTTTGGCCGGCGAGATGCAAGAAAGCAGTAAGAAAAACGTGCTGAGATGCATAAGCCAGCAGGACAGCCTCGAAGATATGGAGGTAGGTCGTTCCCACACTCCCTCACGTTCGCGTGACACACATCGATGAGCATCTCGCTGCTGCCAGTCAGCGGTATTGTTTGAGGTCATCCCTGCTGTAAGCCCATATCCTAGTGCACCATTATGCGGCAATCTACTACCCTTCAGTCTTGCTGGTGACAGTCAAAACTAATCGCGGGCATTACTTGCATTCAGGTTGAAGAAGACGTCACCAAAATCATGTAGAACATGATGCTGAAAACTGTGGAGGCCTCTGTTGCCACCTCTGTGAACACGGATGCATAAGGGCGCATGGAGGACTGCGTCGACTCGGTCCTCCTGGCACATGTTACAAACATTGCATTGTGATGAGTACACGCAAATTGACACATGCTTTCTTCTGCAGACCACCGAAGCAGCACTGGAAGCGACCGGTTTGCTCTGAATCGATGAGCCCCTTTCGAATTCAGTGGAATTACCGTTGGTGGTGATAAGGGGTAGGCGCTAAGGAGGAGAAATACATGGACCTTGCAAACAAGGTCTCACTTCTGTTGCCAGGCGCTGCAGAAGCATCATGTACAGTGTTACGAAGCGATGATATAATTCCAAGCACGTTATGACGAACCCATCTTCTCTGCCGGCTAACGTGAACAGCTCTTCCTCGGGATCCTGTCATAGCGTCTCCTTTTCCAACGCTCTGAACTCATCTTCTCGGCTCCAGCTGACTTGCTCAAGGCATCGACCACGATGTTGATGAGGATGAATCCATTGTCGTCGCTCGCTCGAGCGCATGTGCCAGGAGTGCTTAGCTGATTGGCTGTCTCGGACTGCTCACGTGACATTTCGAACTGTTGGCCTGTGCCGCGCAAATCGCAACTTGGAACCTCGACTGGCTTTCTCCGCCCGCAGTCCAACCTCATCTCTCTTCGTCGCATCAACAACATCCATCTACCATGGGATTCTATCATCAATCTGTGACCTGCTAGACGTCCAACGTCTGGCTACTTCAATCGCTCGAGAGCTGTCTCTGCAGCCAGCTTGGATATCTCCGCGTTTGCGATTACCTAGCCCGTCCAGGCCAATCGACTCATCCACCTCATCACAATCGCCTCCGCCAACAGTGCAACCCTTACCTTGCACAGGGCGTTGGCTCCGAGTTGCCGATTCCATCATATCAGCAGGTGTACTCCTTGCGACTGTTTATCTGTTATTCTCGGGGGTGCAGTGCCATGCCGCAAGATTGATCGCGCTGCATCCTAATCAGCCAGAATGAAGGTGAGTCTGCCCGTCCTTCCACATCAGATTTCATCAGGCTGACACGTTTTCTAGTTTGTCCCGAATCGCGATCTTGACATTGTCACTTCCTCCCTCAATTTCACGACTCCTGATCTCCATGTCATCGGCGGATGCGACTTGTACACAACCAAGGCAGCAGGTGGCGATAAGAAGCTGTACAAGAACATTGAAAATGGGCTCGAAGAACAATATAAGTCGAATCTCCAATTCTCTCATTCGCTGTCTCCACCGCAAGCGCATATGATGGCCTCGAGCCTGAACCTGAGCCGGAGCAGTCCTTTTGGAAATCTGGGAATCACCAGTTCAAGGAGAACCTATGCATATCTGATTGCGACGCTCAATGCAAGCCATCCCGATTACGACTTCTCCCACATGCTTCGACCGACAGACTTCAAGCGAGAAAAGAGCCTGCGTCATGTGATGAATACGCTAGATACCACCCTGTACAACCTGCGACCTCGGCCGCTGAATTCCTTCGTCAACGTCCCCGGTTTGGCGCCAGAGTCTGCCTGTCCTCCGTCAAGTCAGACCCACTGGGGTCCAGGCATGTGGAGACTGATTGATCAACAAATGAGCTTGCGCGATTGCAGCATATATCGATATGCCCCCGAAGACTTTGACCCGTTTGAGGATGATGATGAAGGGTCGTTATGGTCGATTAATTACTTTTTCTTCAACAAGGCCAGGAAGCGAGTATGTTACCTCTATCTCAGAGGCATCAGCGTCTTGGCCATGTCGACGATGGATGGCCTTCGTACACCCGTCAAGGGAAAGAGATTTGCCGATGATGAGTCGGATGGATGGATGACCCCAGATCTAGGCGCTCACAAAAGAGCGAAATACTGGCTGGGTGATCGTACCGGTATTGACATCCAGTCTGGAGATACAGAACTGCCGTCGATTGAACGGGAGGGCCGAGGATCAGCCCTCGAAGACGGAATGGAAGACGACCATTTCCCACCACCCGCACGACCGGTGGTGGACGAACATGATAATTACGTGCTCAGCGACGAAGAGGTGAGAAGTGCCAGAAGCAACAGTAAGAGCACGGTGCGTGCAATGAGTGAAGAGGTTGTGGGAGCCATGGAAGTTTGAATCTTGTTTTTACTTATCTTCTTTCAGTACTTCGGATCGAGCGACGGAGGGTCTGAGGGGGAGGTTCTGTTTCTTGTACTAATAACGATACCCAGAATGTTTACGGCGTTCCGACAGGCCGGTGGGAGCGGCTTGAGGAATCTGCCTGGATACGATCACTTGGAATCAGCACGCGTTGGTCGACCCAGCTGGATCCGAATTCAAGGCGATGTCTTGGAACCAGCTTTGGTGGATCGATGAGTACCAGCTTTGTAGCGGCGAATCAGGCACGGCGAAATTGTTTTCCATCGAGTTGAGGCTTTGTTTGATCAGTCAGCCTAGCTAGGCACTTGGAAAATGTATACGTCCATCTACTTTAGTGCTCGTGTTTTTGGCCCGAGCTGTCATCCTTGCACAATAGAGTGTTATATGAGCTGAAGAGGCCAGTTACTATAAAAATTGCTTCAACCTCGGAGGAGAAGTTCATACACTTGGTGAAATTGAAAGCTCCGTGCCCTTGAACGAAAGGCTTTGCTCAGACGTGCCCTGGACGTACTTGTGTCGTGGTGCTGCTGGTCCTGGAGAAGTCTCCCCGCCACTGTGTTGTTGGCTTTTGCGATTGGTCGCCTCAGTCGCGTACAAACCACGTCTCCTTCCCGATCGACGTATACACCTATTACCACAATCCTCCAACTGGCCAACCCTCGATCGTCTGCAACCTCCACACTCCGGGTACGTGACTGCCTGGATAACCGCCACTATGGGGGAGAAAGAAGACAAGGAGAAGGCCGACAAATTGGCCGCCGCAAAGAAGAGAGTGAGTTAGCACTCTGGCCCAACGACTTGTCACGCTAACCGCACGACCTAGGTTGCCCAACTCCAGAAGAAGAAGAAGGCGGCCGCCAATACCGGAGACAAGTCAGGCAAAGCAAAATCCGCGCCCGAAGACCCTCCCAGAAATGACCACGATGCTGGCGAAGCTGCACCTGCGACCGAGGAGAAAGTCGGTCAAGAGGAAGTCGAAGAACCGGTGGAGCGTGTACCGGAAGAACCGAAACCCGCACAGGATACGGCCGTCAAAGGAGAGAATGCTGGGGAAGATGCTCCCAGTGAGGCGATCCAGCCCGCCGATGCACCGGACCAGGACGCGGTTGAATCCCCAGCTACGATTTCACCTCCCTCTACCGACCAGGATGCATCGTCGTCAACAAAGACGCCACGACACTCCGGACGCCAACCCAGTGTCAGCCTCCAGAGCAAGATCCGAAGCACGAGTTTCAGAGACAGCGGGCCTTTGAACCCCGCAGCTGCATCAGCATCGTTGTCGAGGAGCGAAGAGCTGGAAAAGGAGAACAAACGCCTGGCAAAAGAGGCAGAAGATCACGAAAAGAGATGGAGGAGAGTGGAGGAAGAGCTGGAAGAGCTACGAGAACAGAACGCTGACATGTCAGCATCTGCCGGCGCGAACACAGACGAAGAGTTGAAGAGGCTACGAGCCGAGATTGAAACTCTGCGGCGCAGGAACAGTGTTACGCGAAAGGAAGGCGTCCATGGCGGAGCAGAAGACGTCGACTCTCTGAGGGCAGAGCTGGAAAACAAAGACTCCACGATCGCCGACATGCAACTGGAAATATCGAGACTACGGAGCCAACTATCCAGCCAGACGCAGGGCTGTGAAACTCACGGAGAACAGATTACCGCTTTGCAAGCCTCGCTTTCTACTGCGGAAGGCAAGTTGAGGAATACAGAGGTCGAGCTTTCTGACGTGAAGAAAGCACTGTCCAAAGCGAGCGAAAAGGCTGTCATTGACGGGACAGAACGAACAAGTAAAGAGACAAAAATTCGAGCCCTAGAGCGTGAACTTCAAGACGCTATCTCCCAGCGAGAAGAAGTGGTGAAGAAGGCGGACCAACTGGAGAAGAAAATTGAGGCCATGAACAAGCTGCACAGGGAGGCAGAATCGAGAAACGCGGCCAAACTCGGGTCTGCAGAAGCTCAGGCCAGGGAAATTCCAGGCCTCCGTGCCAAAGTAGAAAGACTCGAGAGCGAAGCTGCGCGGCTCAGAGAGAAACGCAAAAGAACAGTTAGCGGCGACGGAGGCGGGGACGGTCTCGATGAGTTGGAGGACGAAGAACGACAAAAGCTAGAACGAAGAATTCGGGACTTAGAAGGACAAGTGTTCGACCTGCAACGAGGCATCTGGAGAGACCGGAGAATTCAAATGCAGCCTCACGGCGAGGAAGGATCCCGGACTTCCTTGGATCCCGCCGAGGACTTTGACGAGGTCGATCTGTCGGGTTCAGGTCAGGGCAGCCGGAGAAGGAGTTTTGCCAACACCCTGCAGCAGAGTCAGACTCGACATTCCGGGTTCGCACAGGTTCTGAATTCTGGCCTTGCCGCCTTCCGTGCCGGCACCACATCCCCTAATTCTCAAACGAGGCATCAGACTCGACCTCGAAACGACTCCTTGCTCCAGGATTTTGGTGACGAGGATGCGTTCGACGAGAACGCATTCGCACAGGCTCAAAGAGAGGAGGAGGCCCGGAAGATGGTTGAGCATGTGAGAGAAGTCAAGAGAGGGCTGAAGCAATGGGTCGGCTGGAGATTAGATCTAGTAGATGCCAGAAGAACGGGAGCTGGCGTGGGCTTTGGCGAGATATTTGAGGTATAGAACTGGAGGGCAATACCATGATGAGTTACGAGTTCGTTGTATAGGCTGATGACACCGAGTAAGGGGCAAACGAACAAGGGCTCACATTCCAGACATTCCACGTCAATTCCATTGTTTGCTATTCACGTCTCACGTCTCACGTCTCACGTCTCATATTTCACTTGCTCTCCTTTGCAATCTGATGCAGAGTCTTCTCATACTCTCCCACGTCCTTGGCTCCAACGAGGGTGAAATCGCGTTTCTTCCCTTCAAAGAGAATAGTAGGGACGCTGTCCACTCCATTGGCGGCCTGGTCACGGATGAGGCCTTGACATCGATTAATCCTACATTTTTGTCTTCAATGACGGGCCTCGCCTCATCTTCCGGGATGCCAGCATCTCTGGTTGCCCTGAGCAATGTTGCGTCCTTGGAGGGATGCTGCTCCTGCTCAAAATACTGCGAGTACAGTGCTTTGCCGGGTGTGAGCCCGCGTCTGAACTGGAGAAAGGGATCTTCTCACAGTTGATGATCTTGTCCGCGGTTTCCAGTCCCATTGCTCCCTGAAAATGTTGTATGACCCGGTGCGCATCGAGCGTGTTGGCAACCGTGCCTCCGAACTTGAAGTCGATGCCTGCGGTCTTACCGTACGCCGTCATCAATGTGATGTACATCTTCATCTTCTCCTCCGAGTCTCCATAAGTCGACTTCTTATACCACTCATACTTGTCTAGCCCTTCGTTGGAAGTCTCGGGGAAGAGTTGGTATGGGAAGTACTTGACCACAAAGGTGGTACTTTTGGAGTCCTCGCTGTGACGGAATCGACGAAGGGCTGTCGGGTGTCAGGTGGACAGAGCAAGGCAAAGGACGGACGGAGCACGGAGGACTGATTGCAGATTGCCATCATCGGGCGGACAGACCTTCATCTAGTCTGCAGACGCACGTCGCTGCATGTCAGTACAACCCCACGACTTCGCCCGCTGATTGCGGTGGAGGGAAGCAAACAAACCTCTTCTTCGCCAGAAACGTCCTGTAAGACAAGGATCAGCCCAATTGCCAACAATACGGCGCCCGACTCCAGGTTCAAGGCCTAACGATTGTCTTACCAAGGACAAATGGTATCCAAGGTGAAGGAGATTTGCGACTCGTACGTCATGTTGTTTACTAGCCAGGCGGCCCCAAATCAAGACTGTGCGAGGTTCCGGGTCGCTTGCGCAACACTGGGTGGTCCAGATTCCAAGGCAAGAGACCAGGCGAAGATACAGGTCGACGTCAGCTTCGACCACGTTGGCGGACAGCGTGAGTGATCTTGGAAATGGGACTTGACAGGCACCTGCGCCTGCACCTGAACCTGCACACCTGGTCCTGTCGGCTCGCAGCCTCCTCACTTGGACACCCCCGCTGTCAGCCAGGCCCAGCCGAAAACACCATGATCCATCCAGTGGCAGGCCTCCGCGGTTTGAGTGATGCGGAGACGACAGCGAAGGCTCAGCCAACAAGGAGAGCCTGTCACGGACTGACTCGCAGGCAGAGGGGCAGTACAGAAACTGAGGTCCGAGTCCTTCAATCTATCGATGGCAGCAAACCAGCCTCAAAGACTTCCAGCACAATCCGAAGGGCTGGAAAGGTTCTATTGGCCATACTACTACCGAACAAATCGATACATCCTCTGTACGGACAACCTAGTACCTACAGCCTCCAGTATAGTGGGAAGGTCAGCCTCCTGAGGTCTGAGCGGAGAGACAAGCCACCAAGCCACCCGGGTGACGGGCGTCTGGCGCCTCATCGAGCCCCGTGCCCAGCTCGGAAGGCGTTCGCCTCCCCTATATCGCGCCGCCAACCGACCCCAACCATCTTTCAAACTGTCCTTGGCGAGGTTGGCGCTGTTTCACCGTGAAGCCAGCCTCCCCATTCGCCCGTACTCGACCACATCCCCCTGGCCAGTGCTGATCAACCAACTTTTCAGCGTGGTCTGGCAGCTGGTCCCACCGTGCAGTCGTTGACCTGACTGGCTGTGTTCCTGCTGCCAGCCTTCTCTTCGCCGCTGACCCCAGCCTATGGAGCCCCCTGCTCTATAGACTTCCCAGCCCCAGCCTGGCCCGTTCTCCTATTCTATACACTCCACAGCAGGTGCCAGGTGGTCATGTTCCCAGCAGAGCAACGCCTGGTTGTTAACTGAGTACGGAGTACGGAGTACGTACACTGGTACTATGGACATTTTGGCTTTTCCGTGACTGACCTGCCACCCCTGAACCGAGTCACTAGTGAGCGGTCATGGCGCAAGTGACACAGCCCATGTCAACCTCCTCAGCTCTGCGTGACGTGCAGGCTCTGCTCCTGACGGGTATTTGAACTCGTTTCCCACTCCTGGTTGTCATCGTTCTTTCTGTCATCCTCCAGATTGCAAAAAAGATTGCAAAAGTCATTCACTCCTGTCCTCTGCTGCCACAACAGAGTCCTTCGTTCCCAAAGTCTTTATAAAAGGTCCCTTGCTCAAGAAAGACCTTCCGTCCAAAGACCAACCGTCTTGACTACCTTTGTCTACACTAATCTCAAAACAAGCCATCCAACATGAAGTCGGCTATTATTCTGTCTCTTGCTACACTCGCTGTCGCAGCCCCGAATGGCCCATGGGGTGGATTTGGTGGCCATGGAGGTGCAAGTGGTGGAAGCTGGGGAGACTGGTCGGGTGGAAATGGTCAGTGGACGTCGTCCGAAGAGACAACAACAGAAACCCCTTCTCCCTCCCCTGTACCAGAGAGCACAACAACTCCTTCCCCTGCTCCCGCCCCAGAAACTACCCCCGTTTGGCAAGACTGGACTTCAACAACGACAACCATTCCGACCACCACTCCTACTCCCACTCCCAGCCCTATCCCCGCCACCACCACAACAGAATCCCAATGGGTCGACTGGACCACATCTTCTGAGATTGTTTCCCCCTCCCCGATCCCTACAACCACAGAATCCCACTCCCAGTGGGTCGATTGGACCACTTCATCATCTGAGATTGTTTCCCCTACCCCGATCCCAACAACAACCACCGAAGCAACAACATGGGCTGACTGGACTTCGTCTGCTACTCCAGCCCCAGTGGAAACCTCTTCCGCCGCATGGGGTGACTGGACTTCTTCGGCTTCTGTAGCCCCCGCCCCTGCCGAGACAACCACCTGGGCGGACTGGACTTCCTCTTCGGTCGCCCCAGAACCGGCTGAGACTTCCTCCACCGTCTGGGCTGACTGGACCAGCTCTTCGGTGGCCCCAGAGCCGGCTGAGACTTCGTCCACCGTCTGGGGCGACTGGACATCATCCACCTCTGTTGCTCCAGAGCCGGCCGAGACGTCGTCCACCGTCTGGGGCGACTGGACTAGCTCCGCCGCTGCAGTGACCACCACCCCGGTTGCACCCACCACCACTGCGGCTCCGATCACCTCAGTGGCCCCGACCCTGTCCACAACGGCTGTCCCGTCATCGACCACACCAGTTGCTCCGGTCAGTACCTTCACCGGTGCTGCCGCAACCATGTTGCCGGCTGGTGGCTTCCAGGTTGCTGCTGCCGCTGCTGCCGTCATGGTCGCCGCTATGCTGTAATCGACTCGGCCTGCTTCAGCTCGACAACCTCAATTATCTTCCATTCGACCCTTTTTCTATCTTCGGGCGAATGGAACATCGAATTTCCAACTATGCATACTGTACACCTTTTCGGACAGATCAATGCACATGCGGGATTCGGTCACCTTTGTTACAACCAACCATCTTCACTAATGACCGTGAAACGAAACTTCGACGAGACTCAAGATCTCTCCTTCAGCATGAGTCTCGACCAGCCCACCGCGTCCGACAGGGGCAATCGGGCATTATTCCAGGAGGTTGATGGAATATTGGGCATATTATTGGGTCAAGGGGGATCATCAAAAATTCTCGGGACAGGACCGGGGACAGGATTCGCATTTCGGGCATTGTGCATCTTTGAGTCTTGCATGTTTTGTACCGACACTGGAAGAAAGTCTCGGACAACAATTGCTGGAAATATCATAGAGAGTCTGGATATAGGAAGGATATCATGGGAAGGCCTAATGCGAGCGGACATCGATGAGATGGATTCGCCAAGGTAGCATAGCACAGCATACAACACATGCTGCATTTGAATACCAAAAAATTCGAAACAATCTGCAAATGCCGTTTCCATCGTTTTAAATCACTAGCTCTAAGGTAGTTATCCATTGCTCTGTTTACACCATGGTTTTGGACAGCACCCAAACAGCATGGCAAGTCTCATACGCAATCGGTACTGTTGAAGATTGAAAGCTATGTCGGCGTGCGGTAGCCGTTTCTCCTTGTCCGGATCTACTCGAGCTTGCCAGCAATGAGTTTCTTCAAGTCTTCCTCCGTCAACTCCTTGACACCGAGAAGGTCATTGTCCGTCTCATCAAAGGCGGCTCCATACGTGTCGCCGGCAAGAGCTGTGCCTTTCAGTATCTTCATAAAAACTGGCATGCTGAAGTCGCCAGCTCCGAGCTCATCCAGACCTTCTTTCAACACGGCACTTGTCTGGACCTCGCTAATTTCCCACTTGATATTCGGTCTCAGTCCCTCCGCAATGCGCAACAATTGATTCTGCGTCACGATGGCCTCTGAAATTCGCACAACCCTGTTTTTGGTGGCGTTGAAGTTTTTCAAAATCCCGACAATGGCCTTGCCGATAGTCGGCAGGGAGGTGACAGTCGTCCTGTTGTCACCTTTATCGAACAAAGTCGCCTTATGGTTTGCGAAATCCAGCAACATGGGACCACCAAGCACAAACTCCAAGAAGGCACCGCATGCAAGGACCGTCCAGGTCAGCTTTCCCGCAGTCGCCTGTTCTTCCAGATACTGCTTGATCTTGAACATCGAGGCGTAGAGCGGCAAGGCGGCGACTTTGGGGCTGGTCGTACAAGAGCCGTATTCGGAGGGAATGAACCGTTTCACTCCGGCGGCGACGGCGGCGTCGATGAGGACGGTCTGGCTCTCGATGGCGGCTCCAGCTACCGTGGACACCAGTGCGTCGATGCCTTTGAGCGCCGCAGCCAATGACTCGACAGATGTGAAGTCCACTGGCACAACTTTAACGCGGGAGTTGTATGTGCCTTTGCCTGTGCCTGTGCCTGACTTTGTGGATCGGGTGAGAACCGTGACTTGGAAGTCCGCATCGAGAAATGCTTTGACGACATGGGGCCCGAGGTTGCCAGAAGCCTGAGGTAGTGAAGATGTCAGTGATTGATCGCATCCCATGCGGGTCTGGGAAGTCCTAGATCTTACCCCAGCAATTGCGACTGATTTCACTTCAGACATACTCGGACGCAAGATTTTTTACCGCCAAACTTGAAGTGATGAGATGGGCAGATGGCGGTTGAGGGCTTAGATGCCATTCTCCCAGCAGGAAGAGGCCGCTCCTTTATATTGCTTTGAAGTCAAGTCGACTCAGCCTTCTACGCAATGGGTGAGACACAGTTAGAGCATATCCCGATCCCGATCCCGCATCTCCCGCACCATATCCCGCACCATACCCCCGCGTGCGGGATTCAGTCCGGGCTTACACAGCGCATTGCCGCCCCTTAGGCCTTTAAATTCCCGCCCATACCCGCACATTCCTTCCGCCCTCACCAAACATCCCTATCTCGAAGGCTGCAGTGCGTCGATGGCCAAAAAGGCTTGCATACGATGCAGTACCCAGAAAAGGCGATGCGACAAGGTACTACCAGTCTGTGGACTCTGCACAAGGTATGTGGCTGAGCGAACGTACTCCATATGTACTACCTACCTTAGTCTAGTAGCCTGCTAACTCGGACGGTGGTAGACTTTGTCAACCATGCGAGTACGATGTCCCTCGGGCGTTATCCTCAAGTTCAACGGCCTCACCATCTCCAAGGCCTGAGAACCTTCTACGCTCGGGTGCGTTTACGACCAGCAGTCTCAGGGACGCCATCGTCCAGGGATATGGGCTCCTCACCCTGAAAGATTCCCTTTCCGCCTACTGCCGAGAAATCGAGCCATGGTTCCACGTTATTTCCATTCCCAGGTTGCAGAGCCAACTCCCACAAACATGGGAGGAAGTTTCGGTAGATGTCGTATTACTCTGCCTTTCGATCGCCCTTCTCACAACACCTCCGCCTTCGCCTTCATCTCCAGTGGCAGAAAATGGCGATGGCAACGGCAATGGTCCCTGGGGATTCCAGACCCTCTACTGCCAGGTGAAAAACTGGATATCGTCGACCGAAGCGCTGGGGCTCAATTCTTGTCAGCTGGTCCAAGCAAGGATTTTGGTGACTCTCTATGAAGTGGCACATGGGCTCTACCCAGCAGCTTATATCTCAATTGGAGCTACTGTCAACGCAGCAGATGCGCTTACAGTCCACCCAGGAGCAGGAGCAGCGGCTCAATATCCTCACGCTCCGGGTACAGATGATGAGACCAAGCGAGAAGATGGTGTGTTGATCTGGGGTGGAATCCTGATCTTGGATAGGTAGGTGCGCTCTTTTTCCCTTTGCCACAGCCGCCTCCCACAATTTGACCACTCAGCCAGCCACGGTCGCCTGCTGATTCCATTCTAGATACATAGCCGTAGATTCAGGCCCTCATCCCTCGCTCACCCGTTCCCGATCACAGGCCATCCACGACCTTCTCAAGCCAACTTTGTGCCCGACGCACTGGCACGGCCAGGATCCAACAGATCCCATTTGCCGCCTCGCTCGTCTCGTCGAAGCCTCCTTCCTCCTTGACAAGACCCATTCCATCCTGAACAGCCCCACCGCAGAGCACACCATCAACATAGAAGAGTTGATTTTGACCGTGCAGACAATCATCAATCTCCAAACGATTCTGGGCGAGGAGGTCAAGGACGGAGTCCACCTCTATGCCGGGGGGCTAAGTCTTTGCAATGCGTGAGCCACCCGCCCGAGCCTCTACAGATGTTGGGGTCATGTTGTGAATAAGTACTACTGGGGATGTATACGTCGATGCTGACTTGACATGGGCACAGTGCCCTTCTCCTGGCCTTCGAAAACGGCACCAGGGTCCCTCCTATCGCCGGTTCAACTGAGAATTGCAATTCCATGGCCACAGAATCTCTAGCCTCGGTCCTCTCCACCATCACCAGTACAGTTGAACTGTTCACGCTGGGGACGCAATCCGTTGAATTCAACGTGCTCCGAGTCCCACCGTTCGTCACGTTTCTGGTCTATAAAGCAGCAGCGATAGTAACGAAGAGACTATTGGTGGATACCAGCAGTAGTGGTTCGGACGAGGAACTGGGAAAGCTGAGGCTCCTGAGAAATTTCCTGAAGATCATGGGAGCGCGGTGGTTGGGCTGTGGTAAGTAACAAGTGAGCAAGACATTCACATTCGGGAAGTTGAGCTGGGTTGAGCTGGGTTGAGCTAACTAAACACTTGTGTGTTTCCTTAGAGCGTTACCTGAAACTTCTCGATGAAGATACAACGCCACGGATCCTAAAGGCTATAGGGCAAGGATAGTCACTCCCAACCTCGAGTCTGAAACCGGCCAGACGCAGAACGTTCCAAAGGTGGAGAGGAGTTGTGAATGTTTGCCGGCAAACTGCTACGTCGAAAGAGAGCAACAAATACCATGTATTCTACTATTAAGGCTGGAGGTCTTCTTAGCGGCAATACCATGTATTCTACTATTGAGGCTGGAGGTCTTCTTGGAGACAAAGCCATAGATCCACGGGAGTCCATCTATAGAATACTTGGAGAGATCAACAATTGCCACATGAGCCTCTGCTAGTCGCTATCGCTATCTATGGGAATGTAGGTGTCATCGAGTTCCTCTAGTGGACTGCTGGGGTCGTCGATTTCCTCTGGTGGACTGCTCGATTGATCCCTCTCCAAATCATATGTGTCATCATTTACCACGCCGCCGTTATTCTCCCTCATCCAAACCTCTTCGTCAGCTTCGTCGAGGTATTGACACAGAATCTGGGAGGGTATGAAAAGAAGTTCGTTCTCTTCAAACTGTTTCGTCAATGGTTCAGGCGCGAAATCCTTGAGGGCCAGATGAAGACCTGCTAGTCTCTCGTTGTTTGGTGTTCCGTCCTCATTCCGAAAGATCTGGTAGAAGGTTAGAAACTTTGCTTGACGTGATGGAATGCAATTGGTAAGACTCGCCCGTTCTACAATTGTCTGTTGTGCAGACAATTTGATCTTTCCGTTCTCTTGTCTCACTAGATCTGGTCTCCAAACAGAAATGGTTGCTTTTTTTGTGTATGCATAGTCCAGTTTGAGACCAATCACTACTTTGATGTTGCCCATTGACTCCTAGTTATACTCACGGGCAAGGCGTGCTAGGTTTTTTGTTGTCTGAGAATTGGCAACCTCCACAATCACTCCCGGATATTTTGCCTTTCGATGCTTGAACGACATATGTCGTCTGGGTCGTGTTTGGAGGTGGTCGATGGATTGAATCTGATCGTTGTATGCATCTTATCTCTTATCTCTCGTGCAAGTTGAGCGGATGTGGAGGTGCTCTCAGCGACACGTCGAAGAAACTGGAGTATGCTCTCATGGACTCCGGCGATGAGTCCTTCATGTTGATCTAAGGGCATCCTGATCACAAACTCTTTGAATGATGCAAAGTAATCGTATCTATGTCCCATGTCAGCTGCTGAACTCTGATTGACTTGCAGACTGGCTGCTATACCGGAGTTTGTCCTGGACCCATCCGTCCTGAGAGAGCTTCAACTCCAATGACTTGTACTCATCCAGGTTCAGATGATATACTAGCCAAGGATCGACGTGACTGGGGCGCCCATTCTTGCGACTCTCGATCTCTCTAAGAATGAGGGATATTGGATTTGGCTGTCTTTCGTCCGACGGTGGCGGGGTGGGAGGAGTGTCTGTGAATCTGCTATTGGGGGGAGAGCCTGAAATATCCATCGCGACATCGTCAGCAATCGCAACAGTTTGTGTGATGCAATCCATAGTGAGTATGAACAAAGAAAGAGTTGTCGGTGCTGGTGTGAGATAGAAACATTGCGTGGGTTGCAACTGGCCACTCATTTATATGCACTTGTGCAGTCAACCGTGATCTGGATGTGAAGAAACGATATCGATGTCAACAAAAATGACGTCAGACAGGATATAAAGTGAAGTACCATAACCCTAACCCTAACCCTAACCCTAAAAGTGCCTAACCAGTCGGCAAGTACCTTAACCCTAACCCTAACCCCTGACCCTAGGTTACCTTAGCAGGAGTACGTACGGAGTACCTATCCGTACTCCTCCGTACAACATGCCCCCTTCCAGGCAACTGCCCAAGAAGGCTGTACAGAGTCCAGAGTTCTTTGTTCTTCTTCTGAGTCGTGCAGAGAATACGACACTGTGTTAACACGCCTCACTTGACATGGGTTGCCCATGACGACATTTTCGACATGTGCGTTTCCGACTGTGAATACGGAATACGGAGTACCTACCTTAGCTAGGTATGTATCGGAGGCCGATATCCGCCTCCACAAACAACCGTTACTGACACCGCGTGAATGAGACGCAGTCGACAGTGAATAGTACCACAGACTATTCACTCACCCTTCTACTTATCTCTGCTGTCACCTTCTGTCACCTCTGTCAACTGTCGTCCGCCCTGTTCGACTCTCCTTACAACTTCATACCATAGCAGACGCACCGTTTGTATACCGGACCGAGAAGATTAGGTCCAGGAAAGGATTCTTTCGCAGAGTTTCTTGCTTGGCGAATGGAATCACCGTTGCAACTGTCATTTATTTGCTCCCTTGGTGGGTCGGTCGGCAGGTCGAAGGTGTGAATGTTGGCACCCATCACCAAAACGGCCAACCAGACACATCAGCACTCAAAACAGCCTGATTTCTTTCTGGCCCTGTCATGTCCTGACAGAGCCATGCTTTGGGCCATTTGGCCCTAATTTTATTCGATCCCGGTCCAGGCAGTCCAGTCTGAATGGTATGCCGCGCGGTGTCCTCAGCCGTCAGCCTCCGCCTCTGCCTCTGCCTCTGCTGCGCGAAACAAACCGCAATCGCCGGTATCTATGTGTACTGGCTCGGCTGGCATGGGAAATAGTGTTCTGGGCTGAGATGGAGACGCCGCCTGGTAGAGTGGTACAGTGCGCTTGGTAGCTGACATGGTTTCATCACGACTAGCTACCTATCCACCTTCAGGACAGTACTACCCATTTAGAAAGTCAAGGGAACCTGTGTGAGGAGGTACTGCGGTCTGCCTTGTACTACTTTCCTAGTACGAGTACGTGCATAGGCTGTCAGGCACAACCCGGTCGGAACCCAGGGAAGATGAGTGGATTGTTACCGTCTCGTTCTACGTATTAGCAAGGTCTTGTGGGTTTGTATGGGTCCTGGAGTGATATGCTGGAGGTACCATCATGGCCACCACTGAGTATACGCACAGAGTAACCTGGCTTGTCCAGAAGAGATGAGATGCAGACGATTCGGCACACCTGCCTCGCTCTGGTCAGCCCCAGGCTAGGTGACAGGTTTCCAATGCGAGCCTAACTACGGAGTACGTGTGCCGAGTACAGAATCTGTGAGACTACGCGTATCTTGAGCGGATGTTGTGCTCACCACATCTTCGACGGGGCATCCGTAGAGGACGACTCGCATAACCATAAGAATGTGGTTATAGCGACGAGCACGACTATCCTGACCAGTCCTCCCACTGCACTTCCCGGCCGGAGCTCCGAGTCCGCCCAGCCATGCCTCCAACTTCCAGAGGCCTGTTGTTCTCGCCCTTCGTTCGTCATGCCTTACGATTGCCAGTGACGCCAGTCCGTGGTGCTGCCACAGGGAATAAGCCCAGATACACCCTTCCGGACAGGAAGCAGCTCCAGGCTCGGAAGGAACAGCACGAGAAAAATAGGTTGGATGTAATGAGAGAACCACAAGAGCCGGAGCCAAAGCAGGAACAAAACAGTGACCACAGTCAAGAGGGACAGCGTTCAGATGGCCACCGAAAGCCCTTTTTCAATTTCATGTCTCCCTCAGCGCGACGTTGGGTATGGCGTCTCTTCTACATAGCCCCACCGGTTGCCTTTGTCATCTTGGAGTTCCCTCTCGAGATTATGTGGGTTACTGGCCCGTCCATGTCACCGCTCCTCAACGTGAACTCATCTCCTGAGCTTCCACAGACCTCAGATGCCATCTTGGTGCAAAAGGTCATGTTCGAAAACCGCCCTATGTTTGGCCTTCGGCTTCCCAAGTTCGAACTGCAAAGAGGTCAGATCATCGTGTTTTATGCACCTCACAATCCCGAGAAGCTGGCGGTCAAGCGGGTAGTCGGCGTCCCAGGTGACAGAGTCAAGCCTCTTCCAGGATATCCGGGAGGCGACGAACCCGTGGTGGTCCCTTATAACCACATCTGGGTCGAAGGTGACGCCAACAGCCGGGACAAGAGTGTGGATTCCAACTGGTACGGGCCCATCAGTCAGAATTTGGTGATAGGGTTCGTTACAATGGTCCTAAGTCCGTGGTATTCGCCCACCGTCGTCAATTGGAGAGAACACGACTACCCGGCCAAGAAGAGCGGGCGGGTGGAAAACGACGTGGTTCACGCCGCGAAGCTGGATCCGGACAAGATTAGCATGATCGAGGCATTCAGCAACGGGGTTGCAGCCAGAGAACTAGCCGCGATTCGGAAGAATAGAAACGAGTTGCCCACTCTGATGCGAGACTCACAGAAGTTTTTCAAGCTGCGCACAATATACGCTCATGCAAAGTTCGAGCTGGAGCAAGATAATCCCGACTCTAAGGAGGTGGCGCAAGGGTTGGTCAGTGAGCTAGAGACTGCCTTTGAAGCTGTCGGGCTGTCCAAGGAGGGGAAGCCGCTTCCCCCAGCGTTGAGGGGAGGAAGCGACGCTTTCGCCGGCGGAGATGATGGGTCACAGACTGAGCAATCCTCGAAGCAGAGGAAACTCCAAGATTATCTGGAGAGACGGAAGAAAGAGCCGGCCGACGTTCGGAACGACAGTCTAGAACTGCAGGATTCGAGCCTGGCTTGAACACAACCTTCATACAGGGACAGCATGTGGCTGGACTTGTAATCTTTGATGATGCATAGCGATTGGCGTTCGGGGGCTTCGATGGGCAGGATGATCCGTATACATCTCAGAGTCCAAGCCTACCAGCCTGTTTGCACACGGTGTACGGAGTACCTACCGTATAAGGACACAATCCAGGACTGTTCTCGTGAGGTAGAAGCCAACAAAGACCACTCCTCCCCTACAAACGCTCGAATGTCGAAGTGTCATTTCATAGGGTTTTTTGCTGACTACCTAGTACCACGAGGGGCTTGAGCTGCATCTCTGAAAGTCCGCTCAATCTGAAGCATCACGCAGCCTCCCATTGTCATACAGCAGAAGCCCTGAACCCTCCAGTCGTCGTACATGAATCCCAAGCAGCGCAGTATGACCGACTGCCTACCATTTGGCCTCCTTGCTTGCCAAAAAGGCCTTTATGATAGCCACTCGTTGCTCCAGAGCAGAAACCCACAGTTCCAGTGCCTGTCTAGTGGTCTCGGGATCTGTGCCCTCCCCACTCAAGCGAAGATAAAAGTCCTTTCTGTACGGCGTGGCGCTCATGGCAGCGCTGAAGATCGGCTTGACCAAGAAACCATGATACGGAGCCAACGTGCTCTTGTAGCTTGCTCGGAATCCATCAGCCAACTCTTTGGTAGGCTTGTCCGCCGTAGCCGATACAGATGCATTGTTCGCGAGATCCGCCCTCAATGCCTGCGCCGTGAAGTCCAACCCGCGCACCAACCACAGTAGCCCTTCGGTAGCTTTGTGGGACTTCGAGGCCAGCTCGGTCTTGGATAGGGATTGAAGTGTATGCGAGCCCTCAGGGACGGCTTGGTGTCTCTCTCGGACTTTGGTGATGTTTCCCACCATGTCGTTCTTGACGGGGGTAAAGGCCATGGAGCCCAAGAGATCGAAGAGGGTGGTCGTTGCCTCGGAGGCGTCGAGGAATGCCGCGGTCACGATGCCGTCGTCCGGACCAATAGGCACATCTTTGAAGTGCACTTTGTGAGTGTCGAACCAGGTCTGGCCGGGAGGGATGTGGGAACTTGACATGCTGGCGACTAAATGACGGGGTACAGGTGGGCTTGCTTGAGACTGTCGCAGGTGAAGCAGAACGAGTGAGGTACGGACACGGTGGCTGAGGAGGGAATTGCAAGAAGAAGCATAGGTACCATGCGGTGATGGGTGTTGGTGTCGGCGTCAAAGGGGCTCGTTGACAGCTGTGCAAACAGTGCAAACAGTCTAAACGCCGCAAACAAGGAAAGCAGCACACTGGCAGCTTGCTTGGCCCGAGTCCTTTGACGTCATTCATCATCGAGAGTCTCCAGCAAGCGGCACCGGCACCAGCCAACGCGTTGCAGGCTGCAGCTGGCTTGCTTGCAGGCCTCTCCGAGCCAGCTCTTCGAGATGTCTGTCAAGGTGTCTTTGGTCGTGGTGATGTTATGAAATAAATGTCCACCTCAGAGGTAATGCCCGTGGAGGGCTTGGCCGACACCCACGACTTCAATGCTCTGGACCCGGAATCGTACACTGCTCACCGACTGAAGCACGCCTTTCCCGACCACCTAGATCTCACTTCCCGCCGGTTCTTCATCGGACCGATACCAGAAGGATGGCTCAATAGCAACAGGAAGTCTTGGTATAAGAGGAGGTTGGAGTGGAGCACATACTCATCCAGAAAACAAAGCTTCAGAGCAGCTGCAGATGCTGGGCCCCATCACCGAACCCTGACGGGTCTGGAGGGCCCCTCGATCGCGGCCAGGATGGGGTTCAATTTCCCACAGCCAGAAGATGCCTTTGATGCGGCTTCGGATGAAGGCGAGTCACTAAATGCGGAGGATGAAGATGGAGCCCCCGAGACCGAGACGCGGAATGTCGAGCCGGTTTCGACCAATGAATTGCCCCGGGTTCTGGGAATTGAAGACGAGGATGAGGAAGGCAATAGGGTTCCCAAAACCTTGCCAGTCCCAGCAGACACAGGATTGGACGGAACAAAGGACAGGAGAGGCGCTCGTGGGAAAAAGACTGCAAGATCATCTCGCCCTGTTGTTTCCTTCAGCACGGCCCAAGAACAACTACCGGCAGAGTCGCCCAAGTCAGCGACTCCCTTACAGAAAGGCCAGCTACTGGAACAGCTCACCGATCAAGACAGTGATGGCCAAGGCCCACCCTCGAACGGGGACTCTTTCGGGACTGTCGGATTAACGCAAGATGACGTGGAGACAAGCTCAAGAACAGGTTTACTCGCTGCGGAGGGCGAATCTTCAGGTGGGAGGAGTCTTCGACGCCACGAACCAGCTCCGCTGCAGGATGGGAGTTCATACCAACTGGAAAGGAGGTCTGACACGGGCGTGAGATTCAAGCTTGCGGAAGGTGTCCAGCACGGGCGAAATCGCATTGAGAACAAAGCCGTGCAAGCGCGAAACCGTGTCAAGAGACTACGACGAGACCTTTTGCGTGAAGGAACAATTGTCAAGATGGAGCGGATGTTGGTCAGGTGCGAAATCACCATGAACCAAGTGCCGGAAGACTTCGATGAAAATGGCAGCATGAAAATCGAAACTAGAGTGCTGGAGAAGTGGCGTGAATTTATGATCGTCGCCAGAAAGAGCAAGAAACAGGATGATGAAGACTTTAGGCTCCAGATTTACAAAACAAGGGTCATCCCTGAGATCGATGATGGCTCGACCAAGAGGAAACCACAGCACGAGATAAAGCTCGATCCGAAATCCACCAGGGTCAACTTGTACTCGTCGTTGGACAAAACAGTGGTCATCTGGCACCCGTACAAGGCAGGAACTAGAATTTTTGTTATGAGGCCAATTTCGACCGCTCATTCTGTCGAATGGTACACCTTCCTCCGAGATGCCCTAGGATGGCAACGGCCAGACACTTTGCATGTCAATGTACCAGACCTAGACGTGGTACTGAAGCTGGAAAGGCCGTTTGAAGGACTGGAGACCGCCCGACTCAACGCCCAAGACGAAGAGACAGCAATTGCTCAGACCTTCGCTGCCGAGAAGGCTGTTGCCGGCAAGATCATATCTCAGTGTATGGATATGCTACAACATGACCGTGAATGGTCCAGCGTCATGAAGCTATGGGCCGAGACCGCAAAGATGGGTCTCGCCTGGAAGAGATATGACAGGCTCGAATGGGTGTACGGTATCCATGAACAGAAGATGTACGGTTCGATGGCTATGGAACACTCGCATGAGCTCGAACTCCGACCGAAGAAACATTTTCCAACCACGACTCGTGGTAGGAAGGGAAAGCTTCGCGAGGAACCGCCTCCTATTGAGGGCTTCTTGATCCGGTTGACTTCACAGAAAGGTACCCAACAGAGGCTCGGAAAGGCCTTCTTCAAGCGGTTATACTTCTCTACTCACGACCAATACTTGATGTTCAGCCGACCGGCTAAAGCAACTCCGCCCATGCCGCCGCGCCTGGCCACAATTGGTGGACACAGAGTTCCTTCGGCGCACGAGATTAGTAAGAAGACACCATTGATGTTTGATATCGAACCGTACAAGACGCGGGACGGTGAAATCACATGGCTGTCTTCTGGAAATCAATTGTCCGTCCAGAGCCACGATCGCGATGCTGTTGAAGAAGCTCGACGGAACGTGGCCAACATCCTCGATTCAGACGGTCTTATCAACCTGTGCTATATCCGCCAGGTCCGCGTTATTCAATGGGGAGCTTCTCCGGCGGACGACACCCTTGAAGCCGGTTCCAGCTCGGATGTTGATTTCCACCAAGAAGTGTCAGACACCCGCGGAGAAGATGGCACAACCAACCAGATTGATGACGACCGAATCTTCGAGCTGCTTTTGGACAATGGATTGGTGATCCGCTTACAGGCATATTCCAAAGAAACGCGTGATGTATGGATTCGTCGTTTGAGGAGACTGATCAAGTACTGGAAGCTTCGCATGGCTGCGGAGATGGATACGTACAAGGCAGTCCGACGGACCAACCTGGCGGAACTCAATGTGGACGAAGAGCTGGAAGCTGTCATCGGCCAATTCGCAAAGAAATGGGAGGTTAGCCGGAGCGAGGCAAGCCCGGAGCTCTACAATCTGTGCGGGATTAACAGCTGTCGAAGCATCACCTTGTCTGGCTCCCTCTATCTGAAGACGCGGCGGCGGGCGGCTTTCCACCGCAGCCAGGTGATTCTGTGCGGCGGGAGGTTGCTGATATATCAAGCGACACTGCGCAAGTCCACGGGGGAGCAGGTGCGTCATAGCCACCAGGAGAAGCAACAAGTGATCGATCTCAAAGACTGCTACGTCTATAGCGGCTTGATTGTCGAGGACGACCTGCTGTATCACAACACTACCTTCGACGCGAACCATCCTGGCATGGCTAGTTTGCCACGCGTCTATCTCGACGACGGTTGGACCAGCGCCGATATCGACGTCATGACTTGTTTTGTGATCTGGATGAACCGGAAAAAGGGTTGGTTCCGGACGGCAGCCGCGGCTGAAGAACAACAAGCACAACCAAGCGATGCTGTCGATGCCGGTGAAGGGGGGAAGACGGGAGGCGGCAGCAAGAGAGCCAAATTGCGGCGCGTCGGGCAGCTGGGCGTCCCCGGGCGTGGAATGGTATTCAAGTGTCGAAGTCGGGCCGAGAGGGACCATTGGGTTCTCAGTGTTGCGAGTGAGATTGAGCGCGTGGTGGAGCACGAGGCCGACATGATGGGTGATGAGGGGGAGTTCAGATTCGACAAATGATGATTCGCCGTCTCTATGCTATCTCTCGCAGCGGGAAACGATAGAAGGACGGCGGTGCAGTGGCTTGCGTGGTGTTCCCTGAAAGTGTTCATTGGTGTCTAAAGCTCTCCATTCAGCTAGGGAGGGTGCTGGTGTATTCAGCAATTCCAAGCTTTGTCCTGCTCTGTAGCGCCGTGTGCCATTTGGAGCAATGCTTGATGTTTCGCCTCACGTGCAATCTCATAAAGGTGGCGAACCCAAACACATCTTCCCTAGTTGATGGGAAAGGACCGCGTTGAAAATCCCCATTATAATCGTGACACAGATAACCCCTTACTGTAGGATGCATGGAACAAGGGAACTTGTCAGCTCCTGACAGGACCTGAATTGGGATCAGGGTCGAGATGGGGGATTGGGGTTGGCAGGTAACAGTCTATCCAGGCAGACATTGACGGCAATCGTCGACCATCTTGTCAACACGTGCATCAGCATTATCACCTTGTGCTCTCAGCCAGCCGAGGGCCTTTTCCACCACCAGCTCCCACACATCTTCTTCGTTGGCGGCCTTGGCTCTGAACCATGCGACTGCGAGGGCCGTGGCTTTGAGCGGAAGTTCGAGCCGTGCATCCTCGTCTCCGGCTGGGCGTTCCGGTACATTTGCATTGCCTGTCGTCCCGTTCCAGTCCAAATTCAAGCTGGTGACCTGCTCATCGGTGACGCCGAGGAGCCGAAGAAGGGTGCCCGAGATGTGCCACGAGCCGTCGAATTCCTGGAGGTCGATTATTTTGCGCATCTTGACTGTGTCGGGTAGGGAAGACAGGTCAAGATCCGGCTTCGGCTGAGAGTTGCCGGAATTGGTGGCCGCGAAAGGAGGTGGGGGCGGTGGTTTGGCTGCCATCGCAAGAGGTGCCTGTCGCACTAGACCTAGACGTGCCCGTGGCAACGGAGCTGGGTGGGAAACAAATGGCGTCGGCGCTGGCGGGCCGCCGTGAGCTATGCTCCCACCCAGGTGGCCACCGGGACCGCGCCCTGGAAGACGATTGTCAGCATCATTCGCCGAAAAAGACGATATGGATTGGGAAACATATGAAGGTCTGAATAAATTGCCGGTCTTGCCACGGCTCGAAGGGGCAGTAATAGTGTGCAAAGGGTTCTCGAAGACGCTGGAGCAGCTTGCCTCGCCCCGGGAATGAGGTGGCACATGACGATGACGGTGAGCAACTCGCACACTACCACCAGCAGCCGAGGGTGATCTCTGCAGTGATTTACGGTATTTTGCAACCGGGAAAGATGAAGATGGTGTGGGCAGAGCAAAAGAAGCCAGATCTGAATCAGTGGTGGACTTACTCGGTCTCACAGGGAGCACAAAGTCCAAGTCACGCTCCGAGCCATCCTTGTCCACGTCGATAGCAACGAAGGAACACCATTTCCCACCAACTTGGAACAGAGTGCCGAGTCGGACGGCTTCGCGTTCGACAAGGAGGTCCCATCTTCCTTCGTGGATGGATTTCAACAGTTGTCCTTCGCTGTTGCGGGCCTCGGTGAGCCAGCCTCGGCCTTCCTCGAGCTCCTGCATTGCTTTCTTCGCAGCGAGTTGGTGGATAGTCTCACCGGCACCGATATCCTGGACCGGGATCTCAAGTTCCAGGAGACCGTGGTCGCTAGTTCCACGAAGGAGGACGGATTTGGGAGTCTTCCGGGGTGCTTCGGAGTCCAGAAGCAGGTAGACTGTGGTGCGATTGAAGGGGAATAGGACTGGAATTCGGTATGGCGTTTGGAGGATTTGGGGCGCTGATATGGCAGGCAGACTGTCGTAGCGCCCCGCCGGTGGATTGGGCGGTTCTTCCACGGCGGTCGGATCAAAGAGCGAGATGGTCTTCTGTTTGGTGGGCGTGTGGACCGGCACACTCCCCACCACTTGTGCTGTGTCTTTGACGGCATCTACCATTTCAAAGTCGTCCTCTGCAACGGTTGGTTCCTCGGGTTCGTATGTGACGTGTAAAGTGTAGTCCGAAACGTGGGGAGTCAATGCTCCTTTCAACATGCGCACTACTCGCTTGTCCATCCGTTCACCGTCGCTCACAAACTGAGCAAAGCCGTTGCCTGCACGCGCGATGCCCTCGACCAACGCAGAGGAAGCTCCGCTACCAATACCGAGGGTGAAAAAGCGCGCATTCTCGGTTCCGTTGACATAGGTGAACACATCGTCTTGATTCCAGATTTCACCGTCGGTAAGAACCATGACCTCCAAAGGGAGATCCTTGAAACGGCGCTGTATGGTCTCTTGAATGGGGTCTAGGAGGCAGGTGCCTCCGTAGTCTGCTTCAAAGGTTTCAATATGGTCCAATGCCTCCACCAGACTCGACTGGTCGTAAGTCCTGCTTTTCTTGAACATGAAGGAGTAGCGGTCGCCAAAGGAGCAGACGTTGAACTTCACCCCGAGTGGCAGAGACTTCAGAAAGACCTTCATCGCGGCCACGACCAGTGCAATGTTACCATACATGCTCCCACTTCGGTCAACAACAAACACGATTTCGGGGTAGATGTTGGGAATGCTAAACCTGGGCACTAGTGTGGTCATGAGAGCGCGCTGATTCGGGATGGAAGGGTGACTTTCCAGAAGTGCACGGGGGATCTCACTCTCTGTGCGAAGGATGACAAGGACGAAATCAGTGTCAAACCCAGCGGTACCGAGGGTCAGTGTCGCAGAGGCTTGATTGGGTCTGACTGTATGATTGTCCATCCTCGAGGTTCGCCCGATCGTCACTGCGATTGGATGACTGGGAGACTGCAGACCACGGATGACTGAGCCCTCCTCGAGTATGACGTCTACTGAGATGGAGATGCCGCCCTTATCAACTGTATTGAGACTCGGAATGACGCCCGCTCCATCCACAGAGAAATCGCCGTAGCGAGGGGCAATTGCGGTGGGGATGGTGAAGCGCGTGCCATCGGTTTCTGCATCATGTTTCAGTTCACCGAGATAGTCGACCTCGATATGAATCGTCTCGTTAGTAGGGATATTCCCGATCGATGTAGTGAAAACATCTGAAGCCAACGGCAGCTGTTCGAGTAAGGCACCTGTTTCTCCACGGTCAACAGCTTCTTGATACTCAAGTCTTGCTTGTTGCTTCTCTTTGACGATGCCGACAACCTTCTTGGGCCCGACAGTGTAGCTGAAGCCAACGATGCTGACACCATCGTACAGAGGGAAGGAGTAGTGGACTTCTTCGAGGGCCTGGGCTTGGGGGTTTACAAATGTCTGCCTCAGAATCGTACGGGATGCGGTTTCGAGGATCTTTGTAGAAGCCGACAATTCGACTTGAGGAAGATATCTCTGTTCAGCGGAATACTCTGTGCTTGTGGGCTTGACCGGAATCCAGCATCCGCAGAGGCGGCCGTTGTAGAAGTTTGCCGTGGAAGCGGACATCTTGTTGCGTCTCTACGGAGTAGTGGGATGGAATTGTTGGTCGAACAGACAAGTAGGATTGACGGCCGAGGGGAGAGACGATTGGAACCAGGGAGTTGACGCGAGGATGAGACCGTATTTATACCATGGGCAGCCTCAAGGCAGCAGCAAGTAACTAGGCTGTCAGGCCGAAATTATACACCAGCACCTGCCAATGGGTGATTGTCTGCATACTAGGTGGGTGGCCGGCGTCCGCGTGGTGTTGACCGGAAGTCTTGGTGTACGTACTCCATACTTCGTACCGCGAAGGAGTGGAGCAGGAGTGAAGGCATCGAGGAGGCGAGGCGGCGAGGAGGCGCGGAGGCGAGGAGTCAAGCTCAACACACCAAGCGGGATGGATCATGAATGGCGGCTGCCTGCAGTGGAGAGAAGACAGAAGGCGTCGAGATAGGGACCTAATAGGTACTTTAGTGTTCAATGTTGGCTTCGGAGGCGCAGTTAATCCGGCCCGGCAGAGTGGCGCCAAGATGCCAAGGCCGACCCGGGCACAGCCAAGCCTGATTGGCCCGGCACTGGCACCAACGGCACCAGCAACTCAACCTCCCACCACTACCTATACCTACCACTGGCGGCGCGAGCCAGACTCAGTCACTGCAATTGCAGCTCGAGGTAGATGGTGTCAATGCTGTTCACACAATCTGTTAGTCAATTACATGTGGTGTATCGCCATATTATGGCCAGGGAGGCCCGGTACCTCCGCCCCTGTTTCCATCCTACCCCCTTCAACCTTCCCACCTCTTCAAACCCCCATTTCAGATACCAGTCTCGCAAGGCTAAACCCTGGTTCGGTGCAGTCTCGTCCACTGCCATGATCGCGAGGAGTTTCTTGACCTCGAACTCGACTGGATGGTCTTCATGGCCGACCTCCTTGGTGACATGCTTCGTGGTGCGGAGTGTCTGGAGGAGTTGTTGCAGCAACTGGCTGCCGACACCTTTATTTCTGTGTTGTGGGTGACAAAATAGACTCAATTCAACAGTGTGGCCGTAGCCCAGCATGTAGCCACGAAACGCACTGACATAGCTGTAGCCGAGGACTTGACCACCGTCATCGACGGCCACCAGATACGGGAGGTTTCGGGAAGTAATGTCTTGAAACCGGCCTTGGATGTAATCAGGAGGCGGCCGCTGCACCAGGAACGATACAACCGTGTTTAGGACATAGTGCTCAAAGATCTCCCGGACTTGGGGCAGGTCTGCGTGGGTGGCCGGTCGAACAATGATAGTCATGCTGGGCGACGGCGTGAATATCAATATCAATGTCGGTGCAGAAACAATCTAAGTCCACCCTCCCCTGAGAAACCCTTCGATGGTACCCCTCCAACTCAAAATTCACCAGATATCGACATATTCAAGACGAATCACGTTTAGCCCTAAATCACTGCCTATCATTCCGGATCTTGAATCTGGTGCGGTCACGTGCAGTCACGTGATAACAGTCCTCCGACGGGACGTGCCGGTACTAATTATCAGACTAGTTCTAATTAGGAAAGGCTTCTATATCTCCTGTGGAGCGTATTGTCGCAGTGACGCAGCCGCAGTCGCAGTCGCAGTCGAGGACTTGAAGACCGATGGCTTCACATCATCTCCGAGTCTTGAGCCTGTGTGTGACTTGACTTCTTCTTCACTTTAGCTGCCTCACTCCTGTTCACGGACCTGACACTGCTTGTTGAATCTGCCTCTTGTCCTGGACGACACTTCACTTGCTGCTCTCGCTGTGCAGCTCCTTCATCCTGGCCAACTCCCTCCTCACATCCGTCACCTCATCTCTGCCTTTTCCCCACAGCAATAGCAACCTTACAACCTTACATGCTCTCACGCCTTCAACCTCGCGCAATGGCTTCCGGACTCATTGCTCTGAAGGATATCCCTTCTATCTCCTCTCTCTACCGATCTGGTGAATTGCGCTCATCTCCCCGTGAAGATCTTCCTACTCCGATCCAAGGTTTCAACGACAAGGTCTGCACCATCCAAGGCGACATTACAAAACTCCAGGTCGATGCCATTGTCAATGCAGCCAACAGAGGTCTCCGCGGAGGTGGCGGGGTCGATGGGGCCATTCAGCGAGCAGCCGGTCCTCAACTTCTGAAGGAATGTGCCACATTAGGTGGCTGTGAAACCGGCTCTGCAAAGATCACGGGCGCCTACAATCTACCATGCAACAAAGTCATCCATGCAGTCGGTCCTATCTTCGACAGTCTCGAAAAGTCCGAACCCTTGCTCCGCAGCTGCTACCGAAAATCACTCAGCCTTGCAGCTGAGAATGATTGCAAGACTGTGGCTTTCCCCGCCATCTCAACCGGCGTCTATGGCTATCCCAGCAAAGATGCAGCCCTTGCCGCCATTCGAGAAGTCTATTCTTTTCTCAAGAAGCCCGAAGGGCAAAAGCTTGAAAAGATCATCTTCTGCAATTTCTTGGACAAGGACGTGGAAGCATACGCTCAGATCTTGCCGTATGTACAACGAGGACTGCTATCTGATAAGTCGACTTGAATCTCCTAACAGCTGATTTCCACAGAACCGTGTTCCCGCCCACAAAGGATGACCTGTCCCAAACAGGTGAGTACGATCTGAAAGGAGATGTTACCCCAAAGGATCAATTGCCAATGCCAGCCAACACACAGACCCGTCCGAGGGCAATCTATGAACCAACCGACAAATTGCAGGACTTGACCGTCCGAGGTCAGGCCGTCCACCCCAGTAACCAAGCTCTCAATGCGAATAACTCCAATGGCCCAGAAGACAAATGTTCGGCGAGGAGCAGCAAAACTATCCAGCACGGTGGTGGAGGCGATGGACAAGGCGAAGTATCGATCGAGAATGGCAGAGCTCCAAATGAAAACAACACGTTGACTGTCTCTGATGCACCCCAAGACCTTGATGACCCTGACGACCCTGACGACGTTCCCTGCACACACGTTCACTTCTACAAGTTCAACGGCATGCTCTCTTCTTACGGACTGTGGCCACACTCTGCCATGGTGTGTTTTTGTGGATCAAAGGTCTTTCAGGCCCGTATCACCAACATGCCGGTTATTGGTCGTGGTGATTATGCCGGGTTTAGGACTTAACCGAAAAAAATGGAGGCCAGCGACCCATGCAGAGGTTTGCCTTTTGATTCCACCATCATGATTTTAGGGTCAAGAAGCATCATGATCGTCGTGCGGCGGTGGCTTTTACCTGCAGCTGCTCCATCCTGATCATGAAGTTGCAGACCTGGGGACTTATCCACAGTTGATTCGAAAGTGCTTGGAATATGGGCGGGTGCCAAAGCTCGATCTACCCTTGAGAGCTCATGAGATAGTACTGACCCATAAGATTTATCATCGGTCACGGTTAGTTCTCGTGTGTTGTGTTTTGTTCTGTGGGACACCCCTGCGTTGCTGTGTTGCTGTGTCTCGACTGCTTCAGACTCTTGGTCCCTCTTGGTCCCTCTTGGTTGTGCTTCCCTGTGTCAGACGTCTCTTCGCTTGCCCTTGAGTGCCCGAAAGCGTCGTTTAGCAACTGTTATGCTCCTATCTCCGAAAGAGGCTTCCACTTGCAGTCCTGTAAGTCCCGACACAGGGCTGCAAAACACTGACATTTAACTCCGACTATCTCCGGCCGCGTATTCGGGCCCCAAGTTTAGATAGAAGTCCAGCAGGATACGAGCCGACCACTCTCAGTGCCCTGCCACCCTTGACGAGCGACCAGGACCATCGGTACAGCGTACCGCGTGTGCTGTTACACAGGGCATCACAGGGATGGGGTGGAGCTGTCAACATATAAGGTCCGAGGGATTCGCGTGAGTATCTCTCCCTTCTTCCCGGGACTCTTGTCTGGTGTTTGCTTTGGTGTAGCCGGTGACTACCAGGTAGCTCGGCGCCAGGCTCGAGAAAGGCAATGGCATCGCTCCCAGATAGCCACCGGGCCCTCACACTCTCGTCAGTCGAGACAGGGCCGGAAGTGAAAAGGCTTGGTCCTCCGTCTCTTCTGCCCGGCAGCACCGTCGTTCAGATCTTGTCCAGCCCGGTCCTCTCGTACGCGGCGAAAGTCTACACGGGTGCGTTGCAGTATCCGCTATGTCTGCCCATGACCATCGGCGGAAGCGCCATCGCACGTGTCGTCGCCGTCGGCAGTGACGCCACACGCCTGTCGCCCGGCCAGCTCGTGCTGGTCGACTCGATGATCCGCGGCCGCGACGACCCTACCCAGGCCATCCTTCTCGGCGTCCACGGCGGTCTGTCCGAGGGCGCGGCCCGTCTGATGCAAGGGGACTGGCGGGACGGCAGCTGTGCCGAGCTGGCGCGCTTGCCGCTGGAGAACGTGCATGTGCTGGACGAAGAGACCCTCACCAAGACACAAGGCCACTCGGTCCACCATCTCGCGTATCTACTGCGCCTGCTGGTCCCGATGGGTGGGCTGGTCGAGTTGGACGTCCAGACTGGCGATCGCGTCGTCATTGCCCCGGCGACAGGGCAGTTTGGCGGCGCCGCCGTCGAGGCCGCCCTCGCTCTGGGCGCCGACGTGGTCATCTGCGGCCGCAGACGCCATGCTCTCGACCACATGAAGCACTCCCTGGCCCCGGTCTACCCGCAGGCCAGGATCGACGTCGTGGTCCTTTCCGGCACAGTCGACACCGACGTCGCCACCCTGCACGCGCTGGGGCCCATGGACAAATTCCTCGACTTCTCCCCGGCGGCGGCGGCCGGTTCGACCCACATCACCAGCATCCTCATGGCTCTGCGGAAGGGCGGGCGCGCATGTCTCATGGGCGGTATCACCGGTTCCGTGGCCATCCCCTACCAGGTCGTCATGTTCAACGACCTCCACATCGGTGGCAAGTTTATGTACGAGCGTGATGCGGTGCACAAGGTCATTTCGCTGGTCCAGGGTGGACGCCTGCGCATTGACTTGCCGCATCCTAAAGTGTTTGCGCTGCACGAGTGGGAGAGCGCGTTCAAGAGTGCCGAGGAATCCCCTGGCTGGAGACAGATGGTCGTGTTTGACCCGAGCAGGGAGTAAGGAGTACTACACAATCTGTCGTAAGGCAAGATGGATGGATTCCGTAGGCACACTCTACACTGGAGACGGAGACAGAGACAGATTGGCCAGATGCTGCTGATACTTCAATGATTATGATGCATCTCGCTCTGGACGTTCACAATGAAAAACATGGAACCGACTCCTGCGCAAAGGTTTTTCTCTCTCCCAGTCAAGCTCCCCCTTGTATCTGTAGGAAGGCGTGGCCGGGCAATGTTCAGTACGTACATATAGTACAGTTCATCATGACATAAATGTTTCGTGGGGGTTGGCCCTGAGCCTAAGTCTAAGTCTGCTTTTTCGACGTCGACCCCAAGCCTCTGTCCTTCCCGATGCGGCGGATCTCGTCGCACACGCTGGCCGTGACCTCATCGGTGCGTGCGGTGCCAGCCAGATCTCTCGTCTTGACGCCGCGGTCGAGAACGGACTCGACCGCGAGCATCAGCAGATCGGCGGCCTCCTCCTGGCCCAGCCACTTGACCATCTCGGCGGCGGTCCAGAACGTGCCGACGGGATTCGCCACGCCCTTGCCGGCAATGTCCCAGGCGGAACCGTGGATGGGCTCGAACATGCTGGGCCGCTGGCGCGTGGGGTCCAGATTACTGGTGGGGGCGATGCCGATGCTGCCGGCGAGCGCGGCGGCCAGGTCGGAGAGGATGTCGGCGTGCAGGTTCGTGGCGACGATGGTGTCGATGGATTCCGGGCTCAGCGTCATGCGGCACGTCATGGCGTCGACGAGCATCTTGTCGGTCTCGACGTCCGGGTAGTCGGCGGCGACGATCTTGTGCACTTCGTCCCACAGAACCATGCCGTTGCGCTGGGCGTTGGACTTGCTGACCATGGTCAACTTCTTGCGCGGCCGCGAGCGCGCCACCTCAAAGGCGAAGCGCATGATGCGCTCGACCGCGTGCCGCGTGAATATGCTGACTTCGGTCGCCGTCTCCCACGGCTGCCCGACATGCGAGCGGCCGCCCTGGCCGGCGTATTCGCCCTCGCTGTTCTCGCGCACAATGACCCAGTCGAGTTTCTGCCGGTTCGCCTCGGTGTGCTGGCACGCGGCCAACGGCGACGTCACGCCCTTCAGCACCCGCGTCGGCCGCACATTGGCGTACTGTTGGAAGGGCTGGCAGATGGCCAGGCGCAGGCCCCAAAGCGAGATGTGGTCCGGCACGCGCTGGTCGCCGACTGCGCCGAACAGGATCGCGTCGAACCGTTGCAGCTCCTCGAGCCCGCCGTCCGGGATGTACCGTCCGGTCTGGAGGTAGCGTTCGCTCGACCAGTCGAAGTGCGTGAAGTCGAACGTGAACGTCCCGTATGTCTCGGCCAGCGTCTCGAGAACTCGGATTCCAGCGGAGATGACTTCGGGCCCGATCCCGTCGGCGGGGATCGACGCGATCTTGTATGATGTCGTAGAGGGCGGAGGGGCCAGAGCCTGAGCCTGAGCCTGCTGAGCGGTTGAGATGGAGCCCATTGTGAGATGGTATTTACTATGTGCACAGCGGGTGTGATTGATAGGGCGTGCAGGAGAGGAATGGAGATGGACTTATATATATACACGTCCATAAACCTTGTCGTCGATATAGTACTCTGTAGTTGCCGTTGCCGTTGACGGGCTTCGGGGAAACAATTGGCCGCAGCCCAGATCCGCCTGAATCGCCTGATTTTTTGCCCGATGGGTGCCACCGACTGTTCGGTTTCGGATCGGGCTCGCATTTAGCCTAGCCTTGCCCCCTCCAGCTATAGCGGGCGGATATTGCTCTGCCGCAGTACGGAGTACAGAGACGAGGTAACATAGGTACCTATGGTAAACAGTAGCTGTACGGAGTACTTACCTTACGTTTGATGAGTCTGAACGGGACTTCCCTCTTCCCTTGAAATGATGGTGCACGTGCACGCATAGGCTTGGGCCGGATTGGGGCCAGGCTATTGCCGCTTTGTGGCCTTGGCCTACTAGTATCCTGGGCTGCAGGCTTCATCTAAAGCAGCGACAAGGACCCGCGCAGCCACTGCATGAGAGATGCTCTGTATTCCGTACTCCGTACTGTGTCTATCCGTACTCGTCCAACACCTGCCAACGATCCTCCCAGATTGTCTTAGTTCAGCGATCACAGGGCAAGCTTTCCCTGCCATTACGTTGCTGTTGCTGTTGCCGTTGCCATCGCCATCATTGATCCCCTCTCGCAGTCCGCCTGTCTGTCCTTCAGCGTCCAACGTCCGGCATCCCCATCCATCCAGCAGGCTAGAAAGACGAATCATTCACTTGCTATAACCACCGAGCGATGCGACAATCTACTTCTTGTCCTGCCCCTGCCTAATCGAACACAAGAAGAGTCCGCAGTCCCGCTGGGGCAGCGTCAGGAACTCATGGCAAATCTTGCTTGAGGCTGCTCCTGTCCTCATGAGGACGGGAGAGTGCATGGGCGGTGACGAACGTGAACATGAACATGCTGTAGGCGATTTCAACGCTGCCACCCGATGCCTCTCCGACACATGTCCATCCAAATCCAATGTCCAAGTCGTCCAACGCGAGTCTTGTCTTGTCCTGTCCTGTCCTGCGTGTTCCCGCCTTGCCTGCGACAGTCAGTCCGGTCTGACAGTTTCTTGATGTTTCGAGGAAACTCGTGTTTGATTTTGGCTCGACAATCCGATCCAATGCGCACAACACGTATCAGATCCGAGGTCTGGGCAGCACGGACTCTTATCCTGATATGATGATGTCTTTGTTCAATGTCTCTGCGAGAGTGCCCTTCCCATGGCTCGTGCATTCGCGGGGTTTATGGGATATTATCGAGCACAAACCACTTGCGGCTCAGGAACTATTCCCATAGGCTGAGAAGGCAGACTCCTTTGTCCATTAGGTAGGGTTACGGAGCGATAAAGCTAGCACCCTCATGGTCCAATCCTGTCATACGACGATCGATTCAGATGCCACATCAGGTCGGCCTGCAGCATCACCAGTTCTTGAGAGATTTCTCGTGTCTGTACACCGGGAAGCAACTGTCATTTTGGTCGACGTGTCAAGTTGGCTGCTACGGTGACATGCGCAAAGCAAGCTGAGATCCAGTCGCTACTACTACTAGTAGGAGGGCGCAATGATGCGATGGATCCGATCTTGGCAGCAATATCTTCGAGGCCACTCGACTCAACTCCATGGCACCTACATGGTGTACCAATGCATAACCATGGCTACCTCTAACATGCCCTACAGAGTACAACCTTGCCCAGTGCGACATGTGAAAAAGACGCAAGCGCTGCGATAAATCTCTTCTTTCTGTCAACCCAAGACGTCAACATGCCACCGTGCGTCAAGCCATTCTGGTGGTGCACGGGGCGCCGGCACTTTGCGGCTGTCTCACTTCAGCCACACTGTCGTCGGCAAAAGCTTGTCAATGCATGCTATACTTGAACGGTCAGGTCGGGGAAAACCGAGCTCGGCTTCTTAGGCGCTATTGCGTGCAGCCGCTGCCATGTCGGCAAAGGACATGGTGAACTGTTCGTTCTTGCAAGGACCAGGGTCCTATCGGATTCCACTAGCCTCTCAATATCCAATGGAGCTTGGTCATGTCCTCGACGCTTCTGCCACTACCACGACATAAACACCTCCCTTTCAGCTTGCTTGCTCGATTGCAGGTTCCCCAAGAAGTGATGCTTTCGCAGCGCGCACCCGCTCGAGTGGGGATCGTTGTACTCCTTTGCAATGACGGACTGGGAAAAAAAGAGCAGACGTCGCGTCCCCTCAGCTGCAGCTGGTCGGGGAGTCCGTTGGTAAGAAATGGCTGACTTGATCATGGAAAAAGCCCTCGAGCGAACCCCCATTTGTGAGTATAGCGAGTATAAATGCTTGTCTGTCGTTCTCTATCCAGTCCGTCTCTGTTCACCACCTTTACCTGGCACCACCTTGTCCTCTCTACCTGACCTCCCTGTCCGTTGACACCCACACACATCATGGCGATTATTCCTCGCTGGCGCTTCGGCCAAACCGGGGCAATGATGGGATTTCTGCCAGTGGCACATAGGAACAACCTCACCGTGTTCTTAGCCGAACTTGCCGGCACATTCATGTTCCTATTCTTCGCCTTCGCCATTGCCCAGGTCGCACATACTCCGCCCCCAGACGATCCTACCGCACCTCCCGACATCCTGGTTATCTTCTTCATCGCCCTTGGATTTGGGTGTTCGGTCGCCATCAACGTCTGGCTGTTCTATCGGGTCAGCGGAGGCATGTTTAACCCCGCGGTAGGCCAATTTCCTTGACAGGCGCCGCACCCAGACACTGATGTATCCCCGTCCAGGTCACTCTTACCCTCTGCTTAGTCGGCGCCGTCCCAGCCACACGTGGTTGTATCGTCGTGGTCGCTCAGATCATAGGTGGCATTGCCGCCGCCGGTGCCGTCTCTGCCACCTTACCGGGCCCTATGGCGGTCAACGTCCGACTCGGCGGCGACTGTTCCATCACTCGGGGACTCTTCATCGAGATGTTCACGACCCTGCAACTCGTTTTCTCCGTTGTCATGCTGGCCGCCATCAAATCCAAGGCAACCTTCCTTGCACCCCTTGGGATTGGGATTGCTCTCTTCATTGGACATCTGCTCAGTAAGACCCCAATAGGTGTTTTGGCTATCGGAAGTGACTGACCAGGCTCCCTCACAGGTATCTATTACACCGGTGCGGGTATCAACCCTGCTCGCGCATTCGGACCCGACGTCGTCACCCACAGTTTCCCCGGATACCATTGGATTTATTGGGTTGGACCTTTGCTGGGGTCTCTGGTGGCTGCAGCATTCTTCTACATCCTGGAGGCTCTGGAGTGGCGCACGGCAAACCCGGGTCAGGACTACGATGATCTTGAGTATCAGATGATCGAGCCCAGCAAGAAGACGGACAGACCAAACGTCGCCCACGCGCCGCTGAACGCTACTTACAACGGCGAAAGGTCCCCTTCGGAGAAAGAAAACACGGAGCGCTTGTCCAATCCCGCCACTCCAAACGCTTAGCTTGGTCTTCAGCTTCACTTCCGGCACCTGCTGGGGATTGTTCGATCGATGAAGGCTGTGTGCCGGCACAGCGTGGAGTATGTGAGCAATTCGCAATGGAGGGACGAAACGAATTACCCCTGGGTCATCCAGTCGCTCTGATAATCAAGAACAATCACACTTGAGGAATTGCGGTTGGGGTCTGTTTGCCTCGTGCTAGGCAGCGAACCTTTTTGACGGTGTAATCCATCCTAGTAGTAGCTGATGTAGTTTGGTAGCTTCAACCATGGCATAACTTCTACTTGTATCACAGCTTCCATTCTACCTTGTATCATTGCTTACCTTGTATCATTGCTTACCTTGTATCATTGCTTACCTTGTATCATTGCTTACCTGGTATCATTGCTTACCTTGTATCATTGCTTACCTTGTATCTGTCAAACTTTGGCATCCCCAGCCTTGTGCTTTAACCAGAAGGCTGGTTTAGGTGCTATCTATACTATATAGCATGCGCTCCCCCTGCGACCCGTTGATGGAGAACATGGAACATTTCAACCTTTATTTGACAGTATCATGGCTTACCTTATACCGTGTATCATAGCTTCCCTTCTATAATAGTTTCCCTTCCAAAGTTGCGGGCAATCATCGATTCTAGATCGTTTGGGTAGAAAGCCTTGAAGCCTGAAGCCTAAAGCCTAGGCCGTATGTCATGTCATGTCGCTCCATTGATGGATTTATCGAGTGATCTACAATAAGTGGTGCAATATGAACTCAACTAGGCTGACACTGATTGATTGTATATGAACCCAACCAGACTGACACACTGATTGATCTTATTGTCCGTCAAGCCTCATATAACTACTATATCTATCTAATGTGCTGTTTAATTATTATGATGAGGAGATTATAACTATCATATCATCATGATGAGATGCGCATGGGACAGATTACTGCACATCACATTGCTACAGAAGGTACAATGCTAGGTATCTACCTAGGTACTCCGTACTCCGTACTATGCGGCCAAATAGTATGGGCGGGCATCTCCTCGTAATCTGCCATCTTGCTCCCTTAGCCCAGCCGGCGGCCGCGGAGAAAGGCGGCCGGCAGGACCTGTAGTGTAGATGTACATGGGTACATACATTGCCGAAACGGACTCGGAAACAGAAAAAGACACAGAATGGCTGAAATACAAATCCATACATAGGCGCCCTGCCCTGCCGACCGTGAAGCCATCCATTCTCAATATCGCCCCGCCACTCAGCTAACTGCGCAAACTCGCGTCACATCAAGGACCAGAGAAAGAGAGGTTGTCGATCTGCGATCGGGGTTCGGTTGGGACGTCTCTGCATCTGCAACTTGAGTCGAGGAGTCAGAATCAGAATTCATTCTCACGCACACGACACAGCACAGCCCAGGACGAGTGTCGACAGGAGAACGAGAATGTCGGAGAAAGTACTCGGGAAAGGGAAAGGGGAAGAGAATGAGAAACCGAATGAGAACGAGAATGAGAATGAGAAACAGAAAAACAAAGCCCGTGTGCTGCTCGTCGGCAGCGGAGGCATCGGGACCATGACGGCGCTCAACCTGGAACGGGGCGGGCTGGCGTCGGTGGCGGCGGTGCTGAGGTCCAACTACGCGGTGGTCAAGGAGAGAGGATTCACCATCGACTCGCGCGACCACGGCCAGGTTCAGGAGTGGAGGCCGACCGAGGTGCTGGACAAGATGCCCGACCTGGCATCAGACCGCGACCGGGACCGCGACCCGGCGCCGTTCGACTACATCGTCGTCACGACGAAAAACATCCCCGACGTGCCGCCCATGGTGGTGGAGCTGATCAAGCCGGCCGTGACGCCGGGCCACTCTGTCATCGTGTTGATCCAGAACGGGCTCAACATCGAGAAGCCGGTGCTGCGGGCCTTCCCCACCAATGTCTGTCTGTCGGGCGTGTCGCTCATGGGCGCCGACGAACTCGCCCCGGGCCACATCCTGCAGAATGACGCCGACCGTTTGATCGTCGGCCCGTTCCTCTCCGGCCACATCGAGCAGGAAAAGCAAGTCGCCGCGGCGCAGGATTTCGTGCGCATCTACTCGGCTTCGGGAAAGGTCCAGTGCACCTACGACCAGGATGTCTTGTTCGTCCGCTGGAGGAAGCTGATGTACAATGCCGTCTGGAACCCCATCTGCGCCTTGACCGAGCAGGACACGGGCCGCTTTCGACTGTGGTACGATGCCAATGCCGATGGGAACGATGACGGTGACGACCCGCATAGCCCTCTCAACCTGCTCGTCAGGCCCGCCATGAACGAAATCCGCGCCGCGGCCAAGGCGGCTGCGAATGTCGACTTGCCGGAATCCTTGGTCGAGGCCATGGTCGACTGTGACCCGCTCGAAATCTTCTGTGCTCCCAGCATGTTGCAGGACAGACGGAAGAGCCGGTTCATCGAGCACGAGAATATCTTGGGCGAGGCCTTGAGAGAAGGTGAAAAGGCAGGCGTGTCGATGCCGACCGTGCGCGTGTTGTACGGCCTGTGCAAGGCGGTGCAATGGCGGACCAAGGAGCTGCATGGTTTGGTCGATCCGGAAGCGTTGCTGGAAGCCAGACAGAAGAAGGATAAGAAAGAATAGATCTCATTTCTACTCATCCGAAGTATATACGTTCACAGATGACACATGTAGCATCCTCTCTGCTTTGGCGGTCAAGCGACAGTGCTCTCAACTTGATCGACTGTTCGCAAACAACTCGTATAGCTTGCACTTTAACTTGCACTCCAACATCGTGAGTTACAGTACCGGATTCTATACCGGAGTCACTGCATTGTATCTGATCGGGGCAGGAAACTTGCTGTGCGATTTCATCTGAGCACACAAGAAATGCTTCAGTAAATCATTCCAAGTCAGACGATATAGCTGGCTGGGATGCAGGCATGGATCATCTGCAGAAGTATAAGGCCTCGGATTGCCAATATGACTGGGACACAGGGCATATTTTCGATGTCGCTTCAATGTTGAAGCTGGCCGAGAGCCTTATGGTGGAGAGCTGTCGTTGGCCGACCGTTATAAAGATGAAACAAGCACTGATGAACCCTGGCGTGATGATCTAAAATCAGCCTAGTGGGAACGTCAATTGTCTATTGTTAGAAGCCGTGTTAGTGGCGGTAAGCATGAGCCCACCGATAGGGATATCCCCTAATCCCTAATAAGTTGAAGACATAGGCAATCGTGACTCCAAACGCCATCCAGCTCGACGCAGTCGCATGGACGGGGTATTTTTGTGGATGGCAGATAAGCAACACCGTCACATAGGATCCAGTTGTTTAGATGACATTGTGAGTGTTCCTGCAGCAGAAAGATTGGAATGGGGCAGAGATCGTAGACTTGTGGGCCCTGCCAGTCCAACAAGGCGATGGCAACATTTTGGTTTGGGGAGTGATGAATCCCTTTCGTGCCTGAAGTACGGAGTACTCTGTAGGTGGTCAATCACATCAGCAGCATCTTCTCGCAACTCTCTCTCGTCTGTGTGACCTCGCAAAGATCCGTGCGGTTCTCCAAGTAACCATCTGCCATCTGGAGATGAAAGCTTTTTTTACCACCTGTCACCCCTGTCAATCCGGACCTGCATCGATCGGAAAATTGAAGACGGGGCGACGGGGCCAGGAGCTGAGTAAAGCCAGTCAGAGGCCTCCTAAACCACTTTATCGGTGTCGAATCCCCTTTTCTTTGCAGGGAGGCACTGTACGGATACTCGTACGGTGTACGGAGAGTATCCCTGGATGGGAAGCTGTGGACGTTAGTGCAACGCAGGGACAAATTGGCTGGATCCATACAGGCCACACAGACAACTGGAACGGTTTAGCGATGCGAGGGGTGAAATGATGCATCGTGCACCCCTCTAGGTGCCCCTGGTCTTGGTACGCGAGGAGTCAAGCTCGACGGAGACAGAAGTGACAGAAAAGACAGAAGAGAGACAGAAGAGACAGCTGAAACCGCGGATGGCGACGATTACAGGCAGAGAAAATCGCCTATTGGTGGCTAACCCAGATTTGCCTGCGCCGGTCGCAGGCTCTAAAGCTCTAAACTTAGCCTGCGCCAGCACTGGGGGCACCACTGGGGGCACCTAGAGGCCCTAGGGCCCTAAGGCACCCACTCCCGCCCACTCCATCTTCTTTCTCCCTTACCCAGCACAAGAATGGAATGAGATGAGCGCACCGCTATCCCGGCCCTTGTTTGAGAACATCATTTCTACTAGTTCGTAACTTTAGTATCCGTACGGAGAACCTGGTGTCTTAGGGCCAGGCCACCGCTGTACTCGTAGCCATGCTCTCGTCCTTCCTTCTTGTACCTGTTGTTGGAGGACGAGCCTGAGCACTTCCTCTCCTGCAAACGTGAGCTCGACTCAGGTAGCACAATGCCGCTCTCTCTGCCACGAGGTCTGTCGCCTGTAAGGCTGCTCGTTGTCTTCCTCCTTCTCCTATCTCTCCTGGTCTTCCGATCCTACTACCTCCCCTCTCCCCAAGGCTCCGAGAACTGGTGGAGGCGGCCACAGGCAGACTCCCCGGAGAACTTAAGCGATGTCGACCTCGACAACGATTTCAGCGACATTGAAGACCATGGCTTGACCTCAGAGATTCCCGACTTTGCCGACGCGGTCAAAGCCACCACCTCCGCCCCTTCGTCCTCCTCCAGCCCCAAACCAGCCTTCGACCCGTCCATCCCGGCCTGTCGTCAATTACCGGGCGCGGACAAGGTTGTGGTCATGGTCAAAACCGGTGCCACCGAAGCTTTTGCTCGTGTGCCCGAGCAGATTGTCACCCTTGCGGACTGCGTTCCCAACCTCATGATATTTTCTGATATGGCGCAAGACATTGGAGAATTCCACCTCTATGATGCGCTGGACGAGGTGGGCGAGGAATACAAGGAAAACCATGACGATTTCCAGTTCTACAAAAACATCCATGCGGTACACGCTGCTCACGGTGACGTGAGTGTGCTGGGGTCTGAGAAAGGCTGGAACCTGGACAAGTGGAAGAACATCCCCATGCTGCACAAGGCATACACCGAGTATCCTGATGCAGAATGGTACGTCACGATTGATGCAGACACGTATCTTGGCTGGACAAACCTGTTACACCTGTTGGCCCATCAGGAACCGGATGAACCACTGTATGCAGGATGTGTCTACTGGCATGGTCCTACAGCCTTTGCTCAAGGCGGAACTGGTTACATCCTGTCTCGGAACGCCGTTCAAAGATTCGAAAAGATTCGAACTCCGGAAAAGATCGCGGATTGGGAAAAGGAGACCTCGACCATCTGCTGCGGGGATGTCATGCTTGGTGTGGCAATGGGCCATGCCGAAGTCGGTGTCAGCGGTGTCTGGCCAATGTTCCAAGTTGATCCTCCTTCTGCTCTCGGATGGAGTGACCGGATATGGTGCACTCCGGCTATAACCTGGCATCATTCACATTCGTACGATATCGAAGCTCTTTGGCAGTTTGAAAGGGAATGGATCAACAAGACCTGGGACGATAAGACCCTGAGTGCGAAGCCGTACCTGTACGCGGATGCGTTCGAGTACTTTGTTCAACCTCTTATCGCCGACAACAAGACGGACTGGGACAACTACTCTGCGGACAAGGTCTTTACTAAACCGTCCGAGGATCACGTCAAGGAGAATAACGACTGGGACTGGAAAAACGATGAAGAAAAGCAGGAGTTGTGGGACAGCCTTTCCATCTTGGAGAAACGGGCCACGAAATCCGTCAAGCAGTGCCGTAAGGCGTGTGAAGCCGATAGTGGCTGCATACAATTTTCCTGGCATCCAGGAACATGCAAATTGAACAACGCAATCAAGATCGGTCATGCCGTCGATCCAGAGGCGGAGACCACGTCGGGTTGGATGCTGGATCGCATTGACCAGTTCAAAAATTCCAGGGAAAAATGCGAGGTCAAGTGGGAAGTGGATCATCGGTGAAGACCATGCACTGCACAAGCTTTGACCATTCCGATGCCACCGAGTTGTCACCTCATGTCGCTATTATGCCAGATCCGATCATTTGTGGATTCCGAAAACATGTGCCTATCCGCCAAGACGGCCGCTTGCTGAATCTCTTGATGAGCCTGGAGCATGAGCAATATTGCTCTGGGGTGACCGTGGCCAACACCACTTGGCCGGGGTTATTCAGCATCTCGTCTACTGGCATGAGACCAAATTACAGCGCTCGGTTCACAGATCCAGTGCCAGTGGCGTCATGCACAGTTTGACACCGACATGGACGAAGATGACGACGCTTTGGCGATGAAATACGCCTTGACCTACCTACCACACTGGCAGCCGGTTCATATTTGTCCTTTTGCCAACAGGACAGGACACCCACATGCGATATATTATTGGATTCAACGAAATCTTTCAACAGTGAAGTGATTTATGAGATCTTCTGCCGAGATGTACAGTTGCAATGTTGCAATATGATATCAGGATGGGGAGTGAATATAAGTGAAAAAGGCAATCTCAACACTACGATATCTGGTCCAGAGTTGTGCCACAAATACATTATGTCTGTCCAGTGTACTACTACATAATTCCTGCCATGCTCTTCGAGGGAACGGGAATTGGAACAGGAACAGGAACAGGAACAGGGAAGGGTGTCGGACGTCGGGCGTCTGAGTGGGTGTTTTTCTCTCTTCACCATGGTCTATAGATAGATAGGCGGAACTACGACTAGGACTTCAGACTTGAAATGGTACACAAAGTACGTGGCTTTAGCTAACCCTGTCTCCAGAACGCCCTGCCTGCCTGTACCAAGTACTCCGTAATTCGACCTGGGTCCTGGTTCCCCTAACTGTATGTATGGATGTATTGAGTCGTTCATTAGATCTGTGCGTTCCAGGCGGAAGAGAAAAAGACAATTCCAATCCTCAAACTCCCTGTCCAACCTGGCCGAGCCTCTATTGAGTCCGACGGCGTTGCCTTCTCTTATTGTATCAGCCCTGGTGCACCGCCTCCCGTCCGTCGTTGCGTCCTACAAGGTCCGCCGGAGCGGGTTCGAGAACTTGCGTGGCCACTCCGTACCACGCTGCCTGCGCTTGCGTCTGCGCAATCCCGAATCGATCTGATCGATGGGGCCTTGGGCGGTGAAGGAGCCCCATGAGGTACACAGGTCGTTGACGCTGGATGGAATCTCGATGGCAGAGGGGATGAGCTCCGGGTGTTCCTAGACAGAAGAAAGTCAGCTCATGTCAGGGGTATCGTATCGGCGTGGCGCTATCTGAGACATAGGTGTACAACTATGTAGTATGTATATTGCATCATTCACACTGCATACTGCATATAGGTATATCTGCATGTCTGCATGTCTGCTTTCACGCATATAGGTATGCATGTATACTAGTAGTAAACAAGGAAAGTGCATGTGTAGAGTCAACAAATAAACCACAAACATCCCACTCACCAAGATATTGACATAAAGCCCACCACTGACGTGCCAGGCAATATGACAGTGGAACGGCCAGACGCCCGGGTTGTCGGCGTCGATCTGCATGGCCATGTAGCCGTACGGCTGGAGCATCTGCACATCACGCCGGGTCGGGTTAGTTGGATTGACGACGGAGCCGTCCCACGAGCCCAACCCCTCGTTCAAGACGAACATGTTGTGGCCGTGGATGTGCATGGGGTGGGCAACCGGAGTTTCATTGTTGATGACGACGATGAAGCTCTTGTTGCTGCCGAAGTCGTACACGTTCCACTCGGGGTCGTAGGGGTACGAGTCGTTGCCGGCATCGGCCAGCATCAGCACCGGGTCGTTGTAGTCGACGCGGAAGCTCGACCCATCCATGGTCCACAAGAAGTGACCTGTCGAATTGATCTCGAAGTTCAGAGCGACCTGGACGGTGGCACTCGTGTTGGTCGACGGCGGCGTGATGGCGTAGTATGGAACCGTCTCGGCGAGGGCGTCGTTGCCGCAACTTGTGTCGTCGATCGGCCACGCCGTCGATGTCGGCTCTGCGGTGGTGGTGGTAGTGGTGCTGTTGGTGCTGGAGTTGGTGGTGGCAGCGGTAGTATTTGCATCCTGGTAGTAGATGATGGCCAAGCCGTCGGGCTGGCTGGCGACGGAACAGTACGAGCTGATGGTCGATCGCATCCACACCAGGTCGCTGCTGGACCCGTTGGCGTGAACAATCACGTCGGCGCGCTGGCCAATCCCCAACGTCACGACCGTGGTGGTGTACGGCTCGATGGGGACCAGGTCGTAAGCGATCACGGTCAGGACGTGGTTGTCGATGCTGAACCGTTGCAGGCCCTCGGCTCCCGCGTTGATCAGGCGGAGTCGATACGACTGGCCTGACGTGAACTGAAATTTGGATAGTCCTGCATTGGGGGTGCAGGTGACATTGGACACCAGCGTACAGTCATATACCCCCTTCCCGTTGATGAGGTTGTTGACGGAGCTAGGCGCGATGAGGCTGAGATCGGTGCCCATGACCTCCTCTACAATCGTGTCGTAGTCCTTGTGGTAGTAGTCCGTCAGCAGCACCGGGCCCAGGTCTTGATCGTATTGCGCGTTGACTGGCCCGTGGATGATCATGGCGCCGAACACACCACCGGCATACTGAGCGCTGTAGTGCGAATGGTACCACGTCGTGCCGTACAAGTCAGCGTTGAATGAGTAGGTAAACGTTTCTCCGGGAGCGATGGGGCACTGGGTGATGCCCGGCACACCGTCTTCGAATGGTGTCCCTTTTTGCAACATGCCGTGCCAGTGCAAGGATGTACCCTCCTCTGGCCCGGTGATGCGGTTGCTGACCGTCACTTCAATCGTATCCCCCCAGTTTGCTTCGATCGTGGGCCCAGGGAAGCCCCCGTTGATCAACAGTCCGCTGCGCTCAACCCCGTCAGGAGCGATTGTGCCTCTGGCGATGACGAAATTGTATGAGCGGACCACGCCCGTCGAGGGGGCTGATCGATACGGATTGGTGCCGTTCGCTGTTCGGTTGCCCCATGGAAAGCTGCCTGTACCTGGTGGAAACCCTGTACCGCCACCTGAAGACTGACCGATGAATTGTGGGTATTTTGGAGCAGCGAATGTCCCGAGCAGGGAGTTGCCGTTGGTCTTGCTCTGTGGCAGAGCATTGATTCCGAGAGATGACCCCGACGACTGCTTTGGGAAGCCCGCTGTCGGAAGGTTTGACGGGAAGACGACAGTTGAAAGCGATGCAGGCAGACTGGCCGTGCCGATGATGGGCGCACCCGAATAGGAGACGGGGCTCTGAGAAGGCTGTGGAATGTCAGTACTGAAAGTTGTCGTCAGGAGGCACAGCTAGGTCATTTCATTACCTTGGGCCCGCGTCCAGGTACAGGTACTGGAGGAGGGCGCCCGTGGCCCGGAAAGAATGGGTGAGCCGGACTCGTGGGAAAGAGCCTGGGACTCGAATGTCCGGTGGGAAAGAAGCCGGGATGCGGTCTCCCGGCTGGCTCGAATGGGAGGCCAAATGGGAGGCCAAAGTATCTGGGTCCTCGTCCTTCGGGGAGGGCCTGTATTGAGGCGACGAAGACAAGAACAACCCACAGAGCGACGGAGGTGATGCCCATATTGCAAGGACTGCCTCGGCCTCTGCCTCTGCGTCTCGCTCGCCTTCACGTCCCGAGTGAGTGTCAGGAGGACGGGTAAAGGGTATAGGCGTGGGAGACTCTAAACGAGTGGACGACGCTCAAAGGCGTCAAAGAGCAGACAAACGAATGAATAGAGGAAGAAATCAAGACATACGAAGAACCAAAGAACAAAATATGAAAGACAAGCTGAAGACACGGGACAGCCCTACCGTTTTATTGGGAGACCCCGGGCACTGGTCATCAAGTCGGCCAGTCTCAGGAAGTACCACGAGAACGGCACGAATTCGAAGAGAGTCTCCGGTAAGCTCGATAGCCATAGTCACATCCTCGTAGGGCAGCTCGCGTGTCCTGAGGATCCCGCGGTCCAGTGGTCCAGTGGATCCTTAGCCGCTCACGAGTCACCACCCGCTAACTCTGTTTAATGGAGCGCTGTGGCGTATCCGAGGAGATTTTCGCGCTGAACACGATAGGCAGAGACTTGTGTGGGTGAGATATTGTGAGGCTTGAACAAGGGAAAGTGTGATAGGCGTTGGGTGAGACCGCCTGGCCCAAACTTGTCCATAAATATGGCTAAGGGGCCAGGGGAAGAATCCCTGAGGGGATGTGTCTGTGAGTGGCCTGCCCCTGTATGTGTCCTCCGTCCTGCGTCCTGCACCCTGCATCCTGCATCCTGTAGCAGGCTGATCATTCTGTAGGTGCTATGCGGTGATCAGGAGGTCGCTGAGGAGAACGGCGCGTGGTGGCGGTGCCCGGCAGGTGAATCGTGTTCCAATCTTAGCCGGAAAGGGAGAGAGTGTCGGAGGTCGGAGGGGGGAGGGATGTTCAAGTTGAGTTCAAGTTGTTGACGCGTCGAATGACGTGGCGGGTATACACAATGCGCAGCCTAATACGGAGTAAGTTGAAACAACCCAGGATACGGAGTAGGTAGTAGGTGACTAAGTGGTAGGTAGTCGGTAGTAGGTACGCAGGATGGAGTAGAAATCTGCCCAAGCAATACGGAGTAATGAGGCGTCGCGTGCTGTCTCAACCATGGCGGGCTGGCGACTTGTCCATTCGTCCTTAAGCTTCGTGGCTTGCAGCTATTGATAGTTTCTTCCCGATCGAATTTCCACCGGTCCCCAAACATGCAGTCTCAGCTCAGCCACGGCATGGGTGCTCGGTACAAACTCATTTCAAAAGGGTGACTGACTTTCTTGATGGGATTGAACGGTGGCTGTGCAATTCACCATCAACAACAGCTCAAACTCTACGGAGTACGGAGTACAGTACAATCTCCAACTCCATCCCATCACTAACAATCAACTACAGCTTGGGCCCAGGCCCCTTCTCCTTCTCACCTTCAAGGATAAAACACCACTTCACACCCAGCAGGTCGGTCCACCCGTCGGCGCAGAGCCTCAGCCCCTCGTCCCTGACTCTACCCAAAATCCCCTCGAGTCTCTGCTTCCCCTTAATCGCAAGCACCATACTTTCGAGACCTTCAGGCTGGCCCTCGACCCCCGGGACGAACCTCAATCGTGCATTGGTGAAAACCAACTCGCTGCCGTCGCGGTCGATGCCAAACCACTCATGCCACTGTCTCGCCGCGGCCTCCGTGTCAGTCTGGCCTGGGGCAAGTCGGCATGTCGCCGCGGCCAGACGCAAATGCGAGTGTCGTCTCATGGTAGCTGAGTACCGTTCGTAGTCAGGACCACATGCGTGCCAGGGGCTGAAGCTGCTTTCGAGCGGGGTGGGATTACTTGACGACGGGGTATGGGAGTCGAGTTCAGGCATCACACCTCCTGACCAACCCGTCAATCAGCCTGGCAGTGCTAGGAAAGAGAGGCTAGGCCAGTCAATATTAGCTGAACTTACCACGAATACCTTTGGGGTGATACTGCACACACTCGACCTCGTCGTGGGAATGGTAGTATATCACTTTGGCCAACCCTCTGGATTCAATGTATCGCCTCCGAGCCGCGGCGTCTGTTGTCTGCATGATGACCATGTACCCGCCATCACCACGCTTCTGGAGCAGTTTCTCGACCGTCGTGCCGGGCTTGCAGGGGGAGCATACTTCGATAATGTCACCGCCTATCGCCACTGAAGCAGGACAGTGATGAGACTAGCTGCGTATACGAAATCCTTGAAGACGGCGGCCTACCCAAAAAGTTCTTCAGCCCCCACTGCGCCACCGCCGGGTCTTCGAACACCACTTCGGTCCCAAGGATTGTGGTCTAGAAGGGTCAAGTGAGCTGCTGAAAGTTGCTACGCAACTGCTCAAGCAGGTAAGCTGGGTAGGTACCTACTAGGATGTATCTTGCCCGGTCAAGGTCCCTCGCTATCAAAGCGATCTGCCTCAGTCGTGTCGGAGCTGTTGGCGGACGCGAGGCTCCGTAGTCGGGGGTCATTCTTTCACGGAGTTGTCTGGATGTTCAAGTGATGGATACAATGTGCAACCCTTACCAGGCGGTCACCAAGCTTTAGGACACGGCGCTGGCAGCGTGGCCCCGATACGCAACCTCGGCATCGTACTACAGTACTCCATACTGACCCCAAGTTTGCGGTTGGCTGCCCCTCAATGCCCGCTTTTCGGCACGAGTGCTTAGGGGCCTCTCAACGCAGGTACTACTACCAGTACTCTAGGACGGTAACAAGCCCGCTACGACCCTGCTAAACTATGAATGGAATGCAGTAGTGGATCGAATTTTTCTAGACGAGCCAGGAGCAAGGCTGAGAAGATCGGCGCTGATACCGCCTACCATAGGCAATCACTTTAGACTATACCCACGCCGCCATACTTTGCCGAGAACCTGGCTGCGACCAGATCCAATACACTGTCCTCGATGGGTGTGTAGACAATCGTATTCCAGGACTTCATCCTTTCACGCGTCAAAGGACCGCCAGCCTGGTCGACCATGACCTTCAATAACTCCACCGCATCACTGATATCAATCTCCCGTCCCTGGGATCCGATCCTCTTCAGCTTGCGACCAAGGGACCACTCCCATTTGACTGCATAGATGACCAGATTCTTTCCCTGCCAGAGAACCACCCGCTGATCGATCGACTCGCGAAAGAGCTGTTCCGATCTGCCAGGTCCCTGCCGATGAAGTCTGTCGGCTTTATGGCTTATGGCTCCACGTATTTTTACTGCGAGCAGATCTCCTCTTCGAATCCGCGCCTCCCTTCATCGGCTGCGGGCCTGCCCTCACCCTTGGAGGCTCTTACGTCGCCTTCTATGGCCGCTTCCGTGGCAGTTTCAGCCAGCGCCTCCGGCTTCCGCGGCAGATCTGGAGCAAGACGGAGCTAATATTATTAGCTCGCACCAGACAGGCATCATGCAGCTCCGGCGAATCCCTCTCTTCCGCTTGCGGGACACCTCATTGTGTGCTCTCTATCGTCTCTACGAAGATCTCTGCTCCAATGATCTAATTATGATGGGCTATGAGTGCGAGTACTTCTTCTTCCACAAAGAACCCTCTTGGCGACTTTCGCCGATTCCCGATCCGAAAGACAGTGACCCTGTCAGATACGCCGTACTCGCGAGTCTGGTTGAAGCGCTTGTTGACGCGTTTAACTGGCGATTGAAACTGGGACTGCGACGGGATAAATCAATCGACGAGTCCGAGCAAAGAGACATCAATTTCCAACCCGAAGAACCTCCCGCCTGGACGGCAGCAGTTCAGCCTTTGAAGGAAACCTTAGATCTCAACAAATTTGCCGACCGAGGGAATCCCCATAAATCCTTCCTGAAGAGGAACATTCACGCTCCAATGGGGTATTTGTACACGGTGTGAACCGGCGGAGTAATCGATCTTGCAAGGCACTATTCGGCTGGCAAGAGGGTCAAAGCACGACCTTGCGAAGCACCCACAGTTTCAGTTTAGCACTCTCCGGCGAATGGAGCCCACGAACTCAGCTATGCTGAGTGCTGCGTCAGGATTGAACAGGGCATAACATTACACCGATTGCAGCACGTCCACATCTGCTCATCCCCTGCTGTCGACTGTGGCCTGCACGATGCAGCCATTATGGGTAGGCGATAATCATGATCATGCCTTAGAGCTATGCATGAAGTTCCGAGGCCATGAGACAGCTTCCAACAGCCAAAATACTATACAACTACGATGTGGCTAGACCACATGGTTCATGGGAAATTCCGTCATCTTGCTATCGCTTCGCCAAACCCTGTCGAAATTGGCACAACGCAACCGCAGATATCATTACGGAATACACATGTCCCAAATCACCACCCAACCATACCGCGACTGCTAGCGGTGTTATGGAAAGACCTGTCGGCTCGCATGAGAACAATCCACACACTCCAAACCCTCCTCAACGAAAGATTACAGTAGCACGACTTATTGTGCTCACTTTGTAGTTTCTACTTTGATTTCAAACCCGCACACACCAACACGGGATACCTGTTGAAACGCCGAGTAACTTATGATTCAGGCATCCGAAATTATGCCGGACCGGACCGTATTCGACAGGACAATATTTTCCGCCGACCATGATGCAGACAAGCTGGGATCTGATACAGGTGCCGTATCGCGCCGTATCGGCATTTCCATCCACCTTCCAAGCCCGAGGCCCGAATCTGGGGAAGACTTGGACTTTGCGGGGTGGGCCGGCACCCATTGGCCATTTCTCGACCATTCCTCCGTCCTCTAACTACGACTAGGTGGTGGTTGCAGTCTGAGGAGTACTTTGACAAGCTGGTCTCTTCCAACATATTAGTACTAATCTATCCTGCTGGGCCTTAGATCAAGTAGCCGAGGTCAACATGGCCCGGTATTCCGTTCCAAAGGAAGCTCAGGGATACCGCAACCTTGGCTTGCAAATCTGTTTCCACCGCCCTCTTCAAAAGTCCAGGCATCGCTGACGGCTCTGACCTGGCCGAGAGATATCATCAAGGCGAATACTGATACTCACAAGTGACAACTTGTAGAGTCATACGACCATGTCCCGCTCCGCAGCCCATGACGAGCGAAACACCAGCTTTCGAGAAGCATTTCGGACGCCCTTTGAGTTTGCGTCCAGTGCGGCACCAACTGCACAACTGGTCCAAACAGAGACGCAAAAGCTGAAACTCGAGCATGACGTCGAGGACATTCCAAACAGTAACGGTGCGCGATTGCACTGGATAGGGGACCGTTCAGCGGAGAAAGTCCTGCTCTACTTCCACGGTAAGGTTACTTGCAGCTCCAAGTCGTGCGCGGACATCTAAATCACACACCCTAGGTGGCGGCTTCTGCCTCCCTGCACTCAATGGCCATATACTGTTTCTCAATCAAACTCAACAGTATCTCGAATCCAAGGGAAAGAAAATAGTGATTGCATTCCTTGAATACAGTAAGATCTTAGCTTCCGACCACGATGACATATGAAGCACTCACCCTAAACTAACGTCTAACTCAGGTTTGACAAAAAGACCAGATGGATCAGAGGGATCGAGATACCCTGCGCAGATCTTTCAAGGCACTGAAGCGTTACGCTTCGTTCTTGAGAAGGGATGGAAGCCCTCCAATGTAAGTACCTATTCCGTCACGGATGTCGGCCATGGTGGAGTGCGAGATACATCCCGATACAACAGCAAGTATACTGACCGTTCCACTCAAGATCGTCATCGGGGGAGACTCTGCAGGGGCCAATCTAGCCATTACCACCATCTCGGTGGTCCTGCATTCCTTTCCAGGAATCCCTCCCTTGAGTCTCAGTGGCCACCTCGCCGGCCTCCTGCTCATATCAGCCTGGATCGGCTTCAGCAGGGACACCCAGTCTTGGACCGAGAATGCAGACAAAGACTGCATTCCCGCGGAGTGTGCCATCCAACTCACCGACGCCTACGCCGACCCAGCCGACCGCAACAACTACTCGGAACCCGGGCAAGCCGACGTCTCGTGGTGGAAGGGCTTACCGGCGGATCGCATCCTGAACGTCTATGGGGGTGCTGAAGTGCTCCGAGACCACATTGCTGAGCTTGGTGACAAGCTGGAGAAAGCCGGCAACCGGGTCGAAAATGTGGAATGTCCCTTGGAAGTCCATATCGATTGTATTCTGGACGCCATGTCCGGATTGGACGCTGGCTTGATGTCTACTAAGGTGTGGGAGTGGCTGAGCAGTGTGCTGTAGTTACTGTAGGGATACATACTGTACTATGGAGATACATGGAAATACAGTAGTAAGGATCCCGATGTACAGTAACTACATGCCAGATTCTAAGGCTTGACTCACCTGTGAGCTCATCCCGGCTCCCCTATAATAGCTATAGCTCAACCCGATCCGCAATTTATCCTGCCCACCTCGTTCCAGGACCTACAGTAACCTACAGTAGGGCCCAGGAGGATTGATTCCCTACCAGTCGCCGGTGGAATGTCGATTTCATGCCTCGAGAAAGCCGGGTTTCATGCGACCAGGAATGCAGGTTAGTAATGCAGTAGGATGTGTTCTGGCGGAACCCGCCTTTGCCTGCGTAGGGTCTGGATCCCAGATGGGTTTACTCTGCTCTTCTTGCTCTGCCCTTGACCACAACATCTGCAATGGGGCATAGGGCAGAGGGCATAGGTCATAGGGCACAACCCTTCAGGTCGTAGATCCCCCGTAGTCGTTCAGGCCAGAGGCTTCCCACAGGTCGGGGATGGTGAGGTGGGCAAATGGGTCCCAAGCTCCCTCTGTAGTGGCATCAGCTTCGTGAGTTGCAGCGTTGGAGCCCTCAAGTGGTGGTAGGGCGGTGTCAATGGCCAGCACACTCTCGGACGAAGGACCCGGGCCGCTGGTCATGCTAGCGGATGGTTGCTGGTTCCTTTGAGGCGGATCAGTCGTCTTCGAAACACCCCGATCTCGATCTGATCGAGGCTTGTCGAACTCTTGGTGTTGAGAGCCGAGTATTGGTGCTCCAGCTCCAGCTCCAGCTCCAGCCTCACGGTTGCGTCTTCGCCCATGTCGGAGGTATGCCTCGTCGTTCAACTGGTGAACCACGGATTCGCATTGGGACAGGCAGATATCCGCCAGATCCCATTTGGCTTCATCTTTCGCCCTGCGAAGGTGCTCGACCAGCGCACGTGCAGCCGATACACAATCCCGCGCAACCTCATCGCTTGTGGCTTCGAGCCCGCACCGCAGTATTAGTATCGCCGCAGAGGCGAAGTGATATGCAGTGTCTACCAGCCAAGGTCAGTCTCGGTTTGGATGCAGAGCATCGAATTGTCTCTCTGGATTTCACGCAATACTGCACTGCATATATTGCAATGGCGGAGTCTTGACTTACATGGCATCCAGAAAGCATGTAGGTCCCGTCCGCGGAGAGACAAGGTGAAATCAATGACAGCCTTCGCAGCTCTACGGCACTGGAGGTGCAGATACTGCCATGTTTCCGGGTTGTTGTAGTCGTCAGACTTGACCGACTCCTGGTTTGATCAAGGTCAGCGAGTGATCCGGACCGGAGACGATCAGCGACAGGAAGTTTCACCAGTAATGACACCCTGCAAGTACACATTTTCACGGCCAAGAATGACAGATGCAGACTCAAGGCACCCGGCAGATCTCTTTGGAAATCGGGGGTTTTTGGATTCAGAGACGGCGGCAGGTTTTCCTCCCAGTCATCCACGGATGCCTCTATGCGCTTCAGTGATCGGAGTTGAGCGTCAGGCTTGCGGCTTTTGGTGTCGTAGACGTGAGGCAGGATGTCACCCAAGATCTCCGTCAGCTGGCATAACGCCCGGAAACTCTGGGCTCCCATGATGCGCGGACCTGATGTGCGGCCGGCATCGTTGTCATGTGTGACGCCACCGATGAGAAGGGAGCTCAAGTCTGGAACCGCGACATCGAAATGCCCTGGGTGGATATGTGGCGGAGTGCCATGTGCAAGGCTCGCCCTGAACAGGGGTTAGGCAAAAACTGGAACGGGTGCGACCCATGTTTAATGCGAGGAGCAAGCTACGCACCACCAGTCGTGGATCAACACTCCCCACCACGTTCTGATTCGAAGCGCTTTTTGGCGCTGGTCCAGATCCCAGCCTCGTGGATCTCGATTCAGCCCCAAACTCTGGGACAGAGCCACGGCTCGACCGATGTTGATGGCATTGTATGTCATCGAGGTGGTAGGCCGACCTGTGAGGTCGAGGATACAGGACAAAACGGTGGAAAATCCCGGCGCGAGAAATTCCTCGTTCAATGCTTCGACTGTCTGGGTCCAAATATACCTCACGTCTGGGCGGTGCGGGCGAGATTTGACCAATTTTGCCGAGGTTGACCACGATATGATTGAAACGGCGTAGATTTCACAGACAAGCACATGGGGGAGTGCTTTCTTCCGGTACGACTCCAGCACCGTTTTCTCATCGAGGATGGGAAAGGGAGGGTGGAATGCCTGGAAGTAGCTGTCATCGGGGGCACATCAGCGAGTTGGTCTCTGAAACAGGAAGACGAACCTTACAGGTCGACTACATCACCGCCGAGAGGTTCCAGCCCTTTCTCGATGGCCTCATATTGCCTGAAGCCTGCTGATCCATTGCCACGGGAGGCACGAACACGCTGCCGGGGAACTTTGAGATAGACGATTGGGTTTCGAGCGTCACTCGAGTACACGCTGTAGGGGTTGGGTCGTGCATGAGACACGGGCAGGGTGGCTGCTGGGGACATGTACTGCTCCAATACCTGAACGTCACGGGCAGCAACCGGTCCGATGATATGCCCGGAGTGGGTCTGGGGGCCTTGTCGTCCAAAGGCACCGTCTTCGTTCTCACTCGAGCCCTCGTCGTGGTGCATAGGACTGCTCATGGTCTCCTCCGGCGATGGTTGTGTTCCATTGAGCACAATGTCTTCCAGAGTTGGCCGCTCTGAAGTAGCTGTCTGGCATGGTCTTTGCCTTTGCCTTTGTCTTTCCCTCTGTGTCTGCCCATCCTGCTGCGAGCGCCTCTGGCGCCGACCGGGGCCGGCAACACTTCTATCTCCTTGAAGACCACCCCTAGTACAATCTAGACCATGCTGTTTGCAGAATTGGCAAGGTTGGCTCTCCACGTCTCTCGTACATCGGGATCTCCGTCTTCGGCAGATGTCGCAGGCTGGAAATCGATGGGAGCGATAAGGACGTGAGCCTTGTAGAGGGGTGACTGCAGTCTCCGGGCTCATTGGGACTTCAGGTTGATTTGGCCTGATTTTTCCTTTCCATTCCGTTTGATGACGCCGGAAGCTGGGACGGAGAACTAGGTATAGGGTAGTAGATGCTGAGGTGTTGCGTTGCAGGACTGCGTGATATACGGAGAACTAGGAGATGTCCGGCTTCAAGTTTCCCGGATCGGAGATTCGGGAAACGCTGACTTGGCACGGACATGGCCTAGGGTTAGGGTTAGGGTTAGGGTTAAGCCTTCGGCTGAGGTAGGCTGCGGTACCACGCCTGCTATTTGACGCTACATGTACACTACACCGCCTGAAACGATCCATATCTTACGCGGAAAGAGTTGGCTCCTAGGAGGTCAAGAGTCGATATGTTGTCGCGTCAGTATCATTCATTCCATTGATGAATATGCGTTCAGTGCCAATTGGCCGCCCAGGTGAGCATACAACACATTGCTCCCGGCGGGAATCTCTTTCTGCCGGATCATATCCATCAGTCCTGCCAGGCTCTTTCCCTCATAGACCGGGTCTGTGATGAAGGCTTCGGTTGATGCGCCAAACTTGATTGCATCGATAGTCTGTTTGTCGGGGATGCCGTAGCACCCAGCGTGATATCGATCGTCCAAGACGATGTCCTTTTCTGTGATGTCGCCTGGGTCAAGCCCGAGCTTGACGCCAGTCGCCTTTGCAATCCGAAGAACCTGGTCAAAGGTCTTTTGAACCTTGGCCGACGCGTCGATCCCGATCACTTTGCGGGGCTTCGAGCCGTGTTTCTGTGCCAGCTTGAAGCCGGCCACCATACCAGCCATGGTCGAGCCAGTGACTGCACAGACGATGATGGTGTCGAAGAAGACGCCGAGCTCTCTCTCCTGCTGCTCGACCTCAAACGCCCACCGGGCAAAGCCGAGTCCCCCCAATGGATGGTCGGAGGCGCCAGCAGGAATGTAATACGGCTTTCCGCCCTGGGCGACAATCTCCTGAGTCAAGGTCGAGAGAGAGTTTTTATGCTCAATCCCAAACGGGGACGGATCGAGTCGAGGATTGGCTCCCATCAAACGTGAGAGTTGAATGTTGCCGACCTTCTCGTAGCCCGGATCGTTCCAGTCAACCCATTTTTCTTGTACCAGGGCAGCTTTCAGCCCTAGTTTGGCAGCCACTGCCGCAACTTGGCGGGTATGATTTGACTGAACCCCTCCGATACTGGTTATAGTGTCACAGCCTTGCGCAAGAATCTCGGGGGCGAAGTATTCAAGTTTGCGGGTCTTGTTGCCGCCAAATGCCAGCCCAGAATTGCAATCCTCCCGTTTCGCGTAGACATTGACCTCCCCCCCTAGGGCTTTGGATATCCGAGGCAATGCTTGGATGGGAGACGGTCCGAACAGCAAGGGCTCTCTGGGGATACTGGCAAATGGCTCTGGCAGCTGTAGCCCCGACTCTGTGGTTCCGTTGCTTTGCGCCATTGTCGTTGTGAGATGATGTCTGGAAGGTTTCAGTAAGGCAGAAAGAGGATATCACAACCTCGGAGAAGCCTTTATAGCACGATGAACTCTGAAATTTCTCAGTGAGGAGAGCACGGAGGGAAGTGGGATTCACAGGAGATCGTTTTCCGTGTTCGGGAAACTCGAGCATCTGGAGAAGGATTGTTTCCCGATGGTCGAGTGGGACAGCGAAGGAGGAGGCAGTGGTCTCGACGTCTGTCTTCTACATAGCACCCTAGGTGGCACCTGTATCGGTGGACTGGGGCCGTTGACGAGCCTGCGGGTTCTTGATACCGGGAAACCCGGCTCTGGGCCTGGCCCTTGCTGCTCCAGTACTTGCCCTGCAATAATGCGCGCCTGCGCAGTTTCCCGCTTCTCTCTGCGATATGCTATCTAGTATCGACCAACCTTCCCCCACCGCCCCAGAACGAGCAACGCTGATAACTGCTAGGAGAGTGATACGTGTCCTGGATAGTACCGTGGCTCTATCGTATCTCGGGCATATTTTTACGATCGAAAAGTAGCTTGGCAGAACGGAAGAGGAAGAGGGAGAGGCAGAGTGGCCATGGTACCACTCCCTCCCCCCCAGTGGGTATATGTTCCCATTGCCATCCTCTCTCAAGTGTTATGGTCGAGATGTTGAGGACCCTCCTGACAAATTCTAGTCTCCAGGTGTCTCTTGACCATCTCGGAACCGCTCCTCCTGCTCTTGCTCTGCCAGTGGAACAGAGAACCTTGGGCAGTCTGATCCCTTCCTGCTGTTTCTTGTTCCTTTCTCTGCAAGTCTCTCCCCCCTGACGATGACGACCGGCGCCGGCAACATGGATAACAAAGACCTCTCCGAGGCCAAAGCTGAGGGGCTTCCCATCAGCTACAACCCCAAAGAAGACTTCGGCACCGGCGACGTCACGGATCTCGACGAGGCCGAGATCTTCCTGCGCGACAACAACTTCACCAGCGGCTACATCAAGGAACTGCTGGCGGATAAAAAGAGAAACAAGCGGCTGGTGCGCCGGGTCGACCTGGTCCTGCTCCCGTTGCTGGCGGGCACCTACGTGCTACAGTACATCGACAAACAGGCTCTTTCGTACTCGGCAGTCTTCGACCTCTTTAGCGACACCGGCACCACCCAAAGCCAATACAGCTGGCTTGCAAGCATCTTCTACTTCGCATACCTGGGGTCCGAGTACCCCTTCACCATCTTGGCACAAAAGACTCGGATGGCCAAAGTGGTGGGAGGTTGTGTCATTTCATGGGGCTCGATCCTGATGATCACAGCCGCTTGCCAGAACTTTGGAGGGCTGGCCACTTGTCGGTTCCTGCTCGGTGTATTTGAGGCTCCCATCACCCCATGCTTCATGATGATTGCCGCTATGTGGTAAGACTCTCTTTTCTATCCTGTCATCTATTTCCAACCGCACCGAGATCCAAGCGGTCTCCTCCACAGATGAGATTGGATGCCTGGCTCGCTCACACATGAAATCGGTCGGCAGGTACACTCGGCAAGAACAACCGTTCCGTGCCGGCGTCTTCTACTGTTGCAACGGCGTCGGCTCGATGCTCGGCGGCATATTCACGTATGCGATCGGGCAGATCGACACCTTCCCCGTGTGGAGAGCAGTCTTTTTGATCTGCGGCGGACTGACCGTGATTTGGGGCTTTCTGATCCTGGTTTTCCTCCCCGACACCATCCTGTCGGCCAAAAGATTCAGCCTGGAGGAGAAGGCGATGCTCGTGGCCCGGGGAAAATTGGGGAGGACGGGAATCCTCAACAAAACCGTAAAGTGGTATCAAATCAAGGAGGCTCTGGTGGACCCTCAGGTGCTGCTTCTGGCGCTATTCATGCTCCTCAACGAGGTCATGAACGGCGGCGTGGCCAACTTCGGCAAGCTCATTATCAAGGGCCTGGTCACCGACCCGCTCCTGACCACCGCTCTCGGCATCCCGCAGGGGGCCTTTCAAGTTGTCTGGATCCTGACCGGCACTTTCCTCGCCTCCAAGGTGCCCAACTTCAGGACCATCTCCATGGCCCTGTACATGATCCCCACCATCCTGGGCATCTGCCTTATTTGGAAACTGGATCGCCACCACCACAAGGTCGGCGTCCTTTTTGGGTACTACATGGTCGGTTCATTCGTCTCGTCGCTGGTGGTGGCATTGCAGATGCCCGGCGCCAACCTCGGGGGCTATACTAAGCGAGCCACGGGGACCGCCATCGTGTTTGCCGCGTATTGCGCTGGCAATATCATAGGTCCCCACGCCTTCCTCTCCGAGGAAGCCCCCTTGTATCCTACTGGTTGCAAGGTCATCCTTGCTTGTGCATCTGCTCAGATTTTCATCGCCATGGCTTTGAGACTGCTTCTAATTCGCCGAAACAAGCAAAGAGATGCCGCTGCCGCGAATGGTTCAGAGCCTGAAAATGATGCGGCCGAGGAAATTGCTGCCGATTTGACCGATTTCGAGGTATGTGTCCTGAACTCTCTCTTTCCGCAGGTGTGTGGTTTGTGCATGGGTGGAACTAACTTTGTCTTTCCCTCAGAATCCGAAGTTTAGATACGTTTTATAAATGCGGAGGACTTGAGGAAGTTCCAGGTGACAGAACGACCTACCTTCATCGGAGGAGTGCGGACAGCAATACGTTGTGATGCGGCATTGCATGCAAGATCTACCGGACAATTCACTCATTTAAATCTAAGCAATATATCTATCTCTATCTACATCTTGCAAGCTTTGATGTTATTTTCACCTTCAAAGCAATCAAACGGATGACCGTCTCCATTGAATCCCAAGAGAACATTGATATCGGATTGGGAGCCGTCTCTCTACTAAAAATCTCCCGATTCGACTCGCCCTGACTCAATCACCTAGGAGGCCAAAGTCTGGTCGCTACTTGGTAACATACCCGTAAGTAAGGAGAGAGGTACCACAACCACAGCTTGCTGGGAGGACTGATTAGCATTGGAAGATCAAACGAGTTTCCCGAAAACGGAGAATACCGCATAGACGATAATGGCGTCGGCAAACCTCAAAGCTGTGTGTGTGTGTGGAGTACCCTATAACTACCGTTGGGGGGCCCCATTATTCGGTCAAAAAAAAAGATCCGGCGTGGTGGTGGTGGTGGTGGTGGTGGTGACAGCTGCCCATCATCCCCTATCACCTTGTGATAATACCGCACGGCATTGAATGGTGGTACATATCCCTACTACCACTACTCCCTACACTACTAGTCCTACAGGTCAAGTCAATTGAGGTCAGCGAGCCCTTTCCTTGTTTCCTCTCCCCCCCTCCCGCCAGCCAGCTAGGATGGGACCAGTGATACAGGAAAACAAAGAAGGGCAGCAAAATCAAGCCCGGCCGTGGGTGAAACTTCGTCAAGGGACTGTGGTTGGAATTACGCTCTACCAACCTGATGAAAACGAAACCCACGGGTCTGAAAAGCCGGTGCCGGTGCAAGCGTTCCTGGGCATTCCATACGCCCTTCCACCCACAGGCGACCGACGCTTTCGCCCACCGGTGAAGATCGGAGACTCTTCAGACCTGTCAATCGACGCGTCTCGATATGGGCCTGCCGCTCCAGGAAAGCCTCTCTTGCGCGCAGGACCCAAGCTGGAATACAGTGAGGACTGTCTGACCGTGAATGTATTCCGGCAGCAGCAGGTGCCTCAACCTCAACCTCATTCTCAAGGAGGAGAGGACCTAGGCAGCGGTCTTCTACCCGTGGCGATCTACGTGCACGGAGGAGCGTTCAATCGAGGAAGCGCGTCCATGCACGACACTGCTTCGTTGGTGGCCTGGTCGGAGCAGCCGTTTGTTGCTGTCTCGTTCAACTATCGTGTCGGGGCTCTGGGTTTCCTCCCGTCCAGTCTGAGCGCCAAAGAAGGTGCTCTCAACCTCGGTCTCAAGGACCAGAAACTGCTCTTCGAGTGGGTCCAAGAGAACATTGGGTCTTTTGGAGGTGACAAGAATAATGTCACGCTCTTTGGTCTTTCTGCTGGTGCTCATTCGGTATGTACAATGTCTTCCTTCCCCTTACCATGTATTTTCTGACTCTGGCCACTCACTGACCACGTCATGCTATTCCTGGCAAAAATGTAGATAGGACACCATATGATGAGACACAACGACCAAAACCCGGGCCCTTTCCACCGAGTCATCATGGAGTCTGGCGCTCCAACCTCGAGAGCTGTACGGGCGTTCGACTCGGAACTGCATGAACGGCAATTCCACGAGTTCTTGACCGAAGTCGGCTGCCCCAGCGATCTTCCGTCTGCCCAAGTCTTCCCTTTCTTGCGCTCGCTGTCTCTGTCTGTCATCACCAAGGCGCAAGAAACCGTCTTTGATAGATACAATCCGTCACTCCGTTGGGCGTTCCAACCGGTCATCGATGGCGAGATGATTCTCCGCAAACCCATTGACAGTTGGCGCTCGGGCAACTATTACAAGGTGCCCATCATGACCGGATTCTGCGGCAACGAGGGCTCCCTGTACGTGGACAAGCAGATGTCCACGGACGAGCAGTTCGTCGACTTCTTTCGAACTCTTCTCCCGCAATTGTCCGATGCGGACATTGACACGGTCGCTCACACGCTCTACCCGGATCCCGAAACGTCCAAGGATCTCACCTACAAGGAGACCAGGCAAAGCACTGAGATCGGACCACAGTACAAGCGGGTGGAGGCTGCATATGGCCACTACGCCTATGTCGCCCCAGCCCGGCAGACGGCAGAGTTGGCCTCCAAGACTGAATCACACCCTCCTACGTTTTTATATCATTGGGCGCTACCCTCCACCGTGATCGGCGGCGCCACCCACGGTGACAACATGCGCTATGAGACTTACAGCGCCGGAGTGCGCTCCTTATCACAGAACCAAAAAGAAATCTCAGGGATGCTACACGCATACGTCACCAGTTTTATCTGCAACCACGGGAATCCCAACGCCATCACTGGCAGGTGGGCTAACAGACCGAAGTGGGAGCCTTACCAGGCGGAAGAACAATCCAAGTCCAAGCCCAAGACTATGATCTTTGGGAAAGGGATCGAGGAACTTATTGGTGGACCTAATACTGGTAAGCTGGTCGAGCTGGTGTATGATGATTGGGCAGTAGAGCAGTCTCGATTCTGGTGGGACAGGGTCGAGGTAACTCAGCAATGAATACATAGATATACTACTACTCGTTCTATTAGTATACTACTATATAATGTAGTACCTACTATAGTATTAAGTACTGTAGTTTGACTATACTACTATAATATATAGTAAACTATAAATATATATATATGTACTATTAGCTGATCTAAGACACCACTTATCTTATATAATATACTTATTCACCCACTTTAACTCCTTTCCCCTCCATCTTTTTATTTACAAGTCCTAGATAAGTATATAGTTATATTTATAACTCGACCTTTAGCATTATAGATCAATCTAGAATTAATATTATTTCGATCCGGGTTTAATCCGGTCGGTAGATCAAACCCGGATCAAACCTGGATCAAACCTGGATCAAACCTGGATCAAACCTGGATCATCTAGATTAGTCTATACTCTTCTAATTTCTTATATAGGGGATAGTAAGTTCATAGTAGGTATAGTATGTATATACTACTATTACTATAACTCTCTTATAAAGTACCTAGTTACGCTAGGTATTTAATTAGTACTAATATAAGGAGATTATATAGTATATATACATATGTATTTACATAGTACCTAGTACAGTATGCAATAGTACTATGTAGTATGTAGTATTTTTAAAAACACACGCCGGACCGTTCCAAGACAAGACCATAGTCAGTAAGTATGTGTAGTCTTATCCCCCACTCCTAGAGGGCTATTGGTATTGTCCCTCTCGTGGTGGATGATGCACATAGTAGTTCTGCGTAGATGGGGTATGTCTTCAGCCAGCTCCTGCAGCCTCCTAGGCCTTGACCCTGCCACTCGGGCGCGATGTAGACGTCGGTGAGGTAGAAGATGGTGACGCGGGGTGATGGCGCTCGGTTTCGGTGTCGGGCGAGGGTTCTAGGTTTCGATGACGCTAACGCTCGTTTCGGGTGAGGGCTCACTGAGGGTTCTAGAGGATCAGGTTCAAGTTTCGATGATGTTGACCCTGACCCTGACGTTGACGTTGACGCCGTCGATCCGTCGTCGAACTCGTAGTACAACCTAAAGCAAAGCGGCATTTCGCCCACAGCCGTCTCCGGGAGTGTCAACATGTGCTGTTGCCCAGAAAAGCCTTGTTCAGCTGCGGAATCGGGGCAGAGGATAGAAGGTAGAGGATACATAGAGGACAGAGATTACAGGGCACAGGACAGAGGACAGAGGACACAGGGCACCTATAGTCGGTATCTGAGTCCATGTGAGGACTCACTCGTAGAGAGCATCTTAGAGAGGAGGAGAGAGACCACGATTGTATACGCCAGGCGTGACGGGGCGAGTTGAGGTTCAACATTGCGACGGGATCCGCGGCCAGGACTGCAGGAGCAATGCACATTTGTGACATTTCAAGTTCAAGTTGCTGGCCCTTGAAGGCTGTATTGTAATGTAGTACTATGTACGTAGTACTAGGTAGTAAAGTGCTGCTGATGTGGAGGTCACTGATCAGGATTGTCAAGACAGTGTGTGGACAACTAGTAGTAGTGGTAGTAATAATACTAATACTATGTACTCCGTATGTACTCCCATTTCAAAAAACACACCCCGGACCGTTCCAAGACAAAACCATAGCCTTATCTCCCACGCCCAGAGGCTCCATCTTCATCAGTTTCCTGTAGAATTCCAGAGGGCTATTGTCCCCCTTGTGGCCGATGATGCACATAGTCCTGCGCAGATAGGGCATGTCTTCGGCCAGCTCCTGCACACATCGGATGAGCCAGCCCCCCAGGCCTTGGCCCTGCCACTCGGGCGCGACGTAGACGTCGGTGAGGTAGAAGAAGGTGACGCGGTCGGTGATGGCGCGCGCAAATCCGATCAGGGTCGTCGGTTTCGGTTCGGGTTCTACTAGAGGATCAGATTCAAGTTTCGATGACGATGACGATGTCGCTGTCGCTGTCGCTGACGCTGACCCTGACGCTGACCCTGTCGCTGACGATGACGCCGTCGCTGACGCTGTCTCTGACGTTGACGTTGACGTCGATCCATCGTCGTCGTAGTACAGCCCAAAGCAAAGCGAGTTGTCTAGCATTTCTCTCATGGCCGTTTCCGGCAGTGCCGTTGCCCAGTACATGTCGTCCGACGCAAAAGCCTTGTTCAGCTGCGGAATCGGGATCAGCGACGCATCGGTGGAAACAAGAAACTTCATGTTCATGTTGGTTTTGGAGCCGTCCCTGGTCCGAGGCCGGGTCTGGACCCATGTTCGGGACTGCTGTAGTGCAGAGGCAATGTGTGACATTTTTCAAGTTGCTGGCAAGGCTATACTAGGTATGTACAGTATGTGGCTGATAGTAGTATCCGTACTTAGTAAAGTGCTGCTGATGTGGGGGGGATCGCTTCGATGCTGGCCAGTCCCGAGTGATAGGCTCAATGAGAGAGGTCTAGAGAGAGAGATAGTATCTCAGTACGGTAGCTATAGTAGTATGTACTTAGGTATGTATGTAGTAGAGAGAGGTGACTGGGTGCTCCGTGCTACTTTATACTAATGAATCTAGCTAAGTACATTTGCTATATCTTAGATACGTAAAGTACATAGTATGACTCATTTGCAAAGCCCTGGGCAGACTTGGTGGACACGCCCTCGGCCGAACTCTATAGTACTAGTACTTTAAATTATAGCAATCCCAAGGCCAGATATAGAGTAGATGACTCAACGGGCCGAAGCTGAAGGACATGACAACTTGAATCTGTGCGGATAGACAGACAGCGGTGTACTCCGTCCTGACTTTCTACCCAAGTATCTGATATACATACTATTGTATCTACTCCTAAACTCCTAAGGTATGTAATCCCAGCTCGCTAGGCACCAATTACAACTCCAAATTCCAAGGCTCTGATCCCCCCTGTGACGGCTTGCCGAACGTCTTGCCAGCAGGACCGAAATACGTCGCAAACAGCTTCGTCAGGTCCTTGTCTACCAACTGCATATGCTCGCCAGGAAGGGTCAAAAACTCCAGAGCACCCTTCTCGTCCAACTCCCTCAGTCCTATCCAGTCTTCCTTGTAAATCGGTCTATCCCGCAATTTCGTGACTGCGTTGGACGTAGTGTTGACTTCGTCGAACCAGCCACTATCTCTCGGAATGACAGTTTTGTCGTCGCGGAAAACAAGCATGACAAACTTGTCCAATTCGGCCAGGTTCTTGGCATACGTCGCATTCTTGTCCTTGCGCTCGTTGTTGATGTCTGCGAGGAAGTTGGAGTGCTCGAGATATTTGTCAAAGTCGTTCAAGTCTCGATAGTACTGGGCAGGCACGAGTCTGGACTGGATGAAATCCGACCACACAGTGCTGCTCTTCAACAGGGCATTGGCACCTTGACAGATCCAATCTGCGCTACTGGCACACTTTTGAAATTCCACAATGCCGTTATGCTGACTTCCAAAGGTGAGCAGAGATCGAACCTTGGGAGCCCAGCTGCCGCATCTTTGCACGTAACCTCTCAAAAACTGCCCACCCTGACTGAAGCCGATGGCGTCAATAGCCGGTGCGGTGCGGAGAATGTTGTCTTGTGCCAGCAGGTGGCAGACAGTCTCGATCTGCTGGGTGACATTGCCGAAGAACGAGGCCTGTCGATCTGCCGAACCGCCTGTGCCAGCCACGGAGATGATATAGGTGTATGTGCCCGGGTGGACATGGGCTATCAGTTCTGCAAGCTCTTTCAACCCTGCCGCGTCGGCAGAATCTCCTAGGCCGTGCCAGATCACAACAGGAAGAGGCTGGTCGTACGTATCGTCATCTGCCGGCTCTGCGGGGGAGACATGTTCGGGGGATAGTCTGGTAATCTTGACTCTTTGTCCGTCGACCGCCTCTTCGACCATGTCTGTGACTGAGACATAATCGGCGGACAGTCTGGCTTCCTCCACAGCCTCCGTGGGGTCAAAATGCGACGCCGAGACTTCAAACTTGGGCGAAAGTCTTGCTCTATGGCAATCGACATGGCCGATCTGCTTGGGGCGAGTTGCGGTCTTCGGGGAAAGGTATGAGGATGATTCTAGAGGGTCTTGCGGTTGGGGTAGACTTGAGAACACCTCGGCTTCGGGGAAGATGACGATAGAGAGGATGGTGGCCGGGAGGGATAACAGCACCGAGAGCTGTTGTAAACGCATGCTCGCGGGTTGATTGGACTTTTCTCCCGCAGTTCAAGATCCGAGATATGTCAATCTCCTTCTAGCCGAAGTCCAGCTTCGATGGGATGAAGAGTTGCAACAATGGAATAGAAAGTGATGCGATGCGATGTGATGCGATGGGGTGATGCCTGCAGTTCCACGGAGCCGTCGCCGGGCCGGGCGGACCCCTAATGCCAAGGCTCCAGCCCCCAGGATCTTCAAACTTGGAGTCGGCAGGTACGCTTGCTTGGCGCGTCGTCAGCGACAGAAGCTCGTCCCGTATTATTACAATCAGGTACCTGTCAGGACCTATACCACTCCAGTCGGCAGTACCCAGAGCTGACCATCTGGGTGCGAATATCCCAAGCAAGGTTGGATCCGGAAAGGCATAAATTCACTCACTTCTCTTGATTAGATCAGTTAGTCATATTTATACGTAAAATTCCAGTATATTCAACCCCAGCCCGCCGATGGGTATCGCTTCAATCGCAGATTGCCTCCTTTCCTTATTAACGCCTCATGTCTCATAATGTGGTCCAGAATTCCAAGCAGAAAGCCACATTCTCATCCTAGCAGCCCCAGGCCATCTTCCTCGGCGACTAGGACGCGTGCCTTCTTCAGATCCTGCGTCCATTTCCTTGTAACGTGCAACCACATTTGTCTCTCGTCTGATCGTTTCTCTTCCATAAACTCTTCCAGCGTTGGCTTGCTCTGACAGTCCTCCCAGGTCCTTCCATCTTTGACCAGCATCTCTTTTGTCAGGTGAGGGTGCTGAGCGACAGCCAACGTGATGGCCTCCTGGTCGGACTTGATCCGGAGTTCTTCAAGTTGACATGGAGGACAGGGGTGATCTTGATGAGGTAGGAAAGCCGGCAAACTCATATAGTGAGGCGCAGGATAATGGGTCGATGAGGAGCATGAAAATGAGAATGCTCTTGAAGATACGGTTTGCGATCGGTTGAACTTGAGGGCAAAGTCGCCGCACTCCGGCGGTTGGCGGGCCACGCCAGGCAGGGGCGCCATGGCTATCTTCTCCTTTCGAGATACAGGAGAGGGTGGGGTGATGGCGGTTGATGTCGATGAGTTGGAATCTATACTCCCAGCGGATGAACATGAGGCTCCTCTTGGAGAGGCCGGTGTCATTGACGAGCGATTCTGGCAGTTGTAGCATCTGTAGGGTTGTTGCGGCAATTTCCAACCAGTTGTCTTTATCACAGGGCATGGAACTGGGGTGCAGACGTCAAAGCCCATGAGCACGCCATGTCCACAGCAAAATCGTAGAACATGGGCCTTACACATCTTGGAGTACGGTGTCTTCCTAGAGTCTCCGAAGACGTGTCGTGTCGGTGGAGGGTTGAAGGCCAGGGTCGAAGATCGCAACGCCGAGGGACAAACAAAGATGCTTCCAATTCCGAAAGACTATAGTGCCATTTTAGTGGCGTATAGCGAGATCGCTATTATGCATCAGACGTTCCTCCTCGTGAGGTGTTGACCGGGTGAGTGAGACTCCAGGCAGAACAAGGCTTTCCAAGAGCTGCGCTGTTGCAGCCAGTCAAGGCGTGGTGTTGTCGTTCGGAGGTCGCGGTCTTGTTGTCGTCGCCAGGCCGTTTGAGGAGCAACCGAGGAAAGGGGATCTGTTGGACAACCACCTAGGTGGCGTGTAAGGAGAGGTTGCGCCGTAGCCGTAGAAGGGGAGGATAGAAGCTTCGCTGTCAAGAGGTCGATGGAGGGGGGATCGAGGGTTAGGGTCCGACGCATCCAGTTATTTACCGGTGCTTTGAGAGGTCCACAACGACAGCCATGGGACGGGAACTATTATGATGGCATCAAGAGCACGAGTGGTCCATCAACCCACGCGAGCAGTCGGGTGTATGTGGGCAGCGACTAGAGGGGCGAGTCGAGGACCGAGCGAAGGACTAGGGAAACAATGCAACAGACCACCCAAGAGAGAGGAAAGAACTCAGCTTTGCTGCATAGGACCGCGAGAAGCGACGCGGCAACGTCAACGGCATTACGAAGGGGACAAAAACTAGAAGACGAAATTCAATCTGGGTGAGTGCAGTAAAAGTCTACTCTGTACGGGATAACCTGTAGAGAGGGTGGGAACCTGGAAGAGTGGGAGAAGAAGTTTGTACACATAATAGTGGGATGTGGTGGCTGTCCACCAATCGCCGGAGTGGTGGTCATATCCCACGGTCCACTGCGGCTTCAAAGCCTGCAACCTGCACATCAGCCAGGTACCGTCTTTGCCGTTCACTTTCATCCCTCCAACCCTACTCGTACAGAACCTCATCCATGCTCCAACAATTGTACCATCCAATTCTACGGAACTTCAAGTTGTCGGTTCTTATCCACAACCTCCGCCCGAGCCTTCCCCGGCGGATTCGCTCTCCCCTCTCGAGACTACAACGATGGCTATGTACCTAGGTGTTAGCAGCAATACGGAGATAAGAGCAAAGAAGCTCGAACCGTCCTCGCGAAAGATGCGAACAGCTCCGAACGACACTTCTCTTAGCCTCGTCGACGTCCCGGTTCAGCCAATCAACCGAGCCTGTTGCCCGCCAATCGACCCTGCGATGCGTCTAAAATATTGTTTGGCTGTGCGTGTGCGGGTGTTTTTACTCTGGTGGTTGAAATTGTGTCCTTGTCATTCGTTCACGGCACCCATCACATCTCTGGGTCTTCCAGAAGGTGCTGACCCTGATCTTCCTTGAACAGGTGCCACTGCCACTGGCTCCATATTCCAGCGATGAAGACAGTATTCACAACCTGGCTTTCGTCCGCACCCGTATATCGATAGTCGGCGCACAGCCTGGGAACAGACAAAGCCTATGCTGGAGCTGCGGTTTGCCGACACAATGGCGAAATACCCCCAGTAGGGAGAAGTGTGGAAGAGACCAAGTTCGACCGGAGGACTCGGCAGCTCAACACGGCCATCTCCACCGTTGCCACATGCTCTCGAGTGGATACATACTTTGTACAACCCACGGGCTATCTTGCCCATTTGACCACTGACAGACTGACAGGCCTCCCTAGCCCGTAGCAATGACGGCACGCTCTCAGCTACAGCCGGGCCTCGCGAATAGAATCGGGCAGTCTTTACCAGTCGCAGGGAAATCGGAGTTGATGTGTCCGAGTGTCTGGCTCAGTCCTTGGGCAAGCCCTCCTTCTCGATTCCCGAGACACGTGACGGGGCTTGATGTCTCACAAAATACCTGCCCGGATTATTGCAGCGGCTTTGTGTAGGTCTGTCGGTCTTCATCCATGATATCGGAATAGCCAGCAGCAGGGCTTTGTACTGCGAAAATTTATTGACCTCTCGAATCTCCTCACTGATAAGTAACAGCCCCTCTAGCCCCTCGGTCGCGATCATTCCTTGATGCCTGGTCTTTGTCATGATCGTAGATGGAAGGCACCAGCGACATGATAAGGGTGGATTCGTCTATCAAGGCCGACTCTAGATCTACGCCTTGCCACGAGTATTGCGCTTTCATAGACCACCGGTGAGTCTCCTTAGGCAGTTTTGGTTGTTACCGTTCTCTACCATCGTCTCCCATTGTTATTGCAAGTATCATCTTGACCATCTTGGTAGGCTCCTCCAGCACCACTGTTTATGTCACCGTCTTCGTCGACAGTGTTGTAGTACATGATGATGCTTTGAATCCGGAGGACATTGTCATCCAGAGGAGGTCCGACCGACCAGCCTATTGACCTCGGTATCAGCTTGGGCCCAGTACGGTTAGATAGGTGGACAGATACTGCGTGCGTACCCTTATCACCGTTTGCCCAGTTATTCCATACCCAAGGTCCTGGTCGAGTGGGCACATTGATCGAGTAGTTGTACTGCAAGATACCGTCGATGTAGAAAGCAGTGTAGTCCGAGGTCCAGTCAATACGATATTCGTGCACCTGAGCCGTGCAGTCAGATGGAGCCGGACCTGCTCCTCGTGTTGCGGGCGTCCCTTTGGGATTGGTAGCCTGATTTGTGTACCAGATACGGTTTGTTTTGCCTGCACCATTATTTGACAGTGATGTCGGGTCGGTCAGGTACTCGATGTCGATCTCTTGACAGTCGGATTTGTAGAAAAAAAGACCTGCCTGTTTAACAGCCCAGACATCAGAACAGAGGTTTCAGGTCGAACTCATACCGTGGCAGGTTCCCGGCACTTGGCTGAAGATGGCGTTGGTCCGCACGCTGGCATAGAGTATTTTCTCCTCGACAGTTGTAATTTCGGCGCAGCTCACTGCAGTATCAGGATCGCGGTCAGGGTTCTGCTGTCCTGGAACAGTCAAGGCAAGGACCCCATTGGAGACTTGAACATTGATTGGATCGTAGCGTATATTGTACGGAATTGGTTGAAGTCCGTCCATCCCCTGCTGTCTACAGAGATAGTTGCTCTTCGTCAGCCCAGCAGGCATATCTTGGTCGAACACGTATATTGCCTGATTGTCAAAGCTTCCGACTCCGTCGACCACCCATCTGTCCCCGACCTTTTTGACATCTCCTGACTTGGTTTGGGGTTTACTGAGGAGAGGAAGTCCGGCGGACACCTGACGCTGGCGGGAATGATTGTCGTTGGATATGATGTCTCGACGTGGCTCGACGGCTTCCTGTTCTATACTACATCAGTTCAGACCTCGGTCTTCACCTCACGGAGGATTCGAGGATTGCATGGTGTTTGTGTGTACTCGAATAGGGCATAATAGAAATTGGGTCACTTACGGACAGTTGAAAGCCTGCAACGTTTCGGCTGTTTCGGTCTTTTTGTCCGCAACAATTCGGCGAGTCGGTCGCCAAGCGCCATCAATGAGCGTCTCAAGGGCATGGTGTTCCAATATGAAGTGACTTGGAAGTTCTGCCAGTGTATCAGGCAAAGCCGGGGTCTGGTCGGCCTGATGTAACGCCGATATCATGGAGGATGAAGGCAACAGCAATATGAGCCACATGTACACCCTCGGCCAGAACACATGCGCTAAATAGCTGAACCACTGTTTCATGTGTCTGCAACAGCGGAAGGGGCGTGTGGAGGACATTGAACTTTGACGATGGTGGTACAACGAAAGTTCCAATATCTCGGCAGCAGACACGAAAGTGGCTTCACCGCGCCTTCCTTCCTATCCAGGGTTGGCACTGGCACTAGCACTGGCATCCCATGAAAATGGAAGGTGCCAGGCTGGGTACCGGAGCCGAAGACCAAGACCAACATTCCAAACCGCAGCCGGTCGTCACTGACACAACTGCCATTTCACCTCGTATCCAAAGACGGTTTTTCGGAGGGTTTCATCCCCGGGGTCATTGTCGAACATAAGCTTATCCATGGTGTGCTCCAGGAGTTTATTAACCACAAATCCGTCGGCACGAGCAAGATCAAAAAAGGCCAGGTCCCTTTCGAGAAGCCAAGGCCGATATGGGGTGAAGAATACGAGCGCTACAGACTCGACCGATTTTCTCAAGCAGTCACGAAGAGTGACCAGAAGTTTGGCGTGCTCGGAGTGGTTGAATAGGATATCGGCAAGAATCAACAGGTCAAAGCGATCAGCTTCAGGGCCAATGTGGGCTTCGAGCGGTACCGCAGGACTGCCCCAGAGGAAGCCATCCGCAACAATGTTGGCCTTGTTTACAAGTGCGGAGCAATGCTCGATATTGTGGCGAAGGTTCAGGATCAGATCGGGATCAGGATAATCAGTCACCACCACCTTCTTAGCTCCGAGGATTGCAGCAACGAGGCTGGGAAGCCCAGCACCAGCACCTAGTTCGAGCACCGTCTTGCCTTGAACCAAATGCGCATTGTCTTCCAAGTACCGCGCAATCACCTGCCCAGCATTCCATAGAAGGTGACCCTTGCAACTCGTCAGCATCGTACGCGCAGATTCAGCGTTCCACAATTGGTTCCCACCCATAGAGGACTGTGGCCGACGAGCCGAAGAGAAAGACTCTGACCATTTTGGAGCGTGTAGGTGGTGGACGTAGCTGGCTTTTCTGGCTGGTAGAAATCGGCGGGCTCCTGGAACAAGTCAAGCGAGGCAGGTTCATCTTCATTGTCACTGCTGTGATCCATCTCCATCTTGTGCATGCTGGCCAACAAACCCACCAGCTGCACAGGATATGAACTTGCAAAGAAGTGGACGCCGTGATCTCTTCATGGAGCAACTTGTTCCTGCAAGCACTACACTTTGAAGTTCGAGTTCAAGTTCTGCACTGCGAGTCAGGTTGCTTGGCAGAAGAATAAAGTCACGTGGATGTGACAGGCACTTGCTCCGGTTGGCCTTGGCCCGAGGACAAATCGGCCGGGCATCGCATCAGGCCGAGCCAGGCGAGTGAGGTTGCCTGCACACACGGAGAGCATCTGAGATTACATTCGCTAACCTGAACCCAGATACTCTGCGGGCTGAGATGCGAGTCAGGAATAATAATATCAATACATATTCGGCACAGATGCGGACGTGATCGAGGGCCGGAGTCCAAACACCCAGCATCCAGTCCGTGCTGGCAGTGGTCTGATGGAGAGCGCAGGTCTGGCTCTGAGATACCTCTGCACCTCTGCACCTCTGCCGGTGAGTGTCCTGGGAACATCTGGAGCAGTCATGACAACAAAAGCCAGGCTGCATGCCTTATGTCACCAGTTACCTCATCCACACACCACGCAGACATCAAGACCGCCGTGTCTCTACTAATCACAACTTGAACTTGAGCAGATCATGATGTGAGAACTTTGTAGTGCGGGCAAATTGACCCCCCATCCGTAGACTGCCGAAATATACTCCGTACAACACAGCAACAGTGGGATTCTACATCTGGGGTCAAGAAGGTATCGGGTACGGTAGCCTGGGTAAACCGGTGTATTTCCGCGTACCAATACAGCTCTTTGGCTGGGCTCAGGCCTAAGCCTGGCCCCTAGTCCCCTAGTCCTAGACCCTTGGGGTCCCTAAATTCGGTACAATGTCGGCGACCAATCCTCCGCATCTACCCGTGTTTCGTGGGCACGGGGATCGCTGTATCACGCTTGTCAGTCGTCAGTGGTCACCTATGACTGTAGTGCTACTAATAAGGACATCGGTACCTTACTACCTTACCCATAATAATCTGTGCTCTACTAAGGTACTAAGTGCCGGCCCTCGATCTTTGCCGCCAGTTCTTCACCACCACCACCACCACCACCACCACCACCACATCTTCCATCTGTCGCCGAACGTCTGTACACATTCTCCTCCTCGATTGCCGTTCTTCCTCCGTCTTCTTTATTACCTTGCAACGTCCAGCGTTGCACCCGGGACCCCCACTTCTCGCCTCATCTCTCTTCCTCCGGGCGCTCGATCCCAATCGATTACGCCCCGCACGCCTCCAGGCTTCGGCTTCCGCATCTCCCTCCCAGTCCCAGGCCTCCCCGCGAATCTTGCCGCGGGTGAGCCAGTCTGCGCTGCTCGCTGCTCGCCGCATCTGCTTTTGCGGGCATCTCGGTTGCCTGGTCACACTCACACACCTCACCGGAAGACTCAACTGCACCCGCAGGCGCTTGGAGAATTCCAGCCGTCAGTGGTCTGCTCTCCAACCGCTGCACCATCTACGTGCCCCCCGGTCTTCCGTCTTTCTTTGCCGCAAGATCTGAGGAGCGAACCTTTTTCCTTCCTCCTCACCACTCGTATTTCTAGGCAGCCAGCGGTCGTCCAGACTCATCCTTTCAGCCCGCCTCACTTCGCCTCCCTTTCCTCTTGATCGTCCTTATCACGAAGCAAACACCGCTAGCCGCCGCTCCACTCACCTATCGAAGATCACTGCGTAGAGGAGCCGCCCTGCTCAGCGGCTGTCTCGTCTGAAACATTGTCCTCCTGGAGCGCGGGTCACAAAATGAGCAGCTATCCTCGCAGGAGTGCCCGAATTTCACATCTTCAACAAGAACAACCTCACCAGAGACCTGATTCTCAACCGCACTCATATCCGAGCAGCTTCTCCCAATCCTCGAGTGTCTCCACGAGTTCTCATCCCAGTCCCGTCGCTGACGCCCTCAATCCTCCTCCTCCGCCATCGACTCCCCAGCCAGGGCACCCTCATCTGCACCCACCACTGCACCTCATGGCTCACCAGCACCAGCAACAGCAACAACAGCAACAAGCACACATACATGCTCCCCTGCCCTCGCCTTCAGCGGGAGACATTGATCCTTTTTTCGGCCGTCCTCATTCTCAGCCGAATACATATATCTCGCCACAGATGAATTTCAACTTTGTCAATCAGCAACCTCTGCAACAACAGTCCTTTGGTGGTGAGCAGCAGCCTCAAATGAACCAACAACATCATCTCCATCCCCATACGAATTCCATGTCGCAGGAGCGTCCTGCCATCGTGAATCCTCTGAATCCGGGTCAATTGCCACCCAATTTCCTTGCCGAGGCTGCAAAACGTGCCCAGATGGCCTGCCTAATGCGAGATTTGGGCGACGTTTCTTTATGATACACGTCTACACACAATCTTCTACCGGTCGGGCGACTGCTAGCAGAAGAATTTTTGATGCCCTCTGAATCTGGATCCCGTCGCTGGCTGGGACTATGGGCACAACAAGATGTGTCTTGACCCGACCGAATCTGCCGAGGAAACTGCACCGACATGTGATCGACCATGACAGCCTTCACCAGCGCTGTCTTGGGCACATTGTCCTAGAATTTCTCATCGGAAAGGTTGTGCTGCATCATCGTGCACTTCTGGAACTTTTCCGCCTTAGTTTGCCCACGAAACCCCGAAAGCCAGTGAGTGAGCCGGCCTCACCTCGAGACACTGAATACACCAGCGGACTGTGCGCTATACTCGAACCAGGTATACGCTTCCGCGACTTGACGCCATCCAACGACTTCATCTCTACTTAATCTTACATTTATCGGCGAGTCTCTCTTTCTTGCTATCTTCATTTCAGTTTCCATGCAGCGTGGGTTTCCGGCACCTACCATTGATGTTTTCATTGGCTGAGAGGATATGATCTGTTTGTTGTTCATTTGCGAGGTTCTTGGGACTGTTGTCTAGAACTGGAAGGGTCTTTCTTGATCGGGGGTAAAGATTCGCAGGACAAGATGCTCTTTACGATTATTTGTGGTCGAGAAGACTTGTTTTTGGTATTGCAGGTGTTGATGCGGGTGAAGACGGGTGAAGATAATGGAGCATTCGATGGGAGACTCCACTGGCCTCGACATGGTTGTACCCGAAGCCGGAGAGTTGCATCATAACAATTTTCTCTGAATTCTGCATTTGCAAGGGAGGGCTTGGTACCAGTGCAGGCAACAAGTGCGATTGGTGAAATGAGTATACACTGGAGACGGAGACCTCTTGGGATATGATAAACTCTTTGGTCCGTGACCTACTCCTAGAGTCTGAATGAACTATATGAACTTTTTCGAGTCCGAGAATCCGAGACTCGAAGCCTCGCAGGTCTCTCGCACATTATTCATGATTGCCTTGTCGCCAATGCCAGTCGATCGTTATCTGGCGCGAGACGATACTCGAACAATAAAGACTATTTCTATCTCGTCTTCCGCTCTGCTGTAGGCCGGCGACTTGCTTACTTACTCGCTGCGAAGAGGCCGGAAAGGCTGAAGCGGGCAATGCTTTTTAGGTATTCAAGTAACATGGATAGACGGTTCCATTAAGGAGATCAGATCATTCAGCATCGTTCCATGAAGGAGATCCGATCACTCAGCATCATTCCATTCGCGGTCCAAGAAGTCGACGAAATCCTCGACGACGCGACGGCGGCCAGAGACATAGCCCTGGCCGTGGGCGATGCCGCCGCGTTGGATCTGGGTATATTTGCGGCGGAGGCGCTGCAGCATGGGCTGCGAAAGGGCGATGCCGGCGGGGACGTACAGGGTGGTCTCGTAGCAGGCGTCCGGGTCCGCCGCGGTCGGGGTGGGAACAGCCAGGGCGATGTTTCCGCCGTCGCGGTCGCCGTCCGCGGGGCCGCCGGGCTCGCGGGCCCGGGCGAGCACGTGTTTCGCCACGTCCATGGTGGCGCTCTCCAGGATCTGCAGGGCATCGGCGGCTGTTGCTCTGGGCAGCACGGTGGCGGCGTGCGGCTTCACGGCCGGGTCGGACGTCGACGTCGACGTCGACGTAGACGTGACGGCGGACGGCGGCCCGTGGGGGCCAGGCTGGGTCTGGGTCTGGTTCTGGTTCTGGGCTGGGATCTGCGACAGGGCCTTCCTGCTCGTCGGGGTCGCGGGCTGCGGGAACAGGGCGGCCCAAATGGCCTGGGTCGGCGGCGTGGCGTCGCTCGACGGAATCGTAAACAGCGGCGTGTCCCAGCGCGAGAAGGGCGACGGAGGCTCGTACCGCATGGCCAGCGAGACCAGTGTGGCTGGTGAGTAGGGCGGCGACGCTGTCGGCGCGGGTGGCTCCAGACATGCAGAGGGCAATGAAGTCGCGGGTGCTGGCGTTGAGGATGGTGGTCGTCGAGTGGAATTCCGACCTGGACTCGCCCCTCTCTCGGTGCCCTGCCGGTCGGTGATGTACAGCGACTTGAGGGTCATGGTGTCGTCGGGCTTTGGTCTCGACGGCGCAGGCGCCTGCGCCTCCGCCTCATCGCCTCCTCGATCTTGTGGTTCGTGTTCCCCGTCGAGAGACGAAGAACGCGACCACGACCGCCGATCGCCATATATGGCCGTGTGACTCTCCGGGACCAAGTGGCCGAGGACGTCGGTGCCGTGTGTAGCAGGCGTCTGGGTATCGACGACGCGAGCGGGCTCGTCTCCGCCGTCACGAACCCACGCTCTCTGACGCTCGCCGTTCCACGTTTTGCATTCGTCCTCGCGCGCCGCCACGTGCACGACGCAGCATCTGGTCGCGGCCGCCTTGGCCTCGCACCACAGCTGGTAGCGGTATCCCTTGATGTAGTTCAGTCCATCGGCGATCACGATCTTGTCTTTGGACACGGCTCTCTTGATGGCCGAGAATTCTTCCGCCCGCGCCGTCTTCTCCTGCGCCGTGCTGTTGTAAATTTGGTCGCGCACACTCTCCCGGCTGGCCGGTCGGCCGGGCTCGTAAGGCTCGTGGGCGGACGCATGCTGAGAAGGCACAATCTGCACGCTTTTCTTCGAGTGTGCCGCTGGGTCGGACGCAATGAGTGCGTTCAAGTCGGCCGCGATCTGCTGCGCTCGGAACGTTTTGCCGGAGCAGGGAAGGCCAGTGAGGATGATGAGCTGCGAGAACAATTGTTAATGCCTGACGGTCGTGTCGTGTTGGATAGGACCAGGAACGGTCTGACTTACTGGCATCACGCGCTCGGAGTGCAACGTGGAACACGGGTGATGAAAATTATATGAACGTAAGGTTGGTGGGGGGTGTATTGTATACGCACCACCTACGCTACTCCGTACTCCGTACATTAGTTAGGTAGGTAGACAAATCTACCTATAAGATCCCTGAGGCTACCTACCTCTAAGCCTGGTCCCTCCAAGCAGCACCTGTCTGGACTACTCGCACCGCACTCCGTACATTGTATATGTATAAATATATATACGGAGTATGTAAATAAGTATTAGGGAATCATGTCGCTACTACTCCGTCGTCAGCGTCAGCCTTGCCAGCTGAATGAAACCAGTGGTCATCGACACCAATACTTGTTCAAATAACAGAATGCAGCCTGGATTGGGTTCGTAATCGTCGTACATTCAATCACTAAACACAAGTCGCACAATACTGCACTGCAAGCGATCAAGATCTATCAAAACACATCCTCTTCCTCTTATGTTCTGTTGCCGGTGGGTTCATCGGCGCCACCCTTCCATCACCCCAGCACAACCCCCTTTTACACAGTCACGCATCAGATTCACAGATCCTGGGATATTCCTCGTGGAGGTAGAGTGGCCTGTCCGTGGATACAACAAAGCGAAAGGAAAACAAGCACCCTCGTCCGGAGGGCGAGGCTTGGTCAAAATAAGAAAGATGTCGTGTGACTGGGATCAGCTCTGGTAGAGAACCCCCATTTCAGAGATGGATGGTTGCAACAACCGGCGGCATAGTGGTTCTGTTGCACCTTCAGGTGCTTTTCCCGTTCAACCGGTGGACTGGCTCCACCCTAGCACCGATGGGTAGTGCAACCTCATAAGCTGGCAAAAGAGAAACGGCCTCCTGGTGGTTTGAACATGTGTGTACATGGGAGCGACTGTGCATCATCCGGCTCAGCGGCAGCGGCAGTGGCAGTGGCAGTGGAAGCAAGCAGTCCAGGGAGACGGTGCCTGGAAGTGGACGAAGTACCGGTAAAGATATCCTGGACATCCTGGAGAGTATAACCTGGGAGACAAGTGGACCCTGTCCAGTGGGCTTTGACATGACTGATATATCCTCTAGCCAGCGTACATGCATGGAGTGCTGTACCGAGCCTGGCTGACGGTACGACCATAGTACCTGGGCTGGACGGTGGCACCAGCTATGGCCTGAGCTCTGGCCAAAGCTGACGAGCCGGTCCGCTTCATGGGCGTCGAGGTCAGTGTATCCGGGACTTTTCTCCGCTTGGGCTGGTCCGGGGTAGTTGTACGATCCCTGGGCGAGTCTTCCTCGACATAATCATGCACTCGTTTCATGTGATCTCGCTGGTTCCAGCGTCGAGGAAATCCATTTCCATCTCGAGCACGATCGCAATCCGGGAATTTGCAAAGAAATGGGTTCAATCCGTGATTGTGTAGTCCATGGGCCTCCCTTTCATGCCGGAAAAGGCATGCGTTGGAAGAAAACCGGGCATCCTCGCACTCTGGCCGATCCGCAAACTTGCACCGGTAAGGCCTCAAATGGGAATCCAGGTATTTACTGTGTAGAGGGGCAACAACATTAGAGGGTATCCGACATGGTGCAGTACGCTTCAACCTACTTGTAGATGCATCTCTGTTTCGTGGGCTTGTGGGCGCATTTAGCTTCGATGAACATGGGGCAATGGTACCATCCATCCTTGTCGGCCTTGGTATCATAAAGGGGATCACTTCTGGCCTTGACTTTGTCGACCGTGTCGTCTCTGAGAGCCGGGGCTTCGACGTGCACAGTGGCGTGTTCTCCAGACGAATCACTCCGTTCCGAGGCGGATCGGATCGGCCTTGGCTGAACAGGGCTTCGTTGCGCAACTCTGTTCGGTCTTGGGTTAGCGGCGGAACATCAGGGGAAGAGAAGGAGGGAAGTCAGACCTGTACGACGGGGACTTCGGGGTGACATTGGTCCCGAAAGCGGCAAGGTTCCGGTCACCCTGGTACGGCTCCGGCTCGTAGTCCTGGGCAGATAAGAAACTATGGGGCAAGATCTCCTGGACATAGTCCTCTGGGGGCGGCGTCAAGACCCGGTTCTGCCATGAAAGATCCGGAGAAAAAAAGTTGTTCATCATCCCTGAAGTGTAAATGCCGGTCTCCATAGGCATGTATCCGGAGTTCAACAGGTCCGGTGTCTGGCCTTGTCCTTGGTAACTTGATGATGCCATGTTCAAGTCCGTGGTGCTGGTCCCTGACAGAACATCATCTGTCAGGAACTCAAATGTCGGGTCGGAGTCATAGCCGACCATGCTCGACATGACCGGCACAGTGTAAGTACTTTGCGCGACGCTCAACGAGGGATAACGCATGGCGGAAGACGTTGTCAAGAAAGAGTCATCACCATCGGAATATGATCCGGAGGACAAGGTTCTGGTCCCAGACCCAGGATATCGGCGCGACACCGATGGAGATGAGACTAAAACATAGTTGGGGTTGGCAACACCCCCGAGCAGGGTAGGGGAGTTGAAATCCATGGGCTCCGCGTAAGTCACGGGCATTGTCCTGGGCATCCGGCTCTGATTTCCTGGGGGCCGAGTGGCCATTGCAGATGGAGAATGTCTCGACCTGGAGGGCATTTCTAGCAAGCCAGGTCCACGGAATCTAAGTCTGTCAGGACGACAAGTCAGTACTTGGTCTCACGGCAACTGCGATATGAAACGGCCTCCAGGACAACGGTTGGCTCGGGGAAGGCGGTGGTGATTCAGACGGAGGCAATCAAGGACGGTCCAGGGGGGCCGGAAGGTGTGGGGATGGGATCCAGTAGTCGAGGAGTTGTTGTTGGGGCATGGGAGTGGTCGAACGGCCATCGGCGTCGGAGAGCTTGTCGAGGAGGATGGGACAGGTATGGTGTAAACGATCGCAAGCCGGCTGAGGAGGGACAGAGGCGCTGGGTTATTTGCATCCAGATTAGAGTCGAAAGACCGGGCCAACGGCGAACGTCTCCCATCGGGAGACTTCGGAGTGCTGAGTTGTGATGACTTCTCGCCGATCCAGAGCCAGTCTTCGCAACTTCGACGTAACAGTGTGATCACAGAGCCTGTCCAGGAATTGGACTCTTCCGAAGTGGTGTGGCCACGGCAGGAGTAATGGGCTAATGGGCCAGATCCTAAGCTGGCCTGAGGCAACCTGGGAATATGTCGACAGATGAGAGCACATAGCAGTAGTGGCCAAAGTGGAACATAGGGGCTGAGTTGGTGATGTCCGGAGGTTCAATCAATGCAATCCCGGGTTCAAAAAAAACAAAAACAAAGGTCCATTACGATAGGGGCCTGGCCAGGGGAGTTTCCAGGGAAATTCCAGGGAGATGGTTTTGTCCGGTTCATTGAGGCCAATCCATGGGGGTCCTGGGATAAAAGGGTCCATATGGGTATTGAGCTTCATTTCATTGCAATCTCTGAGGGATAACACGAAGTTGTCGACCTCATCGAAGCACCTTTCAACCTAGCCGCTCAACGGCATAGGTGATGGTGTGGGGGTGGGCGAAGCCAGCCCGGGGATGGTCAACCGACAGGGGACAACAGGTAGTTGTCAACACCCGTGGTGGAGCGGCGATGAAAGTAGAAAGACAAAAAGAAAACTGTGTAGTACCTCAAGTGTGGTATTTCCGGATTGGACAGAGTGATGAAAGGTCCGTTTGCTGGTGGTATTCAAGTCCTGGATAATCCCGGGAGCTGGTACAACGACAACAAAGGAAAATTCAAGCAAAAGCACAAGAACAATCCTGGGATTTTTCCGGCTGGATGAGTAGATGGTCCTGTGGATAGAGATATAGGGTCCTTGTGGCCAATTTGGATAAGGTTGATGAAAGTGGGAAGTCAGAGGTTGCTGGAGAGTAGCTGTCTGGCTGGCTAAGTGCTGTGTTTCAGAGTCGAGAGAAAGAGTATGTGATGAGGATTGAGGAGGGAGGAGGGCGAGCGAGAAGGGGGGGTGCTGAGGTCCTCATTTAAAGGACGGCGAGGAGTCAGAACAGCAGGACGGTCAAGGTGGGTGGAGGGCGCGGCGGAGGCAGAACCGGCCGAGGTGGGCTGGAGCAGAAGTTTCCGCTTTGCTGAGTGGCCTCTTCCAGGACTGCAAAATACAGCCAGATCCAGTCACCGCTAAAAGCATACCGGACTGTAGGCGAAGCTGGCTGCAGAGTCTCTTTTTTTGGGTTGCACAAGGTGCATATGCAAGCCCATCACAAACAACGGGAGGACAGGTTGCACCACCTCGTGCAGCAGGTTGCCCCGTTTTCGAGCGGCAGGAGGATGCGGGCTAGCACTGAAGCGAGGGAGCTGCCACGGCCCTTCACTCGTCTGTCAGGTTCGACACGACCCGCTACGGCCGGCGCCAGCTCATCTAGCTCGGGGGCTGTCGACTGTGATGGCGGCGAGTGAGAAGGATCAGCACTCGTCTCCACGATGGTTTGATACGCTCTGTCGGCGTCGGTGAGATGAAGCTCTCATCTGGATGGGAGAAGCTGGCCGGGCATGATCAGCAGGGGCATCTCCATTGGTGGTCCATGGTGACATAGCCTCCCACGTTGGTCGCTCTGCCTGCATCTCCGGCCACTCGCAACCCGGTGACGAAGGTGACGGAACGGCTGGTACTTGCATCGTGCAGAGGGAGAGGACTGACGTGGCATTCTCTCGTGCCAGCAAACTCCATCTCGTGACATGCTCTTGCTTCGTCTTGCTTCGTCTTGCTTCGTGTCTCGCATCGACTAACGACCCTCAATCACAACAAGGCAAACACCAGGGCTCGCTTTTGTCCAGCTGAACGGGCAACCCATGCCTCACATTGGATTGTACGAGTACCATGCATCAGAAGTGCCTCCCGTTGCTTTGGCTGGTGACAACTGCCCGCTTTGACAATAATCGACCAGGGGTTCCCTTGCAATTTCCAACTTTTCCAAGTTGCTACTGCAAACTTCTCGTCCAGCCACCAAGAGGATGGGTTGATTGAACGGTGTTTTCGTCCTCCCGTGTCACCTGCAATCCCGAGGTTGGTGATACAGCGTGGCACTCAATTGTCAGCGCAGCCAGGTCCCGAGAGCAAAGTACGCTCGTCTGCATCTGTATCCCCATCCAAGTGGGAGCTGTGTATTTGGCCTCAATGTTGACTACACATACTGCTGAACGCCATATTCGTAATTACTAGTAAATATCTATTGAGCCTTTGGCAGGCTCGAAGATCAAGCTGTGGTCGATGCTACGAGAGTGAGATTCACAGTCGGTCCGGCTTCGGAAACGAGATCGAGCATGGTGTGTTGCCTGCAACAGTCTGTGACGACCCCATATTTCAAGGCCTTTGATTCGATCGTTGGCTATCATGCAAGACCATTCCTGTTAATAGCCATTAGTAGGTCTCCATGTGCTGACAGTGTGTGACAGGGCAGCCAAGGAGATCGGGTAAAATGGGTTCAGAATTTGATGATGGTATTTTGTTCGTTCAATGACAACGTGGTCTCAGTTGAACTATGCTTTTAGGTTGATATATTCATCATAACAGGGGCCGAGGGATGATGCTCGAAATCGGACAAGACAGTGTGCCACATACCTCATATAAAGCTAGACGCTGGAAGTACTCCGTAGGCTGGTGGTACAACATTCGTCAGTGGCCAAGCAGCTTTGCAGCAAACGTCTCCAGTCTGCTGTCAGCTGAGATGGATTTTTCCGGGCTGTCATGAAGAATATCCGGGCGTGAGGACAACACTGTACCATGTCCTCCGTAGCGCGGGCGACAAAGGGAATCAAGTCCAGTCACATTTTTCTTCGCTGTATGATGAGACAGTGGCCGCCGGAATGGAATGAAATTGAACTGAGGGTGCAAATTTGGTGCCAAGACTGTCCGGCTCTGCACGTGATCGTACATACCATCACGTGCACTGCGAGGCTGTGACCACGAAGGGGTCCCACGGAAGGGGGACCACTCAATTCGGGATCAGACGAAGAGGTCGCAAAGAGAAGGTGAACTTGACATCATATGTTCCTGGCTACCGCATGAAAGCTATCCTTTCTCGGAGCTTGGAAGGTCGATTTTTACTGATTAAGCTGTTTGCAATGCACTGCCGCCCTGCCGTCCTGCCGATCTGCTATTTGTAGAGGACCACCCCGCCAGGCGGAACCGTAACCTGTACGATTGACCTTCCGTTCGTGTCCTGGACTTTCACTGATTTTGGCACCTTGTCAGCGATGCTGGAGTACAACAACACGATCGTACTCCCGGGTGGATGCACGTCACTGTCAACCGTCACCCAGGCAGACACCTGAGAGTTTGGATCTGTGGCGATTGCGCACAACACCTCCTCCCCAGCGAAGAGTCTGGACCAAGCAATGACAGACCGGATGGGCGGCGAGCCGACAATGCTCGGCAGGCCAAAGTGAACGCCGTCGCCTGAAATCTCGCGGAGGTACTGCCTCCCTCTGCGCAAGGCCATCTCTTGGCTCCGAACCTCTGCCAGGCCAGCCACAGTCTTCCAGACAGGGTTGTCTTCGTCGAAGAAATGGCGGCGTTTGCTACGAAAGGCACCAAACGCCCCTCCAAACATGGCTTCCCGGATATATTGATCGCTTCCGCCCTGGCCATCGAAGGCTTGTTCAGTGCCATAGTAAATGCAGGGAATACCCAAAGTGAAGAGGTTGAGAGCAATAGCAGCCACGACGAGCTGGGGACCATTGCCGTCGGAGCAGAAACGGCCTTTATAGTTTCCTCGCCAGACCTGATCATGGTCGTCAATCATGGTGACGACTTTGTCTCGGAACCAGGTGTGGCTGCCCTTGTTAAGGTAGAGAGCGTTGCGGAACAGGTCAAAATATTCCGCCGGATTGACCTGACCTTTAGGAACCCTCCAGAGCTTTTCCTGGACATCTCCGATCCCGAGAGCGGCATCTATACCTGTGGCCTCGACGGTTTCGAAGGCCCTCGAGCCTGTTATTTCACCAACCAGGAGGAACTTGTCCTTGCCCAGGTGCTGCGCATATTCGTGGATGACACTCGCAAAATACCTGGTGGGACCGTCCCCCATGTGCTTGACGGTATCGATTCGGTAACCATCAATGTCGCTGTAGGCGATCCAGTACTGATAGCATTGGCATAGAGCTTTCAATGCGGGCGTGGCGTTGAAATTGTCTGGGCTCGGATCTCCCAGTGCGATATCCTTGAGATCATAAAAGTCGCCATCGAGATACTCGGGCGATCGATCCCACCCGTCATCGTTAATCTGGCCCTTGCGTGTGAAGCATTCGGCGCTCTGCAGTTCAGATGGCCACACTGCGGCATCTGGGAAAGCAGTGGGATACTTCTTCTCATCGACTTTGCCTAGAGGTATGTTCGGTACTCTGTCTTTGTCATAAAAGCCTTTCACATCGAACGTGTCTCCCGTATAGTGCGGGTTGTCTGCCTTGTACTCAAAGACATTGCCACTGTGATTGAGGATGATGTCAAGTAAGACATAGATGCCCTCCTTGTGTGCGGCAGCAACCAGGGCATTCAAGTCTTCCGGGGTACCAAATCGGGGGTCGATGTCCAGAAAATGCTGCACGCCATAGCCATGGTAAGTCTGCAGCTCCGACACGTTTTTGAAAATCGGACCGATCCAGAGAGTTGTGACGCCGAGGCGCTTGAGATATCCCAGCTTGCTGATCACACCTTTCAGCTTTCCTCCAACGAAGGCTGAGCCAGCATCTCTCCACTGGGCCGCGTCATTGTCATTGCTGACGGCGTTTGCATTGTCCTGGGGGCCGTATTTGGCAGTAGTACCGGTGGCGACAGGGTTGCCTTGGACATCCTTGTAGTCTTTCTCTGAGTTATCCGAAAAGCGGTCTGGGAGGAGAAAGTAGAGGACCTGATCCTCCCACGCTGTCGGAGAAGGATGGAACGTGACCGAGGGAGGCGCTCTCGCAATCACAGACTGGACCTCTGAGCTGGCGACGCTTCTGATAGGTGTGGTCATCACGACGTTTGGAATGCCGAAAGACGTGAGGAATGTCTCTCTGGCACAGATGGCTAGAAGCAATTCATATACGGAGGCAAAGCTCCTCAGCAACCAGCCCCCTCTCCTTCTACCCGGACAGTGTCAGCCGCAACGGAGAGGCTAGGCTGTGACTGCTGGGATGCATCTCGCGTGGCGTTGGTCTGGACGCGAGGGGAAACGACGAGCTGAAAGACCGCCTTCCAATAGCGTAGCCGTGGGCGACCAGGGTAATCGCGACCCACGGTGTATCCGTAGACAGTGACTGTTCGTTTCACGCAGGGGTGTCCGGCGATGGGAGGGAAGAGGGAAGCAGGAAGAGAGAGGCACGCGAAGCGAGAATCGATAAAGGGTCATGCCTGGAAATGCTAGAGTATCTTAGTAGTACAACACACAAATACTCCGTACTCCTGTCTTAAGTGATGAGGACGATTCCAGGATTCCAGGCACTACTGCACCTAGCCGCAGGATGGTTGGTGTTAGCGATCACGTAAATCGGTACCGGAGGTACAACTAATTTGCTAGAGTAAATACAGTGAGCTTAGGTACCCGTACAGAGCAAGGGCATGCGTGGGTTAGGTAGGTACATACCTAAGGTACATATCTATGTACGGAGTAGGCAATACTAATCAGAACCTAAGATAAGGAGAATGATCTAGGACGCGTCGGGAACGATAAACACGTCTCTGTCGATGCAATCACATAGTATCTCAATATTGCGAATACAGAATCCGGTTTGCGGCCAAATTAAGGTACTGGACTCCCTACTACCTACCTTATTGCCTGCGGTACCTGCCTGCGGTATTTGCCTGCGGTATTTGCCTGCGGTGTTTGCCTGCGGTGTTTGCCTGCGGTGTTTGCCTGCGCTGCTACAGAATGTAGGTACCTAGGTAACCACCCACCACTCTGCTGCCCGGCATACTGTTCTGTATTTCTTCTCTATCTCGGTGAGTCATGCATAGCAAGACAGGTAACTTTTGGAGCCTGGATCAAGCCCGAAAGGATGCCTGACAAATGTGTGGTACCTCACTACGCGTACCATGTGGTTCACCACGAACCAAAAAAAAAACTTACTGCTAGTCTCCTCTTTTCACCCGATATAGTTGACACTCAAATCTCTGTTCACACCACCGCTCTCGGGTTTGCTCGAGCATTTCGAGGTCAAGATGGTGGCTGATCTGCGTGTTCTTGTCGTCGGCAAAGGTGGGAGAGAACATGCGCTCGCCTGGAAACTAAACCAGTCCCCTCTCGTCAACCACGTCTATGTGCTACCTGGGAACGGCGGTACGGCGCTTGAGCATATGAATATTTCTAATATCGACATCCCCCTCGATCAATATGAAACCATGGTGGAGGTGGCCATTCAGCTCAAAATTGGATTGGTAGTCATCGGGCCTGACTCGGCTGTCGTGGATGGACTCGAAGAGAACTTCCGACTTGGTGCGCCTTCAAACAAGTTGGTCCTAATCTTCATCGGCCTGATTGTTCACAGCAAAGATACCATGCTTCGCACCCAGCAAGGAGGCTGCCGAGATCGAGGGTTCGAAAGCCTACGCGAAGGATTTCATGTCCCGCTATCGCATCCCTACCGCCGAGTATAGGACATTCACAAACTTCGAGGAAGCTAGCGCCTACATCAACTCGGTCCAGCATGAAGTGGTCATCAAAGCAGACGGGCTGGCAGCCGGCAAAGGTGTTGTAATCCCAGCAACAAAAGTCGAGGCCATAACTGCATTGGAAGATATCATGGTGAATCATCATTTCGGCGATGCAGGGAGCTCTGTGGTCATAGAAGAATATCTGCATGGCCAAGAACTCAGTGTGTCGACGTTATCTGATGGAAAGACGGCCGTGACTCTATCTACCGGCCAGGACCACAAGCGCATCCGGGACGGAGATCAGGGCCCAAACACCGGAGGAATGGGGGTATACGCCCCTGTACCAGCCGCGACAGTGTCAGTCATGCAAAGAATAGAAAGCGAAATCCTCCAACCGACTTTCAAAGGGCTGCGACAAGAAGGTAAGCAGGCCGGGGCCTTCGCAACTTACGCTGCTGATCTCGCTTTCTAGGCCGAGAATTCAAAGGTCTTCTCTTTACTGGCATCATGTTGACGGACTCTGGTCCCAAAGTCCTGGAATACAATGCCCGCTTTGGAGACCCGGAGACACAGTCGATCATTCCTCTGCTCAAAGCCGAGCTGGACCTCGCCATGGTCTTGCTGGCATGCACCGAAGGAAGATTACATGAGATGGAAATCAAGCTGTCTAGCAGATTTGCCTGTAATGTCGTGGTGGCTGCTGGCGGCTATCCCGAGGGATATCGGGCCGGGGACGTTGTTGAAATGGAACCACTTCCCAAGTGTATGTCAACGCGACAGTAAATAACTCGCTGGCTGCTGTTCTGCTCACATGCTCCTCTAGGCTGCCTCCTCTTTCACTCCGGTACCAAACTGGATGAGAAGCGCATCGTCACTGCAGGTGGACGAGTGTTCACAGTGGTTGGCCTGGGCGACACTCTCCCAGAAGCTGTGAGCAATGCATATCGCGGTGTTCGATCAATCAAATTCTCCGACATGTTCTACAGGAATGACATTGCTTATCGGTGAGCTGCATTGACTCAATTTCTAGAGAGTCTGTTCTCCATTAACTCTTCGCCAGAGCTGTCTCGTCCGCCTAGTCTTGGTCGAATCAATCGGATGTGGTTCCTACATGATTCCTGCGGTGCTGAAGTGGCACAGTCTCCTTTCTCATCATCAGTTATCTGTCTTACCGCCGCCACAGTGGCACGGCTCTAGGTCGATCAGCGACAGACAATCATGGCAGCAGAATATGACAGCTTTCTGGCTTACTTCTCGATGATGTCTGTTCGGAAATAATCGACCTTGAACTTGACGGAATTAATCCCCGCGTAGGACCCCTTGACAACTCCCGTCCGAGAGCGAGAGATAGAGGGAGTTGATGCGGCCCAGGGCTCACCTTCTGTCTGATTGTCCCCAAGGGGTCATCGTTTTCTCCGCCCGTACCAGCTAGGTCTTTGAAGGCAACTCAGTTGCACCCTGGGTTTGGCGAGCAGAATATTCGCCATCTGGAGCCTAGGGGGTGTCAGTCCAGCCTAAGGCAGCAGCACCTACTAGGATCTAGTCAGGGAGATAGATGGTCAAGCATGCAGGGATCGGGATGAGTACTAACAATGGCGAATATCATTGTTGCTCGACAGCCTGTTCCTGTTCCTGTTCCAGTTCCTATCAAGTCACAACCCCTATCCAGTTTCAGTCCCTGTCTTGTTCTGTTGTCCAGACCTATTCCCCAAACACCCAAAAGAATACCAAGACTGAGATATATATACCACCCATCAACGACGTAAATACAATGCATTCATACAACATTCCTGAGAGTCTGGCACGTGCTCGATCCTCGATCCCCAGGCCGACTGGACCGACATCAATAGAGGCAAGCACAACCTCACAGAACAGCCTCACTGCTCGCCGTCGCCAGCAAACTGCCTCATCTTCAGCGTGCGCAGTCCCGCGCCACCTCTCCCGCCACCGACAGCACCGGTGGTCGGTCGATGGCGTCGAGTCTGTTTCAGCCGCTCCCTGGCTTTCTTGCTCCATTGCGGCCCTTCCGCCGCATAAGCATGGGCACCTTTTCTCTCGCCCGTGAAGAATGTCAAAACCGCCTCGGCCCCGGACGCTCTTCGCTGGCGTTCCTCCGCCTCAGTCGGCACGCGAGGCTGTGCTTCCTTGCCCTTGGCCGATTTGTCGGATCTCCGATCGCCATCGCCATCGCCATCGGCATCCTCGGCGACCGTGCCTTTTCGGGCGAAGGCGAAGGTCGATAGATCGGCATTGCTGGACGCCGGTAGGGCCGAGGACGGTGTGCTGTCGCCGCTGGGCGTGTTCTTCTTGATCAGTCGCAGAAGACTCTCGCACAAGCGATCGAGAACCCATTCCGGTTCACCCTGTGCGCTGAGCATGGGGCTACTGTCGTCCAACCAGTCCCACTCAACGACACCGTCTGTCTCTTCGTCGTACTCCAACTGCGCAAGTCCGTCCTTCGAGAAGCGGATCAGTCGCGTAAACTCACACCACTCCTCATATGAGTAACGTTTGTCACGGGAATGTTGAAGGTCCCCTGCCGTCTTGCGAATGGCCCAAGCCAGGCGCCGCGTCATTTCCGCTTCACTGACGTCGTCGTCGGCGAGCTGTTGAAGACTCAAGTTCGGCGGGTACTCGTCTTCAGCAGGGCCGACGGGAAATCCAGCCTTGAGACGCTTTTTTTCAGCCCTCCTGCTTATGAATTTCCATAGCCAAGGGTTTGATCTTAGCAGGTCGCCCCAGAGTCCTGCTTTGGGGAGGACTGTCATGTCGCCTAGCCGAAAGGTGCCGCGTTTAAAGCTCGAAATGACTGTATCCCCCATATCCGAAATGAGGACGGTCATGGTCGGTACGGCGATCAGGGACCAAACGACAAAGAAAGGCTTGCCGGCGTTACTCCTGGGGCTCATGTCACCGTATCCAATCGTCAGCAGACTGACGTAGCAGAAATACAATGCCTCGAAATAGTTTAAACCCTGGGTGTGCTTCTCGGCCTGCCAAAACACGACGGCACCCAAGCACCATAACAACCCGAACGCGACTACCGACACACACAACGAATACCACTTCTTGAACTTTCTGGCATTGATCTGAATGGCCCGCATTGCGTCGAACCGGTCCTTCTCTTCGCGCATAACAATCGCTTTTTGGGACCTCGACCTGGCTTTCCTGACGGTTGAAACAGGCCCAGATAAGAACTTGAATGTGGTGTGCAAGGGACCACTATGATCTCGCGCGTTGAGGAATTGGCTATGATGCGGTTCCTCCTCATCTGATTGCTTGAGAAATTCGGCGTTGGTATTTTCAAATTGGACTTGCGGCTCAGGTGGAAGATCTTGAGGAGATTCTTCTGGTTCAGGGTTCGCACATGGCGTAGAATGTGCCGCAGCATCCAAATTGCGCTGGATAATGGGGTTGGGCAAGGGGGAAGATATAACAGGCTTTCGTCTAAGCAACTGTCCAATCTCTATTTCCTTTTCCAGCTCATCTCGCCTTGTCTCTTGTGTATCTTCAACTGTCACAGCCCGTGACAGCGTGTTGGTCCTTCTCCGCTCAACATGCTTTCGCAGTACATTGACGGAGCTGAGCTCTCCCGCAAACTTGTGGATAGAACTGACCATCAACCCTAGGATGATAGTGCCACCGACAGAATAAGGAAAAACCAGTCCACGGCTCAGGTCGTCGGTAGGATAGTAGTCTCCAAAGCCAACAGTCAGAATGGTCACATCGCAGAAGTAAACTGCGTCAGGGTATGTCCACCCCTCGATTCGAGAGAAGACACCAGCGCCTCCACCAAGCCATACGAAGAACATCATGGTCTGCAGGATGAGATTGCGCTGTTCGTCGGTCAGAGTGAAGTGTTGAGGATAATGACCAAGGAAATAACCCCACATATTGACCATTAGAATCATAGAGTTGAACAAGTAAAGACAGGCGGCCAGAACGGCATTCCAGTAACCTTGCGAGTAGACTTGGCCCTTGCCCGGCGGGCAATGGATTTGCATCGAGACAGTAATACCGATCAAGATGCCTGAGGCGATGTAGAAGAGAAGGATAGTTGTAGGCAGCGCGACTATATAGCGGACACGCTTCGTGAAATTGAAGAGTAGAAAGAGATTTCCTACAAAGCCACAGACCAGGGAAGCGATATTCAGGTCGATGCACCACTGAGGGTCTGGAAAACCCACGGACGTGGACTGGTAGTATTCCGGCACATTGTCGACTATGTTGTTCCTCCAGGACACGACCAGAGCAGCAATGGACAACAAGTTGGCCATAGGCGCAAATGTGGCAGCAATAAGAGGAATGGCCGTGGATGCAAACCACCAGTCAGTCGGCAGGTCATCCTCGGCGGATCTGAGATTGAACTTTCCAACACGGTGTAAATGCTGGTGTCTCCTCTGGTGTTCCTTGCCTTGCTTGCCCTCGAGGTCGGGTAATGTGGTAACGGAGGCTCTGTCTTCGTCTGCGCCCCAGGGTTTCCGTGTTCCATTGTCGCTACCACTTGCGCCTGAGCCTGAGCCCGAGGCGACCTCCGGCGGTTCCGACTTTTTCTGCTCGGCGTGATTGTATTCCATTCTCACGATCCGGCCGGGGTCACGAACGGCCGACAGACATCGTGGAGGAGTCGACCCGATGTCGCAAGGTTGTATCCAAGGGGGCGTACGAGGTGATCAAGACTCGAGCGCTGAAGGTAGGGACTTCGAACACGGCTGCCGTTGAGGAAGATCCGGCGTCACGAACATGGTGAAGATAAAAAGGAATCGCCGCAGGTGGGTGTCGGTTCAGGCTCAAGGATCAGGGAGCGATGCATCTTGTGTAGTGGGTGGGTGGAATGCATAACAACGCGGCATGGTCGGATGGGTGGTTTTGCTTCACTCGAACAACTGACGTCTGCACTGCACCATGAATTATTTACCCTGTATCCGTACAGTCGCATGTTGAAGGACGATCCTACACCGTAGTCTTGGGCCTAAGGGCCACCAGGGCCATCTCACTAATCTTACATAATTACTTAGGTACCTTACATCTGTGATCCAGTACTCCGTACATATACGTACTACTAGTAGGTGGGCTACTAAGCTCGCGAAGCTTTCAACGACAAGCCTAAAGGCCAAGGGGCTAAGGCGCCCAGACGCCTCTAAGCCTCCCTAAACCATGACTTTAAAGCCTAAGGGCCTTCGTAAGGCTCCTTAGGCCCCTCTATGTGCCCCTCAACCCTAGGTCTCTCCCACAGCCTATGCCAGTACATAGGTACGTACAGCAGTTGCACAACAAGTCGCATTTTCTTTTCCTGGTTGGCTCCTCTCCGCCACTGGAGGAGCAATGCTTCGCCTATGTACGGATACACCGACAAACCCAAGTCAAGGATTGATTGTACAGGAGGTCATATTTGTTGACCGATAACTCTACAGCAACACCTTGTCAGGCAATATACATGTAAATGCACAGAACAGTAGAAAAGGCTCAAGAAAGCATGGGGTATTCGTGTTGACTGTCATGCATGATGATGATAATACAAACTGCCCCCTCTTGTTCCAACCGTCCTGAAGGGCAGAGGATCAGATAACGATTGACTGACCATATCTGAACAAGGCACAGCCCTACAGCTCTGTCCAGATCAAATCGTCTCCAGAACACCTGATATCATACCTATCGGTCAGCCATCGTGATAGAGTCAAACAGTCTCTCCTTCTCTTAAATTCCGACAAAGACAACAAATAGCGCTGCACGTGAAAGGGTGTATCCAAAATGAAGAACGCTCACTTAAAAAAGACAAGAATATAATACATGGGCAACGAAAAGTCGTGATGGGAGGCATTGGCGGTGGTAGGACTTGTTGATCCCGGGCATGGTGGTGGATCTCAACTTTGTCTCGCCCAAAGTCGCCTCAACTGCTCATCGCACATCTCGATAACTGCTAGGAGGATAGCTTGCTGCAGGCGGGTATGATCCGTACGCGGAGTCCCTGGGCGCCGTAGGAGGAGGTTGGAATCCTGTACTGATTGACCCAGGGGCATTGTATGATGCTGCGGACGGCCCACGGTCTCGGTAGTAGTCCTCATCTGCAGATGCGGCGGACACTGGGTAAGGCGGAGGTGCTCCGCGTGCACTTGGCGGTCCATCAAAAGCCGAAACGGACCCTAGGCGCGGCCTGCCGTCTCGATCTCGCTCTCGATCTCGCGGATCATACGCGGCCATCCTTGCCGCGTCATATCGGTCGTTTGCGAGCCGCTCGCGGTGGGCCTCGTACTCTCTGTATCGTCTGGCGTCATCATAAGGGTCACCGCCGGTGTAAGGATGATGTGACGAAGGTGTATAAGAGACGTCTGCTTCCGATTTCCGCAAGTAGGATGAACTGGACGGCGATCGGTTGCGTCCAGGGCGAGGCTGATCTTTGAGATAAGCACTATTCGAGCGATGACGTCCAGCTTCAGGGACATCCATCGGTGGAGCAGGTGGCCTCTGATGGATGGCAATAGGTGTGAGGGGAGGCTTTGAGCCATCATTGACCCTGCTGGAGGCCTGGACAGAGCCTGAGCGCCCTGGCTTGAATTCGTGTTGGGGAGGAGGCGGTGGTGGCTTGAACTCGGCCGATCTGTCGGCTATGTCATAAGTTTTGCCAGCGCCTGGAGCGGCGTTGTAAGGCTTCCTTTCCCGTTCGATTGGTGGAGGAGCGCGGCGATCTACCGAACCTCCATTGGTGACGGCGTCGGCACCGTCAGATGACGCTTCCGTTTGTCCTTGCCCCTGTCGCTCAAGCCCGGGTTGCGACAGCGCCGGGCTTGTTCGTGCCGCGTTGTTTATAGGAGCTGGCTCCTCTGGTAGTGGCGGCGACCGCATAGCTGCCTTCTGAGACGGATCTTCCGGTAGCTGACTCGATTGTGAAGCTCGAAGGGTGGATTCTGCTGTGCTGCTCTGATGCACTGGGAAGCTGACATTGCAGTGGCTCGACATGGCCTTTTGTAGTTTGGTGGTTATCTCAGTGTCGGCATGGACAGGGAAAAGTCTTCTCGAGAGCTCTTTAGGAAAGCGTTCCCTCCTGTTATCAGGGTTGCTAATTGGCATGTCCAGTGCCGTCTTGGCCAATCTCTCGAACTCTTGATCAGGATGCGCCTTGAGAAGCAATGTCGCCCAAGTCTCAAACCCTTGAGGTGTCAAGCCAGGAATGTCGGGTCTTTCGGTCAGTTTGTCTTGCACCAGATGATGTTGCGCTTCAAATTCCCTAAACATTCGAGAGATTGAAGACGTTCGGTCATCAAATATGATCTTCCAGGGGTAAAGTTCATTGGTCAGCTTCGTCTCTTCGTAGTATCTCTGCAATTTTGTGGGAGTTATGACGAGACTATTCTTTGGCTCATAATCCTCAATCAAATGAGTAGCGACACCACGAAGAAACTGCCCAAGCCTCTCAGTAGCTTGGCCCTGCTCGTCAAACAGCGTGCCCCAGACACGCTCCAGAGTTGTTACTTCTCCTCCGGTAGATATTCTTCTGGGGCCTTTAGGTCTGCTTGGGCGTTCTTGGTTGGCATCGCTATCGGAGGGATGGCTTCCCTGACTCAACGGTGACACCGCCCTTTTCTCAGTGGGAGGTGAAGTGGCTCGAAAGGATGACTGGTTGGAGGGTGGAGCAAATTGCGGCGACGATTGAGCCATACCAGAATCTTCCGAGGTCCGATAGGGAGAAGGGGGAGTATAAACTGTGGATCTCTCCGGGGGAGGAGATCCTGCGGCCGAGGAAGCGGCATCCATGTGTGAGCCAGATGTCTGAGATTGGTGAAGAGGCAAAGGTAAGTCGGCGGCTTTAAGGTGTTGTAGGACGTTCGCGGTGATTTGCGCAGTAATCTGCTGAAGCAATTCTGGTGAGACGGCTGCAGTAGAAGTTGCATCGCTGTTGTTGAATGCTGAAGTGACGGCGTCATTTATAGGTTGGTGGGCTTGTTGATATCTCGAGGCGTTGTAATCAGCTGGATCGTGTGCAGTGCTTGAAGAATCCCACGGTCTCTGGCTGTAGCCCTCGTTATGCATGACACTGCTTGAGTCTGGATGAGGTCGGCTTGACTCTCCATTCTTGCTGAAACTGGTAGTACTGGGGTGAGGTGGGCCAATGTCGCTGTAGGAAGCCATTGCAAGGTACCACAGTCCCGCCACAGAAGGGTTGTCCTCAAATCATCCGGCTCACTTTCTCAGAAGGTCTGTAGCATGTATGGTTTGGAATAGGTTGCCGACGCAGTCAAAACCTGTATGCAAGTTCGGAACCCTTTGCGGGGATAGGGTCGAGAAACAATGTATGGATCGACCAGCCTTTTGGCGAAGCTGGTGTCTTGCTTCAACAAATCTGGAGCAGCCCAATTCAAGATGGACGACGAAAGCTGAGAGGATGGTAAGGTAGCACGTATAAGGACGTCAGCTGTGTGACGAGCTCAAGGTCGGACGGATCGATAGAGGTTGGATCTTGGGCAAAGAGGCGGGCGGTTTGTTCGTCTTGTCTGAGGGATTCGGAGGCGGAGGACTTCGTGCAGGACTGCGACGCAGAGAACTTCTGGAAAGTTGGAACCACAAGAACTAGAAGGGCGTTCATGCAAGCCCTCGTAGAAGGATGATAGATGCAGAGGTATCGGACGGGAGCCGCCAGCACGATGCAGGATAACTGTTGATACCAGCCTTACCGGTCTGAGAGAGCGTGGCGCGGCACTGCAATGAGGGCGAGGAGGTAGGTGAGTTGCATTGCATCATCGGGACCCTGGGCTCCTTGATCGTTTAGGCTTGCGTGTAACCGGTGACTACTAATAGGTAGACAACCAAGTAATTGGCACCTTCTTCGATCGTCTAATTACCTACTACAAGGGCGCAGTCCATACTGTACAGCCACACTGTCGCGCTGCCGGGTGTTTAGGGCAATCCTAATCTTGGTCCGACTGACACCACGTTTTTGCGATCAGACGTCCCTTTCCGTTCCACTTTCCGGAGTTCGTCTCGCCTCGATGCAGTGCCAGTGCCAATCTACAGCATAGTCTGATTACATCTGGTCGATTCGAGCAGAATCGGAATGCTTGGGTAGACACAGAGCACAAGGAAAGAGATTGACAGATCATAGAAGCCACCTACAATGACTGTGTTCAGGGCGACGTCATTGCATTGCACAAATTGAACCCTGCTGACACGAAGGTCCAGCAGCTATCGATGGTCTACGATGGCCTCCTTCAACCCTGGCATGCTTTGCACTCCACCATCTCCTTTCCCACCCTCGCACCCGACAACCACGAGACCAACCTAGAGGCTTCCAACTTCAGGTCCACGCCGAGCCACGGGAGACTGCTGTGTTACCTGCCTGCAGCTTTACGAGTAAAGCTCACGCCGGCTCTCCAGCCATTGGAGATCAATCATTCCACAAATGCTTGGACACCCTGCGCACCATGCGGAATATTCTGCATGACCGAACGTCGAATATTAAATAGGACAACCTCTGGGTATTTGGAACTAGCAGTATTCCTTCTCCTCTGCGACGGCTTTGGTGGCCACCTAGACAGACAACTTCAATGCTTCGGACGAAACTTGCAACCTCCACACTAGGCTCCTTGACGCCTTATTCTTGCCAGGTTCCGCATGCTGTTCTGTCGCAACTGTATTCGTCAGCATGGATTCATAGACCGGTTACGGATTTTTTTTTAGCAAATAGCACCCGATAGTAGTCGTTCACCCTAGGACTCGGCATACTTCATGAACCATCAAGGTCGCTTCCAGACTGTGGTGACCCTAGATGTGCGGGAAATCATACACTGCTGATACGCTAACTCGCTGCTCACTCACCAACGCCGCTCGTAAGTGGGAATGGCGTGGTTGAAGATACGATGATACTGTGAAAGTGCAGACAAGAACAATTTTCTTGCATACCTAGATGCCGTAGTAGAAGGTCCAGCTAACCTAATGACCTTAGTGCTGGTGCCTACTAAATCATGTGGACAGCCCCTAGCTGTTGTGCAACCTTGTGGACTCTCAAGTCGAATTTTCAGTACATTCCCACGCCTGAGTAAGGCAGATGACAGCAAAGCACACCCAACCACGTCCCTTTTGCGGAGCTGTCATCTCAGAGCTCGAAGTCACTATCTTCGTCGGAATCCTCTCTCTTGCTGCTGGCTTGGGACTCTTGCTGCAGCATCTCTTCTCGATGAATCTGATTCAATACCCTGGCTTCCATGGGCGCTCTGTATGCACCTTGTCGAGCAAAACCGCCGCCCCGAGTGTTGCTGCTCGAGTAGGTGGAGCCTGCGCGAGAAACAGTACGTGTGGCTGCCGATGCCCCAAGGTCGCCGTTGCTGCTGGGAGAAGAGGACCGAGCGATTGCCGGGCTCCCACCCCAAGCCCCGTTACCATCGACAATGTGAACGTGGCCGCTGGCAGTAGCAGAGGATGTGTGAGACCTTGAGCCGCTAACGCTTGGAAGGGCAGAACCAATGCTTGACATTCCAGCAAAAGATTCCGCACGACGATTCATGTATTCTTCCCTGATAACTTCCTCCTCAACAGCATCCGCAAGGTTAGGGACACGGTCCAAGATCTCTTGTTGACAGCTGATGCATTTCTGAGTTTCGTTAGAGACGGCGTCTTGAGCCTGTGTTTATTATCATCCTTACCGCGTGGTCCGGATTTCTTCGCTGAGCTTTGGCGAAAAGATCAGTCGATTTGATGACTCCGCAGCCGGTGCATTTGATTTCAAGGACGTTTCCAGGGGTGCACTTGGTGCATGATGGACGAAGGGCTGGCGGACCACCACGCTGCTCTCGGTACACGGCCTCTTGATATTTCTGCATTTGTTTCTTCGAGAATCGTTGACGAAATGTGTTGACGTTGCAGACGCCACATTTGATCCTTTACTATCGGTGAGAGAGGTTCAAGCAGGAGATTGGGGTACCGCTTACATTGTGCCGACATCAACATTGTCATACCTGCCCTCCCAATTAGTTGGCGTGACTGTGGCTGATGCGAGAGAAGTCATGGTGGATAGTGCCCACGGTGAGCTCAAGCGATGGTGGGATCAAGAGAACAGAAAGAGGAGGAGATAAGACGAGGAGCTTACGATTCCTGCTTTCTTTGCCAGAAGGGCTTCTGTTGTTCATTGCGAGACATTGTTGACAGCAGCGAAGTGAATTGTGTCGATATTTAAAGGTCAAGTTTCGCCCAGTGATGGAGAGTGAAGTGAGTGGAAGGAAGGCACCCCGATGAACTTCAATTTCAATTTCACTTCAATGTGCGGTGAGTATATGCAGCCTTCCGAATGCTCAAGCTCCGCCTTTGTGAGGGCTTGCTCCCCAGCTACTCATAGGCCTAAAACAACGACCTCTACCAGAAATTGACAAACGACAGCTGGCAGGAAGGTCGGTCAACCCCTACGCAGAACGAATGTGGTTGTCGAAATCGATCTTGTCGCCAATGTAGAGCTCAAGGACCCTGAATACCGTGAGCATTGCTGACTCGTTCCCTGATCGTAGCTGTCCTCCTGTACCTACACGTGTATGTACACACCCACAATTAGCTGCCAGCAAACGGTTAGGTCCTCCTCACGTGAAGAAGATCCTGCTATTTACTAACAGATAATGTCCATGGAAAGAGGCAAGTTTGATTCTCAATTGATGCAAATCCCAAGTTCAATGAACAACCTACCTGGGTATCGAGTTGGTGCACCGATACTACAGTTGATACTGAGGTAGTACTGGTGGTACGTAGTAAATCTGTGCTGTGCCGCTTTAGGCTCCTTGGCAGCTGCGGCAGTGCTGCAGCATCATCATCAGCATCTCTCACACCCCTCCCCAGCGCAGTCACTCGGCCTGCTCCGACACTGTCAGAACAGCTGCATCTTGTTGTACACTGTTGCTACCACCTCCAGCAGTCCACGCGATGGGACAAGCCAAGAGATGACGCTCATTGCTCACTCTGTCGTCGCAAAAGATCTCAGTGCTGGATTTCTTGAAGTTTGCGATCACTGAAGGAAGAGGATGCACGTGAATAGCATACAATCAGGAATTTTAGCTGTTCCAATGCTGAAAAGCCGACAACACACAGCTGTTGATATTTGGAACACCGTCGGATAACGGAATATATGCAAGCGGAGTGGCGCCTTAAACCTGTTTTTGGCATTCTCATGAATCAACTTCGGTACTGTATAATTAACACTTGTTCTGTGAACCAAATCCAACTCATGAACTCAGTACCAGAGGCAGAGGAACCGCAGACGATCTCGGTTGTATTGTCAGGTTCGTCCCATTGCGTCGGCAAGAGAAGATATCATAGCCGGTGCCGACGGAGAGAAGCAGAAACCTCCCAACGCCTGTCCAAGACTCAGTCCAAACCTACTTACGACAAGGAGTCTCCGACCCCCTTGATAATTTAAACGGAACATGAAGAGAACATCGAAGGATAGTGCAGTATACACCGTGCTCCGTACTGCTGCCGGTTTCAGGTACTTGGAAGAATGGACCACTTGGTTGGCGAACCGCTGTCACGGAAGCTGAACGGGTTGCCTGGTGGTCACTGATGTGCACTGTGCACACCGCGTGCCCGAACTCCATCACTTGGTCGATGGGCTCGGGCGGAACAACCAGCTGTCTCCACAGCACATTCAGCCCAGTGTCAACCACAGGCTCTGAACCAATTGAGGATAGACTGGAGATTTGATCAGCACCGTTGGCCGGAACCCAACAGCGCCCCGGTCCATGTTCCTGGTTGCCGCAGGCCTTAGGAGCCCACGGTCAGAATGATCGAGAGTCGGAGTGGCGCCCTAAACCTGTCTTTGGCATCGCTCGCGCCTGGTGCCAGGAACAAGACGTCCTGGCAACTTCGGACCCAGGCACCTACACCTGGCCAACTCAGAGCCACCCAGGGATGCCCCCACTGTGCTACCATTTTCACACCAGCAACGTGGCGACGAAATTGCAGGCTCTGTCGTCGCACATGAGACCGCTGGCCACGCTGGTTGCCTCGTTGATACCGTAACGCGCAGAGTTGTTGACTCGATGAGCAATGATGTGTGGACAGGCGAGGGTCAACGCGACCAACGCGATCAAAGAAGTTGATCACACAGGTGCGAGTGATTTCTCTCTTGTGGCCATCCAGGGAACGAGGGTGGTTGCGGCAACGTCATTCGCTCTGGAACGTGACTAATTCACCTAATTTTCTCAGAAACCATCGGCAGCAGGCCCGTATCCCCGTGAAATGGGCTATTGATTGGGGTGTCTCAAAAATGCTTAACGCAGTCTCGAGCCCGCAACCGGGAGCGGTCTCAAGGGATAGCCAACCACCAGCAGTACCTTTGGGACTCCGTCACCGTCACGACTCGACAGCCCCATACCGTGACAGGATGCAATGACAGGACCAAAAGTCATTTACGGAAGAGGTACGGATACTACGTAGTAGGCTTTGGTGGCTTTAGGTACCTAATTCACTGTCACGTAAGCCGTGCTATGGCCACGTATCGTGACGAAATTGTAGTCCGGCCCTCTCATTTTTACCGAACAATCTAGCTGCAGAACACCGACTGAGTTCCGGATGCATCAGAGATTCTAGTTGCTGTCCCTACCACCACCACAAGGGTGACTAATGGCAGGGTATGAAGAATGCCGTCCTATATTGCAGTACTATTAGCTTCCAAAGAGTAACGCCTTTTCCTCTCGCTGCATGGGAGCAGTGCAGATAGGTCTGTAGGTATTGGGTAGGTATCTTGCTAGGTATCCAAGATCAGCGTTGGTACCTACGTATCCGTACTCCGTGCTCGGGTCCTGTTCATCGAGGCATATCCCACGCCTAAACATGTAGCCGGTACCGATAGCTGGTACCTAGCTACCTAGGTACCTACCTTAGTCACGTACCTTACCTCAGGTAAGTGTCATTTCCGGTACTGTACTCTGTACGCCGTACACGAAACCACGGAGAATAGAAAATCAAGTATGGATGGATATCGGCCAGCGAGCCACGCCAGCTAAGGTACCCGACGGTAGGTACGGATCCTGTGTCCTATAATAATAATTACGGATACGTAGGTAGTTACAGTAACATGGCTGGAATTTCCAACCTGGGGACCATCATGGTCGTCTTTGGGGGCTTGGACCTTGAACCTTAGGCTCCCTGGGCCCCTAAGCCCCTAAGCCGGTGGTGCCCCCCGTCGGTCCGGCACCCAGGCTCAAGGCTGAATTGGCTCAGTCTCTCCAGTGGCCCACACCAGTCCCATGCTGCTGACACCCAAACCAAGTTACGGAGTCTAGTACGGAGTATCCGTCCTCTGGTCTCATGCCCGGTCATCAACCTCGTTGAAATTCTTACTGCGTGTTTCGTCTTCTATTACGGAGTGCTCCTTTACCAAAAGTAAGTCTAGCGGGACAACCAGTGTTCGGCAGCGTGTTTCCCACCGTCCAGGAAATCAGGGTGGCCCCCCAGCCCTGGGTGGCACAGTCTGGCACCTGCACTTCGCAGTCGCTGGCCTCCTTAGCCCTTAAGCGTCCAGCTACCAAGCTCGCTCCGTTGGCACCTCCGGCCGCCCCTTGCCCTTCTGACACAAGACAAGACGCGCCTCCTGCTCGATCCTGGCCCACCAAATTGTCCGAGCACAATCGTCAACACGACCAAAGACATCTGTCACTCTTTCCTACGCTAGATACCTGGCTGACCACACGTCCTACGATCCTTAAGCCTCTATCCCTCCGTGTCAATCAAGAAAGGGGAGATCCTGTCTATCCACTTTCCCAACACCCCTTGCGGGTCAGCTCCCGTCAGTTCACCACCCCCAAGCTAGCTCTCTTGGGTCCTCGAGCCATTTCGATTTGGATCCTGGACCTCGAACATCGTTTCTGGTGCGCTCACCCTGAATTGTCATTTCCATCCTACTCACAATCTTCCACCATACAATCGCCCCAGAACACCCTCCAGCGACAGCAAACGAAGTGAACCGACAAACCACCCTGTCGACGCTCTATTACCGAAACTTCGGTACCTGTCAATCCCGAACCGCTCGAGAGAATGACGAGTTGAGGTCTCAAGGCACCCCTTTATATGGGCGCAAGGCGGCCCAGGTCGGAAAGAATTGGCCTATATACCGGTGAAATTGGACGAGAGGGGACGGAACAGCTACCTACGAGCAAGGCTACCCGCACGACGACACCATGGCCGTGACCGACTATGGCTCTAGGCCGGCTTCCTACTCTTTAACCGCCTTGGAGGACCGTTTTGAAGTGATCAGGGAGATTGGGGATGGCAGTTTCGGCAGCGTTGCTCTTGCCCGGGTACGAGCAAATGGCGCCAGCGTTGCTCGCCGGAATACCATGGTAAGTTGACGGGGAATGTGCACATGAACATCTATTGACCCTTCTAGGTGGCCATCAAGACGATGAAGAAGACATTCGACTCCCTCGGGCCCTGCCTGGAGTTACGCGAGGTCATCTTTTTACGGACTCTTCCAACACACGCCCATCTGGTTGGCGCCCTAGACATCTTCTTGGATCCGTTCAGCAAGAAACTTCACATCTGCATGGAGTATATGGATGGCAACCTTTACCAATTGATGAAGTCTCGGGACCACAAGTGCATGGATGCGAAAAGCGTAAAGAGCATCCTGTATCAGATCCTGTGCGGCCTCGATCATATTCACGCTCACCACTTCTTCCATCGAGATATCAAACCAGAGAACATACTTGTCTCCACTTCAGCGCCCCAAGACTCCAACTCGGGTTTCAGCAGGTATTCCTCTCTAGTGACGCCTCCCTCCACACCACCTACATATTCCATCAAAATCGCCGACTTTGGTTTGGCCCGCGAGACGCAGTCCAAGCTACCATACACCACCTACGTGTCTACCAGATGGTATCGAGCCCCTGAAGTGTTGCTCAGGGCTGGTGAGTACTCTGCTCCGGTGGACATCTGGGCTATCGGAGCGATGGCGGTCGAGATTGCTACGCTCAAGCCTTTGTTTCCGGGCGGAAATGAAGTCGATCAAGTTTGGCGTGTCTGCGAGATCATGGGCAGTCCGGGAAACTGGTATACCAAGTCCGGTACCCGAGTGGGCGGTGGCGAATGGAGAGAAGGAACAAAGTTGGCTCAAAAACTGGGCTTCTCCTTCCCAAAGGTAATTTGAACCAATACAGAATATGTTCTCGTGCTAACCGGTCACAGATGGCGCCTCATGCAATGGAGACGATCTTACAACCTCCCCAATGGCCCTTGGCTTTCAGCAATTTCGTGACTCGGTGTCTGATGTGGGATCCCAAGAACCGACCAACATCAAAACAAGCCATGGAGCACGAGTTTTTTGCGGATGCTGTTGACCCTCTCAGACCTAAATCATCTTCGCGGCTACTAGGCCGAAAACATTCTGATCTGAGTTTCAGATCAAAGGATACGGCCGAAACTCCAACCATCACATCAAAACCTTCCTGGTTCCGCCGATCGCTCATTGCACGTGAGAGTGCGCCCGCTGTACCACAACATAACCCAGATGCCAAAGTTGTATCAGAGCCGGAAAAGTTGGTCAGCAGACTGCGACCTCAGGCAAACAAGCGTGCGACGTGGACCAATGGAACCAATTCGAGTGGTGTGGCACCAATGCCGATACTGCCATCAATCCGACCCATTTCACCCTTACCCAATGCTATCACGGCCCAAGCGAGCTCTGCATTTACGGCACAGACAGAATCGCATTACAAACCGGTTGAAGAGAAATCCAAAAAGATTGGCCGGCAATTGTCAATCAACTCCAACAGCAATCACTACGCTGATATCCACCGTCAGGAAGCGGAACGGGCCTTGAACGCAAACAGTGGCCTCGTGTCCCCGCCAAGTGGTCACAAGGAAAGTTTCTTCTCACACCTTCGCAAACGAGCAAGACGTTTCTCCGGGAGACACGGGCTGGCATCTCCTAGCGGGGATGATGTCGAGGCAAATGCAGCAAACGTTCCATGGTCAAATCGGTCTTCGCTTATGGTTGACAACATCATTCCTGAGACTAATACAGATTTCTCAGAACTGGACGAAATTCTGCAGAATGTGAGGTATAGCCTGGATCGCAATGAGGCAGAACGCGCTCAGAGAAGATCTCCCGCAGGGCTGCCGTCCAATCAGGGCACTTTGAAAAGAACGCACTCTGTGCCGCGATCTCAGGGGAGTAGGTCCAGTGAGACCCTGAACCAAGCTCCCGCGCCTACCACTTTACGATCGCGACGTCCTCTACAACTCAACCAATATGAGACTCCTGAAGAGGCCGATGAATTGCTGGACGAAGCCCTCCGCTCGGCCAGTCGTGTGGCCAAACGTCTAGACCAGAACAAAGAGCAGCCATATCGAACTGCGCTTGCTCACAAAAATTACAACCGCGAGTCGTTACCACATGTAGCAAGCACTTCCGTTCTGCAGAGCGCTTACTTGACCCCCTCTCCATCCGCGAAGAGGAACGGGGTTCAGTTCAACTCCGGCAGTGTACACCAAACCCAACCATTGAACATCACCAAGACACGCCCCGAGCATGAGCACGCTCCGCCCCATTGGCCTACACCACCGTATGAGGAGAATGAATGGGCAGCTGCCGCCGCCAACAGCATTTTCGCCGCGGGATCATCGATTTATCGATAGCGGCTGCTTTGGACCAACCTCTTACACTCGTTCAGATCAACAAGTTTCAATTCTGAATATCTACCACAAAATAGTGTTCCTTGATATCCTGTACGAAAACAGAAAGCGTCTGCTGCCGAGGCAGGTTTTTACGAAATTTTGGCGTTCTCAAGGAGGATGTACGGCCAGCTGGCCAGAGTGGCTTCCTGCTTCAAAGAGACGGACTCTCACATCAATGACTCTCGAATTTTTTTGTTTTCTTCTCAGACCAGAGCACTCGGTGCTCCATCATGTTTGGTATCGCGTTGGGATGTTTGACTTGCTCGGGAAAAGATCCTCTTGTACGGGGTCAGTGTTTTGGGTTCGCCATTCATGTTGGCAGGGTCAGCTTGAACAGCGACAATTTTTCCATTTGTTAATCACCCTGGGGACAAGACTGTACAGCTAGAGATGAGATGTATGGACAGGATACTCCTTGGTTTATGGTGCAGACTTCTCTGTTACAGGAGATCATTGTTGGTTTCAATCGGTATAGATGGGTTTTGAAGCAGACGGACTCTATATGCAGGAACCAAAATGGTGCATATATACAACCATATCTCTAATTCAGATCCTGGTAGCATCCTGACACCTGCAATCCGTATTCTCTTTGACCATGCATGGCGACGAAGTGTCCCCAGACAAGGTACGGAGCAACCATACTCCGTACTCCGTACAGTGGGAGTGCTTCGGCCAAGTTCAGAGACACAGCCGCAGTACTAGTGCGGAGTATCTACTCTGCAGCCGTCGTCGGACTGGTAGGTGGTAGAACGGTACGAAAGTCTTTCTCCGACCACGAAGCCGCGTGCTGTGCTATGTGCATCTTTGAGCCTGGATACAGGATACATCGCATCTTCTGACGCTTTCTACTGGGGACACCGCTCACACAAAGTGACAACCGCGTCAGGACTCTGTTGTCCGTCGAGTGTATTGCACGATGGCATCCCGGACGACCACACTTTCAATATGCCACCGATGCTTGCAAACCGCATTGAGAAGAAGTGCTCGAACACCAACTCGAATTGCCCCGCGCGCGGCGTTTTCCTCGACGGGCTCGACCTCGGCCGCGACCCAAGGTGGCCATGGCAAACCTATCGTGCTTGAACAACCAGACAAATTCCGGCCGCCGTCGCACCCTGCGCGGCTGAATCGGCGGCCTCCGCGGGCGTACAACCAGGGCACGACGACGGAAGAGAAGCAGCAGCAGAAGACGAGATCATATCCGCACATGTTCCCCGACGAAGGGACGTTTATGCATTGGTTCCTGACGGACCGGAAGATCCATATTTGGATTACGATGGTAAGTTTCAACTCAGCAATCCTACGGGTGTTGGCGCAGGTAGCCCGCTCCGCTGTGAAATCCCGTTCTGGGCTTGGGGTTTTTCCTTCTTAGGATTACTGCTTGGGGTTGTTCTTATGAGGGTTACTGCTTGGGGGGAGAAAGTCTTCTTATCATACATCCGTGTGCTTGACGTTCTAACGGTTCTGATTCTTGCGGGCTGGCAGGGCACCCTCACGATCCTTGCCATCATCACCATGACCGAGACGTTCGTCAAGACATCCCCCTATGGGCATCTGTTGCCTCCGGTTTCGTCGCTCCTGTTCCATCCTATCACATACCTCCGCGAGTCGACGGCCGTGGTGCGCCTGCATATCGAGTACACGACCCAGCAGGCCAACGAGTCGCGACAGCAGAAGATCCTCGACGCCCAGAAACGCCGGCTGTACCGTCGCGCGCATGGCTTGGAAAACCTCGACGCCGAAGAGGAGCAGGGCATCGATGTCCGAGGTCTGGTGCCGTGGGACGACGGCTTGACCAATAAAGAGCGCGCGAGGGGCGGCCGCGATGTGGTCATCACTGGGAGAGATGTCGTCGATCTGGGCGGCAGCGTCGGCGAGGATGTCACGCAGTTTGCGAAGCACCTCAAAGAGCAGACAGAGGCCGAGGGAGCCGGAGCCGCCACCGCAGCCGACGGCGCTATTGTAAAGGATGCCCAACAACAGCCCCCGCAACAGCAGAGGAAGAGGAAGTTGTGGTTGGGGATTTGGTGATCTCGTTTGGACTCTTGGACTGTCAGTGTGAGGGTTTATCGCCATTCAAAAGGGAAATTGTCGGATTCTACTCTTTCTCCCTCCTGGCTAGGCATGGTCATGGGCTTACGATGCCGAGCGGTGTAGAAGCGTGGAGCCAGGTTAAAGCCCTGCAAAGAATACCCGAAGAACCGCCAGCAATCCAAAGATGTTGGTATTAATATACTTCGTCTTTTTGACCCTCACACCTAAGTGATTTGTAAGACGCTTGTTTGAGTACATTGACATGGAAATCATTGTCTGTTTAGATTGTAACCTTGGCTCTAGATGGATGCAAGTGGATTTTCCCGAGTTCATTCCTGCATTCCTGTATATACGTTGCGATCGCTCACTCTGGGAGCATACCACTGTCCCCTTTTGCCGTTCTGTGGAAACGGCGGCGACCAGTAGTCACGGTGGGGTGTTCCGAGATCGATGTCCTCGTAACCGCAAACCTGTGAGCCCTGAAACCATCTCGCCAGCTATCGACTATGGTCATGGAACAGAGCTCTTCTAACACATCTCCAAAAGCCCTGCCTTCAGGGTCTGCGTGTGGTCTCCAGTATACAGGCTGTCTTATCAGGGGCCAATCTGCCAGAACCCTGGTAAACGACTGATGAGGACCGCGCTGGCCGATATGGACCCTGCATGACAACCAAGTCTCCCGACCTGGCTCGTCACGATCGTTCGGTGCCCGAAGTGGTCGTCCAAGTCGGAGGGGAGTACAACGGGGACCCCCCCCGGCAGGATTCACACCCATCAAACCCTGGCGGTCATCGCTTTTGTCTAGTCGTCGCGGATCATGTGTCCCATGCGGCCAATCTTTGTCTCGAGGTATTTCTCGATCTCAGCGCCTCTGACGCCTTTCGCACCCGACGTCCGCCAGGCAAGTGGGATCATTGGGACTCGTTCTCGGACCCGCACCTCCTTATTTGGACCTTCGACTGCCCTAATTTTATCTGGATTGTTTGTTAGGAGTCTGATACCCCTTTCTGCTTCCGGCTTGTTTGCATCGCTATCACTGCCGAGGCCAAGATCCTGTAAGATGGCAGTCGCTAGACCATAGGTTCTGGCATCGGCAGGGTGTCGGAGGAGCAGATTGGCCTCTACTGTGTCATTCCCGAGATCCTGCAGATTATAGGCCTTAAGTTTGGATGCGAGGCCGATACCTCGTCCTTCCTGTCGGAGATAGACAATGACGCCCCCGGTAGAGTTCGGCAAGGACATGAGCCTAGCTGCTTCGTCGAGTTGCTCGCCACAATCACAACGAGCTGACCATGCGGTTTCGCCAGTGTAGCATTCTGAGTGTATCCGCACTAGCGGTGGCTTCCCGCCATAGTACAATTGGACATCTTCAGGTAGTGTTTCGAGTTCCGCAACGCTCTCCCGAGGCTGCTCAGGGTTCTGCTCATCCTGGGCAGTAGGAGGCGGCTGGACCGGTACCACTGCAGGAGTGTCGACTCCGACCTCCTCCGATACCGTGGTGACATTTTTCAAGGCGGAACCGCTTCTGGCCCGTCGGCTCCCCGGCCGCTTGTTCTGATCCGGATCGAATCTCGAACTCCTACGACCCGGCCGTAGTCTGCCAATATATGCGCCTCGAATCATGCGATCCATCTCGGTTTCTCCCGGCCGCTCAGCGTCGAGGCTTCGACTGCGAATACTGTTGCCGAAGACGATGGCCAGATGTTCCTTGTTGTCGGAGTTATTTTGGTATAAATGGAGAAACATCTCTGCCCCAGATGTGGTTGGTATCCGTGCACGTACTACGCATTCGACATTCGGTAGCTGCTCGAGGAGGTGAGGTTGTTTGGTGGCGGGGTCATCGAGAGAGGTGTCGACCGGAATGGATTTTGGTTCGGCATTGAGATGCCGCGAAGGAGTGGCCGCTCCTGGAGTTGCTGGAGGAGTAAAGGCAGGCGATATCAGGTTGCTCGGTACGCCGGGCGTGGCAGGGGACTCGTCATTGAGATCCGACCAATTGCCCAGATACGGCGCCGAAGATCGTGGAAGCGGAGAAATCAGAGGAGAGGCATGAGAGGGCAGCTCCTCGCTGGGGCGAGGCATGGTGAACAGTGGTTTCTGACAGGTCTATTGAAGGTAGATCGGATGTTCATAGGGACAGCATACTGATGACACAGTGCAACATACAGCAGCGACAACCGAACAGACAGCAAACATAGAATGGTAGAATGGCAGAACAAATAATCAGTAGAATGGTGGAGGTTGACTGCAAAGAGGGAGAGGGGACAAAATGCGGCCCTGGTAGCGGAGCGCTCCTGGTGTGGGCGTGGTGCTAGGAGGCTTAGAAGGCTCCTCCGGCTTCGATGATTATTGCTCTCTTATGGCAGCTGCTGACGCGATCGGTGCCTCGGCCACCACTCCGCTCTCCGCACTTGATTTCTTTCGTTGCAACTTGCAACTGCAGTGCTTGGTCATCCAACGTCTCTCTGCCGATACCCGTCAGCCTGAGCCATAGAGCCAGCCAGCCAGCCAGCCAGCCAGCCAGCCAGCAGATAGACAGATAGACAGATAGGACCACGCCGTCGTCGCTCCTTCGTCGAGAAATGCCGGCTCCGGCTGCGAGTCGAAGCCAACTCCTCTCCGCCGCCCAGGCCTTCTGCGACGCCTTCGCAGGCCAGAAGCCGCCCGAGGAGATCTTCAGTCACTTCTCTGCCTCGGATGACGTCCTCGCTCTGGAGCATGGCTTGCCACAGCTAGCACCCTTCCTAGGCCAGCCGTTTCGTGGTCAAAAGGGTCTACAGGAGTATTTTCAGCTCCTGTCCTCGAACCTCAAATATGAAAACATGCGGTTTGGCAATTTCGTGGTTGATACCGAGGTTTCCAAGGTGTCGGTTCGGGGCGAGGCCAAATTTACTTGGACGAGCACTGGCCAGCATTGGGACGAGGTCTTCACGTACGTGCTTGAGTTTGATGAGAACAGCAAAGTCAAAGTGTATGAGATATGGGCAGATTCTGGTGCCGCATACTTGGCCAGTAAAGGCCTGCTCGAACAATAGCAATATCAACCTGTCAATCACATCGTCGTTTCACCTGCAAGATATATGTTGTGGCCGCTGCACTGTTACAGCCCGCATCCCATAAGGGGCACTCTTGCAGCTCCTTCCATAGCAAATTGTCGCAGTCGTAGAGCTCATCTCAGTCTCGAGTCCAGCACAAATCTCACGTCGACAAGCATCTCCTTGTCGTCCTCGTCGAATTTGAGGCTGTACATCCCTTTCTGAAAGCTCTTGACCTTGGCTCGGTAGAAAGTGTCGGTGTCAGGGTATTTGGCGTACACATTCGCCCCGGTGGGAAATTGTGGGATATTAGCCACGCTCTGCGGAATTGGCACAAGGTCCCTTGCGGTCGCCTTGCGCACTGTCTGTTTTCCGGAAGCGTCGTCCTCGGGATCTCTAACATCGTATTGAATCCTGGAAGCAGTCAGGATGATATCGGGATGTAGCAAGCCGGTTCACTTACGGTTTCTTCTCATGCCACACTTTCTTGATGATTCCATGAATACCGACACCCTCTTCATGCTCCTGTTGGTCTTTGGGATATTTATAGAACACTTCGGTTCCAGAAATGAGTTGCCCGGCCTTCTCTGCCTGTATACCTCTGTGCGTGTCAGCTCCGTCGTCTTTGGCGCCGGCAGCCGTTCGATTTTGACTAGCAGTACTAGAGCTTCGCTGAGAGGTGCCCTTGACCCGTTTTATCATTTCGAGGCGACCATCTCCTGGGCTGGGCCCGGGAGATTCCACCACAATGTCTGGCTCGATCGTCGGTCTCTGGTGTTTGCGAGACTTCTGCTGCCCATTTCGGGGTGCAAGGTCGTCATTGGTCTTCATCGTCGCCAAGATCGCGAGATTGTTGATAATGTCTTCGTCATCATGGACCTTCTTCTCCATTTCTGCATATCTGAGATTCTCTCGATAGAGCGCGTCAAGACGTCGGTGATTATCAGGCGTGGAATCTGTAGGATCATTGTCATTACCAAAGCTGAGGCAAAATGCACGAAACCCGAGCAAACACCCGCATAGAAACCTAACACCATTCGCGAAGCCATCACAGTAACTGCTTCATTAATCGATGGCGGTGTTTGCAAAAGGCAAAATCAGACAAGTCTTAACGTACGGCCATTTGTTTTAATCTCGTCTTCGAGGGTCACGATTTCTAGCCCGATCCGTTTGGATTCATCGTTGTATCCTTGAGCCTTTCGGAGGCTTTCCACCGCTCGACTGAGGAAGTCGTTTTCCAGATCAGTCTCTTTGCCATCTCGGCTGGCCATGCCCCGGCCTCCACGAGGACGTGATCCCATGTTAGGTACTGTAACCTGATGAGGGGACTATCCGAGACGCGGATATACCTAGGACAGTATGTCGTAGGACTTGAGTATCGTAGAAGCGCCTCTGGTCGGTCAAGACAGGGTTGTCGCCAATATCGTCTTCATAGAACCCAGAGATCGCAGAGAGGCTTCCTTGCAGCAGGACGTAACCGTCAAGCGTCAAGCGGTGATGGCCGAGCTCAGGTCCTGAGAATGTCACAGAACAGAGACCGACCTGAGTCCATCGTCCGGCAGATAGAGTGACTGCGAACAAGGGCGAGAGGAGGAAACAGCTGACCGCTGGGTTGGTAACATGGCATACAAGGAAAAGAGTGGCTGAAGACGAAGAGGATGATTGGTTTGTTGGTTGGATGTTGCGATTCTGAGGTAATCCGAACAGTCATGTGACTGACACGTGACCGTTTCTCAGAGAAAGGTGATCATCGACCAAAATTACAAAAACTCACGGGAATGAGAAAGTCTGTTATTTTTTCAAGATACTGTAGATGCACCTGTAATATATACAGGGTTCCTCCGATGGCTGGATAGGTCAACTGGCTTTTTGGGTTGTCAACTCCTGGAATTAGGGAGGTGGCAATCGGAGCTCCTACTCGTACCATAGTGCGTGTAGGAAGGGTATCTGAATCAGATCCGACCAGGCCACCGAGTGCAACCAGGGTTTTGTGGTTATATTATGTCATTGTGAAGTTGATTATGTTTATTAGGTTGTGAACACTGAATGATACCTGGTAATCATGTGACTTTGTCGCAAGGCTGAGGTCAGCTGATCCAGTCAGCCTTGGACATAGGCAGTTCCACATCTAACAGTCCAGCTGTGAGGTTGAAAGATACGAGGCGCTTGTCAGAGGATGTGAAATTATACCTACACAATGTCTACATATATTACAGGGGTTTGTAGCCTCCCATAAGCTGCGGTATGATATCTTCAAGAGAAGTGTTTGCTAATTCCGAAATTCACGTGACTAGTTCTAGACTCTATTATTGGTCGGCAATCGACCACGTTTCCCACAGTTGAGACCTGTCAACTGTTCAGCGTTCCCCCTTTTCACCGCCAGAACTATTCCGTGGTCTTCCCATAATTTTCTTCCAGAACCCCAGGCACTCCTGAGGTTGATCGTCTGCTCTTCCCATATAGGGATCCCCCAAAATCGCTCATTGTTGAGGAGTTGCTTTTGACGTTACAACGAAGTACCAAGATGCAGGTCCCTCTCCTTCGTCTCCAATGCGGTAAAGCACCCCGTCTCTCACTCATGAGTGATTACAGCTAATGATGACCAGGCTGCAATAGCTACGACTGGGGTAAGTCTGCCTTTGTATCGAACTTGTCTCTGTCTAGATACTGACAATCCTGCAGGCAAGAAAGGAAAGGACTCGGCTGCAGCAAGATATGCTGCAGCAACCCCCTCGGACAACTTCACTATCCAAGAGGACAAACCATACGCTGAGGTAGGTGCACCGCGAGAGTTATATCTCGTGGATGTGGATCGTTGCTGACGCGTGCTTAGCTATGGATGGGCACCCATCCCTCCCTGCCATCCAAAGATCTCACCACAGGCCGCAGTTTGCTTGATCTGGTTTCTGACAACCAGGCCCTCATGGGAACCGACATCACCGCCAAATACAACAAGAAACTTCCCTTCCTTTTCAAAGTTCTATCCATCAACAAGGCACTCTCGATCCAAGCACACCCAAACAAGAAGCTGGCCGAGAAGCTGCACGCCAAAGACCCCAAGAACTATCCGGACGACAATCACAAGCCTGAAATGACACTAGCCATCACTCCATTCGAAGGGCTATGTGGATTTCGGCCATTGAAGGAGATTGCTCACTTCTTAGCCACCATTCCTCCCCTTCGCGAACTGGTTGGCGAGACCGAGGCCAAAGGCCTCGAAGAAATTGCCAGTTCCTCTTCTTCAACACCTGAAGAAGCAAAGGCCCGCCTCAAGGCCGCCTTTAGCTCGCTCATGAAGACTCCCCGCGACAAGGTAGCTGCCAAGTCCAAAGAGCTCGTCCAACTCGCCCAATCCGGCTCCATCACTCCCGGGCCCAGCGTCAACACCTCCGAAGAGCTGTGCGAACTCGTCCAACGCTGCGACCGCCAATTCCCCGAGGACATTGGCCTGTTCGTGCTGTTTTTCCTGAACTACGTCAAACTCTCGCCTGGGCAGGCTATGTACCTGAAGGCAGATGACATCCACGCGTACATCTCGGGCGACATCATCGAATGCATGGCGAGCAGCGACAATGTCATCCGCGCCGGCTTCACTCCGAAGTTCCAAGACGTCGACACCTTGACTGACATTTTGACCTACGACCACGACCCGCCTGAGCAGCAACTGCTTCAGCCCGTCCCCTACCCATACGCCACGCTGAACGGCACGGCATACAGCTCGGGCAGCGAGTCGCTACTCTATGACCCGCCGATTGAGGAGTTCAGTGTCGTCCGCACCGAGCTCAAGAAGCCTGGCGCCAAGGCCACTTTTGAAGGCCTCGCGGGCCCAAGCATCGTCATCTGCACCTCTGGCGAGGGCAAGGTCAGCGTGGGTCCCAAGACCGAGGACATCAAGGAAGGCTGGGTGTACTTTGTCGGCGCGACAGCCGAGCTGGTCATTGAGAGCAGCAGCGACGATATGGTCACGTTCCGTGCGTTCTGCGAGATCAACGATGGTGCAAAGGAGAATGGTGTTCATCATTGAATAGAAGACACAGAAAAGGTCAAGGTCAAGGTCAAGGTCAAGCTATGATGTTTTGGGTGCAGCGTTGCAACGGGCTGCTCGACGATGCAGGGAACAAGCAACGCAGAATGACGGGGAATATGGGAACAGGGGATCACGACTGTATATGCAAAAGCCGTGATATGCATTATGCAACGAACACGGGAACGTTCGATCGCGACATAGGGTCGCATCAAAGGTAATGGATGACCATTGCAATATCAAATGGCAACTAACGTAGTTTTCTCGCGATGTGACTCTCTTCTTTCATTATATTATATCATGCTGAGAAGGATCCAGCAGAGCGAGCCCTGGCCCTGCGTGACAGGTCACCCCCGGCACATATCACATCATGCCTGTATCGTGACACTCGCCCGGAACTTCATCTACTCACCTCCCCAAGTCTCCCACCAGCCCCTGGTGCGGGGATGTCTTAGCTGTCGGGGCCCAATTCGACGCCTCGGTTTCGAGAGTCACATATTAGGCAGACGAGATGGTGACTTGGGAGAATCTGACTGGGAGAGTCTAATCGAAGTAGGACGACTGACAAATCCATTGTTTAGTTGGTTGGAATATCAACCCGATTTGTAAGCCAATCAACGTCGCAGTGCCAGTATCGCTCTTGGACCGATGTCACCGCCCATATCAGAGCCACAGGAGCGGGAGAGGGGAACTGGACTTCTATCAGTCAACGCCTATCGTACTTCTATCCAGTCCTGGCCCAACGAAGGCCGAAGATCCAAGGTGTTGCCTTCTTATCGTCCCTCGACGTTTCTGTAGATCACCATCCGGCTACTTCTCTCCTCCCAATTCGATCTCATACGAGAATGGCGCCCATCAGAATAGGAATCGTGGGATTGTCTAGCAAAGCAGGTGCCTGGGCGACTTTGGCGCATCTGCCTCGCCTGGCCAAGTCACCCAACTACCAGATCGTGGCACTGTGCAACTCGACGCTGGAATCCACCAAGGCGGCGATCAAGGCCCATAACCTGCCGGAATCGACAAAGGCTTACGACTCGTACGAGCAGCTTGCCGCAGACCCAGACGTCGACCTCTATGTTGTCTCGACTCGTGCAGATACTCACTATGAAGTTGCCTTGCCTGCTCTGAAGGCTGGCAAGAATGTGTATGTGGAATGGCCTCTGGCCGCAACCACCCAACAAGCAAAGGAGATGGCTGCTCTAGCCACCGAGAAGAACCTCAAAACCATCATCGGCCTCCAAGGCCGCATGTCACCCAGCGTGAAGAAGATCAAGGAGCTCATCGACACTGGAGCCTTGGGGGAAATCCATAGCGTCAATTATCAGGGGGCCATCCATGTGTGGCAGAACAACGCAGCGGGTGAACGGTATCGCTACTTCATGGACCGAAAGGTCGGAGGCAATCTCCTGACAATATATGGCGGCCACATCCTGGACTCGATCTTTTACGCAGTGGGAGAGCTGCTGCCAGGTAGCTATGCTCCCTTGGCGGCGAATTTGAGACCGCGAATGCACACTATGGGGCAGGATGGGTCGCTGTCGGAAGAACTGTATGACAAGAACACCCCTGATCAAATCCTGCTTCAGGGACGATTGGACAGGCACCCTCGAGCGGTATTCAGTTTCCACCTGAGGGCGGGAGACAGGTTCATCGGCAGCCCGGGGTCCATCTGGAGGATATATGGAACCAAGGGCGAACTGGCGGTTGAGTTCGCCAGCGCTGGCCCGCAGATGGCAAAGGCTACTAGTTTCCGGTTCTCAAATTCGGAGAAGGGTGAAATCGAAGACATCGTGACCGACGAAGGTGGTAAGGAATGGACTGACCTCCCGACCCAGGGGCAGAACATCGGTCGTCTGTATGAGGCGTATGCTGAGGGTCAACCCTACGGCGATTTCGACCTTGCCGTCAAGAGGCACGAACTGATTGATGAGTTCTGGGCCACCATGTCGTAGCGGATGAGTCGAAGGGCAATAGAGCGGCAACAGTGAAGGAGAGGGTCGACAAGCTCACCTCTAGCTAAATGATGAACGAAGTGACTGGAGTGGTGTATCCGTTCCTCCGTACTCGTACCTGACCACTGTACGGGTAATCATTATTGCACAGCCGGCAAAGTCTCGATTTCCGCGGCTTCCGGCGCGAAAATGATAGGCGACGATACGTAGCCAGGCTGGTCACGTGGCAATTGGTCGGATTGCGGTGGAAGCGAGAACAGCAGCCATAGTACGGATGGCATAGGTACCTCAAGCAGCCTCTTGAACGGAGCTTGCAAGGCAACAGCAAGTAGAGGACACATCTCGTTCCTCTTGTTTATCTCTCATCATCATCACTGTTGCTGGGCCCTACGCGGTCAAGCAGGAGGACGTTTAACCTCCTCAGCAAACTTCCCTTCAACCCCCGAGAATGCCCGAAACGCTCATCATGACAATGGAACAGCGGTAATTGGCCGGGTAGCTGGGGCGTTCGCAGGGGCGGGCGCCACTTTTCCAGCGCCACAGTGGCAGGCCTCCTAGGCTTAGGGGCCCAGAAGCAGAGGCCGAAGCAATGCCAGAGTGCCTATTGGAGGCGCATCATCGGCCCAGTGCCCGGGCTGCAAAACCACTCAGCTGCTCATCTCCGTCATACGCTTTTTCCTTTTCTTCCATTCTTGTCGAACTTTTTTGGTCCATTGCACTCTACTTTCCCCTACTACACCCACTCTCGAGCTCTATCACTGCACTAGACATACTCGGATCACATCCTAGTATTACCCTCTCTTATTCATACTCGTCGTTGTACAATAAAAGCAAAAAATGGGCAAGGACGACGGTTTCAAGGATGGTAAGTCTTGCCTTCTCCAGGTGCCATTATAGCTTCGCAGCAGCTTCACTGTACCTCTTCACTGTGCCAATGGTGATGTGACCGCATCCTCTGACACTCTCGATGGCTGTTCGAGCCACTGCACCGCCGTGCGCTTCCTACACCGCCGTCATTTACCTTGCGTCGCTTCCTACACAGAAGTCACCTTCAACTCGAATTATCATTCGGATACTCGATTCGAAACTCGTGTCTAGCTCATGGGAATATGGCCTGGTCGTATTTTCCATATTTGCCTCAAGAGTTGGATGAGCTCGAGTCAACCTTGGCCAAGCAAGAACAGGAAGCTGCTGCGAGAAGGCTGCAAATGAGAAAAAGAGGATGAGAAGCTCACGATTTCCCCCTACAGGTGACGCCAAGAAGGGTGCCAACCTCTTCAAGACGAGATGCGCTCAGTGCCACACCGTCGTCGAGTCGGAAGGCAACAAGATCGGCCCTAACCTGCACGGTCTCTTCGGCCGCAAGACGGGCTCCGTCGACGGCTTTTCCTACACAGACGCCAACAAGCAGAAGGGCATCACATGGGATGAGGGCACTCTGGTAATCATCGCCTACCGCATGTTGTGTTCTGACTCCAGATGCTAATGTGCAACAGTATGAATACCTCGAGAACCCAAAGAAATACATTCCCGGCACGAAGATGGCTTTCGGTGGCTTGAAGAAGGCCAAGGACAGGAATGATCTGATCACGTTCGTCTCCCATAATTCCCAAGCCCTCTCTCCGTATATATTTGCTGACACTCAACTAGCTGGCTGCGCGAGGAGACCAAGTAAATTGCGACCATCAAACTATTTGCCACACCTAGCAGGCGGTTCGGCCGCCTTGGTTCAGCCACCTTGATTGCTTTGTCGATTTCGGGATCATCGGCTGCTGTATCATCAAAGACGGCGGAGGCGCACATCTACCTAATCTGAATGTTGGCACTTGCATACCAATAACCGACCAAGACACTCCGGAGAAGCCGGTAGACAGTTCAGTGTACATAATCGCACCGGTTACTTTCTCAGCGTACCTGCATTTCACGCGACTGGCAGACATGGCTGTTGAAAACCGACAATCAAGCAACTTCTCTGCTCCACAATTCCTCCTTCACATGATATGGTCAATAAACTGCTTTGTGGCGGGTATGCACACCTGCTCCCACGGTCCAAAGAGCTTCACAGATCTAGGCTAATGAGCCGACTGGTGCTCATTCACCCGTAGTCAACACCAATGGTAGGCTGAGGCAGTGCTGCCGTGACAGAAGCTAGAGCTGCGGCATCCCTTCGCCCTTGCATCAGAAACCCTGGTCCAGAGCGCATTTGGGGACTTGATTGGTAGGGCTGCTCCCCCCAAACCACGACACCCCAAGTGCCAGCTGTCCCAGCCTCCAACATTTCCCTCTCGCTCTCACTCGCCTCTGGCACCCGTGCCTTGGACGGGGCCGTGAACCCAAACGCAGCAGTGAGGGCAGATGCACGTCCCTGAACTGATGAATGCATTGCCTGCGCCAGCGAGAGAGGCTGGGCTAGCCTGCATCCCGCACTGTCCAGACATGGATATCCCTATTTTGCCCTTCCAAGCGTCGTGAATTCTCGAGTGCCTTGTTCTCCCGTTGACTGGAAACAGTTGCTGCACTGTATTTGACGTTGTTTTATCCCATTCGTTCCATTCGATCGCTGCTGCGGTGACAATTGTTCCATTTCAACGTGGTTCAGGAAAGCGGCCGTTTTGTCAACCTGCTACCCCGCCTCAGCTACACTTGCAGCCTTGTCTTGATGCTTCATTTTCTCCTTCTTTATACCTTGCCATGGCTGCGATGATGGCTGCAGTCCCATTTGACAATCTCTACGTGGAGGGGGTTCCTGAAGACGCACATTCGTTACTAGAAGCCTCGATCGAAGATTTCGAAGAACAAGAACGACGCTCGCCCCTCCTTTCCGGCTTCAGATCAGATCACGGAGACAGCGAGGTCGACGACCGGTCGAGCACGGGGCTACCATGGTCTCCTCCGGGGTTCAAGATCCGCAATGCGAACGCGAGTGGATGGTTCAGACATGATCCGTATGCAAAATATGATTTGCGACCGTCGATGAGCCCATCGAGATCAAGACAGACAAGCCCAGAAGTATATCTAGATGCCACAGAAGGAGACCCAGACATTACGGTGGCTGTCAATACACCCCTGCCTTCGGGCACAGACTCACCGGTACGGGAGCGCTCCCCAGAGGCAGAACCTCAACATGATGTGAAGATTGGAGACTATGGCCCGGAAGAGCCTGTCTCTCAGGAGAGCCCAAACAACTGTAAATGGATCCCTACCCCCCAGTATTGATGAGTCGCTGATGTCAATGGATCTAGATATTCGATTACAACTCCGAGCGGAAGTGCAACACCGGGAACCTTTCGTCACCTTTTTCAACTTTGTTCACCGCAAATTCGATGTTATGACCCGGACAAAATCAAGCACGCTCTTTTCTCTTCTAACGACTCTTCTCTTCGCATCGCTTTTACGCATTATTCTCATTCCCCCCATTTCTCCTCCTGTCCCCGACCTGGTTAAGGTGTCGACCCTGGCCAAATCGTTCGAGCCATTAATTTTCTATTCGGAGAATGGCTACGCTCAAATCACGGCGCTGCAAGAAACAAGCGTGGCAGTTTGGGACCTTGGAGAGTCAGTCAGGAGTGCTAACATGACTTCGGCGCCGCTTATTGTACGCTCTTTGGATGAATTGTCCGACAGCCTGAAGTCTCTGGGACTAGAATTGACACGCTTCTTCGCCGATGTCGACTCGGACGTGGATAGTATTCTCCTTGTGATGGATTGGGCCAAACGAGAGCTGCAAGGCCTCACATCGACTCAAGGCGGTTCGTTTTCCGGGGTGGTCTTTGATCACTTGCACGGCCTTTTGAATCGGGGAGGACTATTGGAAACATCCACGGGACCGACCGCACTAGGAAAGGTGCTTACAGATGTCTTTGGCGCCAGTTCGCCGCAGAAAACGAGAGCAACACTGACGAGGACCTTCCATGAGTTCGTCAATGTGCTTGAGGAATCTATCAACAGTGAATTGACCCACTCAGCGGCATTGTTCGCTCTGTTCGAATCCATCGACCGGCAATTTTTGAACCTGCAGCGAACCGTGGTCAGAGAGACAGATACACAGGAGAGACTCGAGAATGATCTGCTATCGTCCCTGTGGACTCGAGTGATTGGTCCAAATGCGGCGATGTTGAGGAAGTACGAGAAAAACAAACAACTGTTATCCAGCGTGCGATCCAGGACCGTCAACAACAAGCACCTACTGATGGAGCATCATGGCCGGTTGCAGACACTCAAAGTCAACCTGGAAACGCTCCGGAGGAAATTGGTGAGCCCGCTGGTCAGAAGAAATGACTCGGTCAGCATTGATAACGCGAGTGTGGTTGAGCACCAGATTAGGGGACTGGAAGGAACTTATGATTATCTCAGGGGCGTGCGCGAGAGACAGAAGAGCAAACTCATGGAAATGGTTTATGGAGCAAAGTCTGGACGGGCCCGCCTTGTGGGGGTGGGCGGTGGCCTGGATGGCATGGCTCTTGATGGTTGAGTGGATGGCGACATGTGCGAAGCAGGATAAGACGCGCAGAGAATCACGAATGTATCATATGGTTAGCAGACGGGGCTAGAACACACGGCTCCGAAGACATCTAGTACTACTACATTAGACGCTTCCTTCATCTCGATTCTCCAGTATAGCCGACGGAGATATTCCTGTCAATTTTTGGTAACTCCGGCGGCGGGCATCATCACATTATTTTTTAAGACTCCCACGATCCTAACACCTTGAAGTTACAAAGCGTTTCTTGACCAACGACTCGGTACCCTTCCACTTAGTCTTTTGGCAAGGAGGAAAACTTGTTCCTTCGCCTGAGCAGAGTTGCGGAAGGCCTGGTGCCACGACTGGTTGCTGCACAGCAACGATTTCGCCCAAGTTTGCATCTTCCCTGACCTTGTTGTTCCCAATCCCTCGAAGATGCCTTCGCTCGCCAGCTCTTCACCGTTCTCACCGGCCGAACTCGCTTACCTCCATACCTCGCTATCCTCAGTCCCACCATTGCGACCAGATGCTCGGTCACTGGGCACCGATTTTCGTCCACTGCGCGCAGAGACAGGCGTGCTTCCAGCAGTCAATGGCAGTGCACACGTCGGCTTCAGCGACGGCCGTGAAGCCATAGTAGGAGTGAAGCTTGAGGTTGAGAAAACGGTGGAACGAAAGAATACGGGATTGAAGTACCACGTGGACAGCGCGATGGATATCGATATGGACGAAGACGAGCGCCGGAAACAAGCAATGGGCAAACAGGAATGGGTCACCCTTACACTCACCGTGCCTGGTCTACGAGACGATGACCCCAATTTGGCTTTTCTCGAGGAAATGCTTCGGGAGCCACTCGCAGTGCCTTTATCAACGGCGCCGCAGTCGGACAATAGCTACACAATGTCGTTGCAGGACAGCTTGGTGATCAATTCGCGGTGGCATTGGCATGTCTATGTCGATGTCCTCTTGATCTCGCCCAACGGCCTGGCAAGTTATCCACTCCCGCTCTTGAGCATGGCTGCTCACCTTGCTCTCCGAGACACGAGAATCCCCAAGCTCAAGAGCGAAGGAGAAGAAGACCCCGTTGCAGACGACGACTGGATGGCAAGCACCTATCTGTATCCACGGAAAGTCGTTACTACCAGCCCAAGACCTCCAGTCATCCTTCTCGTGCTAGTGGTGGGCGAGAACGTCATCTTCGACCCGAGCAGGGAAGAGCTTGCTGTTGCGGACGGTATTGTTGCCGTCAGCATAGCAAGTAGCACCGACGATGACAAAGATTGCAAGGTGCTCGCAGTCCGTATGGTCGACAGCCCAGCGAGGGATACTATGAAAGGAATCCCTCAGTCCGAGGAGCCTCAAAAAGGTGTCGATGTTCCCGGAGTCTGGAGACCGAGGGTTGGTGGTGTCAAGAGGAGTGTGCTGAAGGCCGTGATCAAGAGTGTCGTTGTCGATGGCGTGGCGCGAGATGTTATGAGTGGCCTGGACGGATTCCTGAATCTCGAAGATGGTGCAGATGCGGGCGCGAATGCTGTCTGAACAGTGTTTGTGCTTGAGTTCCTTTTGACAGGGTTGGCCTACATCCACCTTGCAGCAAACGTCCAGACCGGTCGTACCCGTTGTCTCCAGACCGCCTGTGGAGGCGCCCGTTGCAGCAAAGCACATGAATTTGCAGCTTCACCACGGCTGCCTGTGTGTGCCTCTCACAGATTGGCTGAGAGAGAGCCTTTGATATCTCGAAGTCTCATGGACCTACAGAAGTGGGCCAAGCCTCGATCGAGAGGAGTGCCTTGATCAAGCAGCAGTCAGGCTCGCACTGGTGACTGCGCCAACAGTAGGACCGTGCAGAGCTAGGCGAATTCCCGAGTTCCACGTCGGGTCGAACCCGAGCGGCCAAGATGGTCGAATGATTATGCTACAGCCGGTGAGGAGGAACAGGGCAACCATGATGGGGCATTACCCGCAGGTTGTTCTTAAGAAAGAAACGACGATATTGTATTACTTTCGAAAAGCAGGCGAACAGCGATCATAACCATGTACGGACGGCCAGAAACAGAGGACATCAGGAGCAATGTTCATCGGGGCGTTGTTCTTTTCGCAACTTGTGACAAGGTCAAGAATTGGGCCTAACCCTCAACTACAAATAAATGAAGGGTGCTGTATGCTGAATGGCTCAGGGCTTTCATATCAATAACACCAAATGGTCAAGGGATCACGGTCAAGTATAAGGACCTACTGAGTCGACAGGGCTAAGGCTGAACCAAGGTTACAATATGCTTGAGTGTTTGACAGGGTTGATTTTGTATTCCTAGAGATGCAGATACAGATGCAGATGTAATCATCCATGCAGGTGGGTACAGGCATGTCTGCTCCCTTGAGCAAGAGGCTGCTCTTGCTCTACGACTGTGGGACGTGTTTCAGTCCAAAAACAGGGCGAATGGATACCTTTCAGCTTTATCGTATTCCTTTCCTTTGTTCTTGATCCCTCCACGGTCGTCGACCATATCTCCGCGAACGCACAGCCAGATGTGAAGTCGAGGGTGATAGATGGTCCTTCACTTCCACCGTCATCTGTTCATGCTCTCTCGCTTTCGAGCACGCCATACTGTCCCCCTTGCTCGCCCACTGCGCCCGAGGAACCTTGCTGTCGCTGTCTGCCTCCGTCCACGCCGGCCGAAGAAAGCTCGGTTTCGAATCCGGTGTTGCGTCCTTCGAATTCTCGCTCTGCCACGCGCCCAGGATCGTACTGGCCGCCCACATTGCCGGTGAATGTCTTGGTCTTCGGGACGGAGTCGGTCACGTCTGCATCGTCGAGGTTGCTGCCCTTGGGCTTGTACGAGCCATCAGATCTCGCGGCGCCCGTCACACTGGCCACGTATCCTGGGGCAGCGTCGACATAGGGCCGCGCGCCAGCACCACCGCCACCGGACGAGGAGGCGTTGTCGAAGCCACTGCCGGTCGACCGGATTTCTGGATCAGCCGTGTGCCGGCCCGGGGCTGTCGACGCACCAAAGTCGCTATCGCCAGCCCTCCCGCCGCCGTGGCTCAGAGCCTGGCCCTGGCCGCTCGGCCCGCCGTAGTATCCGTCCGCGTTGTGCGCGCCGTCAAAGTCGGCCTTGCCTGCCGCGTCGAGCTTGAGGCCCGAGGCGCCTTTGACGTCGGCGTCCGCCCCGAGCGCATCTTGCTTCTCGCGGCTTGCGCCCGATGCTGCTGGGTGCAGAACATGGGCGGCTGAAGTGTCAGTGGTGGCGAATGTAGATTGACCTCCCCGGACCGACTGCGCTGCTGCGCCTGTGTTTTCGGCAAATCCGCCCTTCGCCTCCAACGACTCCGCAGCCAGTGAGTCGGCGGCAACGGGGCCAGTGGCCTCGTAGGGAGCGTTCTCATGGTCCGGCTTAGGGGCACGAGGGTTCAGTGAGATCGTCATGTTGCTAAGTAAGTCGGTTCGGTTGGTCCTGTTATGATGTGCTCGTGTCGTGTCAATCAATGTGAGCCAGTGGTGAAGACGAAATGTAATCAAGTAGAGAACAGAGAGAAAACAGAGAATTTCAAAGAGAACAGGCTTTATGAGGTCAAATAATACCTATGAAAAGACTCGTGCTGCCATGCCAGTTGACGGAACTTTTGCCCATATATGGGATGACATCATCAGGGGCCACTGGGTGCTGTGTGTGAAGTCATGTTGGATGCGATTGTCGCCTGTGATATCAACATCCCTGCAACATGTAATTCACATCACCAATCCCATCTTGTGGCCGAGAATCGAATCTTTGGACAGTTCTGGCTCGTTCCATGCAGTGGCTTCGTTCATTAAGAGTAATGCATTCGTGCCCTCATCGCATTCTCTATGCCCCCTTTACCCCTGCCCCTATTTCTAACTTTGCAATCCGTTGCCTGGCATGTTAATGGTACGTAGGGGCTATTGACCTCGTCCCAGCAGTACAAACTTGAACGTTGATGGCATTATGCCAGATTCATTCGAAAACAAGGAGATGGCATATCCATACCATCTCAGTTCAACCGTGTAGACCCAATGAAGGAAAGATTGGAAAGAGTCCCAGCTCGTATCATGCCGACCAACACCCTTGTAACCAAAGAATTCCACAACCGGATGATGCTCGCATCTACTTCAACGCCTTGCGGGCAAATGTCGGTAGGATGAAGCTTGCCTGGTGGATTTCTTTGTTGTAGTATTTGCACAGCTTTTCCTCCTCCTCTGGGCTCCATGACCGCAAAGGCACCTTGACGTCGCGGTTGGGATCCTTGCAGCAGACCATGAAACCAATCTGGCCCGAAGGATAGGTGGGGATGGTGGTGTAGGCGTATTCCACCACAGGGAAGACTTCCTTGCAGTCTTTCTTGAGCTTCGTGATCAGCGGGAGGTGAAGCCATTGGTTTTCGGCTAGAAAACAAAGAATGTTAGCAAGTGCTAGCGGCACAACAACGTTGACAGGAACCCTGCCTAAGCAAGCTCAAGGACACGAAACACGTGAGGGGAGGGGATGGGTGCGCACAACCTTGGGTAGTAATAACACCACCGTCTTTTAGGGCTCCGAAGAGAAGCTCAAAATAGGGTTTCTGGAACAGCGACTCGGCTGGGCCTTCTGGATCGCTGCTGTCGGTGATAATGACGTCGAACTCGTTCTTGCGATCAGCAAGGAACTTGAAGCCATCACCAATATGGACTTGGACTGCTGGGTGTTGGAAGCCAATGGACATTCCCGGCAGGTATTTCTTGCTGACACGAACGACCGCTTCGTCGATGTCACAAAGGATGGCCTTCTCAACCGACTCATGTTTGACGACCTCACGCAAAACACCGCCGTCGCCGCCGCCGATGACGAGGACCGACTTGGGGTTTGGGTGAGAGTTCATGGCCAAATGCGTGATCATCTCTTGGTAGGAAAACTCGTCCCGCTCGGTAGATTGAATCACATTGTCAAGGACCATCACGGTGCCGTGGTCGCTGCTTTCGAAGACCAGGACGTCTTGATACTTGGACTTTTCGTGGTGCAAGACCTGGTTGACCTTCAGGATCATGGCCTGGCCTGGCCACATGTCGGAGATCTCTCTGAACCAGCCATCTAGAGACCCGGGTTATGATCAGCAACCGATCTTCTTTGCCACGTCGACCGAGCTATGAACAACTCACCCTTGATGGTGGGATGGGTGATTTCAGACATGTTGAACGAGCGAGCACCGAAGGCAAAGGTACGGCAATTCGATGTGAAGCGAGTGAGGCCTGGCGGGGTGGTCAATGGCCGGCGACAAAGATGACGGAAGACAGAAAAATGAGTAGGAAAAGTCAGGATGAGCGAAACGACGGACGAAGGCCAAGTAATGAGAAGAGAATTCGGAGAAGACTACTCTCGTCGCCTCTCCAGTGTAGTAATTCGCGTCGTGTGACTGAGAAGGACTGGGCAGTGGGCAGTGTTGTTTGACTCGCTGCGCTCTCTATCGTGAACCAAATTTTTTTCTTTTTTGGTTTGCGCAGGCGGGGCAGCGTGCCGGGGATTTCACCGTTTTCCGGCAGCCTCCTTTTAGCCATTAATATTCGTCCCTGGCCCTGCGTCCGGACCACACTGGCTGCCTGCATCCTCCTCTCAATCGAACCACCATCGATATCCTTTCCGCTCTCTCCCGTCTCAATTCCTAGGCTCCAGGACCACGCCATCGCGTGTTTAGTGTCACACAAGCAACGGGTAGAGGAGCTGGCACAAACAGAGAATTGGCTATACAAGCACAAGCCGTGACCCCAACTTCACAAAGTACTAGTACTATTAAGATGACTACTCTAGTCCTAAGGCGCTCTGCTAGGGACGGGCAATGGGGGCAATGGGCAAGGCTGATCCGAAAAGGGCAAGAGAGAACTTGCAGTGGATTCACAGACTACTCCCACGGTCTCCTCAGCTCGATCCCGTTCAATCCATCCATTACTCGTTTGACCTTCTCGATATCCACTTCCTTCTTTGGCTGGCCCAGATACCACGTAATGTCACTGCCATCTCTCTCGCAGACATGGAAGCCGTTGCCGAAGAAGCTGAACATGTCGTCTGGATCATCGTAGTCTATTTCAAAGTCTTCAAACCGTGGTCGTTCCAGGCTTCGGAGAAAGTGCAGTCGAGATCCTGGCCATATGGCCGGTTTGCCGTCGACCTTGCCGCCTTTAAACCAGCTTGAACATGGGCCGGTCCATGCCGTCCTTTTCAGAAACGAGTCGGCGTGTCGTATGAACTGTTCCACCACCTTTTCCTTGGGTCTCAGCGAGCGGATGTTCTCGGTCTGCATCCGTTCGATTACCTGAATCGTGTAGTTGCAATACCCTTGGACGAGCGGGAAGAAGGATCCATGTGCCGAGGGACAATAGGCGCTTCCGTTCACGAAGTAGTTGGGTACCCCCGCCAGTGCAACGCTGAGGTAGGATGGTACGTGAGGATGGTCTCTCCATCCATCCCGTTTGTCCGAACCGTTGACAATTAGAGGGAATCGTGGTTTGTACGAGGTGTCGAAACCGGTCGCACATATGATGACGTCCACTTCCTGTTCATTGCCGTCCGGATCGATGAATCCCTTCTCCGTGACGCGCTCAAGCTGTGAAGTGTAGGCCTGTGTCTTTTCTCCAGTCAGGGTCTGGAGATATCCATTGCCGGGAGTGGGCCGGCGGCAGCCAACATAGAAATCTGTAGGCATGATTTTCTCCAGGAGGTCTGGTCGGTCTTTCAAGTGAGCCCTCATCTCGCTCTCGGAAAACTCGCGCGCCGCCTTCTGGGATGGAGATCCATTGATGATGAAGCTGAATCTCTGATTAAGCTCTCCTTCAATCAGCTTACAGTAGGCCAAAAACTCGTCGGGATCCTCAAAGAGCTTGCGTTGTTCTTCATTGTAGATGAAATTGGCCCCGTCTTTCCCGGCAAAGTTCTGGGCGAACCCGGCGGTGATCCAGATCTTGGATCGAATCCATGTATATACCTTATCGACTTGCTCGTAGATATTGGGCAATATCTGGACCGCACTGCTTCCGGCACCTAGAAGGGCAACTCTTTTGCCGGCGAGATCCGTGTCCTGGCTCCACTGAGCGGAATGAAGGAGAGTTCCCTTAAAATCATGGAGACCTGGGATGTCAGGCCATTTCCAATTGTTGAGGATTCCACCACCGTCAAGAACAACATCTGCATGATCTTCAAATTCTCGACCGGTCTCAAGGTCCTGGACGCGGATAGCCCACTGAGCAATCTCATCGTCCCAAGACAGCGAAATAATGCGATGTCGAAGCTTGACGTATTTTTCCAGAAAGTGGTTCTCCTCCTCAACTTTCTTGAGGTATTCCCAAATCTCGGGAGAGTAAGAATAGTACTTCGACCAAGGTGCAGGGCGCCAGGGGAATTGGTATACTACACTGGGTATATCTTTTGCAACATCAGCAGTGCATTCCACAACGCCAGTCGAGCGACGCACCACAGGCACAACCTGGATAGCGATTTTCGTACCAGGTTCCTCCAATGTCGGCATTCTTTTCGTAGCAGATGATTTCGACATTCTTCAACTTGTCCTCAGCAAACTTGAAGAAGTTCAAGCCCGACACTCCAGCGCCGAGTACAGCAATGCGCATCTTCTTGCGAGTCCCGTAGAGTTGTTCAAGGATTTTCACGTCGTCCGGGGATGGATTATTGACTTCTGGGCGCACTTCATGCCGGGCGAGCTCTGGATCAGTGCTGCCATCGGCGGGCAAATACATGCCCCGATATCCGTTGGTGCTCGCTGTAGGAGCCATATCCGGCGGCCTTGGGACTGTGGAATGATCGTGACAAAACGAAATTAATTCCTTGAGCAATTAGTGACCAATTGACGGTATACGTATACTTCTTTCAACAATGATCTCTAGCGGTCTTAAAGAGTCGATGCCTACTAATGAGCACAGACAACAAATGGAGATGGTTCATGGATGTCAGAAAAGTGCAGACTCGATACCTCACCAAAGAGCAGTAAAGTACCAAAATCTCCTAAACAGTGGTAATACGCCTCACGAAGCCGACTTGACCGAATCGCCATGTCGGAAGCCATGTCGGTATGATTCCATTCTCCGCATCTGTTGGAGAACCGAGGCTTCGTTCGTAAGCATGCATGGCGTAGCTGTTTCTCGGCCCTCGGATGACTCCGTTGGCAGAGGTAGTCTACTATGTAGGCCGGCCCCAGGTTCAGCTGTGCGCGTCGAGACTGATTCCATGGTGGCGATGGCACAGCACACTACGTGGCCGAGATGTGAAGAAATAGGAGAAGAGACAAGGCTGCAGCCAATATTTGCGAGGCTCAGCCCCGGCCAAGCCCTGGAAAATCGGTTTCTCCGACTCCGCCACAAGCGGGCAGGCGCTACTACAGTTAACTCTGTGAAGGCAGGCGTGTGCAGATAAGGTACCATAGGTTGTCTGACGTGGAGATTTGATGATCTGTCCACCTGATATCCCTCAAATGACCCTCAAATGACCATGTCAGGCCCCAGCCCCTTCTCGCAATGACTCCACTGCCATGTCATTCGGAGAGGCTTGACTTTCTCGAATCCTCCGTACAAGCCGTAGGTGGCATACGACTGCGCCTCATCGACCACATTCTTCGTTGTTGCAGTGCTTTTTAGATACGAAAGTCGCTCAGTTGGTCTTCACTGTGTTCATTTCTCTCTCACCTCTTCACCCATACTCCGTACAAGCATTGCATTTCTTTCCCCGACACCGAGTCCAGCCTCGCGGACATCTATCTCACTACAAGCCAGCAAACATGACGGACGTCCTGCGACAGACCCCTCCACCCATTGAGACTCAACGTCAATCCTCTACCTCTCCTCCGACCTCGGCCACATCCTCTCCAGCGTCTTTATCCAAAAAACGATCCCGATCGCAAATGTCCCTCGACTTGTCCTCCCTACCGCCACTCTCACAGCCAGCGCCACCCTCTAATACTCTCCTAATCACACGCCTCGATGACGCCAATATATTCCATCCTGCATCTCTCGCTACGATCAGACAGTATATCAATGATATCGCGCCGCTGAACTCATTCTCGCCCCTCAAGTCTATGAACCGCATCATCTGCTCGTTCTACGATACAGAGGCATCAGTGAGAGTGCGGCAGGTGTTTGATGGTGCCGCCGTCCTGGGGAACGCTGTGGCAAAATGTTATTTCGGCGAACCTACGCCGATAGGAGATGAGAAGAAATACCTCCAGCGTCCCGATGCCGGTCGTTTATTCTTTATCAGCCCTCCACCTAGCCCGCCAGTCGGCTGGGAGATGAGACCCGAAGACCCTCCAAACAAGGAGGTTCATGCGGAGGACCTGGCAGCGCAACTAGCGAAGTTGAGCGGGAAGATGACACATGCTGCAGACGAGTCGTCCGACGACGAGTCGAAAACACAATACACGGGCGAGGCATTGCACAAGTTGAAAGCAAACCGGACGCAGGCGTTCCCTACACTCTCAGCAGATGCCTCCCCTACTGGCTCGTCACCAAAGAAGCACCGGAGTCGCAGCTCGACCTTAATCTACGACCCGAAGGTTCACGGTGATAGCCCGGCGCTTCCGGCGGTGATGCTAGAAACTGAAGACGATTCGGATGTTGAGCTAGAAGAACCTCCGAAAAAGATCATGACCCATACATCGAGGCCACCACTCGAACTGATGGAACACTGATTTATAGGTTGAACGTTTGCAGGAGGGCGGGCGTTCTGGGAAAGGTTACACGGAGGCGTTCAGAGGACATAGCAAATGGGTTCATGGATATAGTCAGCATAGAGCCGCGTATGTGCGTTACTGGAACCATGGGCCTCCATATTCACATTTGAGTTTGGCACCCACTGTACACTAATTCCCAACACATATCAATCTATGATTCCCAAAATCCGAGGGCGAGCATTCCATTTGGAATACTGCTCCCTGCCAATGCGCCTAGGACACATTCTGTGACCCGTGTTTTGTCCAATATCTATCACGACAACGCTTGTCTGCCCGGGAATGCAGCAAGGGCGGCAAGCGGTCATAAATCCGCGACAACGCCGTAAACGCCCGACACATGAGAATGACGAGGCCGCGATTACTCTTCGATCCCCTTCCACTGCCTGTACAGGTGCTTGTGCTGTTCGAAGAATATCATAGTGAAGACTGTCTGAGGGCCGAGACGAATGAAACTGGGCACCCACCCGCGGAAAACCCATAATAGACCTTCTTTGTGGCTCGCCTCCCTCAACAGGTGAAGGATGGAGACTTTAGGATGCGCACTCATGACCCGCGTCTTGATCACATCGACCGGGGAGCAGATGGTGGTGGCCACAAGCCCGGCCGCAAGCGAACTTGCAAAGTGCGTCCCCAGATGGTCCTGCATGCCCAGCTGCTGTAGACATATCTGCTTGAAAGCGTCGTAACTGGCCAGTTGCGCAACATTCATCAACACTGCTCGCGCCGAGTTGGCCTCCACACCACGGAAGATACTTGCGGGCCCTTCCTCGCGAACCATGCGTATCAGGCCATCAAGGGCGTGCTTGTAGTTCCGCCGTGCCTCTGGCGGCTTTGATAGATCAGACTGCATTCGCACATTCAGCACATCGCCAGGGTTTCCTGCAATCCCGCCGAGGCAGCCAGATATGCCGGACATGGCGATGAGACTGAAGAGAGACGGCCGCGGCTTAGGGTTCTCCGGGGTCGGTTGTGGTGCAAAGCGCCTCTTGAGGTCTTCATACACGCCAAATCGCACGGTGGAGTAGGTCATTTGTCGCAGGAGCGCGGCAGACAGGCCGGCGTATAGGCCGAGTACGCCTTCATGGCGGAAGACATAGGTGATGGTGCTGAGGGTTGTCTTCGGGGCATGGGGCAGTCTTGTCTGCAACCGCACTTTGACTGCATTGCATGTTAGAACGCAAAGAGCGCCAGACAGTGAGGGGCCCGGAGGTCATGTGTCAAGTACCCAAGTCGAGAGGATGTGTCACTACCGCAGCCATGGATGCTGCGCTTCCACCGAACCAGAACGGGTAGCGCACCGGTGCAGATTTTGACTCTGACGCCAACGCCTGCTTGACGGCATCTTTCGTTTCTGGGGGAGTGATTGTCGACATGACTCCATTGAAATCACAAAAAGATTGAAGATTAAGAGAACAGAACAACAACCAAAGGAGTGAAGAGCGTGTCAAAGAGCGTCGGTCCGGCCTGTGAAGTAGTTGCACAGCAGTAGAAATGCAGCAGAGGCTCTAAAGTCAGAGTCAGAGTATCCGTATGTATGGCGCCGAAGGTACCCGCCCATTCCCGAGATGGACTTTCGGCTCGGTACCTCCGAGATGCGATATCGGTTTCGAGACTCCCGAGTTAGCAGTTAGCAGTTAGCCGCACAAACCCTTCCTCCGGCAACTGCTCAGCAAAACCACCTCTACAGCCACGGCCCGTGACTTTCCCTAGACGTCGAGCTGTCTCGTCTCCGATGCAGCTCCTCAAAACAGGCGCCTTTGTGCGGGCAGCTCGATCTGCAAGAATCACAGTCCCCAAAGCTCCGGTCCCGGTCCCGGCCTGTGTGCGTCCGCGTCTCGTGCAGTCCAGATGGTCGAGCTCTCAAGCAACTGCAGAGGTGCCGCGACCCTTTCCTGAACAATCTGTCGAAATCTCAAGAGAAGTCGATCCGACCAAGACCGCCCCTGAGTCGAAGGATGAGCCGGACCAAGAACACTTGAAGCAGAAACTGAAAGAGCTGGCTCATGGAAAGAAGGCTGTCAATGGACATCTTGCAGGCGTGAACATCTTGGGCAATCCATACATCTTCGACGCGACGACCAACGTGCCAGATTCGATTTTACAACTCGTTGGACGGAATCTCTATCGTTCCCCTGACCACCCTATCGCCATCACCAAGGCGCTTATCGAATCGTGTTTTCCCAAACCTACCTACAACCATTTCACTGTTGCAGACCCGGTGGTAACGACACATGAGAACTTCGATGTCTTGGGCTTTCCAAAGGACCATCCAGGCCGGTCAAGGACGGACACCTACTATGTAAACACCACCCATCTCTTACGTACACACACATCAGCGCATCAGCACGCCGCATTCCAATCGCTGGTCAATGATGAGGCAAAGGGATACACCGTCTGTGCTGATGTATACCGACGCGACAGCATCGACAAAAGCCACTTTCCTGTCTTCCACCAGATGGAGGGGGCCAGGGTCTGGGATTTACCTGTCTCCGCCGATTCAAGATATGAAGCCCAGCTACGGAGAAAGGAAATCATCGAGAAGGATGTGTATAATCTCCCTACGACGCGACTCGCTGTGAAGGATCCGGTCACCAACTTTCACAAGGGTTCAAATGCCGCCCAACCCGAACACGATGTAGAGGAAGTCAAACTCGTCGTCGCTCACTTGATGAGAAGCCTGGAGTACCTCGTGAACGGAGTGTTCGAAGCCTCGCGCGAGATGATGCCCCCCTGGCAGAGAGACAAGATGGGTCCATTGCACGCCAGGTGGATTGAAGCTTACTTTCCTTTCACCAGCCCGAGTTTTGAACTGGAGGTGTTGTGGAATGGAGAATGGCTTGAACTGCTCGGCTGTGGAGTCGTCCAGCAGCCCATCCTCAACAACGCCGGCCTGAAAAACAGCATTGGCTGGGCGTGGGGTGTGGGGATTGAAAGAATCGCCATGCTCCTATTTGGTATTCCCGACATTCGTCTGTTCTGGTCGCAGGACAAGCGCTTTTTGCAGCAATTCAAGTGTGGCCACATCAAGAAATTCGAACCTTTCAGCAAGTATCCCGAATGCTACAAGGACATTGCCTTTTGGATCAACTCCTCCCCTGCGGCGGCGTCACCCATTGGCGTGGAATCTTCATCTGGTGTTGCAGCCGCTGCAGGAGGCGACGCCAGGAAGGCGTCTCCCGCCGAGACCCAGCCTGCCGCGTTCCATGAAAACGATATTATGGAAGTTGTCCGAGATGTGGCAGGAAGTCTTGTTGAAGATGTGCAGCTGGTTGACGAGTTCTTACATCCTACGACCGGCCGCAAGAGCTTGTGCTACCGCATCAACTATAGAAGTCTGGAGAGGACGTTGACGAACGAAGAAGTCAACGACCTGCACAGCCAGGTGGCAGCGAAGATGAAGTCATTGTTCAATATCGAGCTGAGGTGACCAAAGTCTAGGATAGAAAACAACCCGGTCATACTGGATTTTTCGTCGACCAAGTCCCCACCAACAGCTCCATGCCCTGTCTGTTTGACCACCGTCCTGACTAGTTCCAAGCAGGTGAGTGTACCTTGTTCAAACTCTCTTCGTCCTCTCGGATATAATGGTGCATTGCCCGAATTACTATTATTTCAACCCCATACGATGATCGAATGGTCGTCTGATTCTTCATTCGTGCATACCTTATTCGCAATCCACCCGACTCACCATCACTTCCCGCCAAATATCCGATCATGCCATTTTGCTGTACCCGGAACTGACGAGAGACTTGTAACATAGCGAGCCGAGCCGGGTCCCAACATTCTACCATGTTCTTCTATACCTGTATTAACATCCCTCCTCAGCCACCAAAAGATTTAGAGTGAAGAAAAAGGCCAGACTTGTGTGAGATATCACCATCGCCGAGCGACACCAAACCATGACCATGTTCGATTCTGTACCAGTATAACATCGTGCCCGTCCAGCCCTATTGCGCGACCACTCGAGGGAATTTCTTTCCAGCATCCTCCCCTCCCCGAAAAGCATTGTTTTCTTCTTTCATACATTGTCAAATAAAGCTGTATTCCTAAAGTCATTGATGGAGGACTCCTCGACTTCAAGGTTGGAGCGGTGGATAAGCACGTCCACCACAATACAGCCAAGCGCTTCATAACACACGCAAACACACAACACAGTCACGCTCTCTCGCCCCGACGCCGAACAAAATGCCTACCCGGCCAAAAAAGACAAAGACTCGAACCCCCAACCCACACCACCTCGAAGGCAATGAAATCCTAGACCTTCGTCTTCGGGAGCAAAAACTCAAATCGATTGAGAAAGGCCACCGTCATCCCTCTCGGGTACCGCCCGTCGACGATATACCCAGGCTCATTTATCACCCCGGGTAGCTGACAGCGGGCTTTTTTGGCTCGCATTTCTTGGTGATTGTGAAAACTTCTGACATTGGGAGATGGCGGCGTGATGCCAGAGATCCTTATCATAACGAATTTGTGGGGATGTAGTTGGATTGAGATCAGCCATCGGCCGTGTTTTAGCCATCGGCCGTGTTTTAGCCATCGGCCGTGTTTTCGCCATCGGCGGAATCCAACTACGCCACTTCACCGTGAATGTTGAGGATATTTGTGACACTTTATTATATATCCTGCCTACTAGCACGTGGGGGAAATGATCCATCCCTTGTGTTGGGTTGTTGTGGCTGCTGTGAATACTGAACAGTGAATACTGCCTACCTGTCACGTGGTGTGGTGGGTGTCATTGGCCACAAGGCTGCAGCCTTGTGTATGTAAGCCTTAGCCTTGGCCGCACCAGGCCGTGACTGGAGGAGTGAGAACAGTAGTACGGAGTAGGAGTGAGAACAGTAGTAGTACGCAGTATTAGGTGGTACCTTAGGCAGGTAGGGAGAGCCACGCATAGCATTTACGGATGGATATACAGAACACTTCCACAGGTGATTTGGTGGTTCGGGTTCGGAAACATGATTGATGTGTGATGTCGACTATCCGCCCAAGAGATTTCATTCAACTCTTAATCTGAACGGACTTGCTTGCTAAAAGCACTTTTCGGTCCTCGTCATGCTGGCATGACTGTCTGTATTCGTCGAGGAGGGAAGAGAAGAGGAAATCAGAACACCCAGTGCAACCGGGACCAAGGATGAATTATGCCAGTAGGCAAATTTGGTGTGCAATGCAATGGCATTCCACTCAAGAGTGTTGATCTTGGTTGAATCAACTTCCCATAAGCGCACCACATCGAATCCTATCCATACACATTACAAGACCTCATCCCAGTGAGACTCAAAAGAACGCCAGACGGAACATGTTAGCCGTCACATATTCTGCATGACGACTTCTTCTCAGATCTATCCTTTTTTTGAGGCCAGATCTAGAGCTGAATTGTGGAACACACTTTCTTCAGATTCTGTTCTGGTCCGTTCCCTTGGTGTCGAATCATCCAAGAGGGGGGACGAAAGAACCGGAGCAGGTGTCCATCAGTATATTTGTACAGAGCGGAGACATAGCGGAGACATAAGTCTATGTCTTAAGAGACCGTGTGCAGGATGATTTGATCCTGCTTCAGTCTGGCGGAATTAGGGGTTCGACACCATCCCACTTAGGAGTTCTTGACCACCCCGACCTTTGCTGCTCTCAGGATCCTGCCGTTCAATTTGTATCCTTTACTCTGGGTGAAGAAGATTTCGCCATCTTCCTTGCCCTCGACTTTAGTAAAGAACGTCGCCTCGTCGGTGTTGGGATCGAACTTCCGACCTCCGCCTTCCAAGGGGTCGTATCTTTCGAGACCATGCTTCTTCAACGTATTCATGAGAATCTCTTCGGTCATCTTGAGTCCCGAGATCAGATTCACGAGATCCTTGTTGGACTCCCCGGCGCCCGCTGATTCGCCGGGGGCGGATTGAGGAACAGAGGAAAGCGCACGGTCAAGGTTGTCTACCGAATCGAGCAGATCGGTGGCAAAGCGTTGGAGAGCGAACTGTCTCGCGGATTCCATTTCTCGTTTCGTCCGGTCCTGCAGATTGCGGTAGTCGGCAACAGCGCGGAGATATTTGTCCTGCAGAAGGTGTGTAAGTATCAGAGTCCGGTAGCAGAACGAGGCAAGGGTAGATCATACCTTGAGATCTACCACCTCCTTTTTGTACTTCTCCAGCTCTTGCTTGACGGGGTCTTCCTTCGCATCGACTGGTTTCGTCTCTTGTGTCGACGCTGCAGGCTGTTCGCCGGAATTATTCTCGGACTCTGTGGATTGCCATCTCCGTCCTAATCGTGAGGACAGATAAGGGGAAGTGGCGGGACGTGGCGAAATAAAGGTTGCGGAATGGAATGGCGACTGTCGCACCCGTGATACAGCTGTGACAGATTCTGAGATTGTGCGCGACTGGCGCAGCAGCTGTCTTCGGAACATCCCTTCTGAGTCAACGAAGCGAGGATTGGGAAGGCGAATTGGTCAAGGGGAAACGGAGGACAAAGAAGACTTGCTTGCAATAAAAGTTGAGTGCTATACAGGCACATATATATCGGAGTGAAGCTCGGCTGGTGTTCGGTTGCGCGAAATTTTGGCCTCGCCGCTCTAACGAAATCGGCAAACTTCCCATTCTCATTAACACTAGAGTACGGAGTACAGGTCCTAGCACTTTGTATAGGGGCGTACTCTGAGATCTTGTCGTGGGACGTAGGACTTTATAAGCGCCGTGCGCTGTGGTGTCTGCGCAGCGAACAACAATAAAAGTGCACTAGTGCAAAAGCTCGTGTTGATGAACTGTGACTTGGGAATCCATGGAGAACTATTCGAACGCTGTATAGCAGAGAGGGAGGTATAAAAGAGGCCTCCTAAGCCCTAAGGCTCCCCACAGCTGGTCTCCTCGAATAGACCCTTGGGTCGTTCTATCTTCGTTTCCCTTTACCAACCCTGTCATGGCTCCGTCGAAGCAGCATGTGTGCTAAGGGACGAGGGGACACTCGGCACCAAATAGATATTACTTGTCAACCCTTATGCTACACCATAGAGTCCCTCGCCCCCTCCCATATTCTCATCAAAGCACTGCCCAATCCTAAGGACTCGTGTGCATTCTTACCATCCACAAGAGTCTCACCTCCATCCACGTCAGCGTTCCCGCATTCATGCTCGAGGCTGAAAGCACCCATCCGAGGAACGAGAGGATTCGGGCTGACAGGCCAGCCCAGCGCCTTCATCGGAAGCATTGCAGCTCGATAAATTAAGGTGAACGGGATGAGGTGCCCGTGCGGAGCAGATGAATTGGACGGTCCTCGCTGTATGGGAGCGTACCCGCCGACTTTCTCACTGTTATTGAATTCAGGTGGTGATAACCCTGGCGGAAGGTCTGGAGCCGATGCATCTGGTCCATGCTCCGAGAGGCTGGTGGAGATCGGTATATGTTGAGCAGCGGCGTGGCCTAGGGTAGCCGCAGATGCATCCTCCTTTCGCTCTCCAGATGAACCCGAGTGCGACGAACGACGAACTGATCGGGCCTCAGATTTTGCAGATGAGACAGGAGCAGTCAGGTGTTTGGGAACTAGACCGTTAACGTGAGCGATTGGGCCGTCTGCCGGAGACAACGCACGAGCTTGGTCACTACCAAACAGTGTCCAAACCCTCACGAACATCCAGAAAGGGTATGTCAAGGGTTTGGCCATCGTGTGCGAGGCAGCGGAACAGAAGGGAGCACCACAGTCGATGTCGGGGTCTCCCTCTGCTGGGCGGCTTTCGGCCTGGTATCTGTCAACCGGTAATGCGGTAGCTCTGATCTTCTTCGCAAATGCCAAAGGCACAAAGAAGGTTCTCGGCGGTCGAATCATGCCGATGTTGCCGAGGAGACAGCGACCCTTTGCAGCTATCCAGACAGGATATCTGAGTGGGTTTGCCATGGTGTGCGAGGCAGCCGAGCAAAAAGGAGCAGCACAGCCTATGCCCGAGTCTCTTCTCAACGGGGTACTCTCGTCCTGGTATTTATTCGCCGGCAACACGGTTGTAGGAGGATTCCAGTTCGAGCTGCCAGCATGATTAAGCTGACTGTCGTAAACCTTTCCATTGTTCGCAGGCGAGATGGCAGAAGAGTAGAAATCCGGATCGTCAGTTGATGTAGAGAAGTCTCGGGCTTCGATGACGAGTCTACGGTGGCTTCTGCGAGGGGCGGTCACCGTGGTCGCGGCATGCCGACCTGGCCCAGGACTCGATGTGTCTCCTGGATCGCGCCATGTTGTATGATGTATATGTGTTGGATGAGCCTCATGCGCACGAGTGTGAGGATATGCCAGACCAAGAGCAATAGATCTCAAGAATAGTAGAACAACGGACAGGAAAAGCTTCTTCATGATGATGAGCTGAGTCTTGATCAATGGATGAGCGAGAGCATATATCCAAGCAGGACGAGGTATCCAGTGGAAAGGACAAATATATGCCTGGAAGTTCGGTGTCACCATGTCTAATGTACCTCACTTGCCGTTTGAGATCGGGCTTCACCTGCACAATCCTGAATGAGTGTCATACACGTGATGAATCAAAGTGACATTCTTGTTTGGTAGGGACCTGAGAAGCAACAATCGCTGTGGATCTGCTGTGAAATCAGAGAGACAGTCAAACAGAAGACAGATTTTGACCTCACCAGTCAGCTGGAATGTGTCGGTTTGTATGTCGAGGCTCGATGTGTGACAGTAGAAACCATGCGATCATTCATCAAGTGATCTGATGGTATGAATGGACAGAAGACTTCTCAAAATAAAGCTCGTAATTCAATGGTCCCAGAGACACATGCACGTAGTTTGCCCTTTGCGCTACAAGTCCCGTTGTCCCGAGTCATGAACAAGCCAGTTTGTCAACCGAAAGACGCCGGCATTATGCCGTGATTCATATGGCAAACTTCAACAGCAAAAAGGCAGTTATCGATCAAGTGCCAGATATCTTTGAGCATCACAGCTTGGGAGTTCCATTCCGACCGCGCCAACCATCCTTTGCGGCGCCTGTAGTATCGTTCGAGCCGCCCGATGGTGTAGAAGTCTTTGATTGAAGATCATGTTCCCATTAGCGAGGCAATTTCAAAAGGAGCAGACAATTCAAGGGGTCCCCTCACCTTCTCTGGACCAACATCTCTGCCCTTGTCAAGTTGAGCAGAGTCTGGCCGATGTCTTGAATACGACCGTGGTCGCTTGTAAGTCGCTGCGTCGTAGGCTCTTCTAATCATTCTGAGGGCTCGATAAAGCGGGTATATAGAGATTGAAGGTAGTTCACGTTGTGTTCAGATCGAATTTCTTAGTATTGGAATGGCTGGGAGAGATAAAGATGAAGGATTCCACGCCTGATTCATCTCTTGAGAAATACTTTATAAAAGAGTACGCCGTTTGAAGGGTCGTTGTCGTTATGTACAGTACGCTGACCGTGTTCGTTTGCTTCATGCGTCATCAGTGTGACATTTCATGTACCTGTCCAGTGCTTCCGTCAAAACAGGTCAAGTGCTGAGTTTTGAAGGAGATTTGGGCCAGTAGCCGCGATCAGCTCAGCGGCAATGCCTTTTATCGAGCCAGGGTTGTCGATTGTCCAGTCCTCCCAGCCTCGGAGATCCTACAAACGGTCATCAGCGCACGCATGTCAATAGCAAACGGGCAGATCTCACCTCTAGCTCGATGAAAGCATTCCTTACCAGCAAACGCCAATGGTCCAGGTCTAGACGTTGAACCTCATCCTTGGAAAGCACGCCGGGTATGTTGTAATCGAATAGTGACCCTTCAGGGATCTCTGCATCCTCTTCGTCACTGGGTGCTTCGTCGAACTCAAGATCTTGCTCGTCATCAAAGACTTGTGCCCTTTCTTTGGTGGTGGAAGTTGGTTTACCAGCGCCAGATCTAGTACCTGACAATTCTGTGCTCGACGCTGCTGAGTCGTTGCTTTCTTCGTGGGCTACTCCATACTTGCGGTCACGCGAAAGGGAAACATATTTACGCTTGTCAAGCTCGCGGCGATTGTTGTCATCGAATAAATTCCATTCGAAGCTTTCGGGATCTGAGGGTCGGTGAGAATGTATTATCGTGCAGGACGCTGAGCAATCTTACCGAGGAGGTAACTTGGTGAGAACCGGGCTTTGTACCGCATCTTGATACAAGAGTGGATGTAATAGCCTGTTCGTGATCAGCATGTGCACACGATGACGCCTGGCCAACATACCCATATAGTAGTACTCGTAATGGCCCTCGAGGGCCAGTGCAATCTCACGAAGAGCACTTATCTTCCCGAGATCCCAGTCCTGATACTCAGGATCATAGCTTGCCAATTAGCTTGATACTAGGATGCCGCTTGCTGCACGCACTTACAACAAGTATACAGAGCTGACGGCATGTGGCAGGAGATCGAGGACTCCGACCGCAACCAGTTTCCCGTCCAGGCGATAGCACTGATGGTAAGAACCCAGCTTGAGTGTCTTGCCGTTGATCTTCAGGATCTTGCGATCAAGGCCTTTGCAGAGGAATCGCGTAAAGGCCTGCTCTTTCCAGCGCGAGGCTGGATCTTTGTGAATCTGCAATTGATACTTGAGGAAGACATCGTACCTGCGGAATGTGAGCTGCGCACGAACCGAATGCAACATGATGCTTACTTTTCCTTCGTAAAGCTGTCGCCCTCAAGATTGACCTCAAATTTATGGGCCGGTTCAATGGGCTGCCCAGTCTTTCTGTCGAAAGGTCGTTTGATATTGTTGGATTCTGCCTGGTGGACAGCGCTCAACAAATCGAATCTATCTCTGGTCCGACGTTTCTCCCTGAGGCAGTCAGCACGTAAAGTTTGAATCAGTGCGGCTCCAACTTGCTCTCTGCTCCGAGGACACAGCATGGCAGCCTTTCGTTTGTACTCGAGGCCAATCACGAAGTCATTCCATTTATTGATGGCCCGGCGGCTTTCTCTGCCGGGCTTGAAGTCTGCCGCCTTGAGACTGGCAACGTCAGCTCGTCCCTTCTAAGACACTCGGGACGGTCATCGACTACCGAATGGTGTATTGTGGACAGCACGAATGGAGCAGATCAGGCTTGTAGTACAGTGAACCCGACCGTCTCCAACCCCTATCCATCAATTCTTGGTAGTGATCGAGTCTTAGGTTGTCACATGACATATAATAGGCGGAGCCTGGAGTAAGGATAGTAGGTCTTTAGTAAATGGGGAAGTTCTTGATGTCGCAGTGATAAGATGGTCGAGGTAGGGCCGACTTACTGCCGGTGGTACTCTTGCAATAGCCACATGAGCTCTTTCGTTGATAGCCTGTAGATATTAGCCGTTACTCAATCATATGTAAGGCAGGGCTGAACCAGTGCCAGCATGTATGCGGCGGTCCGGGCCACGCCGGTAGACTTCACTACGTACCGAGCGGCTTCAACAAGGAGACTTCGTTTGGCATATCGGCCGGATGGCACCAATCTCACGGGCCGGTTCAAGACCAATACACGGACGACGCTCGTCAGGCCAGAGTTCTACGGACGTCGAGCCACCAAAGGGAGCCCACCAAGCTGGGAGATATATGATGTCACCTGACTGCCTAGTGGCTGGTGGTGGCACACTGGTGTGGCGGCAAGTCGCGGGATAAAGTGACAGGTTTGCATTACAGATGTCCACCGACAACAGACCGCGATGTCGATGTCGACGTGTGACAAGCACACGGCCGGAGGGCCACAGCCAACTGAGGCACTATGGGGCGGTAGCACTGATTGCCAGGACAGTTGTCCAAAGACCAACCCCCACACAGTCGGATCGAGGAGCGCTCGCGTGAGCAAGAGGTGTCGGGATGGTGGAAGGTCGAAGAGAGCATGTGTGGTGTGGTTTAGACCAGTATAAACGTTCAGATAGGCACGTGCTCTTTCGTCGTCTGCTCCGGCGAGCCAAGGGGCACGAAGCGACCAGCCAGCGAAGGAACGCTGAAGGAACCACCGCCGAGCATGTAGCGAACCAGGTGCGCCGACAGGGTCGTTAGCCTGGCCAGATGGAGAGGGATGAGGGCGAACAAGGGAAAACGATGAGGAGGATCCTGAGGACTCGGAGCAGGGAGCAGGTCATACAAGTCGTGTCGAGTCTGCCTGCCTGGCCGGGCCTGATTATTCTGAACTGCCTGAGACTGAGATGTGGAAACCGCCGTCCACTGCCGCTGCCTCTGCCTGCTGCTGCTCCCCAAACCACAAAACCGCAGTACTAAATTACGCTACCACCACTTTTCTTCGTGTCCACCCCCAAACTAAACCTACCCAAACTTACAAATTATGGCTGCTTCCGATCTCAGACTGCTTTGCACGTCAAACATCCCCCCTCGGCCCCGTACACGGGACTGAAGGCCTTCGATTCTCTTGTGCGCGCTCTACGCAAGATCTCTTTGCACCTCCTCAAACCATGGGTCATCTTTGATCTCCCAGGCTTCTCCTCGAGACGAACGACCTTGCCCGCCTGCACCGGAACAGCTCGAGAGTGTTCCTACGTGCCCTTGACCGTCTCTTCACACATTCGCTTTCGCCCTATACTCACCAGAGTTAAAATAGAAGCCGCAGACACTCCTCCTTTTCGTCCACCAGACCTCTGACTGTTGCCCCGGCCTGCCCCGCCTCAGCCAGCCATGGCCAAGGAGTTGTCTATGACCTCTCGTGTTGGATCCGACAATCAACGTAGGTCTACCGCGCTCGTCTAGATGTGCCAATGCTGACGCCTAGCACAGGTTATGGTCCTAAAGGCGAGAGACTGGTGGCCGGTGTCGTTCCTCTGTCCCCGGACAAAACCCGGGTGCTCCTAATCCAGTCTACTCACCGCAACGGGTGGGTCCTTCCTAAAGGGGGGTGGGAATTAGACGAGGCAACGGCATCGGCGGCTGCTTGTCGAGAGGCTTGGGAGGAAGCTGGCATCATCTGCAAGGTGGAGAGGGATCTGGGACACATTCCTGATACAAGACCGACGACCGCCGTGACCAAGAATGCCCCCAAAGCCAGCTACCAATTCTTCGAAGCCACCGTGACCGAGGAGAGGGCGGATTGGCCCGAGAAACACAAACGAACTAGGCAGTGGTACGCTTATGCCCAAGCAGTTCAGCTTTTGCATTCACGCCCGGAGTTGTTGGAAGCACTGAGAAGGAGTTCGGTGAGAAAATAAAAAAAAGGATACACAGACCCATAATGGGATACAGGGTAAATTGAAAACCCAAGGTTGCGTCTTTCACAGATGGTCAACATCTGTTTCATTGGCATTACATGAATCTGCCTTAGACATATCCGACACTCGGGCTTACGTTACTGAAGATCGGCCAGTGCTGAGCGCTCTCGACCTGTAACCTGGGCTCAAGCATGACACAGACCTTACAAGCTGAAAGAGTTCGTGAGGCTGCAATTGGGACTGACTTGCGTAACGGAAAGGCCGGGGCACGTGTGGCATTGTCAGCCCCACTGTCGAGATCCCGGCGGCTCTCCTGGATCCTTCGCGTAGCAAGACCTATGAAGGCTGAACCATATTCTATACCGACTAAAATCACGTCCACGCGCACGCAATGGTGTCTAGGTCCTTGCGAACCGCAAAGGCGCCAGGGCTTCATTCCGTGTCCAATGCGGTGATCAAGTGCTGTCGTCTCAATGCGCATGGTCAAGATGTAGATTTGAATCGAAGGGAATGCGGCCAGGAGTGAGACCGACAGACTCGGTCCATTCGCTGTACCAGATGGAGCTGCGTTGGCTGGATCTCGGATCTACCTATGTACAATCCCTGCCTTCGGCATACCCCTTTTGATATTCTGGCTGTTCCTGTGTACAAAGATGCTCATCTAATGCTCAAGGTCTACTGGAAAGTTTCCAGCTGCTCGCTGATCATCCCATCTGCCAATCCAGGAGCTGGGGCACAGTGATCTGTACGCAAGGTAGAACTGTGACCTGTCAGCTTTACCCCTCCTCTTGTACCACATAGAGAAACCGTCGTACCTGTCTGCATGGCTTAAAGTCTTCGCCCTTTGCGAGGATGCATTTGTGATAGTCGACGTAATTCTGCCAGCAGTGCTTTGTCCTGAGACTCGTGTTAGGGTGGGCTCGGAAGGGTACGGGATACGGTCTGTAGAACGTACTGGTTCTGATTGGGAAATCGTGCGTCATATCCAGCTAGAAACAAACATCAGCAGCCCATTCACAGAGATGTGAGCTCGCAATCCCAGCTGGTAGCATACCAGTAACAAATTTGAAGGGTTTGGTGACGTTTCCACCAAGCTCCTCCGCGTCGGGAACTTCAATTTCGACCATGGTTGCAACTGGTGGTGACCTAGAGCTGAAGGGAAGTCTGAAGGAGAGAAAGACCTCGAAGGTAGGCTTGCAATGGTGGTGGTCTGAAGCTCCAAGTTGTATGAGAGTTGAATTGTCACCTGAGGAAGTTGCGAGGTGAGGTCCATGTTGCCGCCAAGGCTTTTATATCTGGACGTTGATTGGTGGTCTGCCCACGTCGGAGCCCAGAGCTTCAAAGCAACTGCGACTCCAACATCATTTGTGCTTCTGGGAGCTTTTTGCCTGCCCATTGCCTGCCACTCTCCACTCCTTCGACGTCGACGCAATGAATCCAACAAGACTTTTGAGGCTGCAGCCTTTGCGGGCAGCTGCTCTGAGGCAGCCGGCCTTCCGCCAATCCGCCTCGAGACAGACCAGGCCATTCCACAACTCTAGGGTGATGTTCAGGGCAAAGGCAAGTAATACTGTGACGTCTTCCGTTCATGTTGCTAACTTATTTCAACAGGAAGACGAGCAAAGCGGTAAGCATTCTTGGAAAGACATCCGTATACATTCCATTGACGAATGGCACTCTCAGCGCACACGATCACTCAGAGGATCCGCAGTCTCAAGAAGGTCCCTCCGGAACTGCTTCCCCTCGGCGTTGTCATCCTGTAAGTACAAGCACAGTCCTCCACGGGATAAAAATGGAGTACTGATGCCTTGCTAGGTTCGCCCTCTTCGCAGCCGGCTTTGCCATGACCAGGAAGCTGTTGACCGACAAGACCCTTCGTCTTCACAAAAACCCACCGAAGCCAGCGCACTGAGGAAGACTATCACATTCGCACCACATCGCCCGGGAGTCACGAATGGATATAAGCGAGTCGAGTAGTCCGTATTGCCGGCTTGGAGAATCCCCACAATGCAAGGACGTGTACATATCGAATAAGAGAGCATTTGCTGGCCCGTCTGACCTGTCTTCGGTTCCATCTGTTCCTTCTTTCCAGGCTGCTTTCCTTGCCGCCTCCTACCACCTAGGTGCCTGTCTTTAAACACGCCAGAACTATGCTGTGACACCATAACCCGCCCACTGCCTGTTCCTTCAACGCGGTCGTCCTCATAGGCCCGAGAATTGACGAGCTTGAACGCCTAGGCTTATGCTAGTTGGCCTGTCGTCAAATTTGGCGCTGGTCCAACATTAGTACGCCGATTTTCTAGTGAAGACCTTCGGCTGAGTTGTACCTCTAAGGTATGAGGAATTCTCTGTGATGAATATACGCCATTTGACGGGAGAAATCTCGACCATCGAAGTTCTCGAGTTTTGAAAATTTGGATTGGCATCAAGGTTTCTCACTCAGGCTTCGGCCCAGCCACATCCAGACCCTCTAGACCTTCCATAGGGTCTTCTGGCCTTTCATTCTTGGACTGTTCCACGGCGGCCTTATCCTCAGTTGCTGTTGTAGTATAGTTTGCGAGATATCCTTCCTATGCGCCCTGGGATCAGTATTGGTCTGCAAAGCGTACTAAAACATGTGGGAGCTCCTGAAGAACAAGGGTTGATTGTCAGTTCACCTACCTGTTCCCAAATTGCCGTCTTACTACCTAGGCCGACTTCGCCAGTATCTTTCCTGTCTGGTTTTGCCAATGCAACCTTAATCACTCGGCCATAGAGTTCGCTCTGATCCATGTTGGCGATGGCTTCCTTTGCATCGGCCGCATCTTCAAATTCGACATATCCAAATCCACGATGGAGATCTGAGGAGGACGGCGCCTCTGGCTTTGGCAGTGTTATGTCAACGATTTCGCCAAATGGAATAAAAGCTTCGGACAGCGTTGCAGCAGTGACGAGCGTCGTATCCAACCCGCCCACATAAACGGTGCTAGTATTCGGGCGATTCGAACCCTCGGCCATTGCGGTTCAGTATACTAATTCCTGCAGCCGTTTCAAGGTTGTTCAAAAGAAGAGAACTTGGGTCGTAGGAAAATGGAAGATCACGTGCCGAACAAGTTCTATCAATTAAGCATCATTAGTGCTAAGGGACTTCAAACTTGAAGAGCATTGCTGTTAGGCAGTGTTGGGGGGTATCATAGGCCCGAAAATAAACGGCGTGGGCTAGCTTGGCAATAGGCTAGGGGGCTCCTGTTGTAACAGGTCCTGCAAATAACGGGGTTAGGGTTGCTGCCTTCCTCCTAGAAGTTCAGGGATGACGCTTGGGCCACTGACATTTACGGACTCTGGAGAAACGACGGTGTCCAGATCAGAAAGTCGAATCTCTATTCTGGATACGATTACAGCTGTTGACACTGAGTGTTGATCTTGCTGTCTTCCTGTTCTGTTGGAGCATTTCTTCGTCTCTGCTGCATGCCTTCTTAGTTTCCTTCGTTTCATCCCTCCTCTCCTCCCGCATCAACCGGCCCTTTATCGTCATGGTGCGCCTCAGGGAAATCCCGCGAACTGCGGCTTTCGCGTGGTCCCCCGATGCAACTGCACCTTGGATTGTAACCGGGACAAAGTCAGGAGCTGTCGATATTGATTTCAGCAACGAGACGTGTCTAGAACTTTGGGATCTTGCCTTAGACAATACCCACCAGGGTCAGGAATTGCAGCCTTCCGCGACGCTGCCCACGGAAACAGGGTACGTGCTTCTTACTTGGTGTCTTTGTGGCATAGACTAACCGATTCCAGCTTTCATGACCTCGCTTGGACGCCTGCACAAGATGGATACAAGAGAGGGATCATTGCCGGAGCGTTCGACGATGGAACGCTAGGCTTATGGGATGCGGACAAAATCCAGGCGGACGCCGCTAAGGCATCAATCTTCAATAAGAAGCTTCACAGCGGAGCGATCAAGGCACTACAATTCAATCCGAGAATCGAAAACTTTCTGGCGACTGGCGGCGCTAAGGGGGAGCTGTTCATCTCTGATTTGAACCACCTTGACACACCCATACGCCTTGGGAGTACAGCTGCTCGGGCAGATGACATTGACTGCTTAGACTGGAACAAGAAAGTCTCAAACATCTTAGTCACGGGCAGCAGCGGGGGCTTCGTCACTGTGTGGGATATGAAGACGAGAAAAGAGAGCTTGACGCTCAACAATTACCAGCGGAAACCAGCAAGCGCAGTCTCCTGGGACCCTGAGAAACCTACACGACTGATAACTGCTGTACCCTTGGAACAAGAGCCTGTCATATTGGTGTGGGATTTGAGGAATTCGCATGCCCCGGAGAAAATCCTGCGTGGGCATGATTCTGGAGTCCTCTCGGTCTCCTGGTGCCCTCAGGACCATGACCTTTTGTTGTCATGCGGCAAAGACAACAGGACCATCTTGTGGAATCCCCAAACTGGACAGTCTTACGGAGACTATCCGGTTGTGACCAACTGGACTTTCCAGACGAGATTTAATCCTCTCAATCCTAACTTCTTCGCGACAGCTTCCTTTGACGGCAAGCTACAAATCCAGACCCTTCAAAACACCAACCCGAGCAGCACACAGAATGATCAAAGCCAGGCCGCGGATGGTGAAGATTTCTTCTCCAAAGCCCAGACCCAGCCTCAATCGTCGTCTTTCTCGCTCCCCAAGGCACCCAAATGGCTAGAACGGCCTGCATCTGTATCATTCGGGTTTGGAGGACGTATCATTAGCGTCCGACTAGCTGAGCCCGGGACTTCGAGGGCTTCCAAGGTCAGCATCAGCAAATTCGAGGTCGACTCTAGTGTTGGGAGTGCCACAGAAACTTTTGAGAAAGCAATCCAGTCAGGAGATCTCAAATCTTTGTGCAAAGAGCGGGTTACCACCGCGAAGGCAGACGAGGACAAGGCCGATTGGACTGTGATCGAGACGCTGGTGTCTCAGAATCCTAGATCAGAGCTTGTGAAGTATCTGGGCTTCAATGACACTGTTGAAGAAGCGACAAATGGCCTCGAGCAGCTTGGCCTTAGTGCCGACAAAGCGGACGAGCAAAAGCCACCAGTCAATGGCGCCTCCAAGTCACATAAGCGTTTCCAGTCAATCTTTGCAAGTTCTGCCGATGGCGACTTCCTATCCGAACTTGCGGCGACCAAGGGCACGAGGACTAACAATCCATTCCAAATCTATGCAGGATCTGAATCTGAAGCCGACCGGAAAATTACGCGAGCCTTGACCCTGGGACAATTTGAAAAAGCGTTGGACGTTTGCCTGCAGGAGGACAGGATCTCGGATGCGTTCATGATTGCTATATGCGGAGGCGAGAACTGCATCAAGAAGGCCCAAGAAGCTTACTTTGCGAAGCAAACTGGGGGGCCCAGTTACCTTCGACTCCTTGCATCAGTGGTAGGCAAGAACCTTTGGGATATTGTGCATAATGCGGACCTAGCGAACTGGAAGGAGGTCATGGCTACTTTGTGCACATTTGCAGATGAGAAGGAATTCCCGGATCTCTGTGAAGCTCTTGGAGACAGAATCGAAGAACAGCTCGGTGACCTCACCACCGTGGGCCGCAAGGACGCCTCTCTATGCTACTTGGCTGGTTCAAAGCTCGAGAAAGTCGTCGCCATTTGGGCACAGGAGCTGAAAGAACATGAAGAGACTGGTGCAAGCGAGGCGGATGCATCGTCAGTTTTCTCTTTGCATGCTCATGGCCTGCAGGATTTCATCGAAAAGGTCACTATATTCAGGAAGGTTGTCAACTTCCAGGACGATGAACTGTCGAAAAGTGGAGATTGGAAGCTGGAGGCCCTTTACAGCAAGTACCTGGAGTATGCAGATATCGTCGCTGGATCTGGTCAGCTCGACGTGGCCCAGAAGTATCTCGACTTGCTGCCGACGAGCTATCCCGGTGCAGACATTGCAAAAAGTCGGATCCAACAGGCAAGGAAGAAGCCGATTGCACCAGGTACTGTTGCTCAAACCACCTCAGCCACTCCACGGAACAAGGCTCTTCCAGGACTCGCTTCGTATCAACCCAGTGCGGCTGCTTTCACTGCCACAACTTCAGCTGCCCCAGCTGCCCCTGCTACATACGGGCGTGCTCCTCCACAGCCTGCGAATCCTTACGCGCCGCCAGCGTCCACTAGCACTCCCGCCAATCCTTATGCTCCAATTGGTGGATATCAACCTCCTCAGCAGATGAGGGTGCCTCCGAACATCACTCAGCCTTACGGCATGCCACAGGCAAATCAGGTTCAACCTCCACCGAGATACAACCAGTCCCCAGCAGTTCCCCCACCCTCTCAAGACAAGAGCATGTCCAACTGGAATGATATTCCGGAGGGCTTTGTCAAACCCCCGACTTCGAGAAGAAACACCCCCAGCGTCCCTCCACAGCCGGTGCAGAACCCTTTTAGTCCGCCACCTCTCGTTCAGCAACCTTCCCCCCCAACGGTTCCCCCATTTGGTACCAGGCAGAGGGCTTCTCCTGTTCCTCCACCTCCCAAAGGGTCAGCTCCCCCAAGAGTGACTTCTCCGGCCAGCGGATTATCCTATCCACCCATTGAGCGGCCTGGTTCCTCGGCCAGCAATGCATACGCGCCGCTGCCAAGTGTGACCTCTCCGTCCCTTGGACAGAATGTGATGTCTCCGCCAATCCCGAGGGGGCCTTCACCGTACAACGCACCACCGTCACATGGCCCCTCTGCTCCGAGTAGATATGCTCCCGCACCAGGGACGCAGTCGACCAGCGCGCCCCTGTCACGTCCATCTGTGGCCCCACCTCCACAACAGTCTTCCTTCCAACATGCACCGCAGCCATCAAATCCTTATGCTCCATCTCAGTCACCACAACAACCAAGACCCAATCCTTACGGCCCGCCACCGACGACACAGACGCCACAGCAAGCCTCGGCACCTCCACTGCCCACACCGTCGCAGCAATTTATCTCCGCCCCGCCGCCAAGCACAGGGTCGTCCCAACAAGCACCCTCAAGACCAGGGACTGCCGGCTCCGATAAGCGATCTGCACCGCCTCCGGTGCGAAAACATCGTAAGTGGAAGCTTCCATGACATATCTAGGCACTTGCTGACCATTTTCTCTAGCCAAAGGCGACCGCACCCACATTCCGCCATCTGCGCAACCGATCTACCAGATACTCTCCGCGGAGATGACCCGTGTGAAGGCGCGCGCTCCAACTTCGTTTAAGCCGCAAGTTCTAGATACGGAGAAGCGCCTTGATATCCTCTTTGACCATCTGAACAACGAAGATCTGTTGAAGCCGGACACGGTGGAGCAGATCAGCGAGTTGGCAGCCGCGCTGCAGAATAGAGATTTCGACCGTGCCAGCGATATTCAGATAGATGTGCACACGAACAAGGTGGACGAGTGCGGCCACTGGATGGTCGGCGTGAAGAGACTGGTTGGCATGTGTAGGGCTACGCCTTGAGTCGGCAACGAGCAGACATGATTGTGTCGGGTTCGTCTGCATGGGCGAGCGACCAGCGATGTCGGTGGGATGGAAAAGGATGGCACGAGTTCTACGGCCGTATGGATTGAGAATCACGATGCGTCGACGGACTCTTAAGTCATTGGCTAATATGATAGTGAACAAGAAATGCCGTCTCTTTGACATGCTGAGAGACACATTGATACACAAGTGATCTGTGGATAGAAGCTTATAAAATGAAAACTGCGCAATCCGAAATCATACATTTGTCATTCCATGCTAATTCAAGTGTGGACTTGCCATCAGGGACTTTGCAGAGCCACCTGCGCCTGAAATACAGCATCTGGCCAAGCCTGACTCCGTTCTCTCACCTTGAAGGCAAGGAAAACGGGGCTGCAGGTCTCGCTGTCGGGAAATTCCTCGAGCTCAGAAGCGTCCCCTTGAAAGACCTGATCTCTGCCTTGAACTTGGACGCCTGGGAGTCTGAAGCAGGGTTCTTAGGTTTATTCTTGTCGTCTGTCACACCGTAGGTTGCGAAGCTGCTGCCATAATCGATCTGGAACGGGTTGTAGCTCGCCTCCAACTTGTCGAGTACAGCCTGAAACTGAGACATTTGGTCCTTGAGACGGTCCTGCGAAAAGTGCGTCGTTGTGGAGGTCAAGAGGGACGAGAGATTGCCGTGGAGGGACTTCAAGCGGGAAGCTTGTGCCACGGTGGGATCGTGGGCGGAAGCATCAGGCAACGAGGAGGCGGAGGAGGAGCGCGACCGTAATGGCGATGTTTGTGTCGCAATGTCTCTGTGAAATAGTTCGGTTGGGTCAGAGTCAATAGAGTCAAGGTCATCGTCTTGTTCTTTCTTTTTCTGCAGAATTGTGCTGCTTGCGAAGTAGGGGACATGAGATACGGTCGACTCGAGCTTTTGGCTCAGTGTCTCTAGGTCTGCCTTCGCGGTCTCAGCTAGTTCGTGCCGCGCCTGCGTCAACGTCTCTAGCATCGGTCGCACAATGTACTCGCTGGCGCCGTATGTAAGTGCTGATACACCGGCAAAGACATACATCGCGTTCGCGAGGCGCTCGAAGGTGACCAGCGGAGGAGGTTTCTGAGGCTTCAGCAGGAATTCTGGATATGTAATTATTGGAGGTATCTCTCGCTTGGGCGCAGCCTCGGCCGATTGTCTTGCTTCAGTGGGAGGTGTGGCAGGGCGGTGTTCCATCCCGACTTCTCTTTGACTCAGTCCCTGACTGTTATCATGCACAGTTTTCAATTCTGACGGAAGTTCGGGGTCAGGAGATGGGGATGAGCTTTGTTCTGGATCGAGCAGCGTCTCTATGTCGACAGCTCGAAGGCCCTTCTTCTGGAGGAAAGCAACTTTGCGCTCTCTTGAGGCGTTGCGGATTGAGTCATCTTCGAGAAATCTTCGCGCTTGCTCGAGTAGAGGGAGTTCCGTGGTTGGAGAGAACTGGGAGGTATCTTGGCTCAAGGAAGGTTGGTCATTGGGAGGAGTGCTGCTTTCTTCCTGTCGGGGTGGGCGAGGTAACTGCCATTCGGGGATGGAGGGCTCCTTTTTCGGATCTTGGTCTGCCATCCTATAGACTTGTCCAAAGGTCTGGATGTTCGTGGAAGGCGAGCAACGGCAGAAGCGAGACAACGAGTTGTTGGTGTCAGTATGGAGTACTGGATCATCTTGCCAGCCTCGGCTCGACGCAACCAAGCCTGGAGAGGGTGAATAGGGCTTAGGGGCCTTAGGAGCCCTTACTAGGCCGGAGTCATCAGCCACAGGTCAGCCACTTTCGAGACCACGCGACGCCACTTCAAAATATCGGTGGTCGTCCGCAGTGATTCGCTCGAAACGTGTCTTCAGCAGTTTCCGGTGTAGACTCCCTCCTGTTCCGTGTCGAAGGAGTAACTCAAGCATTGCCAGAAATTTTGTTCCACCACTGGCAGGCCTCAGGCAGTTTTGGCTTTGCTCAAGCCCAGAGACAGGGAAAGCAAGGGATAGCACGGGGTAGGACGCGCAAAACTCACCAGGATCAACCGCCACGGCGCGCAAGATAGTGGGAACCGAGCTAACGAGGGAGGCCCTTTAGCCGAGCCTGAAAAATGGCAGATAGGAACCGCCGTGTGCAACGTCGGGTCAGCGATGCAACTGATGACTTTTCAGACGAGTCCGATATAGGCAGTGGTGAAAACTACGACCCCAGGATATCCGACTCGATGCGAAGAGCAGGCAAATATGAGTGAGTTGCCCGCTCTTTACCCCCTTTGCACGATCGTCTGAAATAAGCCTGAGTTGTTGTCTTGTTGTGAATGCGTCCAGTCTGCAACCATGCCGGCCCACACCCTGCCTCTGGGTGTCGGCGGAATCACAGTGGTGGTGAATACGGACAGACAATGCAGAGCGGTGAATGTAATCCCACACATGCTCTGTTTCTACGCAGTGCTAGCACAACCCCTGTTGCGAAGGTTTAGATCGTCTACTACCTCGCCTTCCGTTGCGCGGTGCAACCGGCAGCCAGCGTCCCTGCCGAGACCTTCGTCATGTCGTTTATCACACTTAAATACCGTTCTTCTCGGAGGGGCAAGGCTAACGCGGCACTCAGTTCTTCCAGCGCCTCGACGCCAGCGTCGTCCAGGCCACGTCGCGGGGGTGCATCGTCTGCACCGTCCAGCTCTTCTGCCACTCTCCAGCGAGGCCTTGGCTCTGCAGACGACCGACGACAGAGCCTCAAGTTGACGGTCAAAGCTGCCCCAAGCAAACTTCGAGAGGTCATGCGTGCAAACGAAATTGAGTCACTCCAAGACACTCTGGGTGGCGGGCAGGTCTTGGAAGAACCACGAAGCACCCGCCGAAGTGCACTAGCTTCGAGGGTTGGCCCTCGCGTGGCCCAGAGACCTACATATGTGGAGTACGGCGAGAGCGACATTGAGGACGATGACGATGACGACGACGACGAAGAAAACGAGGAAGAAAACGAGGAAGAAAACGAGGAAGAGAATGAGGAGGAAGAGGAGGACGAAGAGCTCAATGACTTCGATCAGCTCGGCGCGGAACCCGAGGGTGGAACCGAAGATGAGGATGTCGATATGGAAGACTCACCTGCCCCGCCTCCAAAGCGCCACGCTGCGCCCAAACCTCCAAAGATCACTCTGAAACCACCGGCTAATCGGGCGGACAGCAAGCAACCGGCAAAGGCCAAACTTGTCGTCACCCCGGCGAAGGTCGGACCGGTCAAGTCAGTCGAGGATCAGGAAATGGAAGATGACCCAGACGACGATGAGGTCGACAACTCATCCGATCTCTCCGACGAGGAAGATCGAACTACGGGCAATGTTAATGAGGAAACCATGGGCGAAGAAGAGGAGGTCGAGCTAGAAGATGTGGATGCCCAAGGCGAAGAGGACGATCTCGAAGATGACGAGGAAGAAGACGATGCCCTGGACGACAGCGACGACGACACTCCGGCTTCGGGCTCTGCCACGCCTGATCTGACCCGACTGACAAAGAGACAGAGAGGCAGGCCAGAAGACCAAGGCACGCTCATGGCCCTGGACATGGCCCCGCAACAGCGAAAGGTACTTGACGAGTTGCCGCCCATCTTCTGGCTACGATTTTGTGCTGACCTGGTCTAGTTCTTCACCGACGAAGAGAAAGCGATGAAGAAGGACGAACATGCAAGAAAGCGCAAGGAGTTGACCAAGCGTAAAATACAGGAAGAAAAGGCTGCTGCCTTGAACCGCTTGGTATGTCCGCGGATGATTTCTTCTGTGGTCTATGCTAATACCTAGAAAGCTCAAACCCCAGGTGTCCAAAGCTCGAGGGGCGGCTCCAAAACCCGAGACTCTGGCTGCGGCAGCTGCAGCCGCTGCGGCTGGATCGCCATACGACGACGAAGAAGTTTTTGAGAAAGCCAACCCGCTGTACACAAGATGGGTCAGTACAAAGGAAGGGGTGCGGCTCGGAGCTCCCGAAGAATGGCTGGGAAAGAGAGTCGGCCGTACATTCGGACCGCCGTTGTCGTCGAGCGGCAATGCGCTCGTGCAAGAGGTCGAGTGAAGTACAAGAAGACGAGGCCGGTCGGTTCCTTTTGCAAATACAGGCCAAAAATTGCCCAATGATATTGTTCAGCTCCTTGAGATCAATGGCGTGGGGCAAGGAGGCTTTTTAGAGGGACGAGCATGTATGGATATCATGCATTCATTGCAAACATTGCATTTTCGGTTAGCTGCAAAGCCAGAATCGCTGCTCTAATGTTTCCTGTCCTTCTCGACATCGGACTTGCGACTGATCGATGCATCCAAATTGGAAAGCTACCTCTGTTTTCTTCTCTACAAATTCTGATACCGCACTGAAGATGGGGCTGTAGCCTTCTCCTATTCAGTAGAGAAGATTGATTTAGTCGATCAAACGATCCCCCCGGCTCGTTCAACTTCAGTAGTTCACCTTGATACTAAGGAGTGAGACCTCATCCGCACGGAGTTCGTGGCCAGAAGACCCCTTGGCTGAAGATGAGATTCTTGCTGCAGCCCTTGCTCTGCACGGTTCTCAAAGACGAAGGGTACCAGAAGCAGACGCCACATACAACAACATGGCAAAATCGTCTCAGTTGGCCACAGTCAGTCCCAAATTGCCACGATAGATATTCGGATGATGCTGAAGTCGTCTGCCACGGTGGATGAAGCGAAGTTATTGCGTCGTATCGAACGATCCAGGAACGCTCAGTGACCGCGGCCCGGAAAAGGCTCAGCTTGTGCAGGATCTCGCAGACGACATCTTGGTCTCGGATGCTCGAAGTGTCCCAGGTGCAGTCTTTTGCGAGGATACTGTCTTTGATCGTGAGCCGGCCCTTGGCACTGAAGCCAACTCTTTCAAGCCCACTCCCTACGGCTGCCTCCTCAGCCGGTCTGTGGGGCTTTGGCTTGTTCGTCTGCCTTTGCTTTGGGTGGTTGGATTGTCTGCGCAGGAATCTCGATCAAATTGGGGCCGAGGTCTGCAGCTGCCAGTTCCCTATGGTAAAAAGCGACACAATCAGCTCGAATCCTCAAGAGGTGTTTGACAGTGGCTCCGAACTCCTCTTTCAGCTTCTCCAGAGCACGTTGCTCGAACGCAGGTTGGAAAGTCATATATCCTGGGCAGCATCAGTTGTTTGCTCGATTACTGCAGTCAAAGAGGAGGGGCAGACCATTGAGGACACCAAAGCCGACTACTAGAGCCCATCCGACCAGCCGGCGACTCATCCTTCCTCTGTGGCACTGATGATCGAAGCTGGTCGCAGTCTCCTCACATCTCTGTGTTCTCGAAATTTACCCAGTCCGTTTGTCGTCAACACGGCCACCTATCGGAAGAGCCCTCCGTTCAATACCTCTAGCGTCTTGGCAAAATTAACCACTGGAACGACGCGTCTCCCGACGCGACAGAGCCTCCCGATACTAGTATGGGAGATATCAAACCAGGATCTCAGACCGCGACAAGACCATGGAAAGCCTCAGCGATGGCCAACTGGAGAGAACGCGGCTATGTGCCGGACTCTGATGACGAAGAGGATGAAGGGGAGGAAACGGAGCAGGGTGTCAATGCCGTGCTCGGTCATGGCAACGCCACTACTACTAAGCACTCGATTGAGGCATCTACGACTGTAACAAAGCAAGACAGCGGTCTTGAGGACCGATCGGACGAAAAGGCTGGACCAAGCACCGTGAACCACTCTTCTCAGCTTCGAAATGTCGACAACGGTCGCTCGGGCTCTAATGGCTCTGCTCAAAGAAATCCTGCCACTGAAGCGCCGGTATTGCCGCAGCCATCTGGCAGTCCAGATGATTCAACAGCTGCCATGCTTGAGGCTGAACTCCTCAAAGGTCTGCAGACTGTCCAGGACATTCTGGGCTTTATGGAGAACGATGGTGAAGACGACAATGATAGCCCGCTTTCGTCTCTCCCTTCATCGCTCGGAAATTCCCCTCGTCCGACCTCCCCAGCTCGGTTAAGTGCAGCAACAGATATCAGACAGTGTGAAGAACCGACAGGCCACGGCATACACAGACTAGTCGAGGAGCTGGCCGAGCCACGCATGAGAAGGTCTTTTCGACCTCGAGCCCCGATTCAAGTGCATCCTTATGCTCTCGAGGATGCCAGATACAGACAGACTCTGAAGTCCAGGGGTCTAAAGCCTGTCCCATTGCAGCAGATCATCTCGCAGCCGCATGAGGCCTCGGAGCAGGATTCCCAAGGCGCGGACACCTTCGAAAGTAGTCAGTCGAAGAATTCCGACACCCACAGCCGGCCTCGGAGCCCGGCCTCGGACAAGGACGATGAAGAAGAGTCACAAAGTCCGATCCGCGGAGTACGCACGCATAACACTGGTCCTAAAATCTCGCTCGGCGACGACCTTCCTGACTTGTCAGATATTCTAAGAGGCCATGTACCTCAAATCCTGACGAAAGCTTCGCAGAAGAGTCGGCAATCGAGGAAGTCTCGGAAGGCCGCGACTGATGATGATTCTCGTATCTTTGATCTTCCGGACGATCAGGCTGTCCCCAGACGGCCCCATCGAAAGAAAAGCCCAAGCTTCCAGATCCCACCCTCGCCGCCTCGGTCCCATGGTACACGATCATCTCAGGATGGTCCGCTGCCTGACATGGATGAATACTTATATGGTGACACAACCCCTACACTTCTTCCGACTCCGTTGTTGTCCTCTGACAAGCAGGGCATGAAGAGAGTCCATATCGAAACTCTTAGCTCTGATTCGGAACAAGTCGTGATCAGCGATGAATCCTCGGCACATTCAAGTGCGACCGACCGTTCTGAGGATGAATCACATGGTATTCAACAAATGCGCCGAAGGATCAAGGGCGTCTTGCCGGCGTCCTGGCTAAAGCTAGATGTCAAGAAGCGGGACAGCAACCTTGTCTCACGCCATCAGGCACGGTCGCCTGTCAAGCCAGCTCTGGAAAAAGGTGTTGCACAACGTGTTTCGTCTTCTGCCATAAGAAAAATCCGCATGGGGAATCGTTCTGTTCGTACTGTGGATGCTGACGCCATGTTGGACACATCATCAGAGAGTGATTCGGACGAACCAGCTATGTCGCCCTTTGATGATCTGGATGGCGATGTCCAGATGTCGTTCGAGGGTGACGTTGTTGAGGACAACACCATTAATGCAATGCTTGCTCCGAGGTCTCGGAAGGCTCCATCGAGAAGGAGGCGGCAACAAAAGACTGGCACTCGGTCAAATTTGTCGGCGATAAGGCCTGGGAAGCCAGATGGACACTTCCGCCACAGCGTAAGCAGGCCCGCTGGCATGGGGTCAAACAACATCTCACGCCCAAATAAGAGACTTAAGAAGAGGCACCAAAAGCCCAAGATGAGCATATTAGACGCGCCTAGTTTTCAGGACAAAGAAATCCCCCGATTCCTGAAGATAGCAGGCAGGCGAGGACGAGGCTTCGGCAAGACGAGGCTCCAAGACCCATCCAAGAAGATCTTCCAAATGGCAACCGCAGAGGACACGTTGGATGTCATCAAAGAGTTGAATCAGTGGACAAATCAGCAGAAGACGAGAGGGCACGGCCTTGAGGGCACAACCCACCACCCCTTGATCCCACAGCCAGGCAACATCAACGGCCTACGCGACGACTTCACTGGCACCACTGGAAACAATGGTTCAACTCAGCTCACTCACCTGAAGCAGACCACTGAAGCGGTCCTTCAACGAATCCACGTTCACCAAGCTGGGCCTCGATCTTTCCATCCGGAGCGTGACTGGACACCTCAGGATCCGCCAAGCGGCATCCTGGAATATTTTAAGCCTCGACAACCGCAGCGCAGCCGTCCCAGATCTAATCAGCAACTTAACAGCTATACAAGCAGGGCAGTGCAATCCCGGGAAAGTGCGAATGTCCCGCATAGCGTCCCATCCCTGGTCAGGCGCGTACCGCGCCCTCCTCCAGGAAGGAGGGAGCCATCTGGACAGCCTCTCGGAGGCCATCCAACAATTTCTGCTACCTCAGATCGGCAGACAAGACTTCGTCCTTCAAGGTAAATGGCCCCTCTCGCACTTGTGGGGGAAATAGTACTGAAAATAGAGCAGGAAACGTCTTCCGAAAGCGCTTCACCGAAGCAGCGTCAATATAGCTGTTCGCGAAGATTTTCCGAGCCCCTTGACGGATGAACTCCAGGATCTTCATCTGCACGATACATCGGACATTATATCCCAGGCCCTCAGCAATCCTCCAAGTACCCAAGCCCTGCAAGACACCCACCTTTTCCAGAGTTCGGTACTCCTTCAGGGAAACCTTCTTCAGATCCTGAGTTCGCCGATGAGAGACAGCTCTACTCTGCTCGAGCCAGCCGGGATTAGTACTGTCATAAAAACACCAAAGTCGGGGCGTACTCTATCGTGTGCTGTCTGGACAGTAGACACCAGTTCAATCGTACGCGACGTTTTCGTCGAGACAACTTCCGTCATACGCAACGATACAGGCGCAGCCATTCCCGGGCGAAACGAGCATGCCCTTCTAACTAGGTGTGCAGAGTCAATCGAGAGCATCATCATCTACATCAACCAGAGTTTGACAATTTCCGGAGTACATATGTTGAAGGCATTCATCGCCTCTACTTGCGACGATGTCGACACGCTCCGTCAAGAGATTGAGTCCTGCAACAGTGCCAGAAGCCAACCTCATGTTGCAGGGACCGTGGCCGTCTTGAATCGATTGCTGATCCTTGCACATCAAATCGCCAGAATCAGCAAGAGTGCTGCAATTGAAGGTGCTGTCAGCGTCAAGGTGCTGGAAAGCAATCAGATGCTGGTAAAGCTCGCGTGGTTTCTCACCCTGCGACAAGAAAACACTGCTAACCTGTTCTCCTACATCGCGAAACGATCTGGGAGTCACTCTGTCCGTGACGCGCTGCTCTTCCATATTCCAGTCGCTGAGATTGAGACCATCGTCATACTACACCAAGTGTGTCCTGGCCAGTCATGGGCTACTTACCTGAACAATCTGCCGTCATACCTTCTAGGAGCCGAAAAGAGTGAAGCTCATCCTGCAGAAACGTTGGCCTATACGATCCTCATCCTGGGATGCCTTTATTCTGTTGATGGTGTCAGGGAGCGCACCGCAGGGGCCAGAGAATTTTCGGACATCTTCGCCAGCCCTGGTCTCTCTGGGCTTCCGACAGCGATGACAGACTTCCTCAGATTCTTCACTCAAGAGACCGCACGAAGGAAGTCAAAGAGAATCAAGGACCCTCATTTGAAAAAGTTGGCGCAATTTGGTCTCGTTGCATTCCAGTGGTGCCTGGTTCTTGCGCGGAGTTCGGAGGAAGATGCTGCTGATAACTTGCTGAAACAGATGTTCAAGCAGTACTCCAATAAGTCCAACAATATGCTTGACTTTTTCTCACCCACTACGACAGAAGTGCCTAGATTCCTGGATCGCCAGGTTGGAATCTCGGAACTGGCGCCCCAGCCTGATGACACCGACTTTCACCTCTTTCTCAAGCTCACAGCCTTCACTCTGGCCGTTCAGCCCAGCATTGGCTCTCAGGACAACGAAAGGTTGAGAAAATTCAAGCTACGCAAGTTGTCCTTGGTGTTCAGTCTATTACCTAACAATGGTCGCGATGCCGGGGACGATAAACCCCTTCTTGTCGAAGAATCCAAACCACTGACAGTTCGAGACCTTGGAGCTGTGGCAAACCGCTATCTTTTATTTTCCACACTCTATCACTACGCACCAGCTGGTGTCAAACCGGAAATATCGAAGGTCAGAGATCTGGTCGAGTTCGGCAACGCTCACGACGCCGTATGCACGCTTGCTCTTCGATGCTGGGCTAGTACCGTCAGGTCGACCATCCCGCAATCGGCATATGCGCCAGAACTCCATGAGCTGGCTGTGTGGATTCAAGACATGATTTTCAAGATTAGTGACAAGCTGAAAGAAATTCCCGTTGCCGATAATGACGGCTTAGGTGGCGACGGCGAAGAATCTTACGTGGCCAACGCCCACCGACAAAATCGAGAGACCGCCAATTCGCGGCTCATCAGTATAGCGAAAGTATATGCCGAGGCTCTCGATCTCTGCTTTGGCGAATGCCAGGCGCGATACCTCTTGACAGGCGATCGTCTTCCCGACCTGATTCGTCTTTGCGACGCGCGCAATGGCCTTGATGATCGAGTCATCAGCAGGATCTTTGATGTATTGACCGCATACCTCAGAAAGGCTTCGGGCGCCCCCACGGATTCGGTCAAAATGCTACGAGATGACCTACGGGAAATCGTCCTGACTCACCTCAGCCGCCCGCGTCCCCCTGATGACATGCTGATGATGTCGATGGTAGAGACGTGGTATACGCTTGCACATATCTTGGTAGACGGAGGAAACAACACTTGGGATGATTACTGGTCCATCTGGGCCTCCTATTCCATTTACCGATTCGGTGGTGGCACCGATGCGGCCAGACACTGTCGCGTCATCATGTCCAGCAAGATCGCATCGAACAGGGCTTTTGTGGTTTCACAGATACGTGAATTCCTCACCAGCTGGTTAACGGGAATCCTAGGGCCAGAGGACGACATCAGGTTCGAACACCTGCTTACAAACACGTTAATGAAGACTTTTCCCGACATTCTTGGCCTTGGGGATCTGCGCAGAAAACTTGCAGATGGGGCACCGAATTTCGATCTTACTCGCAATGATCTGATCAAACATCGCCTGGAAATCGTTCGCCATGTGGTACGAAACGTCATTCAAGATGCCCAATCCGCGAATGAGCTCTCATGTGTTGCCTCTCTCACCCAGTTACATGCAGAGCGTCTACTCGAGACTATCACAAGTGCCCTGAAGGACACCTGGGGACGGCTCGAAGGGGCGACGAGACAGGCATGGACACCGTTCATTCACGAGGTTGTGTTTGAGCTGAGCAGATACTCGTTCCCAACCTTCAGGATCGACCCATGGTTCCTGGATCCAGAAGACCTAGAACTTGAGGATAAGGTTCTTCATCTAGAACGGCTCTTTGTCTGCCACTTGGGAATCTCGGCTCAACTCGACGATGAGTACGCGGTTGCAACCTTCCGCATAGCCTGCGAACTGGCTGTAGTGCACGATACAACGGAGGATTTGATTAAGCACCTCGCCACTACGTTCTCTGCAAGCGACGTCAAATACATCGACGACGAAGGGAGATTCATGCTTGACATCCCAGCCCAATTCCGCTTCATCAGAGCAGTCTTTCCAGTTTATATCGAGCGGGTGCTGGACGACCGCTGCCCCACAGTGGTCCTAGGGCCTACGGTGATGGCTATAGCTACAGAAATCTGCAACAGACTCGAAACTCGTGTTGATCTTGAAGACCAGCCTCGCATGGAGCAGTTCGCCGCCATGACAGTAGTGCTGATGAGTGCGGCCGTCAAGGCACTGCAGTCCACACCCTGTGACTACGAGACAGCGTTCGGCAGTGCACTTGGAGCGTTGGCTGACCTCGTCTGCCTCTGCGCGAGCGTTTGCAGCCGTTGGGCGCACCTTCACCTCCTTTTTCCGACATCGGCTGCAACCCTAGCACTGCAGGAGAATGTGCAGACGTATGGCTTGTACGTTTACGAATATGCCTGTTCGGCTCTTCGTTTGCCTTGCATCCCAACAGACCCGAACTTCTGGGCAGCACATTCGAGCAGCAGAGTGAGGTCGGCGAAGGATTTTGGGTTTTACTTAACCGACATCGAGTCCTTCAATACCGAAGATGTTGTCGCTCTCAACAAGGTGGCCAGGAACGACCTCGAGCACTCAGCACGGGAGTTGTGGACGCGTGCCGGGCCAGTCTGGCGCTACAGGAGGCCCGGGTCTTCGGAGTGGACGCTGGAACCAGAAGGCCACAAGGCTGAGGAGGTGAGGGAAGATGTCAGAATGGCTGTGCAAGAACTGTTGCGCGCGCTGGAGTTGTTGGGTGTGAAGTAGAAGGAAACCCCAGACCGGGACCGGGACCGGGGCCGCGACCGCTTTTGATATTGGGTAGATACAAACCTTGACTGATCTACCGTGCGTTCTGTTGTCCTTCCTCTCTAATTCAACATTTGACTCAATGTCTTGTCTGGGGTCTGGAAAGGGATCGATCGTAGAGGTCCTGAGTGAGGGCTAAGGGGCCTAGGCCAAGGCTGCGGAGGCGTCGGGGCGCAGGCTGTTATCGATAAGCGGTTGTTGCTGCGCCAACCTCTGGCCCCTTGTCCGATGTCAATATACCATTCGGGCTCCGGGGCTCAGTTCTGGACTGTCTTCCTGCGTCTTCCGTCCTCTGCCCATTTCCACTCCGCTATGACCTCTTGACTTGACATTCCTGTCTGCGGAACACTCCATCCGCTCTGTCCCCCAAACTCCTCGCTGCTGCCTCAAGCCGCGGCTTTCTGCCAGGAAGAATGGGTGTCGAGCCTCCCTTCATTTACGACCGACCGAGCACCTACACCTTCGGCAGCCCTACTGAACGTGGGTTCAATCCCAAGGCTGCAACACACGCTTCTTGGACCCCGAAGCCCTCAAAGCCCAAGCAAGATGGCCCTCTCATCAATTTCAATCGGCATCCCGACTCGGTGCGTGTTTATTGCTCTTGCTCGACGGCAGGAGCTTGAAGCTGACTTGGATGCAGTACATAGTTGTTCCCTACGGCAATCTTGATGCCAAACCTATGAACCCCAACACGAAGAAAAGAGTCACGCGGGCTCGCCAGATTCAACTCTTCCTCCGAGTATGCGCCCTGCTTGGAGCCCTGGGCAGTCTGTTCTGCGTCATTGCCATCAACAAGACCTCGTCCACCGTGGGATGGATCATTCGAGTTGCTCCGGCCGTGTCCATCTGCCATACAGTCTATGCCGTCTACCATTTCTGCCGCGCCGCAACTGGCCGACCACCAGCATCCACAGCCAGCTACATGATATTTGCCGCCATGCTTGACACGGGGCTGATCCCGTTCTTCGTCTTTTCGGCCTGGCTGGCGCATGCGGATTATACAAGCAATGCTTATGGCTGGAGCACCCTGTTCAACGAGTCAGCGCTCTCATACAAGATCATATATGCCTTCTTCCTCCTTTCATGCACCGAGAGTGGACTGATGGGGGTGTCTCTCATTATCAACATCTACTTGGCCATCAAATTCAGACAGATTGCGAAAATGCCCCCAGATATGAATCCCCTTGAACCGAATCTCACATCAAGACATAAACGGAACAAATCGGAGCTCATTACTCAGAAAAACATGGAGGCGTCTGCATTGGCAGCGAAGAGAGACTCGCAGGCTTCAGGGTTCAGAAGGGTGCCTTTCATCCACACTCGGACCGACTCTGCAGACAGCGTCACTCTCTACGGGAGTGAGAATGCTCGCGCGTCCAGGGCAGACTTCCGCAAAGATCTGGATGACAATGGGAAAGATCCATGGCGATGGTCCAGGACTTCGTCGCCGGAACGCCCCAATTCGGCGGTGAACCCTTCTCCTACCTCGCGAGGTGCTGGTACAGGTTTGGACTTCCGCCCGGAGCGTTCTTCAGGGTTGGCCAAAGAGACATCTCGCCCTTCGTCGTGGCTCTCATACCTAGATTATGAAGGTGTGCCCAACGACTTGAGCGAGGGGGCTGCCGCTGAGCTCGACCACGAAGTCCGGCCTATGTCTCCTGTCTCTGCGATCTCCGCCCGCGATGCCTCTTTCGATAGGGCTCAAAACGAAAGAGAGAACTGGTACCAGGGCGCCGCGAGGAACAGCCAGACCTATTTCCCACAAAACGGCAGTCAAACTCACCTACACCCGACCAACGCAAGCAAAGTCAATTTGAGCCAGAACCTGACAGTGCCGAGTCCTCAGCCGCAACGAAAGCAGAGAAGCCGTGATCCACTTGCCATGAATCCTCCCACTCCTACTCGCATCCAGTACCAGGACGAGAACAACTATACGTCGCCGATGGATGCGAGCGGATTACCTGATGCCAGCAGAGCCGCGCTGCTTGATGCCGATGCCAATGTCCAAGCTCGACCAAAGATGGGATCCCGGCCATCGAGCTTTATCGGAAGTGGTGGGAAAGGTCGGTTCTATGGTGATTTGAGATCGTCGATTGGCTCTGTCACTTCCCAGGGCAACAAGAAGGACACGCAGGCCGCCATGAATGAAGTTGAAGATATATATCACCGAACGCGGACGATGCAGACGGAAAGCGACTACAGCGCCAACTTCGAGGTTTATGCATCTGAGAGTGACGATGAGAAGCTGAGTGCCAACATTCTGCAAGTCTCGGCCAAGTCTCAATGGAGTGGGGTCAGACAGACCTCGAATTCCACAGCACATGATCTCAATAGTGGGTATGCGGGATTGGGCACGGAGTTTGGCAGAGGAATGGGTCGTCGACGCGACGTCAGTGGAAAGGTCGCAGAAGAAGGCCGAGCCTCGCCCACAAAGAATGGTGCCGCTGGGTGGGAGAGATTCAAGGGACTGTGAATGATTGAACATTGACATTAGGTCTGACGAACTTCAAGGCGTGGGATGTGGTGCCATTGGCCCATGATGGGATTGGAGATGGGAGTTATGGTTGACAAGTACGGTGTTTTGGATGGGAGACAAGTCTGCACCAATGGTCTCAACATATCAGGCGCCAGCCTCGAACATCTTGCTGGGATATGGTGTAGATGCCAAATGCAAAAGTCTGCGTTCTGCTTTCTGTATTGTGATCCCGGAAGGATAGTACTGCGTACACTGTTGACATAGAAGACCACTGGCAACAGCCTTGCGCATGTGGTCGTCGTACTCTGCCGTATTGGATTTTGGACCTCGGACGGACGTTGTAACATCATTCCCATCACTACCTATTCTCATGGTAACGCAGTCCGTCACATTGGAAGCCAGCCTCTGAAACTCGCCTTTCTACCAGGGAACCGAGTAACCATGGCGTCCAAGCGCGTACTCACACACTCCTTCGAACACCTTCCATTGTCGTCGTTCCCCCGACCCCGAACGGCGAGCTGTGCGCAGCGTGCACCACAGCACACCCGACCTGCGTCCTCGTCCTCGTCATCTTCGCCTTCACCTCTTTTCCTGCACCACAACCAGTGCCGGCCCACGTCGGCCGTGGCCTCGATGTCTCCAGCCGGCGTCCGCGTCCGCGTCCGCCAGCCCAAGCGACACTTCACGACGACCTTGGTGGCCCGCAAAGACGACTCGACCAGCTCGTCACCAACGCCGTCCACGTTATATACCTTCTCCGACATCCAATCGCTCACGGCCCAGGCCGACCCCAAGCGCATCCTGATCGACGTGCGCGAGCCGGCGGAATTGCAGTCGACGGGCAAGATCCCCGGCAGTCACAACCTGCCGGTCACGTCGGCCCCGGACGCGTTCTTCCTGCCAGCCGAAGAGTTCGAGGAGCGGTTCGGCTTCGAGAAGCCCGGCAACGACGTCGAGGCCATCTTCTACTGCAAGGCCGGCGTGCGGAGCAGGGCCGCCGCCCGCTTGGCTTCGCAGGCCGGGTTTGCCGGCAGGATTGGCGAGTTTCCCGGCAGCTGGATCGAGTGGGAGAAGAATGGCGGTCAGATTGAACGCGAGAAGTAGTTGGGCACCTATGTATGGATGGGACTGGACTTCTCAAAAAACAGAAGAAATGAATTGTTTCCCCCCGGGTTCCCCCCCAATAAGCTTGATATACAGGATCAATGAACAGTCAATGTGGACTCCGGCTAAGTACAAGTACGTAGTTGTTGGGCCGCCCGACCGTGTCTTCGTACAAAGGACAGGATCGAGGGATTGTGGTGTGGGCAGTAATCGAGCTACGTCTAAGATCGAGATTGAGATTGAGTTCGTCGCTGTCCTGCGGAATAAGAACTACATCTCCATCTCCATGTCTACTCCCACTCCCATTCCCATTCCCATTCCCATTCCCTCGTTTGAAGAGGACTCATTGAGCATGGGCGACGATTCGATCTCCAGACCCTTCAGATCTCTGGCGAGCGTCCTTGAAGCAGAAGCTGCAGGCGGACTTGTCGCGAGCACAGGCATCCTAGGCCCAGCGGCATCCTCCAAATCCGAGGCCAGGTGCCGATCTTCTTCTTCCTGCTGGTCAACAGACAATAGTTCTTCCTCACCGTCATCCTCATTCTCATTGTCATCCCGAAACACCTCTTCCCGTCTGCGCGCCCTGAGCCACTGCTCAATTGTCTCCTCACAGTGGTTGACGGCCCTCAAGAGCCTCTTGACGCTGGTGCATGCCGTCAGCGCCGCTTCCTCGTGGAACACCTTGACCCACCCGTCTGCGTGGTCGAGATCCTCGACATGGCGGATCTGCGGATACATGGTGCCCGGCCGAAGAACCTCCATGCCTTGCTCGTCCTCTTCCTCCGGAGGAATGGCTTTGCGTGACGCAAGCGACGCCTGGACCTCCTTGATCCGAGCCGTCACACGAGCCTGGTCCTCTGCAACTGTCCGCTCGTGCTCTTCCCGTGACTTGATCCGCTCCGGGAGGTCGTGGAGAGGGAACAGGTCCAGTATCTCCTTGTCGAGTGCGTGTTTTCGAGACCAAGTCTGCTGGTCGGGTTTGGCAGTCCAGGTGCGCTGGTACCAGTCCATGTACTGGTCGAGTTGGCGGTCCGTCATCTTGAGTATGTCGCTGTCGGTGACGTGGATCTCGGATCCGGGATCGAGGCCGGCTGGACCGTCATGTATGCCATCGGTGGAGTCGGTCTTGGGGTCGTCGAACCTTCGTTTGGCATCCAGCCACGCTGCCCAGTTCATGCGCAAGCTAGTAGGGTCGTTGGGGTCCTTCGGATACCGCTTGACTGTTTGCGAGTCAAAGGGGAAGAGGAGCTTCGTGGCCACCACGATGAGCGACATCATCTGCGTCTCGGGGTACGTGGTGGGCCGATGTCTGGTAGATGGCCAGGTCGTCGGATCGGGATAGCAGAATGGGTAGCTTATGATGGTGTTGAGACGCTGGGCTATGCTGTACACCTCGATTGGAAGGGCGAGCGATCGGACATAGCCCAGGAAGAGGAGTTTGTGATTCAAGGGAGGCATGGTCATCCCGAAGGACATGGTGTACATTTTCGCGCGACGGTACACTGCGGCCTGCAGGTCGTCGGGCTCAAGGATTCGTGTGCTGTCCAAAGAGAGCCGGTATTCTCCAGGTAGACGGTCCTTCATTTCTGCAGGAACATGCCTGACGGCCCGAATGAAGGGGATGTCTTCCTGCTGGATCCATCTGTCGAATCATAGTTGTCAGAAGGAGAAGGGAGATCTGGTCATGACGGCCTACTACTCGTGTATCACGTACTTTAACAAGGTCGCCAACCCGATCGGCCTCCGTAGCAGGAGGATGCCCAGGTAGTTGAGGACGACGGTATCGACCAGCGCGGGACCGACGCGAGTAGAGTCGCGCTCCTGGCGAGCTCGTCTCCCCTCCTCAGTCTCAGGATCGGTGTCTGTCTCGTCGGCAGAGGTCGTAGCAGGGTCCGCCTCACTTGCTGAGCCTGTACCCGTGCCCGTGCGTGGCTGGGACTCGGTGGCATCTCGAAGGCGATGGTCGAGTTTCGAAAGCCACAACACCCACAGATCTCTCACGATCGTCTGTATGAGCACGACCTGGTCAGCATCCCTCCCCCGAAGGTCGATCAGGTTTGCCGGTCGCTCACCCAAAGTTCCGGCGGCAAGCCTTTCTGGTACACGAGAGCGTAGCACTGCTTCCGCAGGATAAGTTGCCATGACTGAAGAAACAGCTGATATGCTCTGGCTCCATGCAGCACTGTTTCGTTTCGTGTTTCGCTTCGTCAGCGCCGGCTTCTGCATCCCACAGTCCTGCCCCAGGCTGGCTTACCTCCAGAGGCTTTTTGCTTCTCTTTGGCCTCCTTCTTCTTCAGTACTTTACCCTGTCTCGCAAAATCCTGGTCATCTTCAGCAACCACTGGCGCCCTGCCCTGGTCATGGCCGTTCTCGCAATATGTCCTGCCGTCGTCCTCGTCGACTTCGAGCTGCGTAGAACCACATTGCGGGCAGCTATTATCTTCGTCCATTTTCGGACTTGAGCGAGCCGGTAAATCTTGACATGGCGGGATGGGAGGAAGACCGGGTTTGATCGAGTGTTGGTGAGACAGAAAAATGCAAATCTTCCAGTGTATCCAAGACTCTTCACCCGTCAACAAGTCCTACATTGGTCCGGGTTCGCAATGATGGACGGTGGACCAATCAACATCCGCGTATTTACGTTAATCGAGAGTCAAACTTCTACACGGGAAAATAGGTTGGAAGATTTCTTTGATTGTCTAACTACCAATTGTCAAAAGGTGCAGGGCTACCGAGTCAACACTGTTTGAAATATTGCTTCTCCAGGCAATTCACAGATCTATGGCTCGTTGTAGCTCTAGCAGATTCGACTCTTCGCCTGCTAGATTTTTGGCAATAGCAAACTGCCGTTGTACCAAAACGCTTGGAGCATGATGGGTTGGTCGTCATCCATAAATACATCAGGCGTGTAGAGCGAGCCGCAGATGTGCAGGGTGTGTCCGGCCATTTATTTAGGGGCTTCCTTAGCATCGATGGCAGTTTCTTCACCCATGGCAGTCAAGACGATGACGTCTAAAGACGGCATATCAGCACTGAGACTCGCATGCGTGGATCCGGAATGAGACTTACTGGTATCCTTCTCTTCGGTACGGAAGAGCTTCTCGATCTTCTCACCAACTTCACCATCGGGCAGCTTAACATCGTCCTTGGTGGATCCGTCGTCAGACATGAGGGACAAGAAACCATCATCAGTGATGTCGAGCTATTCGCGCGTTAACGTTTTGGCCCATACGTGCCACGAATCATGCCTTCTCTTACCAGCTGGTATTCACGGCGGATGACGTTCGGGACCTCCATGTTGTGGGTGGATGGCGAAAGATCTTCCAACTTCTTGCCGGTGAAGATGTCAATAGCGACCAAGTGGACCTTTGCGTGGCCGTGCTTTCCGGTCTTGGAGGTGGACATTTCGACAATCTTGCATGGGCGTCCCTTAATAACAACGAAACCGTTCTTTCTCAAGGCGGAACATTGCATGGGGTAGGTAGCCGAAGCACCGGCATCGGCGGACTCAAAGGTGTGCTCATGCTAAAAAATGAAGCCAGCGTCAGCGTAACGGCTCGCGGAATGGACTCGATGGAAAGAAGAATGATCCAGGAAGATATGGGACAGATCTGGATGCGCCAACACACGAGGCAAAGCGGGGGACAGGGGATAGCAGCAAGATGGCTTACCTGCGCGTCGTTGTTTTCGGCCATGTTGGAGGTTGAAGCGATGTCGCTGAAAGAGGCTAAAGAATGAAAAGATGAAACGGGGACAAGCCGGGATGCGACTGATTCAAAGTGGGAAAAGGGATGGATTTATAGAGATCGATCCCAGGCCAGACCCAAGTAAAATATCAAAAGTGCAGGTGTAAGTGGGATCGAAGCAGAGGCGGGGGCAGAAAAAAGTGTTCAAATGACCCGGATGACGCGGCCCTGCCCAGGGAAGTTTTGAAATGTCGCCGGCGCAGCATGTCCGCTAGGCGGTAAGATGGCTCTAGTCCCTTTGGGAATAGCAGATGTCTTGGCGGCCTCCTGGCTGGCCGTGGCACTGCTGTCGCGCGGATGCTGTGGCAGCGCAGCCCGTAGGGTAGGGTATAGGTGGCCTTGGGCCAGGCTGAATGAATGACGAACCAGCCAAAGCACGCCCTTCCTCTGTTGCAGCATTGAGTCGTCGCTGTTTGTGAAATGCATCTGAATTCCCGTCTGCAAGAAAATGTGGCTTGACCGCTTAGCTGCGGGCGCCGCCTCTCCCAGTGGCTCTCTCACTCCTTCGAGGCCATACTCGCCCTCTCCGCGCAAGAGCTCCCATCTCGCCCCTACTCAACGGCCAGGATTTGGCCTGTCCGCAAGTAGATCCTCGGCCTCTCTCGATCTCAGTGCAAACAGTTCCACTGTATCCCTTCTATCGCCTCCGAGACTCGCCAATGGGTCCTCGTTACGATTCGAGCAGCGGCCTCCGCCCGATGTTCCAGACCCTCTGAAGGTGCTGCGAGGTATATTGGGGAGATCTGAGGATGGCGCAGATACGGACACTGGACCGGACAAGTTGGGCAAAACACAAGTCGTGGAAGTCGACTTTGGCGGTCTCACCCTTGAAGAATTCGTCAATCAAGAGACACCCTCACAGTCTGAAGCGGTGGGCCCTTCTAGCGAGATTTCCGCCCGGGAGAATAGGCAGAAATATGAAGACTTTCACAGTTCCATTGCCGAATGCGACCAAGTTCTTAGAACCGTGGAGTCATATTTGACTCATTTCAAAGCAGAACTGGGGCAAGTCTCGGCGGAAATCGAGAACCTGCAATCTCGCTCCATCCAACTGAACGCCAAACTTGACAACCGTCGTAATGTCGAGAAGCTCCTAGGGCCTGCCGTGGAAGACGTAAGTCTTTCTCCGTTCACCGTGAGGACGATCGCCGAAGGCCCCATCGACGAGCATTTCCTCAAAGCACTCCATGAGGTCGAGGCGAGATCCGCGATGATAGAAGCCAAAGAGGAGAAATCAGAAAACCTCAAAGCCTTACAGGATCTCCAGCCGTTACTGGAAAACCTCAAAGCCAAAGCCATCGAACGGATTCGTGACTACATCGTGGCTCAGATCAAGGCCCTACGGTCGCCCAACATCAACGCCCAGGTAATCCAACAACAGACCTTATTAAGATACAAAGACCTGTATACATTTCTGGCCAGAAGCCACGCTGTACTGGCAGAAGAGATTGGACAAGCGTATGTCAACACCATGCGCTGGTACTACAGCAGTCACTTTGGTCGGTACCATCACGCCCTTGAGAAGTTACATCTTCATGTTTTTAATCAACACGATCTCCTCGGGTCTGATTCCGCCTCGGGAAGAAGAAACCTTGGAGGGTCTAGATCAGCTCCGCCACAACATGATGCATTTTCTTTGGGCAGGAGAGAAGACATTCTGAAAACCAAGAACGACGCAGCCTTGCCTGCATACCTGGTAGAAGACAGTAAGTCGGCACACTACCTCGAGGTTCCTTTCCGGAACTTCAATCGAGCACTCATCGACAACGTATGCGGGGAGTATTCAGTGGTGACCGGGCTCTTTTCCACGAGCACATACCACCAGATCTCTCGTCGAGTCACGGACATTTTTGACCCTACCTTCGCCATCGGCCACAACTTGACAAAGCAATTGGTGGAAACCACAAACGATTGCTTGGGCCTGTTGCTATGTGTTCGCCTCAACCAACATTTCGCCTTTGAGCTGCAGAGGCGCAAGGTCCCGGTCGCGGATTCATACATCAACTTTACCAGCATTCTTCTGTGGCCTCGTTTCCAGAAAGTGATGGACTTGCACTGCGAGTCACTGAAGAAGGTGCCCACCAGCACGAGTCGCGGTGCTGCCGCGGCCTTCTCGCTCGTGGGCGGCGGATCGGACGCGTCCAAGGCCTCGGTCGCTCCTCACGCCATCACGCAACGGTTTGGACAGTTTCTTCAAGGGATTCTCATACTCAGTGCCGAAGCGGGCGATGACGAACCGGTATCAAACAGCCTCGGTCGGTTGAGGACCGAGTATGAGACTCTGATGGGAAAACTAGCCAAAGGAGCTGGAGATGCGTCGAAGCGGGCCAAATTCTTGTACAACAACTACAGTCTGGTGTTGACCATCATCAGCGACACCAGAGGCAAGCTGGCGGAGGAGCAGAAGGACCATTTCGGCGGGCTGGTGCGCGACATGACGATCAGGTAGATAATGATCTCGAGCCAGGGATCGAGACGTATATGATCGAAAGCATTTGATGCCCGTGTCTCGGATACTTTCCTGGTCCAGCGACGCCGGACCGTTAACAATCCCTCAGAAATCAGACGGTAGCCCGCGGGATTCCGCACTGTGATCTACTCGGCCCGCTTCATTATACATATGGGACGCGCCCTGTGCTGGATCTGGCGGCGTAGCGGCAAGCAAGCAAGAGGATAGTTTCTCGCTTCATGTCGGCCCAGTAAGCCAGTCAGCAGTCATACAGAGGGTTTCCACCACCTGTTCAGAACGAGAAACCGAGTGCAGACAATAAATAATGACCATGACCGTGCAATGCCGGCATATAGTCGGATCGTGTTGTCTAGTTAGTCTTGAAGACTCAGGCCTTAGGCTCCATCGAACCATCGAAAAGGGGCTCCAATTATAGTAGAGGTATTTTTCCGACATGGACACATAAAGTCCTAGCAACCCGGACCGGGACTCACTCTCTGGCTCTCGCTTTCGAGCCCGCCACAATGATCCTCCTGGGCCTCCTGGGGCTCAACAGAATACGAATAGGGACATCCACTACGTTAAGTCTCGAGACGTGTAGATCCAACGAGCGACGGGGCAGCCTCGATTCTCTCGAGAGATGGCGATAAAGACGGAAATAATAAGTCCACGGCATGCCAGAATGTAGGCATAGGACCACTCCGGTGAGGCACTGACCTGACCTGTTTGTGCTTCACTCACCTGGCCATGCCGGCGCTTCACTTCCGCTTCACCTGCCTGTCTCTGCAGGTACCGGCAGAAACGAAGCGCCCCAAAAATTAGCAGGATATGTATTGAAGTCGCTGATTTCTCTTCCAATATCGCAAAGACCCCCAGCACCGATCGGTCCAGGTCAAACCACTCTGGCTTAGCGGCAAGCCACCAACAAGAGTGGAAGGCAACCTTTCGACTGGGCGACCCGACGACATCCTCGAGTTCGAATCTCACTCCGTCCAACGAACGATAGCGGTTTTCGGCGAGCCTCCAGACCCTGCGAACCCGGGTAATCAACAATAAACCTCGACTTGAACCGAGAACCCTGTGAACCCGGGTCTAATGATAACGACACAATCACCGATCGAGCGTTGAAATAGGAAAAACCCTGCGAACCCGGGTTTCACTTCCCACAACCCCCTAGCAACGGGGTTTGTGGAAAAAGTTTTTACCCTCGGATGGTAGGAAGTAGTTCTTGTGCATTTTGTTTTTGCCTCATGTGTTCGTATGTGCAATCCAGGTGTGGCAGAAAAAGAGTCAAGCAGTGAAAGAGAACCAACTGTGATGCAATGTATTGTCTCCAGGGAGGGGGCTACTTCCTAACCTTACAGCCTCTGATTATCTCATGTCAAGTACCTACCCGTTCGTATTCGCAAACGCTTGAGTAACAAGTGAAGGATCTAGGTCGAGCTGGTGCAGTAGAGGGAGAAAGTTTATATCCAGACAGCTTCAGGGTTAATGTCGGCAGGGATATGATGTGAATGAGCCTTCAAGCGATCATGGCCGCGGCATACCAATGCTCCTGATGGCGGGAAGGTCACTTACGACACTTCTTGGATTGCCCACCAGTATCCTCCGTACGCCGTATCGATTTCTTGGGCCCAACAGCATAATAACTAGCAATTCGAGCTCGATTAGAGTCTGCCTAAGCTATGGTGTTGTCTGTGAGCGTTGGCGTTGCTCCGCTGGTATGTGTGCATCATTCTCAGCCTCGTCTGCGCCGATCGTAAATGGCAGGTTCACGCAGCCTCGATAACACACATGCGAGGTCTGCATGATGGAAGCGAGTGCGCCCTTGCAGGTCTGTAACTGTCGAGTACGATGCGGAACCCCCTGTCAGATCAGCCCCAGCCGAAAGCGATAGAGGTAATCCACCGTTCCAGAGACTCAGGGCCCCGTCAAGTCACGATGGAACCCCGATGGACAATACTCCGTTCTCCGCAGTACTCCGTATTCTATACATGCATCTGTAAATGAGCTAACACAATAATCAGGAGATGGCCAGTGCTGGACACGGTCGAAGTTTGGTGAAGGGTCGACGGTAAAGGGGTTTGTTTCGTTTGAATGAAGCAACTTGCTAGAGTAGCGATCACTGTTAGCGCTTGCCTTGCGTTATCATCCTGGAAAAGCGGGTTATTCTTGATATGCCTAGATATAGATCTGGCACAGGAGACATCGTGATGGAGCTCAGAGTATCTGGAGCGGTCGCGAGGTCAAGATCGCAACAATACCCCAATCGAGTTGGGTGACGTTGACGTTGCTTCTGACTATGACCCACCCACTGAGCCTACTAGTGATGATGGCGCGGATCCTAAGATAAAGGCGACGAATGCGTTTCTCCCCAGCGGAGCAAGACGATGGGAGATCGGGGGGCTAAGGGGCCCGACAGCTTAGGAAATCAAAAGAAGGAATATGATGTAGCATTGTACGGAGTACAGAGCACACCCAGTATAGCTTCTAAAAGGCTGCTATGGGCGGGCGATGCTGATATTAACACGAGCATTGTTGCCGACACCGAGCGTCTCTGTGTGGAGGTCTGCATCAGGAGAGGGCACAAGTGTCGCGTCCCATGATCGAGGGACTCCGGCAATCTCGCTCTAGCAGGAGTGTTCCGTACTCTGTATCCGCATGTTCATGTCCTCCGGTACTTGTCGACTTCCTGGCACGTCCCATGCATGCAACGTTAGGGTGGACTAAGAAGTTGGGGACAGTGTCTCGACTAGTGCGCAACTTGGGTGGATTTCGACCGGGCAAGTGGCCCCTAAGCCAGTCGGTGGGTGTTTTCTGCCCTTCTAGAAGGTCGCGGTCCGCCTTCTATGCAGCAACCTAAATGCTTGCAACTCTTCGGGGGCGGAGACCGATTTGGGGGTTCTGCCCGAGACCGCCGCGACCAGGGGGGGATATTGTTCAGACAACCAAACAATACGTTGTAGTGCTTGCCATCAGAAAGTGGCGCCTGGTCTCAGCACGGTGTGTATCCGGATTTCCCTCCAAGTTCTGTTCGATTATGGACGGCGGCAGGTTCCTGCTGCGGGTACTGCTGCCGAGGGACGAAAGGTGGAAGGTCGCTAGAATGCTTAAGATAGGCAGCGGCCGCCAGTAGCGTGTGGGCTGTGGGCTGTGGGCTTGGGGCTGGCGGCTGTACGGATAGTCTGGTGTCTTGTATGTGCGCTGGTGAACCTGGTGCTGTCGATCAGCATGAGACACCAGCTGCTCCATAGGGAGTACGAGACCAGAGTGACGAGCTCAAGATGTCAAATATAATAGTAATACGGTCAGGTAAGTGCTGCAAGCACCAACCGAGAAGGTGGTGGCATCAAGGCTGGCAGTTGCACTGGCACTGATAACTGCTTGAAGAGGCTTGAAGAAGGTGCGACCAGCGACCACGAACAGAGCCAGTTGTTACGTCGCTACGTTACTACCCCGCGGCGCGCTATCGACTTAGCAAGGCGGTTTTGGCAGCCAGAGGCCCAGAGTGGTATCGCACAGAGGACAGGGGAGGTGGTGTAATTAGCCATATCCGTAGTCCGTAATAGTCCGTAGTCCTGTCCTCCGTAGATACCTGCGCTGTCTCGTATCTGCGGACGCCTTATTAGCCCCAACTACAACAAGCACATTACATCCCTACCTACCTGGGTAGGGATGCCAGTGTGTCTCTGTGTGTCTCTGTGTGATGTGTAACCACCTCATCCTTCCTCCGCGATCCTTCTTCCTCGTCGTCCACCTCATCTCCTCAATCATCGGGGCGGTGTGAGCAGCAGACAGCGCCGCACCCTCATCAACCAACCCGCAAGGCTCGATCCCATTCAAAGTTTGGCCCTGGGGCTTAGCTCCATCAGGTAGATAAGAGTGTTGTGTTGTGAGTGGAGGTTTTGGCTGACGATGTTTCTCTCGAATCTTGCGTGCCACAGCCAACACAGCCAGCACAGCCAATACGGCCACCATTTAACAGAGCGTCTGATTGCTTTCTGCCTCCTCGCTCGCCACCTTCGCCTCAGCCCCAGTCGTACAGCGATCGAATCCCTCCTGTCGCGCTCGCTTTGTCTGCCTTGTCACTGGCTTGCTCCTCGAGTCCATCGTCTCACCATACCCACCTCCGTCGTCCATGGGTCCCGGAGATCACTCCCCACTATCAGTCAGTCTGCCTTCCACTGGGACGCCTCCTGCGCTTCGACAAGCGACCTCCGTGGGCAATGGGCAATATCACACCCCTGCCGACCTCGCCAACCGGTGTCCAGATCATGCCTTCATCCCCTGGCCATCACCTCTGCTGCTGTTTCCTTCCACTAGCCCCCTCAGCCATGGTCGCCTACTCGCCTGACCGGTCTCGCAAGTGGGTCGCAGCGTAGCACTCATGCCAGACACCTTGACCGTTCGCATCTGCACCTGGCGGGCGAGGCCATACCACCACCAGCAGCCAGGGTAGCTGTCGGTCTGCCATCTGGCCCCAAAAACACACCACGTTCACCTGCAACCATGTGCAACCATGTGCAACCATGTCCCTACATATACCATCCTCCGCCTCCCTCGTCGGGCGGAGCGTTCGTTTCCTGTGCCTCCCGTCATCCCAACCGCTTGGTCCCCTGTTCTTGTCCTTGCCAGATCCCAAGGCCGTCGAGCCCGGGTTGACAAACAAACAGTCGCCCTCCTTCAACCGACTCTGTCCGACATCTTCAGAACATCATCACCATGGAGAAGAGTCATGACTACCACGTCAGCTCCGGCTCAGAGTCGCCGGAGACCGTGCTACGTAGCAACTCGGTCGAAGCGAACAAAGGCGAGGTGAGCCGAAGCTGCGGAGGCGCCGTCCTGCTTCCCCAACTGACATCTCCTGTTTCCAGGCTCGTCGAGGTTCCAAAGCCAACGAGGCCACCGACATCTACGGCGACGTCGCCACGGCCGAGGAATATGGATATGTCTCTCGAGGTCTCAAATCCCGTCACATCCAGTTCATTGCTCTTGGGGGGACGATCGGCACCGGTCTGTTCTTGGGTATCGGTCGTGCCTTTACCCAGGCCGGTCCCCTGTCGGTCTTGCTTGGTTACACATTCACTGGTATCGCCGTCTTCGCCATGATGATGTCTCTCGGTGAGATGGCCACATGGCTTCCTTTACCCGGCGCCATCCCTCAGTTCTGCGCCCGTTACGTCGATGACGCCATGGGTTTCGCCGTCGGCTGGAACAACTGGTACTCTTGTGCCATCACCCTCTGCGCCGAGATCTCCGCTGCCTCCACGGTCATTCAATTTTGGCCTGGCGCCCGCGACATCAACGTGGCTGCGTGGATCTCTCTCATCCTCGTGTTAATCATCTGCCTCAACATTTTCGCCGTCTCCATCTATGGGGAAGCCGAGTTCATCTTCGCCTCGATCAAAATCGTCACCATTCTCGGCCTCTTGCTCCTCGCCCTGATCATCGATTGCGGCGGCGTTTCAGGACAACATCGTCTGGGCTTCCAGTATTGGAATAATCCCGGAGCCATGAAGCCATATATTGCGAGCGGTGACACCGGTCGCTTCTTGGGTCTCTGGTCCACCCTCGTGAACGCCGCTTTCTCCTATGGTGGTGTCGAAATGGTGGCCGTGGCCGCGGGTGAGGCCGAAGATCCTCGTCGCAACATCCCCAAGGCCGTCAGACGGGTCTTCTGGCGTATCCTCTTCTTTTATGTCTTGGGCTCCTTGGCCATTGGGGTTTTGGTCCCCTACAACGACAAGAACCTCCTGAGCGCCATGGCGAGCGGAGCGGCTGGTGCGGCCCAGTCTCCATGGGTCATTGCCATCACTCGCGCCGGAATCAAGGTCCTTCCCTCCATCATCAACGCCGTCATCTTGACTTCTGCGTCGTCCTCGGCCAACGCCTTCTTGTACACCGGATCCCGCTATTTATACGCCATCGCGCAGAACCGTCAAGCACCGAGATTCTTGCTCAAGTGCACCAAGAAAGGCGTTCCTGTATATTGTGTCTTGATCACCTGGTCGATTGGTTTCTTGACCTACATGTCGTGCTCGTCTGGCTCGAACAAGGTCTTCACATGGTATGCCCAGTCGCCCCCACTCACCTTGTCTTTGTAGTGCCAACTAACCACGTCGCCAGGTTCCAAAACTTGACCACCATCTCCACTCTCTTCACCTGGGTCAGCATCAACATTTCTTACATCCGTTTCTACTATGCTTGCAAGGCGCAAGGCATCGACCGTAACACCCTCCCCTTCAAATCCCCCTTCCAGCCCTATCTGGCCTACGCCGCCGCCATTTTTTTCGGCCTGATCATCTTCTTCAACGGATTCGATTCCATCGCCGGAAGCTGGGATTACCAGGCCTTCATCACGGATTATATTGGCATTCCCATTTATTTCGGCTTGTATCTTTTCTGGAGAATCTTCAAGCGAACCCATTTCCGCAAATCAAGGGAAGCCGATCTGTACACCGGGAAGGCTGCTTTGGATGCTGTTGTTTGGCCCCCGCGTCGTCCTCGCAACTGGGTCGAAAGAGTCTGGTTCTGGGTGGCATAGAAGAGGGGTGCGCCACGTTTGGCGCGTGGACTAGAGTATAGACCATGTCGTCAAACTTTTCAGAAATGTAATAACTTCGTCTCATCAGGTCTCAGCTACCATGTCCGCCATGATAAATCAAAGCTTAGTTTCTCTGAAATGAAGAGTTTGGTATAGCTTGTCACGTTCTCATTGAGACCGCCGACTCTTCTCTTCAAGTTTGTGCTGATCGCTTGTCATGTGGTGTTGTGAATCTGTTGAAAGTGCTGTTGAAGTGGCCCATGAGAATCTGCTTTGTTCCTGGATCTGGTCTCCGCCGACGCCGAGGCGGACATCGAGATGGATAGGAGGGATAGTCATTGGGTCCTCCATCATGTCTGGCTGGTGGTGTCTAATCGGCGTCTGGGGCTAGGTGGGCCCATGGTCCTGGGCTTCAACCGTGATGTAGCGTCGAAAGGTGTTTGTTCTGATGTTGGTGCTGGTGCTGGTGCTGGTGCTGACGTTTGGCAATGCATTCCATTCCATCCCATTCCGGCCAGTTTGTAATTAGCTGACACGAAGAGCAAATCCCCTTACCCCTCCAGCCACATCAGGAGACAGGAGACGGCTTGTCGGAAGCCAGGCAAAGAATTGGACAACAAGGGCGCAGTAGAATCTCAGTCAGTAGGAGTCAGGAGTCAGGACGTCGACATGGACGTCGACACGACGGCGCGCCTGGTAAAGTATCCTGGACCTACTGGTACCCGGACCTACTCCGTAGAGACTCAATTGAATCAGAACGAAGAATAAGACGGCGAGGCGAGAATACTTACTAGTATCAGTAATCGGAGCAGAGTCAATGAATGAATGGTGAATGGTGGAGAGGCTCCTTAGGCCGAGCTCAGCTTCAGCCTCGTCCGCTGTGGTTGGTCAATTCGATTTTGTTTAGTGAAGGGCGTGGGCCTAAGGCTGGCTTGTCATTGTCATTGTCATTGTCATTTTCATTGTCGTGGTCACAGCCATGGTCATGGTCATGTTCTAGATTGGATCCTTGGACATGCTAATACATAATACACACATTCCTACACACGTTTCAGCCGAGTCAAGTAACCAGACATCTATAAGGGGCACAAGTCTCGCGGAGTACATATCCAGACATCGTCCACCCTATTCGGAGCGGAATACAACGCATTCTTGATCACTCTACAGCATCCTTGACGAGATTCCCCGTCGTTCTGTCCCAGAGAAACCAGCTCTCGTCCTCGGCGTAATCTTCCAGCCCCGTCCGGTCGTCCCATTGGTGCTGAATCGCCCATGCGACCTCGCGTGCCTTCCGGATGGAATCGTTCATGCCCACACCGCCCTGCCACCATGGCCCGGCGACCTTGAATCTTCCATCGTACTCCGACACGAGAGCTTGGTGGATGGTGGCCATGTCATCCCGATATCCAACAGGATATTGGGGGATGCAGTTTGGATTCAGCCGCGCTTTGGCCAGTTCCGGTGATTGAACGATTCCAAGGTGTCTTCGCAACAAGGCTTGGGACATTTCAATGGCCTCTTCTTCGGTGGGAAGGTCGCTCGGGGCCCACCCATCCCACCAATGTCCGCCCAACATGACCGTGAGTTTGACACCCGGAGCTGTGTCCTGTCCTTCAACCTCTACATCCTTCCCGCTCCGAACAATGGTGTCCGCACGTCCCGATGTTTCCGAACCGAAGATGACACCCAATGCACGCTCTGGGTTTTGCTCAATTGGCACGGACCGCGGAATCAGGTAGCCAAAGCCTCGGGTGGATTGAGGAAGGAGATTTGGATCTTTGAAGTAGAGATTCACCACCATGACGTTGACAGAGGCGCCGCTATGTTCGCACGCCTCTGAAACCTGAGGCCCCGGTGTTACTCCTCGTCTGGTTGCTGTAGAAGCCAGGAACTTCTTCATCTCCCCAGGTCCCAACGTTGATATGACGTAATCAAACGGTTTGGTCTTTCCGTCACAATGGACCAAGGCCTGGGATCGATCCGTGTCAAATGTAACGTCCTCGATCGAAGAAGAAGTCCGGATACTGACGGCGGGGTTGTCGCTGAGACGTTGCCCTAGGGAGGCAGTGATCTCACTTAAGCCGCTCTTGAATGTATAAACACTCGCCTGCTCGAGCACAGAAACTATAGCTTCTTTGCCGTCGAAGTTGCTATCGCGCGAAACCATGTCTTGAGCATACACACCGGCGAAATGAAGGTCATTACGGGCGACAAGACTCCGGCGTTGGAACATAAAGGCCGCCATCTGCAAGAGGATTCCCGGTTCGTTCTGCCGGTCTCTGACCTCGAGGTGCCACAACAGTGGCAGTAAAGTGCGAGCACTCAGTCGATACAAATCGCCCGCGTAGATTCCATGGAGTAACGCCGACGCGAGGTTATCTGCCACCCCTTTGCCGAACCTGCGTCGCACGAAGTCGCCGACAGACTCGTCTCTGACACCAGGGTCTCGGAGTGCGACGTAGGCCTCTACCGCCAACGATGAGAGAACGCCTTGAAATACGGGCTCATTGCGAAGCTTGAACAACTGGCTCGCCAGAGTCAACAGGCCGCCGCCTGCCCCCGGCATCATGGCCAGGTGGTCGGGGTAATAGACGTAGCGATTGAGAGCGGCCGGGCTGTCCTTAGAGATTGCGATGAGATCGTCGGCTATGTCGAGCTGGGAGACCTGAGACAAAGAATGAGCACTGAACCGGCGCGATATCATGGAGGGACTGCCTACCAAATCCACGGTGGCTACACCCGCTGGATTGCTCAGCGAGGGCCGTAACGTCCGAGGACCCCATTCGAACAAGACATGTCCGCCTTCGACCGGGATTCTTTCTGACTGCACCCATCCTCCAAGCCACTGGTTCTTTTCGTAGATTGTGATCTTCACATCCGGAATGCTACGTTGGAGATTCCATGCCGCAGCAAGTCCAGTGATACCACCACCCAGAACGGCGACATTCTTCGCGTTGGGGTTGGCCGAGGCTCGAAGGTTCAAGTCGTCGACGGGAAGACGAGGGAGTGTCCGCAGGGTTCGCTGGGCCACTCGAGGCTGCAACGGGTGTTTTACGGCGTGGCTGAGGAGTGCATGACGACCACCCAAGCGCATCTCCAGTAGAGCTCCACCGAGAAGTGCATGTGCGAGGGAGATACGAAGGACAGAGGAGGAGAACAGACGGATTGATGGGTGTGGTGTGGTGTGAGATCCAAGTTAAAGAAACTGCGTGCTGAAATTGTATGGAGATGATGGCATGACTCGGGCCACCTGCCCTGCAAGTGAGTCCTTCGGCCCCCTCGAGGAGAGAGATCTATGTGAGACTGTGAGGTACGCTACGTGAACGGTCTCTGCACGCAATAGATAGCGTAAACAGTGATGATTCTCTCGAGTAGGTCAACTCCCGGAGATGGTGCGAAACCCTCTCCCACTCTCCCCCTTTCCACCTTTCCTTTCACCTGCTGAAACCCTCTGCCTGGAGCAGACGCCCTCTTCTGGCCTCGGCAGACCGAGTTTGCCCACATTGCGGTGCGTATGTGCGGGTACGATCTGTAGAGGCCGTGATATTCTCAGTAGAGGTGGCCGTGACCAACCATGGGACGCTGCAAGCTGGAGGCTGGACGATGGGTATATCCCTGGCCTGTGCCCCAGCCTCAGCCTCCGGGGTGTGATGCCCTTTCCAACAAGGCACCTGAATCGAGTTCAGCATCCGTCAGATCCTCGACGTCCTGTAGCAATGAAAAGGCTGCTATTCATGTGTTGGCCGTGCTCGTGGGATCGTCTGTGGCACTCGTTGCTTCGCCGGCTTCGGACTGTACTTCTGGCCCGTCGTAGCCGAGCTTCTTTAAGTCGCGCAGGAGTTCCCCTTCTTTGCCAATCTTCATGATCTGGTCGTGCGACAACTTCTCTCCTGTGGCACGTCTCTCCCTGAGCTCTCGAACCGCCTTCAGCTTTTTGAGATGATTCCGTATCTTTTTTTGCCGGTCAGCTTCTTCCTCGCCAGCCGGTTGATTCGCCGCCAGTTTGCTAGGATCTCGCCAGTCCTGCTTGAGTTTCTCTACATCAGCAATGGTGGTACTTTGCATGGCTGTTGTGAGTTCCTCGTCCGTCGATCCCTGTACTGCTGCCTTTTTGCGCGCGGCCTCTCTGCGTTTGGCATTCTTGTTCGGTGCAGCGACATCGTCCTTGGCCGAAGCAACCGGATCAGCCCCAGGCACACCGCCTTGCCCTCTGCCCTTCCATGCTTCGGCACTGCGATTTTTGTACGTCTCGATGTCTTCAGGAGGCCTGTAGCCCGGCCTCACTCGGATTTCTTTCCTGGTAGAACCATCGGCGCGTTTAGATGAGGGAATGAATGCAGCACCATCGGCCGCAGTCTCAATGCCGGCCTTGCTGATTTTAGACATGGCAAAGACAAGACCGGTGGTACGCGCTGCCGGGACGCTCGAGGCTCACGGGGGTGGGAAAATCAGGGTCGATTCGACATGGCGGGGTCGAGTATTCGCAATTACGGTCCTGGCTCTATCGCAATGGTCCCAAGGACGGTTCGAGAGGCGACGGCGGCACAGGGGATACAGGCTCAAGCCTCAGAATCGTGGCACGCTACTAGTATATGGCACAAAACTGCTCCATCGTGAAAGAAAGTAAGCCTATCGAAATATCTAGGCGAATCATCAGATTTGATCTCACGCCGCTTTAAAGAGTAATGTCCCAACTGGGATGTGTATGGCGGCTTCGAGTTCATCAGCGTACAGATCACGCCGAACTGGCCTAGTCACAGGTTGTAGCCAGTCTGTCATGCTCTCCAGAATGGAACTGGACCGCTCCTACTTTGACCACTGTGCACCTATCGTTCGCCAGCACAAGCCTGGGCAGCAATAGCACTGTCGTTATGTGCAGAAAGCCTGCTGAAGCGAGAGTCTTCCGCCGAAAAGGTGAATGCTGCCTTTTCTAGCCAATGGATTCAGGCATCTCGGCGGACTGAGTGTCCGGCAACAGCAGCCACAAGGGTGCTGAGTTATTTGGATATCCCGTCGTCGTAAGACGTGTTGATCGCCCAGGACATTCTGCGCAAATAGATAAAGGGCGCCGACCGTATGAGAACCAATTGTCCAGCCTAGTTTTGATGATCCGTTTAATGATCTGCCCCAGCCAAGTGGCTATCTGTAGGAGCGTCCTTCGGATTTGTGGATAGAGATATAGGTAGATTGAAGATTGGATAAGTAGCCTCAGTCCGAAGTGATATCCCATTCTTGAGACTGAGGTACTGTTGAGCAGCTCACTCTGATATGTTCCACAGGACCGAGAAGAGGTTCTCGGCTCACCAAAATGGCAAGCGTAAGCACGATGTGATGGGTTCGATAGCCTTCACTGAGGATGCTGCGTGGTCCTGCGTCGAAAGCACGAACATTCCTTGAAGAGTTGGATCACGAAGTATCCTGGAACCCAGAAAGTGACCGCGACCACCACCAGTAGTATTTGCGCCCAACGCGGCCAGTCCAGATAATTTCCAGCAGACCTCGGGAGGATTGTGTTTTGACCATCGTTGAGAACACGCCCTATTGGCGCCATATTGACGTACGACTCCGCGAACTTTGGTGGTAGCTTTCGCTCGACCTCAATCGCGGCGGCTCACTGTTATATGGCGGCCGTCAACTATGGTGCAATTCATCAGCTTGACAAAACCTGCAAGTAGCTTATGATAAAGCGTACCACAACGCTGCCGTGCTGAGGATAGGCGGTATGACACAGAAACTCCGAGGAGAGATCGGTTCGTCTTTGGTATGTCCTTCCGTGACCATGGACTAGACAGAAAGTGAAGCGACAGAGTCATCGACGAGCGATTGACTGCGAAAGTGACACCAGTGCCATCCTTTGTCCCGACACTCGGTCCGCATATCTCTACGGCAAACAAAGCACGCACGTGCCTTGAGATGCTCAGGCCAAACTACAGCCATTTTCGGCCAGCGCCAACCACGCGTTGTCGAAAGACCGGGCTTTTGATCGGCTTGCCGATGGTGTAAAAGGGGTTCATCAAGGTTTTCACCCACAGTTCGAAAACTTCATTCATGAACTGGCGAATAGCTTCTTCGGTTTGTGGGCTCGTGGGGTTTTGTGGAATGGACGTAGACGATATGGTGGACGAGCGACTACCGGCGGAGGCAGTCGTAATGGCCGATGGCTGATGGAGGAGCATGAAGCGGACATTGGTGCCAGTGAGGAAGCAGCTTATGTGTGAATTTGTCGGCGCGTAATTGTCAATGACTTTCAGCCACATGTTCGGGCTCAACCATTGAACCTCCTCCACAACGTCCAGAGCTGCATGCACAATGAATTGGTTCATATACCGAGCTGTCTCTCCATTGCGAAACCTCGGAACACCATCTCCTCCAGCTTTGGAAGTGCCAAAGGTCAGTTCGAAGAGTGGAGTGTCCGCCGGCGAAATGATGACAAAGTAATAGGACATGGTGATGAGGACCGAGTAGCTTGCCGCGTACAGGCCGCAGGAGGGCCCAAACTCGGACTCGCGTCCTGGAGGATTTTCTTGGTGACTCGGGCTTTTGTACAGCCGTGAACGTCCACTATGACGAGGCGTGCCGGAATATCAAGAGCAAGACTTCGAGGTTGGTGGAAGAGCACGACGTCGTGTTCGTCGACGAAGTAGAGTGAGGATTAGCCGCTTTGGAACTTTGCCTTGCCGCTTTAGAGGCGTGTCGAAGAGCACAACGGGTGGTCCAACATACCACCGATGTTGCGTCCGATCTTGGGTCTCCTGGGATCAGCTTGCTTTTTGAGCCTGTATCTTCATGGTTGTCCTCCAATAAGATGGCCATGACATTCATCCAGCAGGCTCGCTTCCTCCCTCGCAGCATGCACTTCACGTGACCATACGGATCACGTGAGCGTCTATTTCCTCAGCGAACCTACGATGGTCTCACCTGGGCGCGAAACATGATACCTTGAATCGACTTTGCGACTGTCCCGTCTGTCAATCTGCACCTCTGCATACGGCCAAGATGCCCGCCCTCGCATTTGGCCTCAATGCCGCCAAATCTCGACCAGGAATTTCAAAACCATCTCAAAAGCGTAAAGCATTCTTCGACGAGGATGAAGACATTCCGGAGACCAACGACGTGCCGCAATATGGCGCAAAGAAGCCCTCGAAGCCACTGCGACCGATAACTGGGTTCGGAGAGGACGACGAAGATGACGAGCCACCTAGGAAATCACCGCAAGTCTCGCAGCCGGGCCTGCAAAGTGCGAAAGTGAAGGGGACGGGCACAGAAAAATACACGAACCTGTCGGCGTTGCGTAGTGCAAGGTTACAAGATGAGGAAGCGGCCAAGATAGACTCGTCAGTGTACGACTACGATGCAGCCTACGAGACATTTCACGCCCCGAAGGAGAAGAAATCCTCGAGCGAAGAGCAGGAGTTTGTACCGAAATATATGGGCTCACTCCTCCAAAGCGCTGAGGTCCGAAAGCGAGACCAATTACGGGCGCGAGAAAAGCTGCTCAAGCGTGAAAGAGATGCTGAAGGGGACGAGTTTGCCGACAAAGAGAAGTTCGTGACAGAGGCGTACAAGAAGCAACAGGAAGAGATCAAGCGGATGGAAGAGGAAGAAAAGAAGCGAGAAGAAGCTGAGGAGGAGCGCCGGCGGAAAGGAGGCGGTATGACAGATTTCCACAAGAGGGTGCTACAAAAGGACGAAGAGAGAATGCGGCAGATCCAACAGGCTGAAGAAGAGGCCGCCCGTAGGAAGGCGAGCGGAGTTCAAGACGAGGAGCAACCGGAAGAGGAGCAGACCGATGCAAAGATCGCGGAGGAGCTGATTCAGAAGGGAGCGCGGATTGTAGTCAACGACGAGGGCGAAATTGTCGACAAGAGGCAACTGCTGTCGGCGGGCCTAAACGTTGCGGCGAAGAAACCTGGAAAGGAACAACAGGGCTTAGCGAAACCGGCATCGGCCCGTCCCCAGGAACACTGGAAATCATCCAAGGCGCAGGACTCCCGAGTGGCTCAGCGCGAGAGACAGTCGCGGATGGTGGAGCGCCAGGTCGAAGAGATGGCCGCCAAACAGAGAGAGGCTGAGATGGAAGAAGAAAGAGCTCGGCAAGAAACGATCAAGAGCAGGCTCACGGAGACTGATAAGATGGGTGCCCGGGAAAGGTATCTGCAGCGCAAGAAGGAAAGGGAAGAGGAGGCGAAGAAGAAAAAGGAAGCGGGTGGGTAGACCCGGCCGGTTCTCGCGGTTCACCACCCCTGCTGCAATCCAAGAGGTGTCGAGCGTGCTCATTGAATAAACATGCCTCCGTCGACCGCGACAACCTTGTTATGCACGTACCCGGTCTTAACAATCCATACAACGGTCTCGGCGATCTCATCTGGCTTTCCCAGCCTCCCGATCGGGATTTCTGCGCCCCGTCAGGTCAGCCGTTCGTCACCAGGGGTCAGATGTGGGCAGACGAGTGAAGACGGCGAGCACGATGATGACTCACTGGCAGCCAGATCCGGGGCCGACGGCAACATCTTGGTGTCCTCAATCAAAGCGGGTGCGACTCCGTTGACAGTGATGCCCCTTTTCCCGTACGCGTTCGCCAACCAATGCACCAGACCGTGTATGGCCGATTTCGAGGACCTGGGGCCCCCACGCCTGGAGTTAGCCGACGAGCCCTCCAACAACTCGCACGGACAAGGCGTCGAAAGAAAGGGCTGTGGAGAGGATGGGATGGCAGTCGAAAGGACAGGGGCTGGCCAAGGTCGATACTCACGCATAGTGCGGTCCAATCACGCCGCCCGTGAAGCCGGCGACGCTGGAACAGAAGACGAGCCTCCCCCAGCCCTTGTCCAGCGTGGCCGGCACACACAGTTGGGTAAGCAGAAAGGGCGTGCCGCAGTTCGCTCTCCAAGTGGCCTCGAATCCGTCGACACTGACGTCGCTCACGTCCGTGACGCCGCTCTTGCCTAGGGTCGTGCCTGCATTGTTGAACAAGATGGTGGGATTACCCAATTCGCGCACGACAGCCGCATGCAGCTCGCGCGTCTCGGCGTAGGAACTGAGGACTGCACGGAACGCGGCAGCCCGGACGCCCATGGACTGTAGGGTCGAGACAAGTGAGAAGGCCGTGTCGGACGCGCTGTGGTAGTGTACGGCGACGGAGCAGCCGAGGCGGGCGAGGGCCAGGGATGTGGCGTGGCCAATGCCGCCTGTCGCGCCGGTGATGAGAGCGAGATGGGACGAGAGGTCGGTGACGAGGGCCATTTCAGCCTCGTCGGTGGATGGAGGTGTTTGGGGGCGTGGTCTGTTGATCCGTGCGGCTGTTGCGACAGTCAGCTCTTCAATCAGAGGGACGTTAGCCATCAATCAGAGGGATGCTAGCCCATCAGGTGCCCATGAATACTACGTACCTACCTGGTGTTGTGCTCTTGTACCGTAGACCAGATACCTTCCGGGCCCGGCCTGCAGTAGATACTAGAGATACCGTACTACACGTTGCGACGAACGGTGGCCTCTAGAACTGTTGCGAGTGTGTTCGAACTGTCCATGTCAGCGAAGAGCATTCATCCATCCATCCATCCATCAACATCTTTGGAGACACAAGTACTCTGTACTCCGTACATAGGGACTGATATATAGACATACACTCAGGTAGCTCTTGCGAAGATATCTGTCCCTTATACGAACAATCCAGGCCTCGACAGGTCAATGTAAATGGACATGTAAATACAGAGTACTAGCCAAGCACTTATGGATGCGATATGCTGTGAGACTCGGAGAAAGGACGGCTGCACGGCTGGAGGCTTCGGTCCGGCGTGTATATGTGTGTGTACATGTAAGCACGTAGCCGCTGCCCATTGCCCCTCCCAGCTGGGGTCCCATCAGAAACTAGGTACCGAGTACAGTCAAGTTATTACCTTACCTCAGGTACATACCTACCTAGGTACCCTACCTACTGTGCCTACCTATGTATGTATGTACCCATCCAACGAAACGAAGTGGCTCCTATTATCTGTGCTTCCCTAGAGCCTCGCGGGTCTGTCGGCACTGGGTTCTTTCCCCTTGGTCCACTCATCACGACGACGATAGGACAGTTTGCGAAGGCCACCGACATTGGCTTTGGCTTTGGCTTTGGCTTTGGCGACGGAAGAGGACTCGATGGTTTCGTGCCGACTGTATATTTGAGGGACCAAGTAGACGACCAAGATAGCGAGCCAGCACCAGTACGACAACAAGACTCGTCGAGTCAACTACCTCATACCTTAGCTGAGCCCAGCAACTGCAACACCGGTCGACCACCAGCCGGCGTTGACACTACATCCTTGTACCTGATATACCTCCAGCTACATGTACCCAGTCTAGCCTACTTTAGGGACAATGTCGACCCTGCACCACTCCTCCCCGAGCTGTCCGCCAGCACTCACATCTGCCACACTACAGCTCCACTACCTCGCCGAGGGCGCCGCCAACATCATCTACAGTGTGTCTGTGCGGTCTCCGCCGGGCCTACAGCACCATTCTCACTGCTGCATCTTGCGGCTGCGCAAAGACCTCCCCTTTACGAAGCCCGCTCTGGAGGTAATGCGCGATTTCGAAGAGCGCATTGGACCTCTCTTCGGCGGCCACGAGCATCTCCTCATGAAACAGGCACTGTATCCACTGACACCAGAGATGGTCCTCGATGCGAACGCCGAGTTGAGGGAGATGGAGACTGCGGATTCATCAGGCGACCGCGTCGCCGCCGAGGGCCAATCTAAAGGGAGGGTCCGCCATCATCACAGACGGCATGTCTATCTGCCCGCCTATGAAACGGAGCAGAACGGGATCTTGATGCAGAACCTAAAAGAGCCAGGAGTCGACCAGCTGGTCGAGTTCAAACCCAAGTGGTTGGTCCAGAGTCCCAGTGCACCTGTCGATGCAAGAAATTGCCGAACGTGTGCTCTGAATGCGATGAGGAGGAAGGGTGGAAAACATCAGGGCCGAGGCGATTCAGGCTTCTGTCCGCTGGACCTGCTCTCGGGGCCGGACGAAGGCGATGTGCTGCAACAGGCCCTGGCGAATGTCTGCCAGCCGGCCGAGGGAGGGATCGAGGAGTTTCTCGTATCCTTCCGTCAGCGAGTGCAGCCTGCATTGAGACATCTGGCGACGCTGCAGAGACAATACGGCTCGGTGGGTCTGGATGACTACCGCAATCCGGCTGGTAAGAATCTTGACCTGGCCATGGCATTAAGAGACTGTAGTGTCTTCCTGGCTTTGCACACAACGACGACGTCAGCTTCGGATTCGAATTCGAGTCGAGGCCGCGTCGAGCTGGTCGATGTCAAGTTCGCCGACCTGGACCTGAAGACGCCGGAAGGAAGAAAGTTGCAGAAATGGGCATCCATGGAGCAAGAGTTGCTGGACGGCGGGTGGTACTACAACGCCGAAGGATCGCACTGTTCTCTGGGTCGTCGCCGAGAGACGTGAGAACCGAGCAGAAGCAATGTACAGTGCAGGCTGGTCCAGCCATGTTCGGGAAAGATCTTTTCACCAATTATGATGGATTGGAAAGAGGAGCAGGGCCAAGGTCGAGAACTTCTGGTCTTTGACGGCCCTTATGTCGTGCTTGATCTGCGCCAGCAGTTGTGACGACAGGCCCCCTCTTCGTCGAGCGTAGATGTCGATCCCGGCGGGCGTGAACAGCGTCTTCTGGAAGTAGGTGACCATCCAGCCGCCCTCTTCATCGCCGTAGCCCAGGATCTGCCAGTGGCTCGAGGCGATCTTCAGCCATCCTTTCCCGCGCCAATTGTATGCGGCCGTGGCATCCGCCTCGGGCACGTCGACGCCTTCCACCTTCTTGTGCTTGTCCGAGGTCAAGGGCTGGTACTCGACCAGGTCGTCCAGCACTTCGGCGTTGTTCTCGAGCGGCGTATACGTGATGGTCACGTTGCGGTTTGACTTCCACAAGGGCAGCGTCGAGTGCGTGACATACCACAGGCCCTGGAGGAACGAGACGGGAGGAGGGGTGAATTGGAGGGCGAGGGCGACATCAAGGTCACGGTCACGGTCACGGTCGAGGGCTCCGCGGCCGGTGGAGGGCGGGCGGATGTTGAGACGTGTGGGCGTGGGCGCTGTGTCCGCCATGGACGCGCCACACTTCACGGACAGAACGTCGCAATCCGAGGGGATCTGGATAGTATCACACTACACACTACTACAGTAGGCAAGTGTATGTGTTGTGTTGTGTTGTGGGAAGGGAACGATGCTGGTGTCGTGGTGTCAGTGGTGTCAGAGTTGGAGATTTGGCCACGCCAACCAAATAATGACAACAATTTACCCCTTTCGGGTCCGGTGTCCGTTGGCGGCTATAAGGCTCTACTGCTCCAATTGCTGGAGTCGCCTCTTTCCAACTTCCCTTCAAGTCCGTGCCGGTCGTTCTCGCGTCCGAGCACCCAGCGAACTGAACCCCACGGTTGGCGTCAACCTGCCACTTGGCCGCCTGCTTGAGCCTATCGCTTCTTCGTCAGGGTGCCCGAGACATGCGGCAGTGCCGACCATTCGAAATGGGTCTTGAGGTCGACCGCCTCCCAGTCTCCAGCACTTTTCAACACTCCCGCGATATCCCGGCTCATCTCGCAGCCAGCCAGGAAAAACCTCCAGCCGAGCGCGTGGTAGAGGATCTGCATTGCTCTGGCCAGAACACTGCCGGTGGTGGTCCACGGATTCCTGACATGCTCGACCACCATCAAGTCCCCGCCCGGGCGGAGGAGGGAATACAGATCGCGCGCCGTCTCGTCGAGATCCGGCACAGAGCAGAGAACACGCAGACTGACAATGGTGTCGAAGAGGCCGTCTGCGGCCGGGCTGACGCCTTCTTTCGCCAGTGCACTCAGCAGGGCTTTCTTCTCTGCCGTGCAACCGAGAATGTGATAGTCATCCGTAAGTTTGGCCTGGTCGATCCGGGCTTGCAACGGTGCATGCAGGCCCCCGCTCGGTTCCGCGCCGTAGATGGCGCTGATGTTTGGGTTGTCGGCGAAACACGAGACATGAGACCCCGAGCCGGGCCCTATGTCGAGGACCACGCCGTGCGCCCGAGACAGCAGGGGCGGGATAAGCGCCGAAGGTCCCGCCGGTGGCGGAGCCGGTTCGACAGGAGCTGGGAGCAGGAGGATTGAAGATCAGAGACCCATCGTCGGCCGCGGTAGGAGCGATATTCTTAGGACTAACCAGTGCGTCTCGTCCAGAACCTGGAAAACGCTTCGTCCCTCACCCTCTGCAGATTTGATGCGGAAGGGGCTTGTCGCTGGATGAGGAAGAAATCGAACGCGGTGGCAAGAAAGGCTGGCCTGGTATCAGCAAAGGCTGTCTTGCGCCGAATCACGACCCGGCTCGCCTCTTGTAGCACCACGTACAGTAGGCACTGCCATAGAGCATATAGCCCGGAAAAATGAGATCAGAGAGGCGCTCTCTCAGAGGTGGCCACGACATGGATGCTGCTGCTGGCTGTGGCGATGGTCGATGGCCGATGGCCGAGGAGAGGAGGAGGAGGAGGAGGAGTCACGCAAATGGCCAAGAGAAGAGCAGGTTGGAGGTTGGAAGAAGAACAACGGAGGTGGGGAGCGAATACTAGTAGATTTCAGATTATATATACCTCGATAGACCGCCGCTCGACATCTGATACACCAATTCCACCATCTGGACTGTGGGGCGATACTGCAGCACACTCTTTCTTTGTCCTCATTACACACCATGTGATTTCATCCCCTTCAACACGTCGACCGCAGATCCCACAGATGGACATGGTTGATGATCACAGTATACTGTATTGCACGACTCTTTCAATGAAAGGCGGTATGGGACTGGGTGGTGATGTTGATGGAAAGACGGATGTTGGAGTACCCCCGCCCATGGTTTTTGGTAGCGTATGCTACATGTATGCAAGTGTGAGATCAGGATGTTGACGTTGTGCGATATGCGACCGGGATTCTGAGACTTCGTGCCCGGAGTCCTCAAGTCCTAATCTTATGGTTACATGGTAGGGCTGTGGCCTTGACTCCGCTATGGTCAGCTTACTTTTGGCTTAGGTACCTCGGGTACATGTAGATAACTTGACATTCATGGACATCTAGAGCTGTAGGAAGGTGTGATATGATGATGATCATGTTAGGTTATTGTAAAAGCAGCGTGGTCCTGTGTGACCCTGACGCGAGTGTAACGTACATGCATACTACACTAGTACTAATATAGCACTAGTGTAGAAATTTTAAATCAAAGCTATATAATTTATATCTCCATAATTTTGGTCACGAAACTTATTCCAATTATTTCCTCTTCTAGAGGTACTAGGATGGTTTAAGTCACGGCCTCGTGGCCTAACGGTCAAGGCGTTGGTTTTCGGTTTTCCCTATTTATAGGGATTTAGATGATCACCAAAGATTGGGAGTTCGAATCTTCCCGGGGTCGTATTATTTTTTTTCGTTGGCACTTTTTTTTTTAAGGTCAAACTTCAAGTCGGAATACTGCTATACTTACTATAGTAGGTGATTATATGTGCGATGCGGAAGCGTTGTTCTTCAGGTCAGCCTATAGAGAACCATCACTTGGGTCTGAAGTACTACTAGAGTCTCGATGTACCTAAAATATATAGAGTCATCCTTTGAATTGAGTCGAGTTGCACATCGCCATCATTATTCAACCCTCTTTACAGAGTACCTACAAAGTATCTCCCCCTCTGTGCAGGTATAATTGAAGGAGCCAGATCCATGCCTATACTTCTACTTCTTAGGAGATGGTTTCCATGCGCCTAATTCAGCATGCCTGCGCTGGACCGTCACGAGCTCTCCACGGCCCACCAACATCACTTATCGTGTCCGAATCGGAGTGAGGCTCAGGTCCTGGACAGCATGGCCTTCTCTCCGATTGTTCTCCCGTAAGTGTAAATCCCCCGTATGTGCTCCGTATGTGCTTATGGCAGTGGTTCACCGCAGAGGCGGCCGGTTTCGAGGCCTGAGGAGCCCGCCGCACATTTCCGTGTTTGGTCTTCCGGCGGAAGCAGGCATTCGCCCAGTTATTCCCCCTCCAAGTTGCGCTGCGCACAGAAACCCAATGGTGGGAGCTTCTCAGAGCTCTCCCCACACTCGGCTCCTCTGCCTCGGTCCTCTCTGCCTCTACCTCTCTCTACCTGGTACCCACACAGGATGAGCGGGTTGCGAAGCCAGTACGAGCTGGGTTTGTTACCGAAGGGCGGGACTTGACTTGACTGGTGTCGGCCAGACAATTAACCGAATCATTGACGCCGTACGCCTGCCTCCTCCATCTCATCGTCTCGACCTCCTCACTGTTCGTGGCAGGTCTAAGGAAGCAGTCGAACTCCAGAGTACACAGAGTACTCTCTCGTCCATCTCGTCCCGTCACCCTACCTCACCGCCAGTCGCGTAGACCCTGTCCTGGTCCTGTCCGTCCATCCTGTTCGCACTCATGTCCCTCTCACCCGCCGTCCGTATCGCGAGGACCGCTGCTCAGCGGTCCACCTCCCTCCTCCATGCGATCCAGTACAATCACCCGCCGAATTGCCCTTGTCACTCGAATCCCAATCACCACCATAGCCCAGCTGTGTTCGGTGAGGCCCGGCGGCGCCTGGCCACGCCCATCGACCACTCACGAACCAGAGAGTACGCGTTTGAGTTGGCCGCCAGCTCCATCCGATTCGGCCCAGGCAGTACCAAAGAGGCGGGCATGGATTTGAAGAACATGGGCGCCAAGCGGGTCTGCGTGGTGACGGATGGAAATGTCGCGAAACTCGACGCGTTGAGGCATGCGATTGACGGTCTGACCAAAGAGGGGATCGAGTTTACAGTCTATGACAAGTGCCGAGTTGAGCCTAAGGACAGCTCGATCAAGGATGCCATTGCATTCGCAAAGCCCTACCAACCCGACGCGTTCTTGGCCGTGGGAGGAGGGTCGGTGATTGACACGGCCAAACTGATGAATCTCTACACCTGTTACCCCGATGCGGATTTCTTGGACTTCGTCAATGCTCCGCTCGGCAAGGGCCTGCCCGTCGAAAAGCGTCTCAAGCCTCTCGTGGCGGTCCCGACCACCGCAGGAACCGGGTCAGAAACCACGGGGACGGCCATCTTCGACCTGGTCGAGAAGCGGGCAAAGACGGGCATCGCGCACCGCAATCTGAAACCCACGCTGGGAATCTGTGACCCGCTCAACACCCGCACCATGCCGTCGGCCGTTCACGCCTCGTCGGGCTTGGACGTCTTGTGCCATTCCCTCGAGTCCTGGACCGCCATCCCGTATTACGAGAGAACACCGCGGCCGACCAACCCAATCAACCGTCCGGCGTACCAGGGCGCCAACCCCATCTCGGACATCTTCTCCCTCCAGGCTCTGAGATCGACCGTGAAGTATCTGCCTCGGGCGGCCAAGGACCCTGAGGACTTTGAGGCGCAGAGTGAGATGCTTTTGGCCGCCACTTTGGCCGGTGTGGGGTTTGGAAACGCTGGCGTCCACCTGTGCCACGGTATGAGTTATCCCATCAGTGGCCAGAACCCGGGATACAAACATGCGGGCTATCAGGTCGAGACGCCCATCATACCTCACGGAGTCAGTGTGGCGGTCACCGCCCCGGCCGTGTTCAAATTTACGGGCTCCAGCAATCCAGACCGTCATCTGGCGGCGGCAGAGTGCTTTGGCATAGATATCTCAAATGTCAAAAGAGAAAGTGCCGGCGAAGTCCTCAGTGAAGCGTTGGCCGAATTCCTCATCAAACTGGGCGATCAGCCTCGAGGCTTGAAGCCGCTAGGATTCTCACGGGATAGCATTGACGACTTGGTGGAGGGCACCTTGCCGCAGAAGAGAGTGCTGATGCTTGCCCCGCGGCTGAGCGAAGAGTTGAATGAGGAGCGGCAGCAGCTCCGAGCACTGTTTGAGGAGGCTCTGGAGTACTGAAGAGATGCGGGATGTCTGAATGATGGGATGCATGGCTCTGCAATGCTATCTGCTATTGCTATCTGCTGCCTGCTGTCTGCTGCAATTGCTCCTGTTTGCAGGGGTTGCCTCTTTTTTTTCGGAGCTCAGGCCGGCTGACCGCTTGTTCAGCTTCCCCGGAAATCGCAACAAATCGCGGGGGCTCAGGCTCGTCCGCCTCCACCTTTTCTCCTCCTCCTCCCACCTCCCACCATCTGCCATCTGCCATCTGCTGCGCCTCCCACATCACATCCTTTCAGTTGCGACTTCGGCCTCTCTCATCCCCCCATGCTTGCATCTGGGGTTCTCCCACGGACCCTCTCCTACCTAACGTCTCATTTGCTCGATTGGATGGCTGACGCACCGAATTGACAAACCACGAATGGATTCTGAAGGTGCCTGGCGCCATACCGCCGACCACAGAAGAAAGCTAGTGTCTCCAACACCTCATTCGCACAACGTGGTTCGATTTGTTGGATACGTGGGTGGAAAATTAAAATGAAAAAGTCGTGCAACAATAACATGAAGAAATAAAGTCTGCAATCTAAACATCTGCAAACGCAACATTTTTCTGGCCCTATCCTCTCGTTGATCCTCAGCTCCCGTTCTCTTCCTCGAGTAGTGATTCGGCCAGGCGGTGTCCATCTTGTGCTCTGTAGGGCCAATCCCCCGTTCCTCTTCATTGTGGCACCGCTCGTTCATGCTCTTAGGAAAAACCCCCCTCGCATTATTAGAGATAGCCAACCATGGCTTCGTCCAACCTTGTTGGCCACACGGCTCGACCTCGAGTCCTATGTCCCGAAAACCTCTCGGCCGATGGATTGACGCTGCTTCGCAAGACGCTCGACGTGGATGAGAAGCAGGGCCTGACCCCCGAGCAACTCATTGACATGATCCCCGAGTACGACGCACTGTTGGTGCGGTCCGAGACCAAAGTCACCGCGGCCCTGTTGAATGCGGCGCGCAAGCTCAAAGTCGTGGCTCGTGCCGGCGTGGGTGTCGATAACGTCGACGTCCCTGCCGCCACGAGACTGGGCATCGTCGTGGTCAACTCGCCCAGTGGCAACATCCAGGCGGCCGCCGAACATACCATCGCTTTACTCATGAGCTTGGCGAGGAATGTCCCGGATGCCGATGCGAGTCTGAAAGCTGGCAAGTGGGAGAGAAGCCGTCTGGTCGGTGTCGAGGTCAAAGGCAAGACTCTGGGGATTGTGGGACTCGGGAAAGGTATGCCGTCGTCGATATCTCCTCTCTCCTCACTCCTACCCCGGCATGGCATCTCGAAGCGTTTTTTGCTCCATGTCTCTGTTCTGCTGCTGCCGTTGCGTTGGCCTTGGTTCTTCCCCTCCCACCTTGGGCGGCCCAGTTGATCTGACGCACCCCCGTTGCTGCAGTCGGTCTTATAGTCGCTCGTATGGCTCGTGGCCTGGGGATGAACGTGGTCGCCGCAGACCCGTATGCGTCTCAATCGGTCGCGGCGGCGGCCAATGTCATTCTCGTCGAATCCCTCGCGGAACTCCTACCTCGGGCCGACTTCCTCACCATCCACACGCCCATGCTGGCGTCGACCCGCGGCATGCTCTCTAGCACCGAACTCAACCAGATGAAGCGTGGAGCACGCATCCTCAACGTTGCCCGGGGCGGGATTGTCGACGAGAAGGCTCTCCTGTCCGCGCTCGACTCGGGGCACATCGCCGGGGTGGCCGTCGACGTGTTCACGAGCGAGCCTCCGACCAAGGACCCGGACTCGGCTGCCGCGAGGCTCGTGCAGCATCCCAAATGCATTGCGACCCCGCATCTCGGGGCCTCGACGGTCGAGGCACAGGAAAACGTGTCCATGGACGTGTGCGAACAGGTGCTGCAAATCCTGGCGGGCGACTTGCCGCGCAGCGCGGTCAACGCTCCGATCATCCTGCCGGCCGAATACAAGACGCTGCAGCCGTTTGTTCGCTTGGTCGAGAAAATGGGCTCCTTGTACACGCAGCACTTTACGTCGCCGAGGCAGCCCGCGCAGAGAAACATCAACACGTTCGATCTCATCTACGAAGGCGAGATCACGCACATGTCAAGCACCAAGCCCCTGTTCGCAGCCTTGATCAAGGGGCTCACGTCGCCCATCTCGGACGCGGAGGGGTTCAACGTCAACATTGTCAACGCCGAGACGGTGGCCAAAGAAAGGGGCATCTTCGTCAACGAGCAGAAATCCCGCGACCCCAGTACCCAGGCTCAGGCTTACAGCAGCCTGGTCACTCTGGTCGCTCGGGCCGGGGCCGGAGCTGGAGCCGGATCGGAAGGGCTGGTCAGCACGACGGGCACAGGCCAACAGCGGGAGAGTAGCAGTAGCACGCAACATATCATCTCTGGATACTGCAGTGACAACTCGCCCTTCATCTCACGACTCGGTCGGTTCTCGACCTCGTTCGTGCCGGAAGGGAAGCTGCTCATCTGTCACAACTACGACTCCCCGGGCAAGATCGGCGTCGTGGGCAGCGTCTTGGGCCGGCAGGGGGTCAACATCAACTTTATGAGCGTCGCCCCGGCCACCTTTTCTGGTTCTGGTTCTGGTTCTGGTTCTGGTTCTGCCTCTGCGGCTTCCCCGACCGGCATCAATGGGAGTGGAAGTGGGATTGGCAGTGGTGGTGGCGGTGGAGACGGCGCCGAGCCGGTTTCCTCCAAAGAGACCACCGAGGCTCTCATGATACTGGGTGTTGACAAGGAAGTAGGAGACGACGTCAAGACGGAGCTGGTGGGTGCGAGGGGGGTTTTGAACGTGAGTAGTGTTACGCTGTGATATATGACAAGTGACATGCATGCAGGTGGCATGCGATGCACAGCTGTAGACTACATACACAAAGCAGTGCTGGATGGTAGGATGGAACGGTGCCGTAGCTGGTCTCTGCCACTGCCGCTGCCGCTGCCGCTGTCGCTGCCGCTTTGGTGTTCGTATCGACAGTGTCGCCCTGCTGGAGACGGAGAAGTGAGAAGTTCCGTATACCTTATACCTATTAAGTACGCTGCCAACTTGATTGCACCTGTATTTGCACCGTTTGCACCGTTTGCACCGTTTGCACCGCTCGTACTCGTATGGTTTGCACCGTTTGTACTGGTGGTAGGTAGGTGGTGCCTGGCCATACATATTATGTAAGCGGGCATCGGTCTCTGTGTCTCTAGACGTCGGACGACAAGTCTGCAAAGACCTCGTTGCAAATGCCCGAAATGAATTGAAGGCATCCGGGAATCCCAGAGTCTTCCTTCTCTCGACCCATCATATAATCTGCAGAGGGCGGCATCGAGACTTGTTTGGACTGAGCGAGCACTCACATCTCCCTCCTCCCTCCTCCCTCCTCCGTCCACCAAACCCACCGCCGCTGACTTGCCTTTCTTTACCTACTGCAAGTTCAGCACCACACCACACCACACCACACCACACCACATCTTCCAGTGGTTTGTTCAAATAGACATCGAGACCATGACACATCCACCAGCGCCAGTGTCGGCGTCGGCGTCGGCGTCAGCACCGCCGGCGTCTCCGTCGTCCCCGTCGTCCAGCCCTTCCCCAGTCCTACCGGCCAACACGTCCCTGTACGCACGGCAGCTCCTCAGCAACCCGCCGGCGTCACACAGCGCGGCCATCGAAAGCGCCATCTCGAAGCTTCAGCTCCTGGCGCACATTGAAGGCGGCTACTTTGCCGAGACGGACCGGGACGCGCTGCTGGTGCCCAACCCGTTCCAGCACCTGCCGGCGCTGGCGAACCCGACCGCGACCGACGACTCGCCGACCCGCCACGCCAGCACGACCATCTTCTACCTGCTGGCGCCGCGCAGCCCCGTGGGCTACTTCCACCGCAACCGCGGCCGGACCGTGCACACGCTGCACCGCGGGCGCGGCGTCTACGTTCTGCTGCACATGGACCGCCGCGACGCGCGCACGGGCAAGGTGCCGGTCGAGACGTTCGTCGTCGGCCACGATCTCGACAAGGGCGAGAAGCTGCAGTGGATCGTCGAGGGGGGCAAATTCAAGGCGAGTTTTTTGATCCCCGACTCCGACTCCGACACAAACACCCCCGCCACTGATACGGATGTGGACGGTCAACCTGGCAGTGCAGCCGGCTTGCTCATCAGCGAAACCGTCGTGCCGGGCTTCGAGTATGCCGATCACGATTTCTTGACCGCCGAAACCATGCGTGATGCTTTGGACCCGGCCCAGCTCCACGAGCTGAAGTGGTTGTTGAAGAGGGACGAGCAGAAACGCTTGGATGCGCTGTGACACCTCGCTGCACTGCACTGCCAGTGGTAGTGGTAGTGGTAGTTGTCCATGGTATAGTGCGGTGCCCTCCTGGCCAGCGGCACTCGTGCATGGCTGTGTGGCTGTATGGCTGTTTGCCGGCGCATGGACAGATACGCAACGCACGCAGCTGATCTCTCTGTAACATCGACCATTGAGTATCCGAGTTGACCCATATCAAAAGCAATGCAGGGTGTCATGTGCCATACCATACTCTTGTTGAAGGTTAGAGAGGCCGTAGTATTTAATGTATCCTTCTCGCCAACGCCGCAATCTACGCCCGCAACTGCAACTCAAACCTGCCTTCCAACTTGCCGTCCAAAGACGCCGGCGAGATCGTAACCCCAGGCCTGCTCCAAGCTCACTCTCAATCTCATAGCGCCCATGTATCGCAGCCATCCGACTCATAGCTCCATCCAAAACCACAGCATACCGAATTCTCCCTTGGACTTGATAAAAGCCGGGCACCATCGCTCCATGATACCCCCGGCCAGTGCAAGGAAATCCGCAGCCTTTTTGACCTGCAGCAGGTTCTGAACCTGCCGACCCTATGTTAGCTATCAATAGTGAGCTGCAAGGGATAATGAGGAATCTCACTTGGATAGTAGTATTTGCATCTTTGGGTGTGATGCCAGTACTGTCAGTACCGGCATCGACTGGGACGATGAAACCGGCATCTTGTTTGGTGATTCGAGGAGCGAACGTCGAGTGAGAGTGTCCGGTTAGTATGCTGGGGATACCTTCTGCAATAATGCCCAAACAATTCCCACCGCACCGCTCGCAGTCATTCGCGGTCGAGGCTTCATCATAACAACTCGAGCTCGCCCCTCTCGACGCCGCCCCTGACATCCCGCCACCTGACCAGCCAGACCTCTCCGTGCCTCATCCTCAACTCGACGGTGGCGGGCTCCCGCTCCCACTCTCCGGTTTCAGACCCGGCGGTCGGGGCGAGGTCGACGTCGCGTTCATTGCTCCACACGCCGTCAACCAGACACCGCACGACCACGGCGATGGCCGCATCCGGCGGCTCGAGCATGGGAACACCGCCCGTCGCGTCGTCCAGCCGCCTCAACGCCGGCGGGAACGCACTGAGGAAGCTGGAGCTGTAGAAGTCGGACAGCAGGGCCTGGTGGGCGCGCAGAAACTGTGTCTCGGCAGCGCTCAGGTAGTGCGTCGACATCGATCCTGCCGCGCCGGCGTCCTGCCGTTGTGCTTGTAGTCGTAGTTGCGCGAGATACCAGCCGGCGTGCTTGGTGAGCTTGGCCAGGCGCTGGCGCAGGAAACTCCGCACCAAGAACTGCGTGCGTGACAAGTCGGTCTGGAGGATCGAGAGGATCAGGTTGGTGTTCTGCGTGCCGCTCGGTGCTTTGTGGCTGTGAGGGCGAGGATGAGGGTGCCCGTAGCCGTTGTTCAGGGCGTGGGACGCCGGTGCCCCAGTACCACTGTCGCCGCCGCCGCTCGAAGCCAGGTCTTCGATCCTTGATACCTGGCTCTGTACGCGCGCCATCACCCGGTTCATCAGGTCGCACGGGTACGGCAGTAGATCAGGCGCGCATCGCTCACACGTCCACGCGCGCGTCAGAAGTTGGTGGTCAGTGAAGGCATCCGTGTCGGAGAAAGCGTCGGCCTGGCCCCTGGACCCCGCGTCAGGAGGCCGCGACACCTCGGCGAGGATGTCTGCGATGTCCATGTCCATGTCCATGTTTGGTCGCGGTCACGGTCACGGTCTTGGTCCCCAACCGGACAGTCAGAACAAGATGGGTGGACGCCCAATGACCCGGCTCGACCTGAAGCCGAAGGGAGGCGCCCAGTGAAGAGGGAGTGAGGCCGGCGGCGGGAGAAGATGTGTGGCCAATATACGGAGTATGCCTTCGCCGGTCGAGACTGGAGGATGATGCACTGATGCACTGATGCACGGATGGGCCGAGAAGAGACAACAACGTAGGCTCGTCCCCAACGTCTTCCGCCTACTCGTGAACGTCCTCAATTAGTGTAGGCGAGGAAGTCTAGACCGTCGTGTGCAGTTGCAGGAACTCGACTCGGGCACGCGAGGTGCAGCGGAAAGGGGCGCCGCACTCTTGGCATCACCATTACCAGGTATTGTCGTGTGTGAATGTCTCAGCCTCGCCGATATGTGTACGGAGAATCATCCCCCGTCCGAATCTTACGACGACGGCCACGACGGCCACGACCAGACTACAACTACGACTACATTCCCCGATGTGAGCAATGACCAAGGACCAGAGGAATGACCAAGGACCATAAACGTAGATAGTGGACCCTAGACAGAGACCGTAGACAGCAGCTACATGTAGGCAACTCGGATCTGGTTTCCCTACGGCTCGTGCTGAATCAAGTATCCGGTCCATCTCAGAGCGGCTTGCTCGACCGTCCTGGTATCAGGTCGCCTCCATGTACATTCACCCAAATGCCTGCTATACCCTCCCAGTACGCCATGCTAGTGCGTCCATGACCTGGTTCGTGACCTGGCCGTGACCGGTCCCCAAGCGCTAAATCCATGTGTCGTCGAAACCGGTTCTTCATCATGATGTCGTCCCATCGCAGCATGCCCCCATCAAGCTAGGTACTGGTAGGAAGGCTTAGCTGGATCAGGTCCTCTCTCCAGATACTCCCGATCAATCAACGCCTCAATCTTCTTCTTGATCATGTTCACGTCGGGGAGGAATCGGGCGGACAACTGTTGCAAGGTCTCGCTCATCAACTGCGAGTGCGACAGTGTCTTGCGTGATTTCATGATGCGTACAATGGCCGCTTCAATGACATGGCCACGCTCGTCGTCCGTCCGTTTCTGGGTGGCCCGACGTTCTTCGCTGTTTTCGATCCGGTTGGCCCCCCCAGCCACCACACTGACCTTGATCTTGAGGAACTGACTGGAAAAGTCTTCGTTGAAGTGGAATTTGTCCGAGAGCTTGATGTCCTTGCTCATCGGGTCCTTCTTCAGCATCTTCCATTTCGAAACCAGCGACAGCGATTGCAGATTTCGGACCAGATCGCTTCGGGGGATGTTGGTTTCGGCGGCAATTTGATCGAACGTGAGACTCTCCCCCGGCGCCAGATCGTTGAAAAGCATGAGAATCACCATTCCATACGTAGACACGTTGATTTCATAGCGTCGGGTTTTCCCATTCACCGTGAACGTCGCTCTCAAGTCGGCATCCCCGAGGCTGGGCATCCACGTCAACTTGCGGCCGGTGTGCTTGTCCAAGTAGAATTTCTGGAATCTCTGTCGAATGCGCTCCACCGGTGCCGGGAACTTGCATTCTCGTCTGGACTCGTCGTCTTGGTCGGTTCGGAACAAGGTTTCGAACGGCCAGACCGTCGTGGTCAAGACTCGGCAATCCAAGTCGATCCGCTTGGGATCGGGGTCGCCGAGGCGGTCGACATATTCCTTGTACTGAGTGCTCAGATTGTCCGACAGCTCGGTGTCTCGGATGAGACCTTCCAATTTCTGGGTGAACTGACTGCCGATCTTCATCTTCATCTTGGAGAGCATCTGTCGTTCCATTTCGCGGCTGACCGACTTCTTCATCAGTAGCCGCTTGGCCATATGCTTCTTGTAATATGTCTCAAAGAGATCTTTGTTCGCCAGGTATTGGAGCAAGAGGATGCCGTGGTCGAGGAGAGCATCCACTTCCGCGTCGGTCTTATCCCTGCCGCCACGCTTGAGATATTCATCCAAGAAGAGCGACAGATACTCCGGGCTTCGGTCGTTGGCGTTGATGAAATCCTGAAAAGAGATCTCCAGGGCCTTTTCCATCACCGCATCCCTCTGGAAGGCCTCGACCCAAACCCGGTCGAACTTGCCTTTCAACGCCAGGATTTGCTCCACCCATGTGATGGCAGCCTGAGTCTGCTGGCTCAGGGTCTTCTCCGGCGCGGCCTTTCCGTCGGCGGCGGGCCGGGGCGCCGTTCTCGGCGGCGGTGGAGCGTCGCTGATGACACTGGCGGCTTTGTTGATCTCCGCGCCCAGCTCAATAACCCGTTTCTGGACGGCTTGTTTGAGTGCCACTTTGGTGTGGTCGACCCGAGCCAGGAGGTCAAAGACATTGGCGAGATCGGAGATTTTGTCGTTGTCCAGCATGGACTTGACCCCCGTCCCTTCCATGTCGATCACGTCGCGGATGTGGGTTGCTATCAACTCCTTTTCCACCACGTGCTTGATCTTGACGTCCGTGATCGAAGATATGGTTTGTTGGCATCTCTCACCTTCCTCGACCAGTCTTCTCCTCGCATGGGTGCAAAATGTACTCGCGTCCGCCGCGGCCAGAAGTGCCCGACCTTCATCCGCGTAGAACCTGCGGCTCATGTCGAGGAATTGGGGTTCGAAGGAAGTCAAGTACAGCTTGGTCGATTCGTCTTCCGTGAAGTTTTCGTACAGGCCCTCCAGCATGTAGCAACAGGCCCGAACCAGGGGACGGTCGATGACTTCACCATTCCGCTCCATCTTGATCATGTCAAGAATGACGCTTTCGAGGAGCGACAGGACATCAAATCTAGGGTCATCGGTGAGCGGAGTTCGGAGGACCTGTGCTCGGAATAACGCCATGGCGGTCGCGAATATGGAAGGCCGCCTTTGATCTTGGCTGTTGACGCGGTCCTGGGCCTATAAGCATCGCATCAGAGGGCCGCGATTTGGAAGGGGGGACGTACCATATACATGAGTACATCGGTGATCATGCCCATGGACAGTTGGTGGTCGGCAAAAGCATCTGTGATCGCTCTGATGAATCGTTCGCCGGCGATCCTCCGCTCGTTCGATTGCGCCCCGGGGGTTTGTTCCAGACTGCCCACGGTCATGGTGGGTGTGATCAGCGACAGTATCCTTGGCCGGACATGGTCCCGCAGCCACGACTCCTCCAGTTGCACGACTCGATCGTACAGCAGGTCTTGCTTCTTCTTTAGCACCAGCTTGTATGCACCCCGGAAGAGCTCTTCAAACGATAACTTCGAGGCATTCTTGCCGTGGATTTCCAGAAACGCCGTGGACAGCGTGGTCCATATGGAGTCGAAGTCGACGTCGTCTTTGGTGAGTCCCTGTGGCAAGGGCCGTCAGCGAGGCCGTGAGGTGCAGGTACACGAGGCGGCAAGGCTGTTTGGGTGCTCGGGATCTGTGCTTGGAACGACTTACCCTTCTAGGGGCCCTTATCTTTCCTCCCCTCCCCTTTGCCAACATCGTGGGCACAGCGGGCTGCTCGTGGCGGACACGCTTTCAGAATCACTCGATGAGTCGTGGAGAAGGCGGGGTCCTGAGACGGCGGCTGGAGATGGTAGAACTCGGCGCAAAGAAAAAAGACTCGACCATGGGGCATGAGACAAGACCGCGTCGGTGGCCTCGGTCAAGAAACTGCCCAGAAGCAACGCCCAAAGAAGTCGTTCAACACCGTCTTCGCTGCCTCACTGCATCTTGTGGGTGCGGTTCACATTCGGCAAAGCTGCCTCCTGCAAGACTGGGGATACGGGAGTAACTGGCGACTGTTACAGTTGGCGGTTAAGTACTAGGTAGTTAATTAGTGGCCGAAGCCCAGACAAAATCAGTTTAGTACCCAGCTAGGAGTACCAGTCACGTGCATCGGCTGCCCGAGGCGGCGAGTTGTGACCGCGAGAGAATGATTAGACATCGAAAGGACTCGGTCGGTGTTGTTGTTCGCATACACACCCTTCTCACACCTGACAGCCGCTGGAATCATGCAGTCACTATCGCCCAGGCTCATTTCGCATCGGTCTTTGACGGCAACGTTGCGGAGGCAGGTCCGCCTGCACTCTTCGCTGTCAAGGACACCCTTCGCGGCTCGATGCCATCACTCCCCACGACCCTCTTTCACCCCCTTCAGACGGTACGAGTCTTCTCTGACGGTGCCGGAAACCACTCCTCGAAAGCCGGTATCGGAAGACCAGCCTTCCTACCAGTTGAGCTTCACGTGCAAACCTTGCCTGTACCGCTCTTCGCACAGAGTTACCAAGCACGGCTATCACCACGGCACGGTGCTGATCACCTGTCCTTCCTGCAAAGCTCGTCACGTCATCGCCGACCACCTCAAGGTATTTCTGGACTCGCGGCAGACACTAGAGGACATCTTGAGGGAAAAGGCCGAGAAGGGCGAGGATTTCACCAAGTTGCTGAAAAAAGGACAACTGGGTATCCGACCAGGCTCTGTGGTCGGAAATGAGGGGGAAGAAGATATCGAATTTTGGGAAGACGGCACTGAGACTGTCCACACACCTCTGGATGGAGGAAAAGCCAGTCCGCAAGGATCTGATGCCAGTTGAACGATGAGCGACGATGCAGTTCGCAAGGAATCAACGCCGGAGCTCTCCATACCACAACACTGCCGACCGGTTGCAGCAAATGTCGTACCGGATGTTAGTCGAGTGGAAGCTACAGTGCTCCTCCGTCCAGCAGAGCACAGGCACTCGCGATCTTCAGCCGATGTTCTCGAGCACATTACGCGGCGCCGGTCGTCGTCGACAGTCGAATCTCCACTCAGCCTACGAATACCGCTCCGGCAAAGTCAAGCAAAGTCATGCAAAATCTAGGATCTCACTGGAATGCTGGTCGTCGGCCTGATGAAGGCTGGTGTGCTACCCCTGAAGATGTGAGTGGGGCCGCCTGTATAGCCTTACCCTTGGGCCCGAGTCGTGTTTGCGGCTTGTAACTTCTGTTGGACACCAACGGGGACCGGCCTTGTACAAGAGTCCCGAACGGATCCTTAAGGAACGTGCATTCATTGAAATATCTGCCCGACAGTGAAAGTGCACCCCTGTATATTATGTATAGATATCACGCAGCGAAGAAGTCAATTTATCGGTACTGCAAACCATTTTCGCGGTCCCTCCTGACGGGATAGTCAGTCTTGGCCGCATTATACGCTTGCAGGCTCCAAAGTCATTCGGACTTGGTCACGGGTCTGGTTTTTGGTTGTATCACACATGACTGGGGCCGAGAAGAGTCGTCTTCCTCAGTTTTAATGTCCATTTGGGACACTCTCCTTGATTAAATAGACCCTTGCTTCCCATGGACTTAGGTATCTTCCCGGCTCGTCGACGTTGCTGACCATCAACTCCTTGTACGCGTGGTCTAGACCAGTAGGATAGTGCAGAGGTTGCACCTCGTCGGAGAAGCTCAGGAAGACGAGGATCTTCAGCCCGCCGTCGGGATGCGTCTTGGTGAAGGTGAACACATCCTGGTCGAAGTAATCCCAGACAGTAAAGTCCTGTCCGAAGACCATGAGGTCGGCATGGTCGCGGCGCAAGCGGATCATCTTCTTCCAGAAGTTCAGCGGCGAACGGGGGTCCAGGAGCTGGGCGGCAGCGTTGACATGCTTAAAATCATCGTGAACCCGGATCCAGGGGGTGCCCGTGGTGAAGCCGGCGTTGGGCGACGAGTCCCATTGCACGGGCAAGCGGGCGTTATCGCGGCCGACCAGCTGGAGGCCTTGCATGGCCTTCTTCAACCACAGCGGATCGCCGTTGTGGCGGGCCGCGACGTCGCCGTACGCGTTCAGCGAGTCGACGTCGCGCAGCTCCTCGACGCCCCAGTGCGTCGGGTGGTTGTACATGCCGATCTCCTGGCCCTGGTAGAGGAACAGGGTGCCGGTCAGGCAGCACATCAGGACGGCAAGCATCTTGGCCGCCTGCTCGCGGAACTCAGCCTTGTCCGTCGCGAACCGTGACAGGCTGCGGGCCTGGTCGTGGTTCTCGAGAAACACCGTCGTCCAGGCGTCCGTGCCGCGAATCAAGTCCTGCACCTTGCGAATGGCCTCCTTAAACTCCGGCAGGGTGTGCCGCGTGGTGTGGTGTTTCTTCCCGCCTGCCTGCTTGTGGGTGCCCAGGTCCACGATGTCAAAGTCGAACACGCAACTGAGCTCCCGCGCCTCGGCAGACACGTACCGCAACACTTCGGCTGCTTCAGTATCCGGCAGCTCCCCGACCATCAGCACATCACCGTACTTGTCAAGCACTTGCTGGCGTTGCTCCTTCAGCCATTCGTGCACGCGCGGCCCGTTGGTGAAGTACTGGAACGCAGGCTGAAACTCTTCCCCAGGAAGGCGAACAGGTGCATCGGGAAACGAAATGTCCTTGGAATACATATTCGCCGTATCCACCCGGAACCCGTCGATCCCTTTATCAAGCCAGAATTCAATGGCTGACTTGTAGATCCCGCGTCGAGTTTCTTCGTTCTCCCAGTTGAGGTCCGGTTGTTCTCGGGCGAACAGGTGAAGGTAATACTGGTCACGCTCCCGACAATATTCCCAGGCGCTTCCCCCGAAGATGGAACTCCAATTGTTGGGTGGACGGCGCTGTCCATCAACCACCCGGGGGTCTCGCCAGACATACCAATCGGCGTACTTGTTGGCTGTGCCCTTGCGGGATTCGGAAAACCAGGCATGCTGGTCGCTCGTATGGTTCACCACCAAGTCCAGAATAAGCTTCATTCCTCGCCCATGGCATTCCTTGATCAGGCGGTCCATATCGTCAAGAGTACCATAGGGAGGGTAAACAGCTTCATAGTTGGATATGTCATAGCCCATGTCCCTCTGAGGCGAGTCATACATTGGGGACAGCCATATCGTTTCGATTCCGAGATCCTTCAGATATGGTATGGTGCTGATGATGCCAGGTATGTCGCCAATGCCGTCGCCGTCGCTATCTTTGTACGAAGCGGGCCATATCTGGTAGCATGCGCTGGCTTTCCACCAGTCCGGCTGCGGAGCGGACATTGACGTTTGGAGGGCCCAACAGAGTGCAACTCAATAACTGGCGAAAGGAGGGAAGGGGCTGCGTGAGGTACGGACGAGACTTGGAGGGGGGGAAAGATGCAGCACAAAGGAAACAGAGACGACCACAGAGTCAATCCATGGGTCGGAGGGGGTCATGCTTGATTACCTACCTGACCTGAGCTGGTACATAGCCATACAGAGTTTGCCGTTCTGTTCTCGGTGGCTTCGTCGATGAGAACCAAGGTGTGGTGGTGAGTGGTGAAGGATACAGTGAAGTAAATAGTTTCGGCGAGAATTTGTCCGCAGTCGCCGGATCAAAGATAATCCTTCCCGAGACGCCGACAGGCGGTCTGAGGTTGTCACATCAATTGCCGCACTGCCGTACTGCCGCACTGCCTGCCGCACGGTAGTTGGCGATTACAAGACGACTTTGTTGATTAGTAGGTCGGCAGAGAGCGCTGCTCGTGGCTACATCTCTCACAACCAAGTCTTGCGGCGACAGCGGCCTTGGTAGCGCAGTATCGCAAGCATCTCATGATGGACATCTATTCTTATTATCTATGCGGAAGCGATGTAGAGGTTGATTTGCTCACGATGACCAGGAAATCCACTCCGATGAGTAAAATTCAAGACGGTGTTCGTTACTAATGAAAATGGGTTGATCCGTGGTCCCGACGCTTATATCAATGGTGTCTGAGGCAGTGCGGAGTTGCAGGGTTTAGCGAGCTCCCCATGGGCCCCATGTTCAATTTGGTGCTGCCCGGCATCCTAGAGCGTATGGCGCACCTAACCAAGCAAGGAAGGACAGAGAGCATCGTGCTATCTAGTAGTAGTGGTGGTGAGCGGTGCTCAACTTGCCAAGTAGCCTGGCACCTTGCCCGGAAACCATGGATGGCATGCATGTACTCTGTAGACTGTCCCAGTGTCCGCCGACTGCAACCACTATCTTGACATGCCTAAGCCTTTCTCTTTTTGAGGAATACGTCAAGTACATCTGCAGATCGATGGCCTGTGAGAGGAGAAGCTTGGGGTTGCCGTCCTACTGTTGTAGGTTATCCGTAGACCTGGAAGGATGCCACGATATCGAGTCAGTCTCTGTATGGGTTTGGTACTTCTTGTTCCTGGACGATCGGAGCTAGAGAGCACAGCCCCACGGGTTGCTAAAGAGTCAGGGCCCTGGCCACCTCAGTCCTGGACACTCAAGCTTGAGCGGACGCGGGAAGCGAAGAACAATACTCATCAATCGAGCATTATCAATTCGTTTCAGCACCAAGAAGTTTACCAGCAGAAGAATCCGCGAATCACCATCTGGCGCAAAAGGACGGTGTGCCGTTGCGGATGGCTCTAAGCAGTGAGTTCAACCAGGCACCTACCAGGCAGGACCCCTGAAATGTTGATCAATACCTGTTTAAGAGCACGTTAACACTAGCTCGGGCTCAGGTCATTTGATTGCACATGCCGAGTTGTGGCAAACAGTGGCTGCCACAGCAGCGAGCAAGCGCACACGATTGACGATAGATAGTAGATACCATGCACCAGTTTTGGACGAATTTCACTCCAGATAGCCAACGGAACCAGCGGCAGCCGATCAGTGCCTCTTTTGAATTGGGCCGACATCGTCAAGATTTGGCCTTGCTTCAAGAACAGAATCAAACCGAGAGTTGACCGTTCCTCCGAAGATTTCTTCACATGTGCCGCTCTTGGAAGGCGACTTTGATACTCGTTCTTTCAGCTGGATGCCGGGAGTAGCGATCGACGGTAGAGGTTGTGTGATTCACTGAAAATGGCGGTACCCTAGGCGCGGTCCCGACCTTCACCAACGGCGGGCCGCAAAGACAAAAAGGCAACCTCGGGGAATACCAAGTAAATACATAGGTATCAAAGGGTTTGTGCACTGGTCAGCCCTTTGAGCCTTGCCATGCCGTGTACGAAGTACATTGACGCGGTGAGCAGGGGTGCTGCTCGACTATTGAAACGGCATCCTGCAATTGTCCCTTGCTGTGATATGCATAAGTCTCAAACGGGCAACAGCACGGCGCGGGGTTTTGAGCGCGCATCTTTACGGATTCCACGGAAGAGATGAGGGCCACTGTACGTACTGCATGGCTGGGAGGGGTGGAACGCAGGCTGGTGAAAGGCTCAGAGCTGGTGTCAGCTGTGCATTAGTTTATTGCGCGATTCCTAGTGCTCTGGAGTCTGGCGGCGCTCTCGAGTATCTGCTCGGGACGCCGTATGTGTACTATCTTGCCGACTGTCCGAGGCAGCATCCTGGTCGTGCTGAACTCGAACCGCGTATCGAAGCCTAAGAAGCCCGCCCAGAGCTGGTGTGGGGATTATGCAGGACTGGACGCCATGCCCGAAGCGGCCTGGCGCAGGTGCGGAAGCTGTCAAATCAAGCCGCCCGAAGGGCTGCGGCGCCCCCACATAGACGAACTCTATTTTGTCTTCACCCTCATCTAAAATCCTTCACTAGCGATGAACCGCTCCACCTCTTCCGCGAGACAGGTGGCTTGCCGAGCACTTTGGCAGTCAAGTGCTCGAGGACTGGGCGACGTCCCAGTTCGAGCTTGAGTCGAAGATAACGAATTCTCGTCGCTTTCCGCACCCAAGAGACGGCGGATGCGGGTGGTATTTCTTGTAACTGCCATCCTCTTTCCCCGCCTTTGTCCTCGACCGACGACCAGAGAGGTGTCCGACTCCACCAACGACAGCTGCGACGCCACCGTGTAAAGGGTGCGAGCAGTGTGACACACCGAGGCGGCATCACTTGAGCGCAGGCGCGCTCGGCAGGCACTGTACGCATCATCGAACCCAAGCCTCGCCAGGGAAACATCCGTGAGGTGATGGAGGCTCGAGGCCAGCATCTACCTCAAGACAAAAGCCACAAACTGCAGGGAAATCTCGGTTGGGAGTCGTCTCCGCCCTGGGCGTCAATACATGCGTGATGTTGTTAGGTTTGTGATTTGTCCTTGGATCTTGGATACGGCGTCCCTTGCAGGGGTTGTCCTCTCGAACTATCTCGATCCAAGATCTTTGGTCTCGAAGAGTTTAGGCTCCCCACATAGAGTTACCTGACGGCGGGACAGACCTTGACTACCAGCCAACTCAGCGCTCTCTCTAGAAATCTTCGGATGCTATCCGAACTTTTTGTCCCGCCAACCCCTCGCTTTCCACCCAACAACGCCCTGTGCTCTGCACCTCAGAGATTTTGCCGCACACATTACGTTTACACTTGCCCAACATACGATTTGAACATCAGTGGCGTGTGGCAGCGCACACCCTATGTCCATGCATTGGCCGGACACGCCACCCGGTCGCGACTGAGAGCACTAGAAAGTAAAGATAATACGACTACAACGAAAACATTGTGTCCTAGCACGAGATTCTCTGGACCGCCTAAAGCAAGATCGGCGTGGGAAAAGTGCAGGTATAGACTACGTACTCACACACCTGAGTGCATATGGCTGCACCATCCGCTCTAGGTTTTTGCCAGGCGACGCCGACTCAGGTCCCATGACTCTACTATCATTGCACACACTGGATCCGTAATCCTGGTTGAGGCTCATCTCTGGGGTGCAGAATCATACCTTGCTGGGACTTGTTCGGCAAGCAGGGATGGTAAACGCCAACAGGGTATCAGATCGAGCGAGTGATCTCGGCGTCTGCGAACATGCGACTTCCGCCTTCCTTTTCTGGGACATTTTCATTCATGTCGCGCAAACCTGACCAAAGTGGTCTTGCGGTGGTGCACTACTGCAAAACCAACTCGAGTAGTTTGGCGCCTTGCAGGCAAGGCCGAGTGACGTGAACGCGCAGCTGCAATGGAAGAAAGGCGCTGTAGCATGCATGTTGAAAACTCCGCTAACTCATGGCAAACAGCAGGCGAAGCATGGCTGCGCGCCCCAGTACAATCGTCCATGTCCGCATGCGCGTGTTGCATTGCATTGTTCTGATCCAGGTTAACTCCAAGCTGGGTCAACGGATGTGGCGCGCAAAGGCTAGTCGCGGCCCAGGCCTGGTCGCCGCATAACGCCATCAGACGACTGTGGGTTGGAGGCGGCCCAGAGCAGTAACATACTCCTGCACCCTGTACATACTGTGACCCGATTCTGTACTGTCCGGTCCAGTCTTGGGTGGACTTCGGCCACTTCGAGTTCTCGACCGACTCCCACGACTCAACGCGTTAGACTGTACCCATCCCAATCAGACTTCGATGCGAGCAGGCTGGGTCGAGACTGCAAGTTCAGCCACCGACCTTGAGGTCTGGACATGATGTCGGATAGGGTCTCTATCAATTTGGAAGGAGTCCGAAGCCTAAAGTGGTTGTCGCCCTCGTGCAAGGATTCGACTGGTTTTACAGAAACGGTACGGCCACAGCCTTCCGTGTTGGCAAAGGCCAAATGATCCACCAGCCACATCCGAAGAAATCCAGGGATTGAACTGATCAGCCATATTGCTTCCCCAATACAGCTACGGTTACGCGTCGGCTAGCGAGGGGACCCTGCCGTTGAGGCCGCGATCGTCACTGACAATGGTTGTCCTTGCCTGCGCGCTGAAGATTCTCGCTGTCTCCCTCTGAAGATTGCGCCCCTATTCGCCGTCCGTGCCAGTTGGCAATTTACCCGCGACGGCCTACCCTTCAGCAAAGACCAGAAGGTGCTCCTTGAAACTGGCAGGTGCTGTCGGCCGTCGAACTTTGCCAAATTCATGTGGCAGGGGGTCGAAAACGGGCACCTGGCCTTGCAGACGCAGGCACAAACACTTTGGCCTCCACTCCTCCCAATGGCCCCAGATTGACCAACCAGGGGCCCACCACACGTACCTAGTATGCAGCCACCAGCTCGAGCGGTCTCTGGCCCTAAACCCATATTAGGGCGTTCCCTGTATCCAATGCGGTTGGTAGGAGAGCCTGGACAGTAGTGGATGCCTACGCCACCGCAGTATCTTCGAGCCGACTCAGCTTACTCGAATATCCAGCTGGGTTTTGTGTGAGGGTAGGCCGGACAACACACTTTCTCGCCATTTCTCTACGTGTTACGGCCACCCCGCCTCCAGCGATTAGCGATTCCCTTTTCAAGTCGGAGGGCTGGAGGGGAACATTGAATGAGGCATGGTTGCCGATATCGATGCTGTCATGTGGACATCGCCTGGCGTCTCGATCGGTTTACGTCCTGACCGAGACGATATGGGAGGCTCCATAAGGTGCTTGGACATCTTTCATGTCTCTGTTTTGTCTTTGCGATGCCACTTGCTACTGTCACCGCTCTGTCAACTTTGTCCAACACTCCCTGTGCCTGCAGTAGTAGTACTCCTGCAGTTGGACAAAGCGTTCCTCCACAGGACATTTGGTGATTGGCAGACAGCCGTCTCTCTCACCGAAGGACAGACGTGAGTCGCGCGGGTCCGCCACTATCTCAAGTGAATATCTATCCCAGAGTCTGCCCTTCTTGCCATCGAGTCCCCATTCTTCATCTCAATCACCTGCATCTCATTTGCACAAGACGATCGTTCATCAGACATGGAGCATTACAACCAAGCTGCCGCCAGGCCTTATGCCACTCACAACACCCCTGTCCCTTCTCAGACGAGGCTGGATGTCACACAGCAGGAGCAACAGCTTCCGTCTATCCGCGAGGTAATGCTGGACTCACGGTGTAACGAGACTCCTCGAACTGACTTGGTATGCAAGGTCATCCCCCCACCGCGCCACGACACCATGGAGTCACAGGTTCACGAGATGCCGTCCAACGCCAGACCCATGATGGTGCCGTATCTCAGCTCGCAGCACACGACGAGCATGAACGTGGCATCTATCCCGGCTCCTGTGCAGCCGCAGTCCAGCCCTATGACCTTTCCTGCAGATGGGACAAACCCAATGCAGATGAATGGGCTTGCGCCGCCGCAACCATTGCAGACCCCAGCAAGGACCCCAGCTGAATACAGTTCTCCTTGGTCCTCGTCGTCTACCTACACTGAGGCTGGTGTCCCCATGGCGACGCAACCGGCGCTCTCCACCCAGCCTCAACCTTTCACCGCCATGAGCCAGCCCATGATTCCGTCCGACACGCAAGATAGCGTTTACTCTTCAACATACTCGATGCGAGCAGCAAATGACAGTCCGGATTCATACTCCCGGTGGAGGACCCCTCAAGTCAGCTCCGCCCCGAGATACAACCCGTATCTCATGTCGGAGCGCTCTTACAACCAACCGCTTGACTATGGACGATATGGCCAGTCATTTGATCAATACCGTGCTCCCCTCGGATACGATGGCGGCTACCGGTCCTTGGATACGTCTCCTTATCACATGAAATACAGCCAATTGCTGTCGTATCCCATCATGGGCTATCCTTCGCACGCTAACGGCCGACGACGTCGAGGCAACCTGCCCAAACCCATTACGGACATTCTTCGACGTTGGCTGCAAGAGCACCTGGACCACCCATACCCAAGTGATGAGCAGAAGCAAATTTTTATTCAACGCACCGGGTTGACCATAAGCCAGGTGAGTAGGCGGAATAGTCGCTCCCGGGCAAATTTCGTACTGACCACGTGTGTCTAGATCAGCAACTGGTTCATCAATGCTCGTCGTCGACAGCTTCCAGCGCTCAAGCTGAAACGGGCCAAGTCCATTCAAAGTCGGGCTTGATCCGCCTTCCTCTTTCTTTGTGTCTTACATGGCGTCTAAACAGTGGACGCCCTTATATGCTTCGGGGAATGCTGTGCAATGCAACGACCAGGGATGTTATGATGGAATGGGTTTATGATGGGCGCGAATCTTCTTTCTCCGCGGTGCCTGGCCAGGCAATGTACAGGAAAAATCCCCACGGAAACGGTGTTGGACCAACCAGTGTATATGCCAAACTTCCGCCAATGGTCTACAGGGAGGTCGACGATGATTGATGGATTTTTTATTTACCGAGTCTTCGATTTTATTTCGCGGGACGATGTATCTGTGACATCCTCCGTCCAGAGAGATGGGAGCAACAGTACAGTTACAGGAAACACCGATATGAGGAAAGAACGATGGATGCAAACGGGCTATCTTGAAGGGATGAACGGAAACAACACTTGTACAAATATGATCAGCTTGAGAAGCGCTTGAGAATTGGTAGATAGCCAGAACTATGATGAATTCTACCATACAACGAGATCCGGCCGTGCAGTATGCTCTCGCTGCGGTTGGGGACATGGACACATTCCATTCTTCACACCCAGGTCCACGTAGCGGTACTCTGTATCCGGACTCTGGCATACTCCGTACACTGGTCCAGTTTAAATGATCGAGTGCCCCTGTAAGGGCCCCGCACGCTTACCACTCGCTTATCGCCCTCGTCAAAGATCAACGACGGACAGGGGGCACGAATTGAGAGCAACTCCTCATGCTGTGCGTCGTGGTTGCGCAATCCGCCCCTGGAGTTTCATGTGCGCCTTACGGAGTGCGGTTCCCGCGACTGGGATAATCATCACCACCACCGGGTTGGTGACCGGGGCACTGCGCCGGGATGCTGCACTGGGATGCTGCACTGGGATGCTGCCCTGGGAGCGCGGCGGATTGTCGTTCCGCACTGCCCGTTTCGCCATCCCGATCGGCGTCACCGGTCCCTCGACTCGAGACGACAGTTTGGAGCTTCCGTCCTGGTCCTGGTCTTGGCCCTGATCCTTGTTCAGCTCGAGCACATCTCAGAGTGGACGCTTGATGGAGGCACGATGAAGCACGATGATGTCGACGTGCACGAACCGAAGCCGACCCCTCAGCCTTTCTCCAGTCCAGCGCATCTTATTTCTCTAGACCAAGCTGGACACCGCGTCAGGCTTGTCCTCTTCTGCTATCCGACGTCTGCCCCGTCTCACCAGGGTCCCCGTTTCCAGCCTAGCGTATCTGGCACGAACAGCAGACGAAGGGAAAAAAACTGGATCGCACTAATATACGTAAGACACATGCCCTATACCGCAGTCTATACCTAAACAGCACGGTGGCGGGGTGGCGGCTACTGCTATTCAGCAGACCCTCTAGGTGCCTCGGAGTGGAGGAGGCTGAGGTGCAGAGGCAGCTGTCAACCACTGCGGCTCCAGTACTGTACAACACACACACACACTATACACGGTACAGCCATGGCTGCGACAGCTCATGTGCCATCCGGCCCTGCCGCCAGGGGCACAAGCCTCCCTCCCAACTTGCCTGTGGTTCGTCCTTCGGCGCAGCAAAAGCCAAAATCTGTCGAGACTGCCCCCGTACTGGGCGAGAACAGCTGTCAAGACGCGGGGCTTTGGATCTGGCTACAATACCTACCTGATCCTGATCCTGTTCGGTGGTGTGGGTGGACATTTCTCTGAAGAACTGGCCGCCTTTCCTGCACGTCAAGCTGCCTCTTTGAGGACCACGAACGGAATTTTGAGGATTGTCATCAGCCGGGCTGGTTTAATGTGGGATATTCGGAACCGTACGCTGCTATGCATGGAAAAAGGTAATAGTGGACTGATTGTTCATTGTACGTGAAGACAAGAACGTCGGATGCAGCGAGGCCCAGGCGTTTGGGCAATGTGAGGGAGGGGCTTTGCACCTAAGTTTCTGGCCTTTTTTGATGGGCTTGATGGACGGGAACGGAATGTGCTCGACCATTTGATGTGTGCTTTCTTCAGGGGTCTTTTGAGGCTTTACCAGTTCCTATCGCTGAAGGAGGGACGTGACGGGCCCGGGTCTTTTCTCTCGAGGTCAAACGAGTCAGCTTTCAAGTCAAGGCGGCAGTCAAACAGTCAACCGGTCACGGCAGTCAAATCCACCGCTCACTTCCAACGCAGTTTCACACACCATCGTCTGCTCTGTGAGTCCATGCTTCTGACCTGCCCACCCATCCACCCACACCAAGCAGCACACCACTATTCATCATTATTCTCCATCAACACTAAACAGACAGACAGGAGAAGCGTGTCCTGTCTCTGTCTCTGTCTGATGCCGGCTGTCTTCTGTCTGTCTCGGCCGTCTGAAGACGGGAAATTGCACCCACGAGCGCACTGATCAGCAGTGGTCCTTGCCTCCCAACAGAAACGCGCTTCAAGGGGCTCGGTCCATCGCGTTTGTTGCTTCGTGCACACGGGAGGGAAACGGCCTCAGCCCTGAGCCCTCAGATCTCTCCTGAGGAGCCAAGACGAGGAGGTCATAGCTTTCCAGCTTGAGCTTGTAGCGCAGAGTCACTGCGGCCGTGCTTCCCGTATCCATACTCGTATAGGACTGATACGCAGACCCAGTGGGTGGCGGAGTCTTGTCGACGCGTTGTTTTGGATCTTTTCTCCTGATGAGCATGATTCCTACCACCCGATGGGCTCGCTCTTTTACCTTTCTTGTTCTCGCCACAGGATCCAAATGGGTCGTCCTGGACAGGTCTCGTTCGCTCTGTCGAGATTGCTCGAGTCAACAGGCGAGATTGCAGTTGTGGCGGTCCCTTCTTGTTTGGAGACTTGAATTTGCCAGGCCTTGATCTGCTGCGATGGATGCGATCACAGCATTTCGACCTTTTCCTCAGAGCTCGTGCGCTCAGGCTTGGCTAAAGGTGGGTGCCGATGGGTGGACGTTGGACAGCCGTTGGTGAGTGACTTTGACTTGACCACATTGTTGAGAGAAGAGTCCTGTCTATCGCCCACTCTGACTGCTAACGGCAACTGTCTGCACAGTGAACGGACAGACACTGGAGACGGGACACCTGATCGAAAGACTGTCCGTTCCCAGTGCTGTCTGTCTGTCTGTCTGTCTATCTTTCCCTGTCTGGGTGTCCCAATGTCAAGGCCACGGGTCCCATCACGGGTCGATGATCACAGGTCCCAACTCGCAGTCAAGGCAGATCGTGACTTCACATCAATCAGGCCTTTCAAGATCGTGATCCGTGATGCTCATCATTCTCCATCCTTCAAAATGCAGATCTTGATACCTCTATCAGTATCCATCCTTGACCGTCATTGCACACCTCTGTCCACACCAGCTCGATGACACTTGACTTGATTATTCCCCAGTTGTAATCGTTCTCGCAGGCTCGTTCCCACTTACGTCAACCCACAGTTGAGTGATTTGAGCAGGAGAGAGGATGCACGTCTCTGGATTTTCGGGCCCGGGACTTTATACAGCAGCAGGAGCGACGACAGCAATGGACAACAGTCGGTTGTATATGTGCTTCAACCTCGTGCTTGATTGACCAGGCTATCCGGCGAGTTTCTTGCTTGGAGCCTGAGTCATAGAATGCCGGGCTGATCAACAGCAGCGCTTCGGCCCCCAGCTTGCCTCATGGTTGATTGACTGACCAACTAATGGTTGCACGCTGTTGTTTATGCTGTGCTTTGTGGCCATGACTCATGGTCCGGTCTGATCAGAGATCGTCCTGGCCCATCCAGAATGAAGCTCCATCCTGTATCCTACGCCCACGCTTTTGCCCTCGCTGGAGACTGCGCATTCCGATCGACTGTCGACCAACGGTCAGACCCTGTGCGAGTCAACCGCTAAATGTTGATCCCAACTTGCGTGCTTCCCTATAGCTGCTTTGTGTTTCGGAGATCCGCAGTCTTCAGTGACGGAAAAGTCAAAGTCCTGCCAAAGTCACGGCTCACGTCAAAGTCCAAGGTAAGATGGTCAGACTTGTCAGCTTGGATGCTGTGAAAAGAATGCATGCTGTGGCGGACCTAATCCAAGCCATAGTCGACTTGAAAAGAATGACTCCATGCTCGACTGATCCGCTTAAGCGTGGCTTAATACGGTTCCTAGAGTAAACTGGCAGCCAATTTAATTTGAAGAAACGACCGTCCTGGGCTGGGTTCGGGCATGAACCTTGGACAGGTCGGTCCGACTTCATCTATGAGGCTCTTGCTGTCCGTCAATCAGATACTTGATGGATCTTCTCTGCACATGTCTTGCCAGCCCTTTGTTCGTCTTCCAGCGCATCCATACTGCACAGAACAGGAAGAGCAAGGCGTCACGACGGAACCCAGATGCCACAAATGAAGCCAATGCGGCTGTGGGTGTCGAAAAGGATGCTCTGACTTCCATTGACGACACGATCCAGAGGTCAGGCGCAGCCAAACCTGAAAAATGCCGGCGAGAGCGGGACAGCGTAGAAAGATGTCGACCGGACCAGTTCTCAGCACAGCGCAGCGGAGTGAAAGGACGCCGAGGATGCAGCTGAACAAGATTTAGGACGGTGAAGTCCCTTTGATCTCTTCATGCCAACAGACATGTTCCATGCACGGGGAGCCATGCACGGACTTGGTAAAGAGCTCCTTGCAGAGTAGAGGATTGATTCAGAGATCCTCCCCGGAACGGGCACCCCAACCCCAGCCTTGAATGCTCTGATTGGCTGTGTCATTGGGCAAGGCTGAACCTCGGCTTGGCCCGCAACAACTCGTAGACATCAAACTTCAGACATAAACTGCTCTGCATCTCCCCCAAGTTCAATTGTTCTGCATCAGACGAATGCAACATAGCTTATGGATAGGTCGCTCGCGGCTCTGTTGAGGTCTTTGAAGACCTCACAATACCCTGAAGATGCTGCAAGGTTGGGAGCTTCTGTCTGTGGGCGACGACGTTCTAATCACTCGACAGGTTATTACCCACCGCCACGAACCTTTTGTCGCGACTGTCGAATCCTTTGAATGTTTCCTTGCTGTCTTCGCATCTGCTGTCAACTGATGTCCTGTATCCGAGACCGACCGATCTGGCTCGATGTCGAGCGATCTTCAGCGTTTTCTACACCGCAGTTCTCCGACGGATCGAGGACAAACAGACTGCAAGCCACGAATATTCTCACAGTCATCTGGCCAAAAAAGAATGGATAAGAGCCGTGGTGCAGGGGGCAGACGAAAAGTCCCCCAGATGGAGACATACCTTGCTTCTAGGGGCACTTCTTCTCGCCTGTCAGTCGAGGGATTCCGAAGAGCTGCCGTCCGACCTCCGCAACAAGCTGGAGGCTGCGTTGGTCACCGCATCCAACCTCGCTTTACAACAAAAGGACTCTGAACCCAACTGTGAGCTGGCCGTCGTGTTCGCCCTGAACTATACCTTTCCTACCCTGTCGGACTATCATCGGGCGCAGGTCCATTACGACCTCCTGCTGCCCGTCCTCATAGACGCGGCGTTCTTCTCTCGCGAAGGTCTCGAACAAGGTTATTGGCTGGGGGTTATCGACTACGACGTGCGCCAATCTTCTGAGCAAAAATTCAAATGGCCATCAGACTGTACGTCGTTCCGAAAAGTCACTGAAATCAAATCAAGAAGTCTAGTGTCTGCGCTCGGCGCGCTGTCACGCTTGATTGCCCATTCTGTCGACAATGTACATGATCGGCTGTTGGTGGTCCACAGTACGAACAGGATTGCCGGGTTCGCGAGGAATGTCGCAACATCATGGAGGCAGAACAAATTGTCTGAAATTGATCCAAGGGAGGAGTCTCAGTTTCTGGACCAAGAGACCATCAACAAGACACTGCCGGTCCTTCTCCAGCTTCTCAGAGACACAATGTTTGCCGCTGTCATCGCCCTTCGATCTGTTCTCGGCAGGCTCCTCTGCGATGGGGTGCTTGCGTCCGATGTCAATGCTCCAGGGTTGGCCATGCAAAGCTTACACATATTACGCGACACTTACTTCATAGCCCACCGTTTTGGGTTGACCTCTTCGTCGCAGTACATCTTCGTCAACTTTACAGCCATCGATGTCCTAAGTCGATATCAGGCACAGTCGGAGAATTTTCTGGAGTCGATACGACCTATAGAGCCGGGCCGGATTCCCCAGCATCCTCTCGACAGAATGCATGATTTATTCTTCCTCAACTCCGCCGAACACTTCACACTGACGGTCTCGCCACGTCTGAATCAGGATTTACTCTTCAACGCTGCAGCACCGTACATTGACCCGCAAGGAGATCCACGACTCGCTGAAATTTACGAGGCTGCCCACAGTCTTATCTTGGCCATCCTTGCCGCGCCACAAAACGCGGAGGTGGCAACGAGGAATGTTCCGTTCTACGTCGAAACTTTGCTGCAAAGTTTCCCCAAACCCCTAGCAGCTCGACAATTCAGATTGGCCATCAAGTCAGTCGTCCGCATCGCAGCTCCGCCCTCCCCTATTGCAGTATGTGTGCCTCTCATGCAAGCCATTGTCATGGACTTGCTCAGAGAACGCATGAGTCATGCCTCAGAAGATGTGCTCCCTCCTAGTCCAGACTTCGCAAAGGACAGCCAGCCTCCTTTGTCGGAAAAGACAGTCTTTCTGCTCTCAATCATAGACTGTTTGAGCTTCTTGCCAATTCCATTACTGGAAGAATGGCTTCCACTGACTGCTGAGTTGCTCCACAAAATTCAAGATCCCGGCCAAAGGCAACAATCCCAACAACGACTGTGGGATACCCTTAGTAACGGTGAAATGGACGTGGAGCGGGCCGCTGCTTGTGTTGCTTGGTGGACCTCCAGAGGAGGCCGGGAGCATGTCATGTTTGGAGAGCACCCAGAAGACCAAGAATACACCATGAGTGGTGCCCTTCAGTACGACAGCAAGCTTTGATCCACCAATATCTGCCCAAGACCCTTGGCTTTGTGCTCTTCTTTGACAATGTTCGCTGGGTGTTGCGTGGTCTTTCAGCCCCCGCAAAAGGCTGCATATAAAGCCTTGCGTCGATTTTGCATCACCAACAAAGAATCGCGGCTGCGTGCCGAACAACGTCTGGTGGAGCTGAGTTTCTCACAATGCAGAACGGATTGATGAGGCTAAGAAGATATTAGGTTCTATCACCACTTCGCACAGTTCATCACCAGCCTTCTTCCTTCACAACTCTTCATCCTCCAGTTGGCATTCCCACTGCACCTCCAAAAACATCCTCAGCAGCTCCCCACGCCAACACTGGCCTTCATCTCATCATGGCTTCCCTGCGACGCACCAAGAACTTCGCCAACGATGGCCAAACTCCCATTTTCTTGTACACCATCCTCAAGCAGTTGGATCTCAGATCGATCGACTGGAACCTGGTTGCAAGCAGTCTTGATATCTCCAACGGCCATGCAGCGCGGATGCGATACAGCCGGATGAGAGGGCAATTTGAGGGTCTCTCCAATCAGCCTAAGGCCCCCAAGGCCAGAAAGGAGAAAGATGGCGAAAGCAAAGCCTCCAAGGAGAAAGCGAAGGGCAAACGACTGCTTTTGGAAGAGGAGAATGAACGGCTTGCCAAACAGCGGACCGCGGAGCACAATGGCTCCAAAAAGGCCAGGCTCGAACCATCTCCATATATCGACACCTCTGCAGCCCGTTCCATGATGAACACAGGCCAGCAGTATGTGAGTCCAATGTGGAGTCAGCCAATTGTCAAGCTGGAACCATCGTCTGGATACCCGAGTCTTGCCAACAACAACCCGTCTTGTTCCACTGTCATCAAGAAAGAACCCGACACATCAGCAACGAGTCTCCACAATCCCCGTTCCACCTCGCCTGTGGTCAAGCAAGAGCCAGCGACAATCCCTATGGCCAACCAGGAGGTTTCCGCGGCGGCTCCTAGTGTCGTCAAGAAGGAATCAGATGCGGTCGTGTCACATGGCGCCTTTGCTGCGTTGAATGCGTACAATTCCCCTTCTCCAGCCACAAGCTATCGTTTGTCCAACCTCGCAGGTCCTTATATGAACAGCCTGGACCCATCGCATTACATGAATTCACTTCCACTCGCAATGGTTTCGAACACGACGTCCTCTGCATATCCGATGCCACAGACCACGCCAGGTTACACATATCATCCATTTCTGTATCACAATGCAGGTCCATGGGCACAGTCGATTGCCGACCACAATGTGCCAACCAACCCTATCGCGCCTACAGCCGACAATATGACCCTCAATCCCCTTGCCAATTCATACGAAGAATTGTTGAATCTCCCGTTGTATGTTCGTCAAGCAGGCCCTACTGATGTTCAGCCCCCGGCTTTCCATGACGGTAGCCATGCCCTTGCACAATCGACGGACAACAAGTCGGACTACGCCCTGCATGGCAGCCGCTCTGTCGGAGTGACTGGCCTAGGAACGAACGATCACACTGTCGAAGCGGTCGAAGTCAACCCGGTGGTCAACTCGAATGCCGCAGAATCATTGCCAGATGGGGCCCTTTCCAATCTCTATGATGCATCATCGGCAGCTACCATTGAAATCGAATCTGACGCTGAATGCGAGGTTGAGACGGACGATGTTGGTATGGGGGACGGAGATGGCAGGGACGAGGAGACGGAGCCTGTGGAAGCTTGGTGATGCGTGGAGATGAGATAGAAGATGTTCCGAGATGCATTGACAGACATATCGGCAGGCGGTCAGCATGGATACGAGATTGGTGCGATGGAAAGAGGGTGTGATTTCAGTCAAGGGGGTCTGACGACCAAGGTCGATCTCAGAACACCAGATCACTGGCAGTGGATGTGGTCAGATTTATCGAGCAGCGAGGAAACGTTGTGCCAGGCTTTAGTTTCATGGTCCTACTGTATCAATGAATCACTTTGTCAAAAAGCTCTCTCTCTCTTTGAGGCAGAGGTACCGAGTACGGAGTACTCCGCCGTACGATGCAGCTGCAGCTGCAGCGGCCTTGATCCGCCGGACACAATCATTACTACCTACTATACTGAGTCCTACGCCCCAACGTAATAGGTATACCTATTAGGTAGGCGGGGGCGGGGAACCACCGGAACAGTCATGACGCTCCGGGCTTCCCCTCCTTGTCCTTGTCCCCGTGACCCTCTCAACATCGAGACACACACCTATACAGAGTTACAGGATATGGGCCTCTTGCAGGATTCCAAATCCCTCCTCCTCTCCATTGTTCCGTCGGGTTCGTGGCTGGTCCACAGCATACAGCATACAGCATATAGCATTTAATTGCCCAGCGTTCCGTCTCTCTTCGTTCCGCATCAGATCCTACCTTCTCCTCCGCCTGACTGTCCCACGTCCGCCCATTGACATCCGCGATTCCCGGCGGTCTGTGCTAGACACACTACTACTCTGTCATACTACCAGGCATAAACGACACCGACGACCTACGACCTGCCACCAACCTTGTGAGTTCAGTGATTTGCATCTTTCTCTCGACCCGTCTGGACGCATCGTCGCGCCCCATCCTATCCTTCGACCGCGGATCGAAATGTCCTTTCTTCGCAAGACCTCCGATGCCTATACCCTTTCCGCGGTCTTTCCGACGTACCTAATCCCCTCGGTGCCTTTCCGCCGCAAGTCTCGCCAGTCGAGCACCGATAGCAACAGCTCTGACGATTCCACGACTTCGACTCTCTCCGTTTCCGGTTCGGTGCCCTCATCCTCCTCCAACCCGTTCGTGAGATACCCGACCCCGACACCAATACCTGCTTTATCGGCCTCGTCGGCGATTCTTCCTCCCGACGACAAATTGCTCCACGGGCACAGCTCTCACATCCAATGCGCAAAATGTTCCACGGATTTGTGTCTTACGTCGCAGATCATCAGCAAAGGCTTCACCGGAAGACACGGCAGGGCCTACCTGGTCCAGGGCACCACTAGCCATATACGCACCACAACTTCAGCCCTCCCCAATACCTTCTTGAACAAACCCATACCCCGCAACTTGGTGACGGGCCAGCACATTGTCAGCGACATCAGCTGTGCCATCTGCGGGAGTAACCTGGGCTGGAAATACGTGCAGGCCAGCGAGGAGAGCCAAAAGTACAAAGTGGGCAAATTCATCCTCGAGACTAAGAGGATCCGCACAAACGTCTCTTGGGAGAACGAGGCCGACGACGGGGATCCTGGGCTACAGACATATGATGAAGTTCTGGCCCTCCCACCCCGAGAATTGAAGACGCTTGGTGGAGGAGGAGGCCCGTCGAACATCACCGGCGACGATGATCTGGAATTCGATTCGCAGGACGAAGATGAGTGCGAGGATCTGTTCGCCGGCGTGTGGACCCCCGAACTCGCCGCGACGAGGAGACAGAGGAAGAAACAGCGCCTGTTCGGAAAGCGGCCTGTGGCTGCCTTGATGAACCTAGGCGCCACGAGCAGCGTCGACACCTTGTCGTGACCGGTCACGACCCTCAATTACATTGTCGAGCATCGATCCAGCATGGCGGCCGCCTGGAAACCAAGGCAAGACAAGCCCACCATGACATCCGAGACAGAACGTTGTCAGCGACAAGAACAAGGCCCCCGCGCGACCATCAGACTTGGTCACACACCACCGGTATTGGACCAGTCTTGCACGACTGGCGACCGACACCGACACTAGTAAACCAGCCACACGACTTTTGTTACAGACCCGAATTCGATTCGGGGTTTACGCCCCCATCACGCATTCAACGACGATCCCTTTTTCCCTGGTTTGGTTCCCCTTGATTTGGTTTTTTGGAATACCCACGACCTTGATACCCACATGACTACCGCGGAGGATCGATCCAGCATCCAACATCGACACGGTAGTGGCGACCAATTCAGGCGCCGATCGCATTCTTTTTTCCTTCTGGGCATGTTTGGGCATTTGACACTACAGCATTCAATTGATACCCCCAAGTCATACGATGGACGTTTGAGGGCGCATGGGACTTTGGTCTTGATTCAGCACTTTGTTTTGGTCTTTCACACGACTTTTTGCGCGTGCCGTACTCCGTAATTAGTTTCTGGATCTTGGGGTTTGGACGAGGCTAATGCAACGCACGATGATGGTGGGTGATGGCAGTGACTGGGATCGGGGCTTGGACAGTCTATTAGTCGAGTTGAACCGCCTCCTCACAGAATGCAGAGGAGCATATCAGGGCTGTTACTGTTTCGATGTGCCTTTGGACTATTTTCTTCTCGACAGTGAGGGCGAGAGAAAGGTCCTGCCTAGAGTCAACGACCTCGACGTAGAACATTACATTCTCTTGATGTTTCTCCGGGCTGCTTGCTACCCTGCTGTTCGGGTTCGGGTCATGACTGGTGGCTAGACTTCGACTCCTCGAAGTGGCTGTGGCTCGAGCCTTTGTATTTTGTTTTTTCCTTGTTTTTCAGATACTACTACTACTTGAAAGTGTCCCTCCGGTATCTGCATTTGATTCTGCATCTGCTTCTGCTTCTGCATCTGCATCTGCATCTGCATCTGATTCTGATTCTGATTCTGCCCTCTATCTTGTTCAGTTGAAAAACCAAACCCTCCCCGTGCCCTTATGAGGCTGACGAGTTTCCATGTCCCGTTCTTGAAAATCGAGCTCTAACTCCTCACTCACGTCAAAATGTCCGGCTCTCTTCTCTCTTCTCTCTTCTGGGAAGGGTAAAGCTTCAATGGAATGGGAAAGAAGCCTCCTGCTCAATACAGATGTAGCTATAACTATATAGCTTAGCTTGTTAGGCCTAAGCCCCAAGCGCCGCCTCCGCCTCCGCCCGCAATCATGCCATGGCGGTGTCGTTGGAGTTCTGGAGATGATGGTGATGGTGATGGCCATGCTTGCGCTCGCCAACGGCGGTGGCATTCCCATGGACGTGGACCAGGCCGGCCTTCTTGCCAAACTTGCAACAGGCTTCGTGCCTCCTGAGATTGTCGAGCCGAGGAAACCTCTTCTTACAGCCGAGTCCGTGGAACTTGCATATCATATGCTGATGTTTGGGCCGGTGGGTGGCCATGTGTCTTTTGAAATTCGACCCTTCGCCGTTCAAGTACTGGCCGCAGATGTGGCAGTGCATTTTGTTGCCGTTGTGGCAGCTGGCGACATGCTCGTCGCGCACTTGCTTGTACATGAACGACTTGGTACATCCCGGGTAGGTACACTTGAACGGCCCACCCTGGTCATGGTGCGGGTCACCGGCATGGCTGTTGGTGTTCGACGAAGATGACAACGACGCCGCCGCCGCTGCAGCAGAGGCCAATAGCGGTGCAAGGTGTTTCTTAGAGATGTGGCCCGTCAAAGCTGCTTCCGAGGTGAAATCAGCCGAGTCGCAGCCTTGCCAGCTACATTTGGTCACGCCTTTCATCAAGTGGACTGCTTTCAGATGTTTCTTGAGATCCGTCCCAGTTGCGAAGGATGCGCCGCATACCGTGCCACATGGCATCAGCCATCGGCATGCCAGAGAAGTGCTGGGAGCTAAGACGGCCGATAATAGATCTTTCGTGTCGGCCAAAGCACTGCTCTCGGGCCGGGATGGAGCTGGGGATGCTTGAATCGGTGTAGGCGTAGGTGTGAAATTCAGCGAGCTTGCTGTGGTCGCTGGGAATGTTGAGAACGGATCTTGCTGGTGCGCGGTGGCCGGATGACACCCATACTCGAGTCCAAATGGAGGAAGGGGATACTGCCGGGTTTGCGGCGCCAGCTGTGGGATTCCTGTGCAAATTTGAGCCTGCACAAAGTCGTTCCAGTAGGGAATGGCACTGGGGAAACACTGGTGATGCATTGGCACATCAAGAGGAGGTGCCATCACGTCCGACGACGTGTTGGACAACTCCGAGGCCCGGAAGTTCAGCAGATCGCTCTCGTCGAGTTGCGGGTCGGCCTCGATGAACCCATTCTCGACCCCATTGAATCCACTGTCGCCGAGCAAAGGGACCGAAAAGGACAACCCTAGAGACTTGTCGCGCTCGAACTCGCTCCAATCAATGCAATCAAAGCAAGAAAAATCACATTCATCGCAAGTGTCTTTGCACGGCTGGCCTTCGTCGCACTGCTCGTCCTTGCACTCGTCACAATGGTCGACATGATTCGTAGGTCGCGGATTGAACTTCAGATGCTCCTCTACACAGTCGTCACAGTCATCGACGCAGTCCTCACAGTCCATTAGGCTCGGGGAAGTGTGGAGGGGGGCAAGTTCATCGCAGCAATTCGGGACGGCGTTGTACGATTGCGGGAAATCCAGGCTATCGGTGGCGGCCCCATCATACTTGATGCAACAATTCAGGGCAGCGGCCGGGCGGTGAGAAGGACCTCCTTCCTCCCCGCAACAAACGAATTTGTGAGGTTGAGGGTCGTTGGGGAAGCGGGATGGACTTCGAGAGGCCGTCTGGGTACTTATCGGAGACTTGTATCCATGAGTCCGGTTGACCAGCCTCAACCGGCCAGGAAAGATGTCGACAGGATTGACATAAGGCTGGTGATGGAAGTCGCTGGCAGTCAGGCCCTGAGAAGATGATCGGCCCATGACGATAGCAGTCGGCCTTGTACAGCCACAGCCCTCAGAGGGAAAGAGGAAGATACGACCCTTGCTTTGAACATACGGAAGAGAAACGAGGATCGCTCGAGGCGGGACAAAACAAACCAGTTGGTGACACTACTGGCGGTGGGTGGGAGTCCCGGCTGATGGAAGAATTGACACCCGCACTGCCATGACAGTCCGTGCCAAGCCCGCAGATATGCACCAAACGATATGGGATTAGTGGCGCCGCTTCGGGAAAAGCTCAGTGTTGCCTCTCCGCCTGGCTTATCTTATCTATCCGACTGCCTGGTGCTTGATGCCTGGCAGTGCCTGGTAATTTCATGCGGTCAAGATATATCAATGCCACGGTGTGTGAAACGCGTTGTTATCATTGATATTGATGGGAATGCCTGTGGCCACGTCTTCACCCGGCATGTACCGCAAGCTTAGGCTTTCTTCTTAGTCCCCTGCACCATATCTTCATCATCCAACTCAATGTGCTTCCTCTTCTTTTCATCCATCTCCTCACTCTTCATGCCTTCGTCATATTTGACCAGGACATTCTCGTCATCGTCCAGCAGATCACTCATATTGTCCAGGCCTCTCCATTTAACAATACCGTCCCCGCGAAATTCTGCCACTCGCTGAGTATAAAACATGTGACAGGAGGGTTTAAAGGCTTCTCTGCCTTTTTTGGTGTTGATGTTTTTGATCAAGGGTGGGAAAAGGAGGATCATGTTGCGACCTTCATCCATAATGGGTGACCGACAGAAGGCGCAGGACACTTTGCAGGGCAGGTGGTGGGAGGTGTCTTTGTTCGTCGGATCATACCAGCCTAGATCGTGATGGCCCTTGATGAAGTTGATGTCGGATTTGTGGAAGATGGCTGCCCATTGAAACGGGGCCTGTTCGACCACCCATGTCAGCGCGAGTGGGAGGAGCAGAATTCGCAGCGCAGTGCTGCACTGAGTTACGTACCCCGTGTAATCTCTGGCAGGTAGTGCAATGACAATACTTTGCAGCCAAAGGCTTGTCTCGGCTTAGTTGATACTTGACTTTCCCGCAGTGGCACTCTCCTTCCCATTTCACGGAGAAGTTGTCATCGTTCTCATGGATCTGGTACGGTTCTCGATGTTTCCATTCGTCCTCTTTTTTATTTGTGGTCGCCCCGGCCTGGTACTGGTGAGCTTCCTGCTTGTCTGGCATTGCAACAAAATGTCTCAAGAATGGGTGGAGAGACTGCGAAGGAATGAAGGGTCGAGGCGAAGGTCTGCAGATGGTGTGGACGGTACTGGTAGAATAAGCCCGCGGAGCCAGGTACGCGGTCTGCCGCTCAACTTGTCGTCCAAATTGTATGAGTCGGCAAACGACCAATTGGCTGGTCATGTGAAGGGTGCTGGGGATGATGAGAATCCAAGATATTCAAAGTACAAAAAAACACGTCTAAGGAAGCTGGCTTTTCTCAGGCGCCCCCTCCACTCATTATGAATATGTAATGTCTATCCCAAGAGAGTCACCCGACGTCACGTCACTGTTACGACGGAACCACTCCACGGCCGCGGGCGTCAGAGGCGGAGTTGAGAGGGCAGCGGGCAGCGTTCAATGCCTCGACAACACGCTCGACAATATCCAGCCGCCGAAACAGCAGATGGATGATGCTTTGATTCAGTCCAGTCTGACTGGCAATGACACAATGACAGCATCAGCTTCAAGTGAGCGGTTGTCATGTCCTTTTGCTTGCGGGTGGATGGAATCATTGGAATGCACAAGTCATGTACCTGTCGACTACGTCATTCCTGGGGTTTGGTTCCCGGCCAATCATCATCATCATCACCTCACTCAGCCGCTGCTATGTAGGTGCTATGTAGTATGTATTATGTGGCCTGTCAAATTACAAGGCCCCCGCGACGACAGCAATGAGCTACCAGGTGGATAGAAGGAGGAGTCGTTATCAGATACACTGTGTCTGCTTCAAGTATCCCTCGTTAATGCGATGGACCCAGTGACCCCATGGGGATGGTGCTATTCGATGTTCGCAAATGCGCCCTCGAGCCCCGGAACAGACTCTGCCAAATGAAAGCCTCGCTCAATAGTAGTTCAATGTCCTTCTCGGTCCAGCCCCGCGTAGGCAGCGCTTGTAGAAACATCAGGATTTCTTGAAAGTTCATCTTCATCAATTGCTCCGACCACTTGACCAGAAACGCCGCGCACACGTACAGGTGGAACTGGGAAAACCCGTTCTCCTCTGCCTGTGAATAGCATAATTAGGACCGGGCCGGACATATACAGGAAGGACACTGCTCACCATATATGTGTCCCACATCCGTATCACGTTTTTGATACTCAACTCCCGCATCAGCAGGCAGTTCATCCAGCGAAAGCTGAATTGCATATATTCCACATGTTCATTCTCGAAGTGTTTGGCCAGTCCCGAATCGATCCGTGTAGTGAGGTCTCGCAGCGCTGCAACTTGTCGGTGAATGCCCGGTTGGGCCACAATGTAGTTGTCCTGAATCCCATCCAGAAGCTTCGTTAAACACCAGAAGGTGTCCGCTTCCACAGCATCAAGCACCGCCTTCGGGAGTTGCCCCGGGTCCATGCCGCTCTCTATATCCAGGTCCGTGATGTATGTCCCCAGAAAGACTTGCCAGAAAGGGGTGGCAAGATCGTTGATTCCTTGCACATACCCACTAGCAGGGTGTCGAATCGCCCATACGTACAAAATGCGTTCCAGCGACCGCTGTGTACCTTCGTATGCGTACAACGGGATGTGGGGATTTGTCCGGGGCACGTCGATGCTGATCTGATGCCAAACTGCCTCGTCCAACCCCCGACCCCGGCCTGCACTGCCCGGTGGCTGCGACGTAGGCCCGGCTGGACCAGTGTTGGACCCATTACGGTTCGCCATATTGCCGGTGTTGAAGGCTTGACGAACGGCATCCAGGTATTCCTTCCGCTTGCGCTCGAGAGTTACAACTCGGCGCTCACTGTTGGTGGGCAAGTGTCCTAACAGGAGTTGCCAGGTGATCGCGCGTACCTCCTCAGGTACTCCAGACCATGCTGCAGCTCGCAAGTCTGGCAACGAGACTGATGTTGCTTGCAAGATCCGCTTGAATTTGTTGATTCGAGATATCCTCGTGTTGTGAGCTTCGACTTCCTTTGGCGTCGCGTTCGGTGGTAGGGGGGGATGGTTGATGAGGTGCAGAGAGTTTGCTGGATCCTTTAGGATCTCCTTATATTGAGGTCTTAGAATCTTCCCGTCTCCCTTCTTTGTGCTCGGATATGACAGCGGATTTCGTTCTTCGGCAATATCGAAACTACCTGATCTGGCGCGATCCAGTGAGACAGGCGGTGCAAGTGCAGGAGCGGACGGGGTTTGTGAGAGCTTGGGATATGTGACGGCCTGAGATTTGAGTGTTCGGTTCTTGATACTCCGTTTCCGACGCATGCTTGCAATGCTGGGGAGGCCGAACTCGTCCTCGTCTTCTTCGTAGACCAAGTCATCATCGTCCCCATCAATGTCCTCACCGCCTAGCGCATCCCAACTTTCACCCAAAACTGAAGACGTATAGCTAGGGTATGGCTTTCTTTCTGGCGAATGGAAGGATTTCTTTTCGTAGGGAGGGGTCTGCGATGGTCGGTTGGAGGAGCTTGGAGGAGTCCGTGGTCGAGATCCAGACCCCAAAGATCTGCAAAGTCCGTTAGTCAGAGCCTCGCGGTCAATTAGCATCCTACAGTGATTCGAACTTGAGTAGATCAGCATGCGAATAGGATGCACCGATCACTTTGGTCGACTTTCCGGGGACCTGGTGGGAGCTAGAAGAGCGGCTTCGCCAGAATGGTGACGAGGGTCGCCTTCACATAATCAGCATGTTCTTCACCACTGTTTCAACTCGGGCGGCGGTCGTACTCGGAGCCATCTTTAGCGCACTTGGATGTCAGCCAGGCTTCCTGTCGTTCGTAGGGGGATCCGAGGGCGAAAGAGGTACGAACCGACCTGCACCATCTCCTAGAATAGGTAAGCCATTGAGTCCAGATTCCGTGGGCTCGAAGCATTCACCTGCGGCTGAGACCTTTTCCCGCTCATAGTGGCCGAATTCCTGCAGCCAGGGTGGCCAAATGGATCTGCTACTGTGCCTTTCTCCTGATTGCCTTTGCATGGAATGGCGAGAACATGCTTAGGGCGTGCTCGAGACGTGGCGTGAGAGGGTTAGCCCCTTGTTGATTCTCATCCTGAGTGCGGAGGAGAAGTGGCGGGCAGAGTGACATGTACGGAGTATCCGTACGGCCTCCTGTAGCCTTGTCATCTGATGTCACGTGATTAGGGCGTTTACTACTACACATTCATATACACTTCAGAGCATGGAGTACGGAGTACAGAATACGGAGTACTGTTAGCCATCCATGTACATGATGTTCAATATCGCGGCCAGGAAGTGGTTTGGTATTCACAGCCCAATTGATTATGTTCACTTTGCTGGCTTGTTGTAAAAAGCCGGTCTGCAGACCGATATGACATTGTGTTCAAATCCCTCGAGAACCGCCCGTCCCTGAGCGTCTTCGAGGACGACTTAGGAGACCTTTCGCTCATGCAGACAATGGCCCAACGCCACATACGGTCTCTGCTATGTCGTTGCCGTGCCGTTGATGTTCCCTTCACCTTATCATGGGTATCGTCAATCGATGAAAAGGTCCGGAATCCCCAATACCAATCCTTCGGTCACTCCTTTCCGCTTACAGACCAAGCCCAAATGCAGCCTTGAATCTAGTAGCGTATGGTATGCATGCCTCTTCACCGTGCAATAAAGTATGATGCGTGCGGCAGGGCAGTCGGTGCAAAAGTACCCGCCGTTTTGCCGCCACCCTCACCACACTCGTCATCCATCATAGTTCTCTATACTCGGCCTGCCTGACTCTCCGGTTGCGATTTAAATGGCGGTGGGGGTTCACCGGCTGTCTCATGTATGCATTATCCTCCTCGTTGCCAACATGCCGTTGCTGATTCGAGAACTTGCCTCCCGCGGGTCCCGTTGGAGGATAGAAGTTTTGTTGATTCTGCTGCTGTGTGAGAGCCTTGGGCCCGGTGGGAACACCCGTGAAGCCCGCCGGCTGTTGTGGCGGTTTGGGTTGTTGGAAGGGCGGATTTCGGTTCGGTCGACTGTGGTTGCTATTGAAGCCGTTGGGGCCCATGTTGCTACGAGTTTGGTTCGTATTCATGTTCATGTTCATATTGAAGTTGGGCACTTGAGTCTGATTTCCGAAGCCTGTGTTTCCATTGGCCTGGGGGAACATGTTCATGCCGTTCATGCCAGGCATCATATTGTTGAAGTTCGGGTTCATAAAATTCATCCCGTTCATCCCGTTCATCCCATTCATCCCATTCATCCCCATCCCCATCCCCATGGCCACTGGATTCGCCAGCGGGTTCATCATGAATGGGTTGAAGTTAGGCATCATAGGGAAGTTCATGGCATTGCCTGGTAACATCTGAGAGAGATCAGGTGGCATCATGTTGATAGGCAGCACATTGTTACTTTCGGGAGACTTCGTATCCTCTTTCGCCGTGCTCTTTTTGTCCTCGGTCTCGGGATTAGGCGTCGACGACGAGTTAGCCTCGCCTGACTTTTGACGCTTCATAGCAGGAGCAGCTAGCTGATCTGGCCCAGAACCATCCACTTCACTTGCACTCCGTTTTCTGGTCTGTCCGTCAGTCGACTTTGGCGAACCTGTACCTTCCCGCGAGGTTGGTCTGGATTCAGAGGTTGCAGCGTTGGCTTTGGGTGAGCCTGCGGCGGCGGTAGGACTTCTAGATCGTTGTTTCTCATTTGCCTTTTCTGCTTCATACTCCTTGATCTTCTTCTTCGCGTCTTCGTCGGGTTCCAAACGCTCAAGACTGACATTCTCCGTCTCACAGCCGGGGCATGTGAGATCATTCTCGAGTAAGGCGTTTTCAATACAATCGTGGCAGTATGTCTTCCCACAACAAGGTGTCTTCATTGGATCTACAAACAAGCGCTTGTCGATCGGGCATTCCAGGCCCCAATCTTGCAGCTCCTTGTCACCAATCTGTACTTTCTTCTGAGCCGCCTCGGCAGCTTTGACTTGCTCAAGATGTTTTCTCCATGCCTTCTCATCTGCTTGGGCAAAGACATACTCTCCTTCTGCGTTCACCATCAGATGTTGTCTTTGAGTATCGTCAAGTTTATCGATGTCTGCTTGATCGATCTTTTTCAACATTGAGCGAGGAATACCAGTCGTTCGCTTGATGCGATTCTTGTTATCGTAGTTGGCATCGTCGTTGGTAGGACATGCCTGAATCCAGTGACCTGCACAGTGTTAATCGCGAGAAACTCGGCGCTGTAATCGGCATAGCGTCTTACCTTTCTTGCCACAACGATAACAGATATACCCGTGGGGTGGCTCGCCTTCTGGGACGTTCGCCTTCTTGAAGGGCTTGCCCCCTTGCATTGGGACCCGTGTCTCGTGCGACATCTCTTCTTGTTTTTGTTGCCATTGTGCGTCGGTGAATTGGAGCATAGCCTTTAACTTTTCTTGCTCCGTCATGGCCTTGTCCATGTCTACCGCCTTGGCCATTTTATTCGCCGCGGTTCCCGTGGTGGGTTTGGCACTGATGGGTGGCTTTCCTGAGACATAGCGAGCGGCCCGGCCTTTGCCTGGTGCTGATGCGGGTAATCTCCGTGCGAGGACAGTCGAGTCTTTGGGGATGATTTCGGTGTCGTCGGTATACTCTGTCAGATTGTCAGAGGTGATCGTTCGGCAAGCATTGAGACTATCCTTACCTTCATTGCTGTTCTCCTTGTAGATTTTGAGATCAAAATCTGTACCGTCGCCTAGGCGAGAAATGTTGATGATTTCACGTTTGAGATTCCAGACATCCGTGTGAGGGCCATCGATGGTTACACGTTGAGGTTCTTTCTGTGACTTGAACTTGAAATATACATAAGACGCCATGGCGGCGAGGCCAACGGTAGCAGACGTTTAGAGGCGACAGCAGTCGATCTTGAACTTGTCAAGAGGTGAGCTGGACGTAAGATTGATGTCGGAAGTTGTGATGAGTCTTGATTTGGTTATGTTCCAAGGGGCAGACAAGTCAGAGGTATAACCAGCGTAATAAGGGAGATGTTATTGAAAGTAGACAAGTAATGATTCAGCTTGGAGAGCCTGACTCGACTCTGTCTTATTCACCAGCCGTGCTTGCACCAAAACCAGTGTGATTCTGCCGCGCACCCAAAAGAATGATGAATAACAGGCCACCCCTTTCCCAGTATTTATTCAAGTCTTGACCCGGCAGATCCTCTTTTCCTGCTAGCAACCACGGAAATGCGAGCAAACAACTCAATTCACCGATGGAATCGGAATACCGAGTCTCAATTGAGATGAAATCTCTTCAATACAGCGTCACGTGCAGGCTCTGCCGTTTGCAGATTAGGGAGACGCTGTAGATACAAAGCAATCCCACACCTGATCGACTATCACAAAGAATCAGAGTCGAGAAAAGTCGTGATGGAATGGAGAGACAGAAGAGACCATGAACAGCCGTGGCGATGATGGGCGATGGTGAGGAGATGGAGAGGAAGATGGTGGAAGAGAAGAGGAGGTGCAGGTTGGCTGCGCCACCTTTTAATCAGGCATCTGTGCCCAGGCGCAGCTGCGGCACTAGTGAAAAGATCCACCGTACTATTGAGTCTCGTGAGGTAATCTGTTCAACACATCGCACGTGATCGGACGTGATATAAATCTCCCCTTGGGGGCGTTCATGTGGTATCCTGTCAGCAAAGGTCCAGGAGCCTAGGGGGAGCGCCCCAAGAAAAGGACGAGAGAGGACGAGAGAATCCTGCTACTTGTTACCAGGACCTTGGACTTTGATAGGTATATGTCGGGCGGACACCGCCCTAACATATCGGTAGGTATACAGATTACAACACAGACAGTCAGGTTGCAATTGTGATGATGTGATACATCCCTCCTGATCTTCAGCCTTCCACGCGGCTCACTGTGCAATCCGGGCTGCCGGATGTCAGGGACTGGGAGCCCCTCATCGCAACCTGGCCGCTTAACTGATGACTTCTTTAGCCTCAAGCTGATTCATAACCTCCAGCAAGACTTCTTTAGTACTGAGGTACGCATTCTTGGGATCCTTTCTGACTCTCTGCCAAACCTCGCCATGCTTGGGCTCGCTGGTCACGCACTTTGAAATAACGTCCTCTCGTTTTTCCTGTGCAAATATAACGTTAGCAAAACCGGCAGAAACCTTCGGGTGGCACAAGAACCAAGGGGAGAGACTTACATCGGTACCATGCTGCATCAAGAATTTCAGATACCAGGCCCAAGTGTCTCCCAGATCACTGTCGAGCACAATGGCCTTCTCAAACCAATTCATGGCCTTGTCCAATTTTCGTTCACTCCAGAAAATCCGGGCCACGGTGACAAATAGGCTCGGATCGTTGTCGACATTCTTGATGGCTTCCAAACTCAACGGCTTCCGCTGAGTCCTTGGTTGGAGCTTCCAGATGTTTTCTGTCCACAGTAGCCCAGACTTGGGACATTCTTGTAGCGCTTTGGACATCAGGATCTTGGCTTGTTGGATGTTGGGTGGTTTTGCCTGGAGCTCAACTCTGACACTCTCCACCCACAATTCGGGGTTCTTGGGGTTTTGTAATCGAGCTCTGTCAAGCACAGACCTTGCTTTGATCGTCACGCCAGCCTTCTCTTCCAGTCGGGCCGCAAGAAGCCAAAGTGGCACTGACTTGGGACATGCCCTCGTGCCTTGAGAGTAGGCCTCCCGGGCCTGAGGCATCATGCCTTTGTCCTCGTATATTTGACCTTTCATCATCCATAACTTTGCACTTCGCGGGAATCGCGTTTCTTTCTTATCCACCACAGCCGACGTCAGGCCCTGGAGGACCAAATCAAGGGCAACGTCGGTATTACCCAGCTGTCTCTCGTACGCCGCGCTTTTGTACCATACTCGTTCAGTCGGAGCCTCCTGTCTTGCGGTTGCAAGAAGCTCTCGTGCTTGGTCGACTTGTTTTGCGTCCGCCTCCAGCTTGACTGCCGCCAGCCAGATCTCTTCGTTGTTCGGATTTTGATTGAAAGCCTTGCCGAGCACACGGCGGGCATCGTCGACTTCGCCGGCAGCCCATTTCTCTCGCGCAAGTTGGAGCCACAGCACTTCCGACTGGGGACAAGCCTCGACAGCCTTCTCCAAGACTTGCCAAAGAGCTTCTTTGGTGCCGTAATTCCTTTCGAGATCTGCAGCGGCAAACCAGAGTGATTTGCTGGTGGGAAAGATTCGTAGGGCATAGGCATAAATGGCCCTCGCAGTTTCGTACCGACCCCTCGCTATGCTTGCCTTTGCGTCATCCTTGAAGATTTCTTTCCGGTCATCGTCTTCATCCAGTGACCAGCCAAGTGTTTCCCGAATGATGGCACCGCACGTCAAGACGGCGCCTTCCTCTTCGCATTTCTCAGCCTCGGCAATCCATTCTTCACGCTTCAGCATCGCGCCTTCTTTGACCAGCGCTTTGATGGCCCGATTCATGATGTTGACTTTATTGGCATTGCCTATTTGTTCTTGCAAGCGAGCGGCGGCGATCCAGACCTCGTAACTGGTAGGTACAGCTTTCCTCGCCTTGTTGAGGACAGCCTGAGCATTTTCGGGCGATTCGAGTCGAGCAAGGGCGAGCCACAACTCGACGGACAAGGGGATGATTTCGGTGGCCTTTGCAAGCAACAGTTTCGCATCCTCCGGATCTTCTTCCAGATTGACAGCCTCCTTCCAGATCAGCACAGACTGTGGAATGTGATCTAGAGCTTGTCGCAAGACTCGTTTCTTCGCGCGAGTATCTGTCTCCAGTTTCATAGCCTCGATCCATAGCCTCGTTGAACGATCGTTGTGCTTGATGGCGTTAGCAGCGATGATCTTGGCATTGTGGTTGTCGTTGAGTCGAATGTTTTCTAGCCAGACATCTTCACTTTTCGGACACTGTTCGCATCCTTGTGCAATCACTTTCCTGGCTGACACGATCTTGCCGGCCAATTCCTCGAGCCGTGCAATTGCAATCCAGCCTGGCGCATGTTTCGGATTTGTCTTGCAGACCGACTCCAGCAGTACCCTTACCCGATTGATATCGCCAACATCGGCGGCCAAAGAGGTCAATTCTGTTTGCGCAAGACTCGTGAGGTATCCTTTGGGGTCGATGGTTGATGCCGACCCGGTACCGGCGTCCATCTGCGCTGCTCGATCCAACCTGGCTTTGAGGACTTTATCTCTGGCAGCACCAATGTCGGCAAAGTTGGTCATCGTTCCGTCCTTGTTATCCGCGCTCGCCTGGCCTCCATCGTCTTGGACGCTAGTTTGGAATTCTGTCGAGTCTCTGGCGCCGGCCAACACGGTGTCGGGGACTGGGTAAAAGCGTTGCCTAAGATTTTGTTTGGATCTTCGATTCTTGCCTGTCAAATCACCAGGTTCCGGCAGATTGGCCCAATCTTCGTCCGACACCGTCGCAAGATTTCTTTTTAATGCGGCAAACTCTTCTGATATCTTGGGATTCTTTCGATTATATTCTTCGAGTTCTTCCTTCTCTCGTGCTTCCCTATAAAACGGCGAAAGGATTCATGTCGGTAATCTGTTCATAGCGGAGTGGAAAAGATAAACCACAACTTTCTTTGGAAACAAGAAGGAAGGGCCTGGGGAGGAGGGAGTTCACAAACCTTGGTCTTTTCCGCCGTCTCTCAATCTTTTCGTCCACCGCTTGGTATATCCGGTCGGCCTCGTCGTCGGCCTGGTCATACTGTCCATAGGCAAACAATCCCACCTCGTTTTCTGGATCCTGGAATCGTTCATCGTCTTCTTCGTCTTGTTCTGGTTTCTTCTTGTCGACTGCACCGTACGCGGTTGGGGGCGCTGCGCCTAACTGCGCGGCTCGCTTCGCGAGTGCTTCTTGAATCTGTTCCGTGCTAGGCCCGTCTCGAGCAGGTCCTAGATCCGACCGTGTCGTGAAGCCCGTTGCGCCTCTACCGAGACCGGCGACGTAGTTCTCGGGTGCTTTCTGGCTGAGGAAGTCTCGCCGCGAAGCCATGTTGATCCCAATCTCAACTATGACGAAGGATAGATTGGATAACGGTCAGATCGCAAGAGATTTACCCGCAAACGAAAAGCAAGGGTGCCTGCGGTGCATCCGTACACATGAGCTGGGACGCCGCTACTATTTAGTATTTACTGGCTAGTGGTTCTCCACGCCGCAAAAATTCTGCCACTGTTCACCGCCCAAAAAGTTCCCAGAGGTTCAGCAGCGGCTCCCCAAAACTTCAACAACGACACACCGTTAAGTTCACTCCATCTACCGTGGTCATATGGGCGGTCACACACTTAGGCTATCTTCATGCACCCCCAGATGATAGGAGAAGCAGGATAACCCTCCTTAACCATGCCAAAGGTCCATCCGAAAAGTCGCGGCGGCGGCGGCGCTGCGGCACCCTCGCCGTACTCCAAACACTCGAGTAGCGGTGCGACGTCGAACGCGATCTTCAAGATGAACACGGACATCGGCCAACACGTGCTCAAGAATCCCGGGGTGGCGCAGGCGATCGTGGACAAGGCGGACCTGAAACAATCCGACATTGTGTTAGAAGTCGGCCCCGGCAGCGGGAACCTGACGGTCAAGATTCTGGAGAAGGCGAAGAAATGCATCGCGGTAGAACTCGACCCGCGCATGGCGGCCGAGGTGACGAAGCGTGTCCAGGGGACGCCGCAAGGCAAACGGCTCGAGGTGGTGTTGGGCGACGTGATCAAGACCGACCTACCCTACTTCGACGTCTGCATCAGCAACACCCCCTACCAGATCTCGAGTCCGCTGACCTTCAAATTGCTCGCGACGAGCCCCGCCCCGAGGGTGTGCATCCTCATGTTCCAGCGCGAATTTGCCATGCGGCTGTTCGCCAAACCGGGAGACAAGCTGTACAGCCGGCTCAGCGTGAACGCGCAGATGTGGGCCAAGATCGACCATATCATGAAGGTCGGCAAGAACAACTTCAAACCCCCACCGGCGGTCGAGAGCAGTGTCGTGCGCCTGGTGCCCAAATCGCCGCGGCCCAATATCTCCTATGAAGAGTGGGATGGTCTGCTCCGCATATGCTTTGTCCGGAAAAACAAGACCATGCGCGCCAACTTCCTCGGGACCACCAGTATCATGAACATTCTCGAGGCCAACTACCGCACCTGGTGTGCCCAGAATGACGTCGCCCTCGAAGAAGGCCCAGCGGAAGACGACTCGAGTCTGATGGAGGTCGAGAACTCGCAGAGTATGGCTGCCGACGCCGACGCCGACGCCGACGACTGGGACGGGTTCATGGACGTCGACGCTGACGACGACGATCTCCCGGCCTTCTTCAAGGATCAGCAGTCTTCCCTCTTGAAATCGGCAAAGGGCTCGAATCGCAAGAGGAAAGGCAAGGTCGCTGAACTGGTCCGTGAGAAGGTCCGCTCCGTGCTGGAGGACAAAACACAGCTTGCGGACAAGCGCGCCCGAACGTGCGACGAGGCCGACTTTCTGAAGCTATTATGGAGTTTCAACAAGGAAGGTATCCATTTTCGATCACACTGAACATCTGTTAGGAGGCCGTAGGGAGGCTGTGGGAAGCCAGGGGGAAGATGTCGCGCTCGGTTACGGGTCTAATCTGACGATTTGCGTGACTTTACTGAACTATGTACGAGATACCCCCGGCAATACAATCCAAGTGTGCATCTAATGCACACCGTATACAACATGGAATGAATAGTAGAGAGAAATAGGGAGCATGTATAATTATGGAGGCCCCTTAGCCTCGGACGACATCTCCAGCGAGGAGAGATTTGCTCAACAAGTCATCGACCCCTTAAGGTTGAGACTCAAGTCCTAGCGAGACGGGCAGGAGGAGCATATTCCGGCTTATGACTGCCAGAGTCCTGATCGCACCGAAGCCCTTTCGTCTCGCCCGCAAAGGGCCTCACCATCCGTCCGCTCGTCGTAATTCATGCAAGCATATCAAGTATACCTTGGTATCGCGTCATGTGTATTCGTAACACCATCGCCGTACCGTCCAAAAGACCCAAGGGCTTCCGCGGTAGAAGAAGCTCGCATCGAAAAGGATTGCATCTCTGACATCCTCACCTCCCATCTAAGTGAAGCTCAGACTGGCCTGTCCTGCAGGGTCGTTCTTTTGTGTCATGCCATCGTGCATCCAACATTCAAAGGTCTCCCCAATAAAATCGAGTAAAATCACACAAACAACCCGCTGTAAAAATTTGAGAAGACATATTCGCCGAAGAAGGTGCCGCTCGTTGCCGCCCATTGATATCATCGTTACTTTCTTCCTACCAGACAATCCGAAAAGCCAACAAATTCTGCCTGCCCTTTTTTCCGCGTTCAGGACGCGCAGATTGAAGTTTAGCAAAAGGTGGGCCATTGCCTGACCGCGGAAATCCTCAACTTTTGTCGCTGAGCTTTTGAGATCTGCTTTTGCTTTGTAGAGGAGGAACTGCGCAAGACATAGCGGCCCGAAACGCAGCAGTGGCATAAACATCGGCACACTCGCTCAAATGAGCGGTGATCTCGAAGAAGAGAAACACAAAGCCATAGTTCGGAGATACCCAACCGGATGGAACCGAAAATGAAAGGACAAGCACCAGTATGGCACATGTGCCACAAAAGGATGAGCCGGCGTCGCTCAGGATGCCTCGATGAGGCCAAGATATGTGCGTAAGAATGTATGGTCCAAGTTCGCCTCAAGCTCCATAAATAACTTCTTCAAAGGACCTCCCATAGTCAACACTCTGACGTCGGCTATGTTCGTAGCTACCTTCACCGGTACTTGGAGCTTGACTGGGTTGTCGACTGGATCGCACGCTGGGGCCCCGATCGTCAACTTGAGATGGGCGCCGAGCTGATTGAGCCACACCATCTCGACCGCGTTCCTTGTCGCGATTGGAGATACTGCTAGAGGCGCTTCTCTTCGAGGCGCGACTTGCAACACTTGGCGCACGCTCAATCCTCCTCTGTTCTCGAATCCGTTCGACAGAATCCTTTTCGTCAGCACCCACCAACACAATAAGCCCGCCAACGTTGATGCTCAGAGGTCGACCATCTGGCGTTATGTAGTCTGAAGGAATGCTCATATTCAGCCCTCCAGGGAGGGTGATACTGGTCTTCGTAGCATTCGTGGTCTGACTCTTGCCGGGCCCAGACGACTCCTTAGACGAGGACTGTCGGCTTTTATGGCTGTAGCTGCTAGCTGTCTCAGACCTGGAACTTGAATTTCCATGGTTGAGATTGCGAAGAGCCTCGGCGGTTAGCTCGTTCGATGTTTTGCTGCTTCTCTTGATGTACTCTTCAACCGCCGTTTCTTTATCTTCGAGGGGCATATGTAGCAGTGTAGGCTTACGAGCAGTCACATGGGCTCTGGATGATGCAACCTTAGTCGTTGTTGTAGGCGTAGCGTTATAGGAAACCGACTTCTTTGGCAAAGAAGGGCGATCCCGAGCTTCAATGACGGCAGGCGCTCGATAAGACGTAGGCGGTCGGGAAGGAGACGCTCGGCGCTCGCGTACTGTAGATAAGGATGTGCGATGCTCTCGGTAGCCGTTGCTTTCGTCTTCCTGGTTATACTGTTCCGGTTCGTAGGACACATGTTGACGCGAAGGGACTTCTTGGGAGTGGTAAGTCTTCGACCTCCTAGCACTAGGTCTACGAGTAAGATCCATTTCGGCTTGCTGCGGTCTTGGTGGGGGTGCCATGACTGCCCTATCGTTGACAGTGCTGCGACTGGACCTGTGAGACGGGAGTATCGGCCGGCTTTCCTTTGATGGGACCCTTTCTAGACCCGCCATCGGAGGCTCGTGATGGCCTTGCCGAATGACTGGATCGCCATAGACACTTGATCGTCGTACGGGGCTCGACCGCCGACTTGCTTTCGCAGAACGAGGTTCCGGGGGAGGAGTAGGGTCGAAATAGGAGGGCAATTGCTGGAAAGATGCGTATGAAGGGCCTGTCATCGGGGCTGGACCGTAGGAGTAGGGAATTGGACTATATGGTATGGACGGTGTTACAGGGGTCGGCCAGGCTGTGGTGGCAACGGCTGGGGGTCCATAAAGCGTCTGATTGAAGTAATGAGACGGCAATGTTTGGTCAGACACCATGCTGATGGGTCTGGGCGGCTGAGAAGGTCGTCTGGCCTTCATAGGCAAAGTAGCATCATCCTTGACGCTCTTCAGTCCAGTCTGTCGGGTTACTATGGGAGAAGATGGCGGAGGGGCCACACTCGAAGGCCTGGACATCTCTTTTGGATTATCGATGTGCTTCCCATAGTGATCACAGCTCCAGCAGAGGCCAGGTTCGTGCACGAAAGGCTTGCTTCTAGAGACTCGGGGCTCAACTACGAAGTCGTTCCCGTGCGATGAGGACTGGCGGCGAGCGGGTGGCTTCGATGGACCGGCCTGCGCCAAAGAATAAGGCTGTCGCTCTCTCTCTGGAACCGCGGTAGTGTCCACTCTCAGATCAGGCATCTTTCGTCGGCCAGTGCTTGTCGACCCGTTGCTTACGGTGTCCGCTCGACTAGCGTATCCTGAGTCGGCGCCATCGACTCGAAACCTTTGTTGTTCGCGTTGTCTGGAAATCAATTCCTGTTGAGACCTTTTAACAGCGACATTGGCAGTGGTCCTTGAACCGGGCAGAGTTGTTTCAGCATCTTCATCCCAGTCCTCACATGTGGCTGCCCGTGGAACGCGACGCTCAATCTGGGGCATGGAAGCGGTTGTGGCGAGACCCGGGCTACAAGAGGAGAGGTCGCAGCTATTTGAGGTCGATGAACGGTGGACGGCGGTGCGGGATGGTCGTCGGGGTGTGGAGTGACCAGGGACAGGAGTGGTGGACCACCTAAACTTAGTAGGCGGTAGAGTACTTTTGGTACTGGACAATGGACGGCGGACGCTGAGAAGGGCTCAGGTGCCGCGGATCGTGGCTGGAGGCTCGTCCCGGCGACGGGGTCGCTGTCTGCCAGAGAGTGCTTGAGGCAGCGAGTAGCGGTGTTGAGTCGGGGCTTCTGCCTGCCCCGTTGAACCTGAAGGATTTTTGCTGGACACACCCGCTATTCTCTTTTTTTTGGTGCTTGAGTATCTCAGTCTCCGTCTTCTTGGTGGGGTGCCATCTCGACTGATATTTCTCTTGATCAGCCTACACTCACTCCACTTGTTCTGGAGATCCCTTCGCTCGCTATCACTTGGTGTTGCCGAAGGATGTTCTACATTCAATGTTGTGTACAGAGTTTTGGTCGATAGGCTGCACAGTTCCGGTCGCACAAGACACTGTTTCCCATTCAGGGTAATCTTTCTAGCTGCGGATGACCGACGAGACGGGTTTGCAGGTGATGAATGATGATGTGATATATGCTGTAGTCGTGTGCATTCTTGATTTGGTCGTTGGCGTGTCAGAACGAAAGGTAACCACCACGAGTTGTGGAGGTTAGGTAGGAGCACCCGAAGTTCTTGTCCCGATTGTTATAGGCAAGGGATGATAGGAGGGAAAAGAGGAGAGTTGAAATCCCTATGGTTGGTTTTGCGTCGCTCAGTGTCATTCTCGCCCACACAGGGAAGTACTCATACTTCTAGGGCGGCGTCGCGTAGAAGGGTGGGAGCGAGAGGAACGAGGGGGGACGGGTCTCATCAATCAAGAAGAGGCTGTTTCAGTCTGCCAGATGACGACGAGGAGTGGGATGGCACGGTGGTTTACAGGCCAGAGGAGCCTAAGGAGCCCTCTTTACCACATCGCAGTAGGCGGCCAGTGGACCAGAGTCGAAAATGGCGCGGCCAAAGAACAGACTTGACCGTGAAGAGCAACATCCAGGGCCGACCGGTGTCATCGAGACATGCAGATGCTGCCCTGCCGGTTGGCTGAGTTGCGTGATGTGCGGGCTGGTCGATGGTGTTGCGATGTGAATGGACGATTAAGTCCAATGAGATGCCCAACCTGCGCACCTCGCGGAATCGTCGCAGGCGGCGGTTCGCAGGCTGTTGCAGGCACCACAGACAAACGAAGCTCGACGAATAGTGCCGGCCACTTGATCGCCTCCTTTTTTGGCTTTCTCCGGCCTCCCTCAGTGAGCGAGTTGGCAAACAGGGTCATCGAGACACGAAGGAGTGGCTAATCAGCGAGTTCAAAAGGCTTCACCTACCAGCAAAACCCCCGTCCGCATCCTGTCCCTTCCCCTGCTCGAACCTCCCAGCGTGCTCCAGGTGTCACAAAACCTGGAGTCAGTCATCTTCGAATGGGGGATGGTAGGGTGATACCACAGGATGGCGCCGCGTGGCTAGAGAACGCAGAACGCGGGGGGCCTACATACAGGACAGCGGACCACCCACGAACGATGCTATTGTTCTCGCCGATGCCTTCTTCAAACGCAGAATCAGTCCCTCCCATCCTGTCATCCACCTTGCTGCAGCCGTCTGCTCGCAGATGGAGCAGGTGTCCTGCTTGCGTCCAAATTGCCACCATATCTGACATCGGCCTACGAACCTCAGGTGTTCGCTATGCGCACAAGATTGCCGCCTGCTATCTCTACAAGACACCTTCTCTCTTGCCCTCACTGTTCCTATTGCTGTTCCTGTTCCTGCTATCCCATTCATGAGAGGCAAGAAAATCTACCCATCCAGAGGCCAGACGGACAAGGTGGTGACTACGAGGGGTCAATTGGATGGCTGCCCGACGTGTGACGGCGCTGGAAGCAGGTCTGCCCTGACCAAACGGTCTCATCCCCCAAGGATTCCCCCATTCACGCACCCCTGCACACTTGGATTACATGTCAGCCTTGAAGAGGGAAAGGCAGTCTATCTTCGGTCCAGGAGCGAATCCTTGTTGCATTGGCCTGAACAAGCCTTGGGCACCGTAGCCTGGCTAAGTGCTGCAGCTGGCAGCTAGGTCACTTCTCTCAGTTCCATGTTTGATGACGACCCTCCCCTTGTCGCTTCCGTCGGCAGAAGAAGAAGAAGAAGCAAACAACATGGGGTGAAGTCGAACAACGGCCATCGGACGGCCATTTCCCCGCAAAGCCGTCCCGAAATAACCCGCCCAACTACTCAGAGACCCCTGTTTGAACACCCCAAACCTTCGCCATCGACCCTCTAAGCGACTCCATTTTACATCCTCTGCACCGGAGTTAGACCCAGCAAGGTCATGCCGTTCCAGAGAACTTGTCGGGCAGCCTCATACAGCGCCAAGCGAGCCTTCTGTAGTTCAGGCTCGCTTCCCACAACTTGCAAATGGTCGTAGCTTGAGCTCAACGCATGAGCCATCTTGAAGAGATACGTAAGCACGGTGGACGGCTCGCGAGTCTTCAGGGTGTTCACAACCACGTCAGGATACTGCGCCAGTGCCCGAACCAAGTAGATAGCATGGGGTTCTTTAAGCAATGACAGGTCGGCGGAGTCCAGTGTGCTCAGGTCTGCATTTGCCTTTCGTTTGATCGAACATAGTCGTGCATGGGCATACTGCAAGTACGGACCGGTATCACCCTCGAAAGCCGTCATTTGGTTGATGTTGAATTCGTAACCATTGCGCACCTTGCCGGTCAGATCCTGCACCATGATCGCAGTAATAGCCAGGATATCGGCCACGGCATCCGGATCCTCAAGCTGTTCATACTTCTTTGCATTCTTCATCATCACCTCAAGCATCACATCTTTGACTGATTGGATCACGTCATCTAGAAACTTGACCGTGCCTTTTCGGGTACTCATCCCCTTAACCATACCGAAGGAGACGTGATCGCATCTGTCTGAGATGTCCTTATGCCCGCTGATCTCGGTCGTCTTGAACAGCTGCGCAACATGTTCATTTTGTTGGTCAGCGATAACGTAGATCATCTTGTCAAAATGATACTTCTCGAATCGCTCAAGAATTGCCGCCAGATCTCGTGTCAGGTACAGCGGAGTGCCATCTCTTCGCACGATGATCGCCTTGTTGAGTTTCTTCGCGCCATGCTTTGCGAAATCAATCAGGATGGCGCCTTCCGACTCTTCTGCAATTTTCTTGGCCAAAAGATCATCGAGTACTTTCTTGATGGTCTCTTGCTTGACCTGAGATTCGCCGGAGTAGACGTCGAATTCGATGTTCAATCGGGCATAGGTCTTTTTGTATTTCTCAATGCTCATGTCTCGAAACTTCTGCCACAAGGTGAGGGCTTCGGGATCACCGTCTTCCATGCTCTTAAAGTATTTCCGCGCCTTCTCGTCCTCGCTAGCCTCTACTAAGGGGGCAAGTTTCTCTTCAAGCGCGGTGACGTCTTCTCCTTTAGTCTTTTTCTCTTTGATCTCCTTCTTCAATTCATTGATGGGCTCGTCTTGCTGGGACTTGATTTGATTGATCTTGACATAGACTTGGAATAGATGTGCAATAGAGTTCTTGTCCAGCTCTTCTTGGCTACCGAATTGTTTGAAGCCATTGGCCAGGAGCCCATACTGCTTGCCCCAATCACCCAGATAATTCATCTTGATGACATCCCAGCCAGTCCTAGCGTAGAGCTTTGCTAGAAAACCGCCGATGATCGTACTTCGTAGATGGCCGGCATGAAATTCTTTGGCGATGTTCGGTGATGAGAATTCTACGACGATCTTTTTCTGGCCCTTGGATGGGTCGGATGGGTCTTGCAGGCCTGGAGTGGGATCATAGCCGTACGCCTTGGTGCTCCTCAGAATCTCCGTTATCACATGCTTGGTGAGGTGATCGGGCTTGAAGAAGAATTGCACAAAAGGACCCGCCTGCGTCGCTGTCGCGAGTGTGTCCTCTGTAGTTGGAAATTGCTCGACTATCTCCTTGGCTAGATCTTGAGGTGGTTTGCCCTTGATTCGGAGAGCAGGAACAGGCAGCATCAGGTCTCCTTTTTCCAGAGTCGTCGCCCATTGTACCAGTGGAAGGACTTCGTCGACTTTCCGGTTGACGATTGGAGCCAGCCTCTCCGCAATGTTTTGTCGGTAGAGACTCACAGGGTTCTTGGCCTTTGCCAGCTCTACTAAGCTCAGTGATGAGAATTTCTCACCGACATCCCCCGCCATGTTGAAAATTGCCGCCGGGGTGCTGCAGAACTGGCGGCACGGATGAAAGCCCAGTTGATCAACCCGCCTCAGTGCGAGAAGAGCCTTGTATGAGAACGACTTGTTTTTCCGAAAGGGCGAACCAGCGAAACGGCTTCCACCTGCTTGACAGGCGAATGAGATACGAGTGAATGCTGTCCAAGAGCTAGAAGGAGACCGAGGGCGAGAAGAACAGGAGCATAAGGACATTCTCGTTGAAGAGTCAGATCTCTCCATCGACCAATCTTCTGCTCAAAAAAGTTGATATCTTGGCATCCGGTACCGGATCAATAATTCTCCGCGATAGCCTCGTCTCCATGCAGACGGGACTCCTTCACCACTTAACTCACAGTCTCGCGCCCCGCCCAGAGCGACGATGATAGTCTGCCACTCCGTTAAACAATGGCAGAGAAGTCAGATGATGCCAGAGATCCCACCGGGGCTGGGGTAGGGCAACAGCAGGACCGCCGATCAAAGCGCTTCCGCTTCAAGTCCAAGAACAACGATCAGGATCGGACGGACACGGAGTCGAAGCGCAAACGGCGAAAGGACGAAGACACATCAAACAGACACACGAAGCGACGGAGGTCCTCCCGCCAGCGGCAGAGTGAGGAACGTTTTCGCCCCGACCGTCTTTCTCCCGACCGAGCGTTTCGAGAATCTCTCTTTGATGCACTTGGAGATGACGAAGGGGCAACCTTCTGGGAAGGCATCTACGGGCAGCCAATACACAATTATCCAAACACCTACGAAGATCCGGAAACCGGCGAACTGGAGCGTATGACAGACGAAGAATATGCGCAGTTTGTCCGGCGGAAGATGTGGGAGAAAAGCTGGGAGGGTCTAGAAGCTGCAAAGGAAGAGAAGAGGAGAGAGCGAGAAAAGGAAAGGCAGAGAATACGTGACGAGGAGAAAATCCGGGCAGCAAACAGCCAGGCGCAACACGATAGCTATACCTTTGATGCGCAAATCGACGCCAGCCTCCGACGTGGGGAGAACAGAAAGGACCGCAAACGATGGCAGAGCTTATGGCAAGATTATTTGCGCCGATGGCAAGAACTACGAGACCTGGCTGAGACCCGGCAGAGATCCACGGAGGATGCAGAACAGGTCTTCCTGCGGAACAAAATCGCATGGCCTGTTGAGTCGGGTAAGCGTAAAGATGTGGTCCGCGACAACATTGAGCGGTTCATCAAAAAGGGCACGGCAGCCTTTAGAGACGATGAGCAGATGGGGGATCCATTTTCAACCGCTGTTAAGGCGGAGCGTGTCAGATGGCACCCTGACAAAATTCAACAGCGGTACGGGTTTCTGGAGATTGACGAGAATACTTTGAAGGGAGTCACCGCCGTCTTCCAGAGTTTGGATGCGATATGGAATGATATACGGAACAAGGCAGGCTGAAGCCAACGATGCGGGACGTCGATAATGGCCAGCTTAATGCTACACGGGACAGACCCAAGGCTAGTTGTAGATGCATAGCCTCTCTACTACATATACAGCTCCACTACTCTTCCTAATTCAGAGGTCGAACTCCGTTGGTCCATTCCCGAATGATGTCTTCGGGAACGTCCCGAACAAGAACATGAAGATGCTCCATGCCTGGGACAGATTGTAAGGCCTTCCAGTTTTTGAACCACATGACCTTTTCCTTTTCACCAGGCAGGTCTTTGACTCGATCTACAAATGTGTTCTGGACAAATTCTTCGACCTGTTCCCGGGACTTTGGCGTCATGTCGCCTTTCGTTGGCTCGGACTCCAACCTGGTTTTCAACCAGACAATGAGATGTCTGATGCCAGGGGCAAGTCCATAGGGCCAGTCATTAGGCAAGATCTTGTAGTCGTCCGGATGTGCGAATGGTACAGGATCCTTGACAGCGAACTCGGGGCCAGTCTCGGGAGTTGAGGACGGTAAGGGCGTCCATTTCAGCCTTTCTGCCATGACGAAATTTGGAACACTCCCATATGTCGTCCTGGTCTCAGTCGACCATGTCATATAGCGTCTTAAGTCGGAGGGCCATCTCTTCAGGACGCTGAGATTATGCTCGGCTGTTCTGAAGTTAGAGGGTAGTGTTGGGGATGCGTGTAGAGCAGTCTCGCCACCAGCAATACACACCAATGATCTGTTTGAGTTCTTCCCATGTATGTGGATGGAATTGGGCATCGGACATGGCTAGGACCGATCGATCCAGGTCTGTCAATGGGAATGGAGACGGGGTATCGTCAGGATCCGGGGCCATAGCAATTGCGGACTATCTTCCGTTGTATGGCGTGCAGTGGCCCAGAGATTGGAGGTGGAATTAGTGGGGGAGGTGCTGGTGTGGTGGTGTGGTGGTGGAGGGAAAGAATTGGACGGCGGGCAGTTTTCTGCGAGAACTGTGAGGAGCAATTCGCGCCGGATCAGTTCACCCACCTAGGCAGTCAGTACTCCGTACGGATACACATACATAATGACAGGGCCAGCGTTCCGACAAGGCCTCCTTAGCCCTAAAGCCCACAAATGAGATAAGAGACAGGGGACCGGTATTGTAACACACTCCCACTTCGGGCTCTGTGATCTGGACAAGCTCTTTCCGCTGTTCGGAACGGATCCGGTACACAATACGGCCCGTTGTAAATAGTGGTTGGACAGAGTGGTCGAAGGGCAGCAGGACAGCAGGGCAGCAGGATAGCAGCGACCTCAGCAAGCAGACTGCGAGCATCCCAGGACAACAGCCCCACCAGCGTCAAGTTTGTCTTCCAAACCGAAGTCACTGCGTCCTGCGCCCGCCGCCGCCGCCGCCTTCCCCCGACCAACCCCGACCCCGTCCCGAGCCCCCGACAGATATATCTTTTTGCCCTCGAGCCACGACACCTTTGCACCTCTACTCGCCCGTCTGCTGCCGAGTGGCTCTTGTGGGCGTTGAGGTTCAAAGGAGCCGTAAGACACGAAGGAGAAGTCGAGTTCGAGACACCAGAACGACCGCAACCATGGGGTAAGTTTTCCACTCTCACTGCAGGCCGCACTTTGTAGCATCCCGCTCACAAACACGGTTGAACCACACAGCAACCCAGCATTATCGTCCTCCAACGTCAACGGGGTCTACATTCCCTCTGTTCTACTTCTGGTCGGAGTCGCAATCGTTAAGAAAGAATGGGTGCCTTACGCTGCGGTATTCGCTGCTGTTGTGGGAGGTTACAAGATTTTTGCTTCGGGACGTGAGTAACACCGCTCAAGTACCTCACGCAGTGGCGTGACAGCATACAAATGACTGACCATTGATCTTGTGCCTTATTACAGCGTCAACCAGAAAGGTCCTGAAACCGACTGAGTTCCAGGAGTTCACCCTGACGGACATCAAAAAAACCTCGCACAATGTCGCCATCTACCGCTTCGGCTTGCCCAACCCCACCGATATCCTGGGCCTGCCCATCGGCCAGCACATCTCTCTCGCGGCCACCCCCAAGGGCGCTGATAAAGAAGTGGTACGATCATACACGCCGATCTCCTCGGACGAAGACAAGGGTTTCTTCGAAGTCTTGATCAAGTCATACCCTCAGGGCAACATCAGCGCGCATATGACCACCTTGAAGGTTGGGGATACCATGAAGGTGCGTGGGCCGAAAGGAGCTATGGTCTACACGCCCAACCTCTCCAGACATATCGGCATGATAGCCGGCGGAACAGGGATCACTCCTATGCTTCAGATCATCCGCGCCATTAATCGCGGCCGGCCCCAGAATGGAGGAAACGACACCACCAAGGTGGATTTAATCTTCGCCAACGTCAACCCCGAAGACATTCTGTTGAAGGAAGAGATCGACGCTCTGGCCAGAGATGATCCGCATTTCAACGTCCACTACGTCCTCAACAACCCGCCCGAAAAGTGGGATGGCGGAGTCGGATTCGTGACTGCAGACATGATCAAGGAAAAGCTTCCCGCTCCGGGCCCCGACGTGAAGATTCTCGTCTGTGGGCCTCCTCCCATGGTGAGCGCGATAAAGAAGGCCACCGAAGGTCTGGGATACCAAAAGGCTCGTCCCGTCAGTAAATTGGAGGATCAAGTTTTCTGTTTCTAGAAAGAAGGAGTGGTAGACTAAACGCAGGGCTGGACGATGCAAAGAGAGGCAAAAAAGATGTGGCTTTTTCCAATTTTTACTTAGCACGGATCGGGAACGACAATGCTTCCATCATAGAGAACATGAACCTATCTTCCTACTAGTACTGAGATGAATGGTGAATAGATGGAGCAAGGCCCAGTGGTCTCACTGGAAGCAATCGTTCGGTGAAATCGACCAACTATTACTACCTAACTAGTACTACTATCCCATCGATGCGTTGCGTTCCCTTCCCCCTGCACTTGGAGGAATTGCAAATCGAGAAACCCACCAAGTATACAGAACAGAGCACACTGTTGTACATGAACATGCCATCCCTAGCTGTGGCCGTGAATCACACAAGTGACGAATTATATATAGTCCATTAAAAGTCATGAGATCGGAGATCAGACCACTCACACTATGCAACCAGGATTATCTATTCCCCTTACCCTCCCTTACCAGTAGCCTGAGGTAGGGTACGTATGTATGTATACTCCGGAGTCAAATGCCCACCATCATTTCCAATGTCGATTCGGTTTGATCAATCCGTATCGTGCACCCAACCCCCGCCACGCCATGCTTGAACCGCACAAAGATATCAGGTGAAAAATGCCAATCCTGCCTTGTCCTCCATGGAGGTATGGCTATTGCCTGCTAGACTCAAATAAAAAAAGGTTCAGACGCTTGCTGCCGCAAAACAAACCGCCGTGGCTCACCACCCGTAGCAGCCTTGCTATTTGTGGCGATATTGCTCAAATCCAAGATCAGGCAACCGCGGTTCACGCATAAGAGGAGGTGGACTACCATCCGCCTCACTCCTATCTTGACTCACGCTCCGGTAGCCCGAATGACCCATGCCTGCGGCCCCCTTGACCAAGATTTCTTCCTGGCTGTCGTTGTGGAATCGGGGACCAGACCGTGCTAGAGCTTGAGCTCGAACGGGTTCGTAACTAGGCGCAGAATCGGACCTTAGCCGACCGCGCCGAGGGGGGGAGGTTTTGTAAGGAGTTGGTTGCATCAGAAACGCATCGCCTTCCAAGTCCCTGGACAGGTTCTTCTCCGCAGCCTTACGGCGCTTGCGATGAGGATTCTCCTTGCAGCAGGTGATGATGCTGTTGATGACAATCAGCAAAGCAAGGATGGCGGTCAACCCCGATTGAACCGCGATCAAGACGACGCCGGTGATTGTCTTGGTTGTTTGGGCGATGCCGAGCTCCTCCACAAAAACCAAGATGCAGATCACCGACAAGACGCGGACGACCTGGATGATAATGTTGATCCAGTTGCCAGATTTTCGGTTGTATGGTCGGCTCCACAGAAGAAGAATCAGCATCAAAGCCTCGATGATCAACTGGCCAATGGTCTGAACCAGTCCGTGCCCAGTACCAGCGGCCAGAACACAACCCTTCGCAAACATGTAAACGATAGCAGGGATAAAGAGCCACCAATATTGGCGCTTGTAGTTTTCGTAGAAGATCTTGTACTTTTTCCAAGTCTCCTTGTTCTCGTACAGAGCACTGGCGTCGCCTTCCAACTTCTTCAATTTTCGCACCACACTCCAAATCCTCCAGGTATAAAAGAGCAAGATGGCAGTGAATGAGCCTAGTGTGACCCCGGCGAGTACCTTGGCTGCCCATGAATCTCCGTGGGTGAATTGAAAGACGCAATATAGTGTCCAGACACCGTAGAGCAACATGATAAGAGATGTGATTGTCTGTGCCATGATACGCCAGTATTCCTTGCGGAAGGTGGTCAAGGATTTGGGGAACTGGCCGAAAAGCGACCATGCCTCGAGGATGACTTTGAACAAGAGGATGCCGACCACGATCGCGGCAACGACTATGGCGAAAATCAGGAGGACCGTCATGAACGTATTTGTTTCTGGAATGGTCAGCTGCTCGACATAAGCCTGGATGCCTTGCACCAAGTGAGATTCCTGGGAGTTGTCATCGCTGGAGTCGGAGCTTGTCCCATTAATTGAGGTGTCGATATCACGTAGTAATAACGAAGCTGCGCGTTTAGCGATTCCGGTCGTGGTCTGAGCCGTCGAGCCGTCAGAGAAGACCAAGGTGGAGTTCCGGAGGTATTCGTAGCTGGCGTCCGTCAAGTTTCCTCCAGTGTGCGATCGGAAGCTGTCGATGGACTTTTGCAGTCCAGCCCAGGAGACAAGACCGGTGCTGAATCCGAAATTCTTGGAGAAACTCCGGTAGATGGCAGGATATGGTACCGAGTGCATGCCGTTCATTGCCATGCCTTGAAACCACCATATGACTTCAGAAAAGCCGGGGCTTGATGAGCTTGATCCAGGATGAGCCCCGGTAGCAGCGGCACCAATCAAGGATACGGCTAGAGCAGCAGCAGCGACAGCAGCAGCTACGTATGAAACAGCGGGCACCTCGACAGTCTTGCCATTAGTAACCCCAGAACGGATACACGCCAACTCTTGTCCATCTTTCGCCTTGAGAATCATTTGAGCGGAACCGTCGAGATCGGGAAGCGAGTATGCAATCGACGGAATGAGGGATGTATATTCTGAAGGGATTTCCTGGGTCCCATTGGCACCGAATGTCCCTGCGGGGACTAAAGCAAAGTCAGCGTGTTGCCTACCCAGGCCTATCCAATCCAGAACGTACCAGGACATAGCTGGTCGACTTTGGTAGAGTCATCACAAGGATCAAAGTCCTTTTTATATATTTGGACACCATAAGCCGTCACAACTAGTTCCGCGGTGACATTCTGAGACTTTGTGCTGGTGCCTGAAACATCGAATTGGATTTCATTCGTCGCTCGGTCGAAGGAAATGTCAACGTTGTTGACTTTGATGGTGGATGTTCCGTTGTTGCAGTTCGAGAACCCGCTGGTCTTCAAGATATCTGCTGCCAACGTAGAGGGAAGAAGAACCAGCGAGACGAGGACTACCACCGACGTCCTCCACATGGCGGTAGTATATCTGACGCTGCTCCAATGACGCAGGGCCGTCAAGCGGTAGCTGAATAATTCTCAGTTGCAGCCCTCTTCAATTTATGCGTTTATGAGCCTCTTGTCTCCAAATCTCCAGAACCAGGACTATTGTACAGAGGGATCCGAATGGGGGTCTTTGCGTATTCGTCGGGATCGAAGGGTTAGGTTCCCTGGAAGATAAACGGCGGAAATGCGTTGAGCGAGTGACTGGCAACACGGAGAATGATTGAGAACGAGTGTGAGGAAAGAGAGCGACTAGGCGTTAGGAAGAGTTTCATGTGCAAGAAGAAAAGAAGTCTTGATTTTCAGCTGGGTCTCGACGCAGACAATACGAGTAAGATATCCTCCAGTCAAGATTCCCATTTTGGAAAAGGCCTGTTTCACAGCGTACGGGGACGTTGGCCAAGCGGTCGCATGTGAAAGGCCCATCCGAGCCCTGGACGGGGGATGGTGTTTCTGGTGGGTCGATTCTGGACATGGCAGCTGGGCTGAGCCTGTTAGTAGACTCGTGGCGTAGCCTAGGGCGGGCTTGGGAAGAAGTTGCTCTCATTTTTGACAGGCTTTCGAAGCAAATGCCCTGTCAGGGAGGCGCCGACAAGCCCACTCATTGCGTCTCGCTGGGTCTTCAGTACGGAGTAGTGTGGAGGATCCGCCTGAAGGATCGGGTTCTGGCTTTTGCGGTACGCTTGAAGCCTCCGAAGCCCCTGTCAGACTCCCGATGGCACCTTGCTGAGATGTTCCTATTAATACTCTGTATGATACGGTGCCCTCGGTAAAGACCACATTTCAAGCACTGGAGCAGTGCAGTGGCCCGCCTCGAGCGTACGTATCTGGAGGAATTGTAGGTGGGTAGAGGACGGCAGGTCGTTCTGTTCAGAACTACAGAGTAGTATCTCATCGCTTTGGCCTCAGCATATTCGACGGACGGGAGCTATGTATCTTGCGACGATGGAGACTCTGCATCCATAATAATATGTGTAATGGCCAAGCACGAAACATCCTTGGGTCATGGCTACAGCAAGTGCTGAAGGGCGATAGGTGGACGATTTGTTGACGCGTCGAGGCGCAGTCAAGGGGAAAAGGAACCTAAGCCTGCGAGACATTCGCGTACGTACAGGTGTACTATGTACGGAGTACCCCACCCAAATCCAGCGCAGGCTCAAGACCTTACTACACAGCCGATTACTGGGCTTGATGTTACCGGAGCACTCTGTTCATACTACGTCCTTTGTTGCCAGCTTCCACTTGGCTGCGCCTCGTCCGTGCTGGTGTTGTCCAAGCGAACTCAATTTCATAGTACTCCGTATTGGGTCTATGATGGGTTGGACCTGCATTCGTCAGCGTACGCACGCCCTATGCCCTATGCCCTGTGCCATATGCCCCTACACCCTCTACGGCCACTTGAAGACACAGGGCACAACACTCCTCCACCTGAACAGAGAGGGAGAGAGAGGGAGAGAGAGGGAGAGAGGGGGGAACCTCCAAAAGAGCAAAGCATGGGCTACTGTGATAGTACATAACGTCCATCTACGCACGAAAGAGGACTGCTGGTATCGTGTCTCTTGAAGCCCTGCCCTCCTAGTGCTTTTGCTGTATGGTACATCCCTCACACGACGGGCCTGCGAAAGAAAATCCATTGCCGTGCCCCGTGATGCATCATCTCGTCCTGGGCGCCTTGATCCATTATTTTCGACTTTAGCCTCGACTGTAGCCTCGAATGTGCCCTCCTGACAACCACTCTCCTGCGGATCATCGTGTCCAAGCAGGATGGCCTCCATGCCGCGCCACCCACCCTCCCACAGCCGTGACAACGCCTCAAGCTATGGGGGAAGACCACTTCCAAACCTGTACTGACACCAGGCCCAAATCACCTTCCGTATGTTCCCAGAGCGATGACAAGCCTTCACCTCCCATATGGGTGGTAGCGGCCGCCTCTGCCTCCTCGAAAGTTGGCTCCTGGTCTCCCGGCGTTTTTCGGACCGGTTGGTGCATTCGCTGGAGCTGCACTGGGTTGAGCTGTGCCACTGGGGCCCTTTGGGGGTTTTGGTGTTATGTTGCGAACCGGTCCAGCAGAACCTCGTCCACTCAGACTGCCTTCGGGCTGAGGCACGTCGTCGTACATGCCTTCCCACGACTGAGGTCCGCCGCCTGGACTCTGACTCTGAAAGCCTTGCCCTCGAGGGCCCTGCGGAAAACTGCCCGGCCGGCGAGACTGCTGTTCATACTTTGACTGTTCAAAGGCAAGCTGCTCTTGTGCTGAAAATCCGGCTCGTGCTCCTGCTCCAGCACTCGCTGGGCCCATGGGAGCCCGGCCACCACCCATGTTCATACCGCCCATCCCGCCCTGTTGCATTTGCATCATTTGCTGCATCATCTGAGGGGTCATGCCTCCCATCCCGCCCATACCCCCAGGGTTCTGTGGGTTTGGGCTGTTGCCTCCCTGCATCTTCTGCATCTGCATCATTTGCTGCATCATCTGGGGGTTCATTTGGCCCATGCCCATGCCGCCCATTCCACCCATGCCCCCCATCATTTGAGAGGCCATTTGCTGCTGCATGAGGGCAAAGTATTGTTGCATCCGCTGCCAGTACTGTGCCATCATTTGAGGCGTCATACCACTACCTCCCATCATGTTTGCTGCCTGGCTCGATCCATTCTGGGTTGCTTGACTGTTGTCGCCACCAAAGCGATCGTCTCCTCCGAACTTGCCTCTGCCTCGACCACCTCGGGAGAAACCGTCGTCAGCCGCCTCGCCCATCTTGCCTCTTGGTTGAGCACGTTTGACCTCAATCGGCTTGCCCAAGATCTCCAACGGGTGGTACTCGAGGCACCTCTCGACCGCGGTGTCACTGTCGAAAGTCACGAAGCCAAATCCTCTCGGTCGGCCAGTATCCTTGTCCATCATAAGGGTGGCGTCAATGACCCGTCCGAATTGGGCGAAAAAGCTCTCAAAATCTTCTTCCGTGGCGTCTTGACTGACACCTCCAACGAAAATCTTGGCTGTCTTCTCCTGTTCATCGCGCGGGATTGCACGTTTTGGGTCGATCTGGGAACCACTCAGTAAGTCTGTGTACTTTCGTCCTGGGCCAGGCATTTGATCAAGGGAACGAGAGAGGGAACCGAGTTTTTCTTGTCCAACCGGGGTTCTTTCAAAATGGGTAGGTCTTACAATTTTGCCATCTAGGAAATGCTCCTTGACCATCACGGTGTTCACAGTCTTTGGGTCCTTGAAGGTAAGAAATCCGAATCCTCGCGAACGACCGGTGGCGCTGTCTCGCATGACGGTGCATTCTTGGACTTCTCCAAACTGTGAAAAGTAGTCATGGAGGGACTCTGCTCATTGGTTAGCATTCGGTCCAGGTGAGGTAGACCGCCTGATTGGGATGGAGGACTCACGATCGGTTGTTTCCCAGTTGAGTCCTCCAATGAACATTTTTCTGTACACGCGCCAATATGTCAGCCACAGAACGAGGAGCAAGCATGAAAATGATGTGACTAGAAGGGGCATATGCGAGCAGTAAACCACGGTAACAAAAGAACAGAGGTGCAGCAAGACAATCGGCTATGTCCCTGGTATGAGTCCCTGAAGCAGCCAGGTTGTCGCACGCTGTGCGGTAGCTTTGGGTCAACGGGGCCTGTATCAACAACGGCCGGCAAGGCTGCATGCAAGAATTGGCAAACATAAAGAGGCAGTTTCTAGTGGCATGCTCATCAGGGCACCAAGGTCATTTGTTGTTGAGGCATGGACGATCATTGTTGTCTGGTGGTGCTTGTTGCAGTCAATGGTGGGACACGCGGCCAAAAACTAGTAAAGATGATATGAACTTCCCAGTTGAAGTTCGGGCCCCCCAAAATGGAGTTCACATCCATCATCAATCGTCGCTCTTCCTAGATTTATGTGCAATCTCGAAAAACTGCCAGTAGCAGTTCCGGTTGTTGTTCGCTGACTGAATGGCTTTCTGGTACGCAAGGCAACGGCGTGTTTGTCCGCCGTGATCTCTTGGTTCGCCCCAGTTGTGCATCGAGTCGACATGTTCTAGCGATAGAGGACATTTCTTTGTTGGCTTTGTCTGAGATTCAACAGATACTCATAGCATCTATCTCCTGCCTGATTGTTTTTGGACCTGTTACTTTGGTCTTGTATGGTAAAGTATCTTGTTGTATGGTAGCAGTCCCAGCAACTATTTCGGCCTCGCTGAATGACTTCCTCGATCTGATTATCGACTCGGGCTAGACTTGATGCATAGAGTAACTAGCGCTTGCAGCCAGGCGTGGCTGATGGTGGCTCTCATTATCTTGACCCAGCTTCACAGACTGATACGCCTCGAGCGACAATCCAGGTCTTGCCCCATGCAGGACGTGAAGTTCACCACTCGTGCCGATTTATGACTAGCACACCTCATCATATTCCATGTGGACCTGGTCAGTCATGCCCCAGGTGTCATTGCATCGGTGGCCTTTGGCAGACTCAAGTATGTCGATCACAGAGAATCCGACCAGATATTCATCGCTGTTTCAGGAGGCCTTCAAGTTGCCTTCAACCCTAGACGGCAGGGGAGTTCCACTGCCCAAAAGCCTGGAATAGACCGCGTTGTTGAACACCCCGCTCTCATGGCTAGTAGCGCAAGGATCGTGTGCTTCCACAACATGATGCTCTTCCAGCGCCCTCGCTTTCCACTCTCGCAGCAGTTGCTCGATTCACGATGGGTTGGGAGACAGGGATACCGAACGAAGGTTCACGGGTTTGGGATCGGGGATGGTGTGACGCAAGCAGGAACACAAACAGCATACTCACCCGTCTTCCTTCATGTTGATGCCACCGTAGTCGGGTTGCGGCCTGTCTGGCTCTTTGTTTTCGTTTTGGGTGCCATCAAAGCCGCTTATAGGATGGTCTTGACCAGAGGGTTCTGTCTCAAATGATGTGGGGTCATAGGCGATCTCTGGCTCTTCACCATATCCTGGGGCATCACTGGATCTCGCGGCTGCGTCATTCGGAGCAGACTGGGTTGCCACAGGAGCGGCAGTATTACCAGACCCCGTATTCTCGTCGCCCTCATACCTGGAGAGCACAAGGCGTTATTAGTACGGCTAGGCGCAAGAGAGCTACCGCGAACGCGGTGAAGCGAGGGCAATGAGAGAGTCAACTCACAGATCGGCGAAAAGATCTTCTTCGACTTCATCGGGTTCCGCCATCTTACACGAGGGGTTGGAAGAACCGAGATGGTAAGACTGTCGTTCCTGTTACGCCCTCGACCGCAAGCAGCTCCTCAAAGGAAACAGTCTGCGACAAGTCGGAGCAAGTCAGGCGGCTAGAGGGAAGACAGACGTCGAAAGACAGATGCTACAGATGTCAGAAGTGTGATCTGGTGAGGAGTGTCTGTCCAAGAGACAAATGAAAACGAAGGTAAGATAAGGTGAGTGATGAGTGTCTGTTCAGAAGTGCTGGACTCGAAGGCTGCCGCCCTGCAATTCAAGTGACAAAGAAGCTGAGTTGCGTGAAGTTCGGCGCAGGCTTGGCATTAGTGTCACGTGCTGGTTATAAGGCACCACTATGACTAATTACTAGTACTACTACATCCCAGTTGTGCCAGTACCTAATCGTTAGATACCCCGCTAGGTGCCCCGTACTCCGTGTTGTGTACGGAGTTATGTAGTACCTAGAGTATTTGAAGACCCCCCTAGGGGTTTACCCTGGAACCTCCCCAGGTATCCTCCAAGTCCTCTCTGCCAGAGTCACGCAAGTGTTATTTGGTGCAATGTTCGTTGCTTGTGCACACAGTAACAAAGCGCAGAGCCACGTGTCACTCAAGCTGGAGGACTGAGGCTGTTTACAAAGGGACCAGCAAGATGGCAGCCAAGCGGTCGCTCTCTCTCCTCGTCCCTCTCATCGGGTTGGCGATTTACAGCCAAGCGAGTTATTTGTGGAAGCTGATCGGTCGAGTCGACATTGATCAACCAAGACTCGTCCGCTGGGAGAACAGCACCGCCCTGAACAATCACGACTGTGAGGTGATACGTGCAGCCAACGCATGCGAAGATGTAAAGATACACTTCCCGTCGCAGACTGCTTTTCTGGCATGTGGAGATCCTCTGGAACGAACTCACTGGTACCCCTGTGCTGGTGTGCGCACAGTCAAACTCCGAGCGGAGTCTTCCTTTCGTGAGCAGCTGTTCAAATACGATGCGAAAACAGGTCAGACCACGGCCTTGGAGTTACATGGGCTCCAAGGAGATTTTGTCACACATGGCCTCGACATTCTGCCTCTGCCCGAGGATCCTTCGAAGGTCTTGCTCCGTTCATGGGAGTGCCAGGCCTACGCAAGCTGACTCCCGTTCAGATTCATATCTTCGCCGTCAATCACGCCCGGGATGGCGATTCGATTGCCATTTTTGTTCATGAGCTCGGTTCTTCTGCCGCCCAGCTGGTTAAGAATGTCAAGCATCCGGCCATAAAGACGGCAAATGGGGTTGCTGCTACAGGTCCACTGTAAGGCAGTCACGATTGCTACAGATTCGGGCAGCTATACTCACGTGCACAGGAGCTTTTTTGTTACCAACGACCACTATGCCGCAAGCGGTCCTTTGCGCGTGCTGGAGGAGCAGTACGGCCCCTTTACGTGGTCCAGCGATGTCCAACATTGCGATGCACACTCTGAGGTACGTGTACGATTGGAGCTCCTTGGTAGCCCCGCGCCGGCTCACTGAGGAAAGGATGTCTCTTGCAAGCAAGTCGGGGGTGGAACCTTCCCCAATGCGAATGGCATCAATCTGTGGCAGGACAGGCTCTTTGTCGGCGACGCCAGGAACGGGACTGTCACGGTATTTGAGATCCATCCGGATAAGACGCTCACAAAACTCCGAGTCGTGGTAAGTATTGACTTCTCACCCGCGCAGAGGACAGCAAATATACTCAACCATATATGCTAGGACGTAGGGGCAGGGGCAGATAACATCAATATTCTTCCAACAACAGGAGATCCCATCATTGCAGGTCAGCATGAATTCGGCGACGTACTCAGTACGGCCGCAGATGCTAATCTCAGCAGTGTTTCCTACGCTCGAGGATCTTCCGACGTATCTCGACAATGTCAAATCCCTTGGAAAGGAGTTCTTGGTGCCGGCGGCCGCGCTTCGACTGGATCACACAAACGATTATGCACCTGAGCTGATCTATTTCGACGATGGTTCCGTCGTCAGCTTCATGACCGCGGTTGCAGTAGATCCGGTGGACGGCTTCCTCATCGTGTCGGGCATCCTACAATACGGGGGCTTTGCGGTATGCAAAGTGCCGCCAGATGCATTCGCGCGAATCTCGCCCCAACCCTGAGCTTCAAGCATTCAATACCCACCGACCACTCTGGCAATAACTCAATCAGGACGGCTACGGGAGGGTTGAGCCTTGATGTTGACGACGGTGGCAGAAGACGAAGCTATCAAGCTTCACGTGACCGTGTCTTCATAGCACGTGTTGAGTTTGAGGCGCCGGCAAATACTAGTAGTAGGTCGAACACGTGTTTCTTTGGCTTTAAAATCATAGGTACCTGCAGATTGAGGCGAGGGAACAGAGGATTGATCCTGAGAAAATTCATTGATTGTTACAATCGTGCTGAAAGACCGCTGTTGTCCTTCCAACTAGCCCTCGCCTGAGGGTTACGGGACACGCTGTTGATCCTTCGAGGGACCACAGCCTCGTGAACAGCGAAACCGTTTTCCACCCCGGTGAAACGCCATGCGCTAACAAAAGTCGTATCGACCCAGTCAACCATTCAGTTGGCCCATCCTTTGCTCATTTCCACCGCTTTCTCCCACCGGGCAAAGCGGGTGGCACTCTCCTCCTTGCTGATGCTAGGCTTAAAGATCGTGGTCCCCTCGTTGTTGACCTCCCTGAGTTCGTCGATGCTCTCCCAAACATCCACTGCGAGACCGGCCGCGATGGCTGCGCCTAGAGCGGTGGTTTCGCGCATGGCCGGCCGCCTGACCGGAATGCTGACGAGATCGGATTGGACCTGCATAGTGAGGTCGGAGTTGCACATCCCACCATCAACGGCCAACTCAGCCAGGGTGTGCCCACTGTCCTTCTCCATGGCCACCAGGATAGCCTTGGTCTGGAAGCAAGTCGCCTCCAGAGTTGCACGGGCAATGTGACCACGCTTGGTGTATGCCGTGATCCCGAAGATGGTACCTCGAGCGTCATCGATCCAGTAAGGAGCGAAAAGACCACTGAAAGCCGTCACGAACGTAACGCCACCGTTGTCTTCGACAGTTTCGGCCAGTTGGCTGACCTTGCTCGATGACTCGATGAAGCCGAAGTTGTCAACGAGGAACTTGACGCTCGATCCGGCAACCGCAATGCTACCTTCGAGAGCGTACATGGGCTTGTTCTTGCCACCGAAGTCAAATGCCACCGTGGTCAAGAGACCGTGCGTGGAAATGACCGGCTTGTCTCCCACATTGTAAAGAATGAAGCTGCCCGTTCCATATGTATTCTTTGCAAGGCCAGGGGAAAAGCCCTTCTGACCCACCAGAGCGGCCGACTGATCACCCAAGCAGCCCGTGATGGGGACTCCTTTCAAGACGGTCGAATTAAGTGAGCCGTATGCAGAAGGGTCGGACGAATGGACAATCTTTGGCAAATGGACTTTCTCGGTGTCGACCCTGAAGAAGTCGAGAAGTGAATCGTCGTAGCTGAGTGTGTGGATGTTCATGAACATTGTTCGGGATGCGTTGGAGGGGTCTGTGACGAAGATGTTCCTCTTTATGCCTTCCCACACGTTAGCAGAGAACATTCCGAGCCACGGGAGAGGTATCTCTCACCTCCATTGAGCTTGAAGACCAGCCAGGTATCAATGGTTCCGAAAGCCAAAACTCCCTTTTCATATGCAGCCTTGACCTTTGGCACATTCTCAAGCAGCCATAACAGCTTCCCCACCGAGGGATAGGTGGACAGAGGCAGGCCACAGATCTCGGTGAGTTTGTCGGAGCCCAGACGATGCTTCAGCTTCCGCACCAATGCTTGCGTGCGTGTATCAGTCCAGACGATGGCATTGTACAAGGGCTCGCCAGTCTCCTTATCCCAGAGTACAGTCGTCTCGCGCTGGTTGGTGATGCCGATGGCCTTGATACTGTCCAGGTTGTGGCCTTGGTTTTCAAACTGGTTGCACGCCTCGTCGATACATCGTTCGACCGAAGTCACAATCTCTAGCGGATCATGCTCGTGCCAGCTGCAGCGGCCAGTCAGTAGACAGCTTCACTTGAATTGCAAGGCGGAAACGAACCCAGATTGCGGATAGATCTGCTTAAACTCGAGTTGATGCGAAGCAACTGGCTCGCCCTGCTTGTTGAAGATCAAAAACCGGGAGCTGGTTGTTCCCTGATCAATGGAGCCGACAAAGACCTCTGGCACGGAGCCCATCTTTAACACTTGGTTATCACGTTGCGGAAAGCGCTAATAAAACTGGTCTGAGTGCAACAGACTGGGAATAGGGTTGGAGACAGATGGGGGGCTGACAGAACCTGGGGAGAGGGAAGACAGGCGATATATAGACATCGCGGGGGACGATCGAAGCATGTGGCCCTGTGCTCAGTACCACGCGAGAAATGACATGCGGTCGTATGACCTTGGTCCAAATTACAGTGCCATCATAAGCGGGTCAAGACCGTCCAGCGGGAGAGGCTCCTCGGTATCCAGCATGATCTTTTCCCCGAGCCTGGAGAGCGACAGAACCCCGAACTCCACAAAGCAACAACTCCAGAGTCCGCACTGGCGGCCAACCCGGCCGAGGCGAAGGGAGGAGGGAGGAGGGCGGAGGGGGCAAAAATGCCAATCCCCGAGAGATTAGGCAGGGGTCAGCTGTATCGGCGGGGGGATCAGGCGACGGAGATGCAGAGATCCAGGGCCAAAGACCACTTGCAGCAGGTTAGGAAGTAGCTACCGGAGGTGGGATACGCCAACAGCTGATTGCGGGGTGGTGGGCAACGGAGGAATGGGGGACAGGGAGCAGGGAGCGGGCACGAGGTCGGGGTGCATACCCCGAGATGCAGCGCCCGGGCCGGACGATGGAGAAGGGCGGGGTCACGTGCGGGGTCACGTGCGGGAACTCCGGCACCACCGGCAGACCCAAAACTCGTGTGCGTACCTAGTACGTACCTATCAAGAAATACGCCTGGGAAAACCAGTATCCACCAACGTCGGCCCATGGATCACGAGTCCTTTCAAAGGTTGCATCCTCGCCGCTCGGACCACACAGGCAAAAGTTGAACAGATGTTCATGGCAGATTCTGTTGCATGAGCCATGAGCCTGGGGAACAAAGAACATCGGGTGTTTGTAGGACAGACACCTTTCTTGCCTCGACAAGGTTTGTCTGGTAAGGTATAGAAACAGCTAAGTTCATATATACTTCTAGCGTCCTCGCGCTCTCTGCATCTCGGGCTCGGAATCCGATTCTCGGCACTTGGTATTGTCAAGTACACGCGAGCAAACGTGGGTTGTTTAAGTTCGGCCCACTCTGGTGGCATTGTTCTAGAATCCGCGCCAGCCGCAACAGTGATTACCGACCGACGTGCTGGGCCCTTGTGCATACTCGGCCGTGGTCACACTACCTACAGACCCTTGGTGCGCCGGAGTATCAGGGGGGAGGCAGCGGAGACATGGAGAGAGCTGACCACCTCCTACCACATATATAACATGATCTTTCCCCCATGGGCATCCATCATATCCTCATCCTTCCTCCCCACAACTCCAGATAAAATTCTCTTTAACAGCTTGCCACTCGGGCCTCTCTCCGTTCCATGTCCCAGTCACTGTCTTCCTCTTCGTCATACTTGGAAAAGCATCCCGATCCAATGGCCAAAGTTGACCACAACGAACACCTCGATGTTCCCCTAACCGACAGGAGGCAAACCACGGTGCCAGAGGTGCCGGCCTTTGCCGAGCATGGCCCTCTTGTCGACCACAAGGTGCCCCAGGCGGATGTCGTCCAACAAGAGCCCGACTTGGCTTGGAGTCGGATTCGACACACTCTCCGAGAGCCTTTATCCGAATTCTTCGGCGTCTTCATTTTGATCATGTTCGGCGACGGTGTCGTCGCTCAGGTCGTTCTCAGCAATGGCGAAAAGGGCGATTACCAATCAATCTCCTGGGGCTGGGGGTGAGTTTTCCATTTCTGGTGGTCATTCACTGTCGCCACCACCAAACATGCTAACCGTCTTTGTTACAGTCTCGGTGTCATGTTGGGCGTCTATTCATCGGGAATTTCAGGGGCCCATTTGAATCCCGCCGTGACCCTGGCGAACTGCATCTACCGCAAATTCCCGTGGCGAAAGTTCCCAATCTACATGCTTGCTCAACTGCTGGGCGCCATGGCGGCGGCGGCCGTCGTCTATGGCAACTACAAATCGGCAATTGATGTCTTTGAGGGAGGGCCAGGCATCCGCACCGTCGGGGGCGCGACCTCGACTGCGGGTATCTTCTGCACCTACCCTGCCGAGTTCATGACCAAGACAGGTCAATTTTTCTCGGAATTCATTGCCAGCACTCTCTTGATGTTCTTGATCTACGCCCTAAAGGACGATGGGAACATCGGCGCCGGTCCTTTGACCCCTCTCGGCCTGTTCTTCATCATTTTCGGCATTGGTGCATGCTTTGGCTGGGAGACTGGCTATGCCATCAACCTTGCCCGTGACTTTGGCCCTCGTCTGGTCTCTTACATGATCGGCTATGGCCATGAGGTTTGGTCCGCCGGTGGCTACTATTTTTGGGTGAGTTATCTCGGCACCTCCTCCAATAGTCTCGAGATTTTGAAGCTAATACGTACCCCCAGGTTCCCATGGTCGCTCCTTTCTGTGGCTGCGCATTTGGAGGCTGGCTCTACGATATGTTCCTCTTCACCGGTGAAAGCCCGATCAACACTCCATACCTGGGATTGCAACGCTTTTTCCAACCCAAGCGATCCGTCTGGTCAAACACATACAGCGACAGCCAGGTGTGAGTCGGCAATGAGGAAGAACCCCGGAGGGAAAACAAAGGCACTTTAAATACACACCCCTAGCTGGCACAGGTGTTGCGCTTTGAGGGAATTACTATGTAGTACAGCGATCATGGAGTGGATATCTGGGAGAAAATTCACGCGGTACGTGTCTATCACGAAACGTGGTGGTGACGAAGTCGCTGGCTGGCGTGTCAAGCGACAGGTTTGTCAACTGTACATACATATGGTCACCAAGTACATTGGGGCGAAGCATATATCTAAAATGACTCGACGACAATGACTGTTCATGTTCAATCTTGGTTGGTGGGCAAGCCACAGGACACGCTCGTGTATTTTTCTGCTCTCCACTGGGACGTGAAGTCTTGGGGACAATTTGACAACTGGAACACATGTTGGCTGGCAAGCGACCCGCTATGAGTCTGAACACGAGCAAACCCACTATCCACACTGGCAGGGAGTTTGCAGTATACTGGATAAGGTACGCACAACAGGAAGAAGACTGCGACGGATCCATGACTATTATTTTCCTTTTTATAAGTTGGCTCTCGTGTATGATCGAAGGAACGAAGCTGGTAATTCACACACTTGACGCAGCATCGAAACCTATGACCCAAGGCGCATGTGAAAATCGCCAGCCAGGCGAAATGCTCTGGAGTCTGTCTGTACAGAGTTATAAGATGCGGCGGGTCTCGCCCCAATATCGACATCCACTCCCTTCCTTTTTTTCACCTCAGACCACAATTTCCTCACAGTACGTACGAACTCATGTGCATACTAATTACCACTGGGTCCTGTGCATATTGGGCGGAAATTTCCCATGGATCTTGAATCTCGGCCCCGTGAGAGCGGTTTTGCAGACGCGCAAAAGATGTCTGCCTTACATACCTAGGTACCTTAGGTACCCGGGTGACCAAGTAAGTGCAGCATCGAGAGCTGAATCAGTCAGTATTACGATCGTTCGGGGACTCCACGGCTTCTGAGCACCGGCAGCCACGACACAATACGTATGTTCGTGAGGTTATCATGGCAACTTGGAATAATGCCACTGCTCCGTACGTACCTCGTACTGCGGAATGAAATTTTGCCAAACGTCGCCTCCCTTCAATACTGCCCTTCACCTGCCTTACAGCAGACCAACCCCTCTCCTCTCTCTCCACCGTGATCCATGCATGACGAGTGTAACGCTGCTAGTGTCTCTGATCTGGCGCTAGTGGCGGACTAGCGGAGGTCATGCACCGAGTCTGGCCTGTGGTTGGAGGAGGGTGGGAACAAAAACGCCGAACAAACCCCATCGGGCGGTATATTAAGTATGGTACGGAGTACATATATTATACGTGCCCACGTGATCTCATGCGCCTCGGGCTATCTAGTCCGAGCCCCTTCGTGCTTGGCATTTCGGTGCGCAGACCCCGAGACGCAGAGACTCCGCCCCTCCCTCTCCGCTCGCTCGGCTGCCCGGGAATCCCTCAGCCCTCATACCCTCAACCCTCAATCCTCAGCGCGTCTGTCGCCTTCTCCGCAGCTCGGCACCAGCGACCGTAGAAGTCTGTCTGGTCAGCCGTCATCACGCATCACGCGTGATCCAGCAGATCTGGGGATACCGTATGCCCCTGCCTACCTCTGACAGCCTCATGAGACCAAAGGCGATCGATCGTGGCCCAGAAGCTCGGTCCTTTATCCGTACATGCCCCGACCAATTTCGCAGTCAGTCAAGAAGGCAAATCTCTCTTTTGGTCACGTTGTCTTGGAGCTTTCGTCTCCTCTCCCTCGCTGACTCTGCATTCACCCTTGAGATAAATGCAGCTGCAGTTCCACCTTGACTTCGTCAACACATCAAAGCAGTGCATCCATCTCCTTATTCTGAAATCTTTCCTCAGGCCTCGACGGCCGTTGAGCTGACCAACTAGCTTGTACTACTCCTCCCTTCCTCTTCACCATGGCGTCACGGTTCGCTTCCCGTCGGCTTCTCAAGCCATTGGCCTACGGCACCGGAGTTGCCGTGGCTGGTACCACGGTCCTGTACATGATCTACCGCCCTCGAAACGTCCCAGGCGCAGAGACGCTTGCTCCCAAACCGCCAAAACGAAATGCGAACGGTGACATCATCCCTCCCAAGTTCCCGTACATAAAATCAAGAGCGGAACAGATTGCAGACTTGAAGAAATCGTCATCTGCTCCGTCTTCCGAGATATACGACCTCCTTATCATTGGCGGAGGAGCCACAGGCACAGGTATCGCGCTTGACGCAGCTACTAGAGGCTTGAAGGTTGCCATTGTGGAAAGAGACGATTTCAGCAGCGGAACAAGTAGCAAGTCCACCAAGCTTGTCCATGGTGGTGTACGATACCTGGAAAAGGCGGTTTGGAACCTGGACTACAACCAGTACCAATTGGTGAAGGAGGCCCTGAGAGAGCGGAAGAGCTTCTTGTACACTGCACCACATCTGTCGTCATGGCTCCCGATTATGCTTCCTTTACAGAAATGGTGGCAGTTACCGTACTTCTGGGCTGGAACCAAGTTCTACGACCTCCTCGCCGGGTCTGAAGGAATCGAGAGCTCTTATTTCCTACCGAGAAGTAAAGCTCTAGACGCCTTCCCCATGCTGAAAAAGGACAACCTGGTCGGAGCCTTGGTATACTACGACGGTCAACACAACGATTCTCGCATGAACGTCTCCTTGGCTATGACTGCAACTCTATATGGAGCTACCACAGTCAACCACCTGGAAGTAACTAGTCTTGAGAAGGACGCAAGCGGGAAACTCACAGGTGCCCGAGTACGCGATCTCGTTTCTGAAACGGACGGAACCCCTACAGAGGATTTCGTAGTGAAAGCCAAGGGTATCATCAACGCAACCGGGCCTTTCGCAGATGCAATTCAGCAAATGGACGAACCGAATATCAAAGAGATCGTCGCACCAAGTCTCGGTGTGCACGTCGTCCTCCCCGGTTATCTCAGTCCTCAGAATATGGGCCTGATCGATCCATCCACATCAGACGGCCGAGTCATCTTTTTCCTGCCCTGGCAAGGCAACACCATTGCTGGGACGACAGACTCGCCATGCGCAATCGAGGCGAACCCAGTTGCCGGTGAGAAAGATATCCAATGGATTCTAGACGAGATCCGGACATATTTGACTCCTGATATCAACGTCCGGCGATCCGACATCCTCGCAGCCTGGTCAGGTATGTTTTTCGTCCACACTGAACCCCAAATACATTGCAAGCTAACATGACCTGGTTCAGGTATCCGACCCCTTGTGCGCGACCCTAAATCCAAGAACACCGAATCCCTTGTTCGCAGCCATCTCATTACCGTTTCGGACTCTGGTCTGTTGACCTGCGCAGGTGGCAAATGGACCACTTACCGACAGATGGCCGAAGATGCGGTCGACAAAGCCATCGAAGCCTTTAAGCTGCAGCCTAAGCCTGTCAGCTATGTGCCAGACATCAGCGGCGTGAACGGTATCGATCCTACAGTCAATCTGTTGGACGGAAGTTGCCAGACACACCATATCCGCCTGGTCGGCGCGCACGGCTACTCGACGACCCTGTTCATCAACCTGGTCCAAGAGTTCGGTCTTGACGTTGATGTCGCCAAGCACCTGGCTAGCGACTATGGTGATCGCGCCTGGGACGTTGCAGCATTGGCTTCCCCGACCGACAATTCCGAGCACTACCCGCTGCGTGGCCATCGTCTGTCGTCCCTATACCCCTTTATTGACGGCGAAGTCCGGTACGCGGTGCGCAGCGAATACGCCCAGACCGCCGTGGACGTCCTCGGGCGCCGTACGAGACTGAGCTTCCTCGATGCGCGTGCTTCGCTGCACGCTCTCCCCAAAGTGATTGACATCATGGGCGAGGAGCTCAAGTGGAGCGATAAGAGAAAGGATGCTGAGTGGAAAAACACCGTCCACTACCTGCTGAGTATGGGCCTGCCCCAGGACTTGCTCAACATCACACGCGCCGAGGTAGAGCAGGGCCTGGCGGACTCGAGCGATCTTGCCCCAGCCCAAGGGGCATCCACGGCCGTGGCGCCTTTCAAACCGTCGTCCGAGCCGACCGGCCAAGCGCATGCGCCTCTTCCTTGAACGCGGGCCTGAGTCGAGGAAGTGGGGTTGATTGTCGTGCGTCGTTGCGTGTTGCTGATCATCATCGGTCTCACCATGTGTGTGCCTCTACTTGGGTTGGATCTAGGGCAGAGCAAAAGTCGTATTCAAAATGTTGAACACTACGGAGCAGGGCGTTTGGGGGGGGCATACTGTCAAGGTATGCGGCATCATTATATGGCTTGAGGGAAGAGATATCAAAGGCCCTAAGGAATCGTATTTATCTACTACTAGCCGGTATAGGCATCGAAAAGGAATGGCAGGCCGCACAGGAATTCACCATGCGAGCACACTGTCGGGACATGGTCTAGTTATTTAGGCTGGGTATATATATTCAGGATAAAGAAGCTCTACCCTTATGAATTTGAGACCCGGTCAACACACCTCGCAAACGAGAGCCCTATCCGAGTCGTCGTGCTCTCTGTGCCTAGAGAGCGATGCCTACGCATAATTTTTAAAAAGTTCCCGGTTAGGTTGCGATATTTTAGACAGGGTGGGTGACACTGGTCATCGATGTTTGATCTCACGTGCCACAGTGTCAACGTCAGGGCCTGCCTTCCCTCCGTCTCTGCTTCTGCACCTTGCTTCCTTGTTTGAAATGGCGGGCAAGGACAGCTGGGCAACAAGTCGACGCAGATTGAAACGCGTCAGACAGGGGGGCCTCGTATTTCAAGAGCAGTCAAGCTACTCGTATGGCGGCTTGAAAACCAGCCAATCCGACTCCGGATTCGGGATCACAAACGCCGGTGTGGCCCGGTGGGACGGGGTTTGCGACTGCGGACCTTGGGTCGGGGTAGAGGTCGGGGTCGAGGTGCTATGGTTCGCCACAGTACCGGCAGAGCCAGTTACGATGAGAGAAGGGTCGAACCCGTGGCCCGCAATGGCGTCGAGACGAGGGTAGTTGAAAAAATCGAAAACTTCAAGGATTTCGAGCTCGCTTTGCGACGAGTTGTGCGTGGCAGGCGGTTCGAGGATGGAGCGGGGCCGTTGCGCGGTCAAGAGGTTGAGTTCGTAAGCATGTCTAAACACGAAACAGATCAGTACAAGTTACTTTTCAAGATAGGATATGCGCAAGTTACTCAAGAATATACTTACCTCCTCATTGTGGTAAAGGTTCGCCGCCCAGACCCAGTCTTGCCCTCCTGCACGACGTCGTTTAGAATCCGAGCATATTCCCTGGCAACCTGCCAGTGCTGGCCCATCTGTTCCAATGTGGATATGAAGAAGGAGATTTTCGGATCCACGTCGCATTCCATAGTCGCAGCATGGACGAGGAGGAGCCTCGCCGAGACCCAGAGAGAGAATGCGAATGGATGGCCAAGCAGAGCGAGCATGCCGGTATTGAGGACATCTTGGGCAATCTCACGGAGACTCTCTACGGCGCCGAGACATCGCTGTATAGCATGGTAGGAAGGCGTGAAGACGGGCGACTTTATCGTAGGATACGCGGCCGATGAGTGAAGCCGAATGACGGACGTGACAAAGGCTGCATGGAGCATGATCCAGTTGGAGATCCGACTCCCAGGATCAGAATGACAGAGTTGCGAGATCTTGCCGTATTCGCCAGGCAGATTGTGTAGCCAGCTGTTCAGTTCGCCGTCCAGCTCTCTGTAATTCTCACGCCATTTTTGTATGTCCGAGTGACAAGTGATATCCAGAGGCTGATGGAGGAATCGGTGGATGCGACTTAGAATGCCCAGCACTTCGCAGTGGTAGGAGAAACTTCCCAAATTTTCTGGCTTGTTGACAATCATTTCGGACGGGGCGCCCCGGCGATGCCATCGTGTCTCGACAGGCTCGTTCCGTGACAACAAATCATACCGACATGGGAGACATCTGTCCATTTCTCTTTCGTCCAACATGAAAGCATCCGCAGTTGCCACTGTGGCATACCTGTCCAGCACGAATGTCATCCAGCACAAGCGCCGCCGCTCTTCGTTCTCAATCCAAGACTTGGGTTGGGAAGCTTGAAGCAGTGTGGCCGATGGATACGCACTTGACTCCAGGTACGCACCCTTCTCCACATCTAGTCCCAGCTGGACGATATTACGAGCCAGAAGAGCCAACAAGTTCCAGCCCTGCTGACCGTTCGATGTCCCAAGAACGTCGACAGCGAGGATGACCAGAGCTTGCAAGGCTCTTACGGTAGGATGATCCAGCGCGTACAGCATGATTTTCCGTCGCGATATCTCGTGAAATTGACTCCTGGACTCCGGTGTCAAGCGCGGATCCTTAGAGAACCGTAGAGTTGTCGCCACGATGGCGTGCAGCAGTATTCGATCAGATTCATCCATCGATTGAGAGCCAAAGAATGCATCGAATGTTGCTTTACGATCGAGGATAGGCGACCAGGGATTGACATGCTTGAAAAATAAATCGACCAAGGTGTAAAGGAGATCATACGGAGGAAGTTCTGAATCAGGCAGTAATGATGGCGCCGGGGTTGATGTTGGGTACCAGGCCGCTGAAGTGGCTCGGTCACTTTGGGACATCAGGTCATGGTGGTGATTGTTGTTGTTATTATCAACGACAGAACGAATGGACATGGCATCTTGAGGCCGAGGATATTGCATCCGTTCGTAGGCATTCCCCGTGGGCCATCTCGTGTCCGAGCCAGGAGTATCTTGAGAGACTATGCTGGCGTTTGACGGGCGAGGCTCATTCTGGGAGTACGGTGGATACGGCGGTGGTTGAGAGACGCTCATGTGGACGGAACCTGGGCGATGTTGAGAATAGTCGCCATGTTCAGTAATATGGTCCTCGAGTCGACGACCCATCACTTGCAGAAGAGCCTCTAGCCGGTTGATCTTTTCCTCAAGTTCGCGGCCATATCCTACCCGGAGGCCCGGTTTCTGCCTCTCCTTGTAGATGCATACTCGATTATTGCGCGCACACCAACCACAGGATGGCTCGACTCGGTCGCATTTTACTTTTCTTGCCTTGCACAGCTCACAGCTAGGGAAGACCACTTAATGCTTGGTTCTTGGGGACGGTGGCCGGTTTGTGCGAGTACTCACGAGATTTTCAAAGACCTCTTCCTTTTCTTACTAGCGTTCCCGGAGTGCGACGCAGTGTCGGGGTCCTCGTTTTCCGCATCGCTACCAGACACTGACGAGTTTCTGTCCTCGGAGGCCTCCGCTGGAGATGTCTGGCCAGCATGAAATGTTGTCATTTGAGAGGTGGAAGTGGAGACTGATGCGCTCTGCGCTCAGCGACGATGAGACAACAATGACAGAACAATAAGAAGTCCAAGTTCAAGAAACACCGAGGGACCGAGCTCGGCGGCTCTGGGATGGAAGCTCGACAAAACCGATCGGCCGTGGCACACTCGTCTCGCTTGGTCGATTATTATTGATCCCAGCACCACCCCACAGCCGCCACCCACAATTTCCCCTCCAAAATTCTCCTTCCGATTGTCCGGTCAAGGCTCAAGGAGTGGCGGGTGGGAACTCGTTGATGCAGCCAGTCTTGAGGGCTTAGGCTGGAAGTGGCCGTCTCGCCATTGCTGACAGACAGATGCCGAGGAACGAAGGCTGGAGATGGAGATGGGTCTTGAGGTTACTTTGCTAGACTGAGAAGGGTCTCGTGTGCAGTATCAACTCGGGATGAAAAACGCATAGGCGTGGTCGTGGTCGTAGAGGCAGAGGGGTGGCTCCTGGTGGCAGTGGTGGCAGTGGTCGAGTATGTACTCCGTAGTAAGCAACGAGAGGCAATTACGGAGTACGGTCGAGGGCGCAGGCAGTCACGTGGCATTATTCCCAGTCCGACGCAACATCAGCCTCGTTCTGTTCAACGGCGCCCGCAGTGATAAGATGGATGTCCATGTCCTATCCAGTGATGCCCTCGACCTTTCCGCCGTCCCGTTTCCAGGACGGTGACCGTGGTTGTACATCTCTCCCATGACCCAAACAACAAAGCAGCGTAGACTATGGTGTGATTAACTAAATAGCGGAACCTTCAGCCTCCTCCCCCTTCGTCCTTTTACTAGCTTCTACATCCTCAACCTCGTCCACAAATTCCACTTTCCGCTTGCCATTACTCTTGGTCGTCCGAGAACCAGACTCTTCGGCAACTGCTGGCACGGCTGCAGGAGTGGACGCCGCAGATCCCAAACCACTGTCACCGCCATTTGCCTGTGCATTTTTAGGCTTCTTCCTCTTCACCAACCCAGTTAAATCGGTGGCTGTCTCTGAAACCTGTGCCAGTTTTGCCTTCCTCTCCTCTTCAGAAGCACCACTGGCAAAGATGTTTCCAAGGACCCCGGAGATCTGCTCTTTCATCTCATTGTCCGTCTCGGCCTTCACACTGACAGGTGGGCTGCGAAGCTCAGAGAGCCGAACTTCCATCTCACCGATCATATCCTGGACGTCTTTGATATGCGCCATGGCCTTGTCCTTCTGAGCGCCTGCCTCTATCGTGTCTAGGGCTGCAGTTTCTTTTGCAACACGCAGTTTGCAACAGTCGATAGCTTTTTCTTGCTGGGCAACAGCTTCGTTCCGAATGTCCCAGTCGACTTGAATGTCGCCCGTGGGGTTGCCGTCCACATCACGCTGTTGCGTCTGCGAAGCAAATTCGAGAGCTAAACTGAGTTTGTAATGACATTCGGCCAAGATACTTGACTCGGGAGATTCGAGCTCCTCGCGCAAGGCAAGACACGCCTTGAGGTCTGTCACAGCAGCTGAATATTTCTCCCCTTCCAGGGAAACTTCTGCCTGGAGATCGTAGATATCGGCCACACGTGCTTTGAGGGATTTGACTTCAGGGGTGAGATCTATCGATGCGACGTACTTCCCTTTCTCGGCGTCCTCCAAGACTGTTTCCTGCGTTTGATCCAGCTTTCGCAGGTACAGGATACGCGCCAGATCTAAAAGCTCGTATGCTGTTGCAAAATCGTCTTCTTCCTCCTCCTCCTCAGCCTCTTGATCTTGGTCTGCCTCGTCGTCTTCCGACTCATCCCAGTTCTCATCATCACCTGTGATTTGAAACAAGGGCTTGTCTGAAGCCGGCTGTTCTGGCTTCACATCATCTTCTGGAACAACATCACCAACGTTTGACACCGGCTCTTCTAGAACTGTCGCCAGCGTGTTGGAGCTCTCACCCGCCGCGGGGCTGCCTGCAGACTCTTCGGCCCTTGCGACGGCATATGCTTTCCGGATCTTAGGGGCCTTCTTGTCCTTGTTGCGCGACAGCTGAGCTGACGCCACCGTCCCACCCAATACCGAACTTGTCTGTTGCGCAACAAAATAGAGGCATTTTCCGTAAGAGTAGTACAGGTCCGCATTTTCTAGTGCCAGTTCCCCGTTGACTTCTGCTTGTAACTCGGACGCCTCGGAGTACAGTTCGGCGGCCTCCGAGTAATGTTTGACGGCATATTCGGCGGTGGCTTTGGCAACAAGTCCAGCCAGCCGTTCTTGGGGCGATTGATTTGAGGCTTCGTCGGCTGGAGGAGCGGCAGTGGACGCCTCTGCCGTTTGAGGATCGGTCGCAGACATGTCGGTGGCTGTCGCAAGTATGATCAAGGAGGAGACTATCACCGCAGATGTTGCCGAGACGCGGGTTGTTCAGTAGATGACGAGGGAGAAAGAGGTGAGGAGTGACTACTAGTAAATATTGCGGTGCCCAGGAGGTTGCCCGGGAATTAAGACGTGCAGTGACATAACTCTGTACATACTAACCGCCATAACTAGTAACTTTTTAACCCCCTCAAAACGCGAGTTGCCGAGACGCGTCTTCCACGCGTTGAGTGTTTTCGTCTCTGGCACTTCTCCTCCACCACCACTACATACTAGGTAGATGCACGAACTTTGCTGCCCGTCCAGAGCCAGAGCCATAGACGACTATGGAAGAGCCGGTCTCGACCCCCAGGCTACCACCTCCAAGTTTCACAGCTAGTTCTGCATTCACGAAGGAGCAGCTTCTCTCTTCCTCGCCAGGATTTGGGACGCCTGCGTATCCAATTGTCAACCGACCCCCCGGGATCAAGCAGCCGTTTGCAGCAAAACCAAATAAGGCGCCAGATAATGTGCCTACCGTCTTACCCATCTTGCTCCCGCCTCAAACACTCCGCCCCGTCGCGTTCAGAACCCTGACAAAGAAGCACAACTTGACCTTAACATCGTCCGGTTTGGGTGTCCTTTCTACGTTTGTGGGCAAGTTCTGCGGCAGCGGCTGGCGAGAAGAGGGCCTGGCAGAGCGCGTTCTCGATGAGGTAGCAAAGTTATGGAAGAGGAATGGAGGCGGTCTCATTGTTGAGGACGGACCGGACAAAAAGCTGTCTAATATCTTCAAGATACTGGAACCATATATGTGCGGTGGGCGGCTCGATATGGCTAAGTTGTCACGCAGCAACAGCGGTATGAGCAGTCCGAACCTATCCAGAACAGTCTCATTCAGCGACCGGCCTGGCTTAAACAGAGATGACAGCCTGGCCAGTTTAGGTGTTTCGGACTTGCACATCGAAGGGAAGGGTGACCAGGACGAGGAAGAAGACCACGAAACACAACTCGATCCACGCTCCTATCTGAAAGTCGTTTCTTCCTTTGATCAACCTCGTTTGGTATACTCGACTTCGAAAAAGTGTTTCGAGCCGGTGGCCGGCCCACCGAGTCTCCTCCCGGCTATACAGCACAAGGTATCAATGTTCCGAAATAGGTATCATCTCGTCCACCAGCGATTGATGAGGAATGAGTCTTTCCAAGCACCCACATTCTCGACAATTGCTCGACCGCCGAGCCTCATGCATTCTGGTAGCAGTGTGGCAACTCTACAACAAGCCTACAAGATCACTCCTATTTCCAACTTGCTGGGTCGATCAGGAACACCGCATCTTCTCCTCGGCATGCTCGTCCATTCAGCAGCGGGTGACCTCGCCCTGTCAGACCTGTCCGGGAGCGTTGTTCTCGACCTGTCAGTTGCGCGACCTGTTCCAGAAGACGGGGCATGGTTCTGTCCAGGGATGATCGTGCTTGTTGAGGGGACGTATGAAGAGGACGGCTCGCACAATTCAAACCTAGGCTCGGCCTCGGGAGTAGGTGGCCAGATCAAAGGCCATTTCAATGTTGACACGATGGCTGGGCCCCCAGCCGAACGACGAGCGACGACCATCGGCACATCCAACGGACCGGAATCGGACAACAACAGCCACACAAGTGTGGGCGCGGGGTTCGGCTGGATTGACTTCTTAGGAGTAGGAAGTGAAAAGGGCATCGGATCGCAAATGAGAAGGATCCAGAACCGGATTTTTGGTGCGCCACCAACCTCTCTGTACGACATCAGCGATACGAGCGGAAGCATCGACGAAGAAGTCCAACCATTACGAACCAAGATCGCCATTCTGGGCGAATGCACCCTAGACAGTCCCCGCACACTCGAAGCTATCCGAGCCATCCTGAGCTCGTACAGCGCGTCCAGCAGCGAGATCGTAGATTTACCCCTCTCCATTGTGATGATGGGCAATTTCGCCTCTGCGGCCTGCATGGCTGGGTCCACGAAGGGAGGGGGAAGTGTCGAGTACAAGGAGAACTTTGACGCGTTAGCGTCTGTGCTATCCGAGTTTCCCTCCCTCCTGTCAAGCACCACGCTCGTTTTCGTTCCAGGCGACAATGACCCGTGGGCAAGTGCCTTCTCTGCGGGCGCTGCGGGGGTCCTCCCGCGCCCTGGGGTGCCCGAGATATTCACGTCGAGGATACGAAGAGCCATTGCAAATGCCAACCTTGAAAAGGGCAGGAAGGACAAGAACTCGCCTGCAGGAGAGGCCGTTTGGGCGACCAACCCTGCACGAATGAGCTTGTTTGGTCCATTGGAAGACATCGTCCTGTTCAGAGACGACATCACGAGCCGCTTCCGGAGAAACGCCATCACATTCTCCAAGCTCGACGGCGATGACGATGAAGATATGGTCGAAGACGGATCCAACAACGCTGGCATTGGTTCGGAGCAGCCAGCACCCGCAATAGACACGGAAGACGAGCGTCTTGACGTGGCTTCGGACATGGACATGGACAAGGACGGTCTCGACAGAAGAGTGCACGAAGCAACCTCACACCTCCCTTCGGCCGTCAGCGTGCCCACCACTGCCACCAGCAAACCCAACGGCTACACCCTCCACGCCGCTCGCAAACTCATCAAAACCGTCCTCGACCAGTCTCACCTCGCGCCCTTCGCGCACTCCATCCGCCCTGTGTTCTGGGACCACGCGTCTTCACTCTCATTGTACCCCTTGCCCACAGCACTGGTGCTCGCCGACTCGGAAACCCCGACTTTCGCAATCACGTATGAAGGCTGCCTTGTCATGAATCCGGGGAGAGTCGTGGACGAGATGGCCATGAGCAGAGCCGCTGCGAGGGGCGCCGGCGTGGGCAGGTGGATCGAGTACGATGTGAAAACCAGAAAGGGCGAGAGTAGAGAGGTGAGGTTCTGAGCAGGGAATTCCAGGAGCAGGAGGAAAAGCGAGTGCGAGTCCAGACCAGGTTACGGTCGTATAGAACATGTTGAGCGATGGGCTTTTGGGAATGAATCATGACTAGTATAGTATGCCGGCCGGACGAGAGCAAGGCAGACAGGAAGGAGCAGGAACCAACTTGGCAAAGTCGGGCAGTATTTAGTGTTGCACGTTTCCTCACATACAACTCTCCGATCTGATTTCTATTTTGGTCGTAGAAGCGGTCAGCAGATTCGATTCGAATCAGGCACAGGGCCTGCTCCATTTTTGTAGGTATCTTTCTGTAAGCAGACCAGTTCACGCATCCGTCCAGGTGGAAATCTGTTCATTACATCGCCACCACGGTCTTTCTTCCCTCGGCGGCGCTGTGCGGGGATTGCGAATACATCTAATACTCGACCTTGAGCCGCTCGAGACGGTTCATGACAGCTTCGATGACTGCACCCTCACGTTCAACCATGCCCATGACCTCTGCAATGCGCTCTTTCTGGAGGCGGCTGGATACCCCAAAGGCTGGTGCAGAGCTGGAGGCGGACATGTTGGACTTCGAGCCGGACATGGAAGTGGACAAGGTGGACGTTGACATTGAGGATGTCACTGCCGAGTCGCCACGCTTGAGAGTTGCCGCTGATTGTTGGTCTTCTTGCTGTTGTTTCTCTAGCTGCTTGCTTTCCTCTACCAGCTCGTGGGCGAGTTGTTTGACCTGACACACAAGGTTAGCTCTCACGGTATTGGACTTGGATGTCAAGGGGCCGACATACTGTTTGAAACCTCTGGTCCAATCTAGAATTCCCCTCGACCCGGCCATTTTGGACGTTTTGGTCATCGACCTTGACACCCATATTCTCGCCCAGGACGTCGATTTCCTCGATCCACGCCTTCTCCTTCGAACTCAACTCTCTCTTCGCAGATCCCACGCGTCCCACTTTTCTTCTCAAAGCCTCGTATCGCGCCATGAGCTTCGCCTGTTTCTCCCGAGCATCCTTGAGTCTTGCATCACGGGTCTTTTTCTCTCTGAGATGCCCAGCCTCGTCTTCTTCTGCGCTCGGTTGAAGATTTTGTAATCTCTGCGCCAGTTCAGTCATTTGCTTCACTTGGTCACCGAGTTCCTCTCTTAGCCGATCGCATCGCCGGAAGAGTTCGGCTGCCGCCTTCTCCAATTCCCCAGACTGTGCACCGATTGTGCGATGGGCGTAAGTCATTACCTCCAGCATGGCCGGACTCAGGCGCACCGGTTTCTCAACTATGGCTCTCTTGAGGTTCGGGGCCAGGCGCTGGCGCATGTGTTCCAAAGGATAGAGGGGATTGGCATAAAATACTGGAGCCGGAGCGTACGGCGACCGAGTTGGGAGGGTTTCCAGATTATTCGAATCCTCTCCTCCGTTTGGTCTAGCCACTTGAGCGTTGAGACGACTTGGAGAGGTGGCTGTGAGCTCAGGAGAAGACGCTTCGAAAATGGAAGTCCCAAAGTGGGCCTGGTCGAAGAAGACTGCATACACTGAAGCAAGAGTAGTCGCTAGGAGAAAGTATCCCAAAGACACATCATCGATGACTGTAGGAGCTGAGAGTACTTCTTTTGGCTCTAGGCTGTCAACAAGTTTGTTCACAAGACAAACCTGACTTTGACAACTGGTCTCGAGTCGCGTCCTAAGTCCAGGATCAACAGGTTCAGTACCCGTCAATTCGGCGGCAAGTCGTGTGACCCATTCGTTCAGAGAAATTGAGTAGACCTGTCTTGAGGTGGTGAGGAAGACGCTATAGTTGTGGACGACGTCCCCACTGAACATTGGCCAGTTTCCGGCTGGGTCGAGGCCGGTGTCGTCGAGGGCAAATGTGTCAATCAGAGTCAGCTCTTTGGCGTCCGACGTCGGCACACTGAACACGCTTTTGCCTCTCTTTGGAAGCCACTGCCCAGAAACTCCGTCAAGATCAATGGCAAACCAAAGCTCATTATGAGGCGTTGCCACACACAGAGTAGTGAAAGGAACCCCGGCATATGCGGCAAGGTCGAATTCATCGTACACATCTTCTCCAGCCAGCAAATCCTCTCCATCCAGCTTGGCCGGGAGAACAAAAATGTCCGAAATCTCAATGTCCTGGTCATCGTCCTCAGGTTGAATGGCGAATGGACCTTGGAGGCGAGGAATTGCGCTTGGATTTTGTGGCCTTAGTCGTATTTCGAATTCTCCAAGGCTGTCGGTCGATTCCATCAGCAGTGGCTCGTCATTGTCGATCTCTTGAACCCATTCATATTGCTGGTCAGCCGCCCGTCGCTCATCCATATCTGCCTCTTCTCCTGCAATCGAGGCCATACGAGAAACGGCGGTCGTAGATAAAGAGGGGATACTTGTCGACGTGGGTTTCCATTTCGAGGGTAACAATGGACATAGTGCGTATATGTCACCGTTCCTCATCGCTACCCAGAGAGTCATGCTGGCCCATGCATCTTCGTCGTCTCGACCCCAACCGCCAAAGCAAGCAGCGGAGACCTCCATATCAAAATCGTCCACTGAGAATCCACGGGTTTTCCCAAAGCCCGATGGCTCAAAGTCTTGGTCGCATGATATACCATCCGCCAGCTTTCGCAGATCAATGGCGAGAGAAGGCCGCTCAAAGGACCATTTGTTAGACCGATCCAATTCCCATACTCGCACAGCAGCTTCTGCAGTAACAGTCACGATCGAGTCGACCGAAACACCAGCGGCCGCCAGTGGATGCCACAACACGGCAGACAGAGGAGACTCCGGAATGACATGGATGGTAGGACCGAGTTGATATGTTTTCAACTTCAGTGGTGAGCGGTCCTGATCTCTCAATCGTGATGAGGGGGGAAGCACTGCAATGTGTACTGTATGCTCTGTACAGACGGCGAGGAATATGCCCGAGGGAGATATTGCGATTTGTCGAATTTGATAGTAAATCGGCACGTCAAGAGTCTGTGCTTGTCAGAGAATACAAAGTGCCGTCTCATTGATTGCTTACCCTGTAGGCATCGTCTTCTGTGCTCTGAACAGCACCGGTCCTCGCAGGTCCGAAACGATTGCTCCCCGATTGAGTGTTCTCCTCCCATTCATCTCTGACGGTTGCAAGGTCTGCCCATCTTATTTTGTTGCCTACGACCGTGAAGACTTCTGTACCCCTGCTGGCAACAAGTCTTCTCGGCCCCTGATACTGCGTGGAGGATGGCGTACTCAGATATGACGAGCGTTTCGAAGGAGAGGTAGGCGACTGAGGCGCTGGATCGGTGAATAATCTTGCGCCTGGCGAAGGGCGAGACAGCCAGGGAGGAGTATAGCCGACGACTTTTGGCATCTTAAGAAGATCCTAGTCTGCCAAAGCTCAGCTGGAGAAAGAGCGAAAGAGGACCGACCCCAGAGGTAGAATGGAGGGAGTTAAGTAGTTAGGTGAGAAGTTGTTAGGTCGCAAACACATAAGGTTGACTTGTCTCAAACAAGCCACGCTCTGAAAGACGCGCGCCGCATCCGCCCACATTTTCCTCCCTCTTGTATCTCTCCATCAAGCAACCATCCAACAACCGCAACTACCATGCAGGATACTTACACAGTTGAGCGGCTGGACAGGCCTAGTACTTACTACACTGCCAAGGTGGGTTTGTCTGCAAGATTGTGCGACTATCAGTCGACTAATGTGTTACTGCAGAAGAAGCGCAAGTACGGACGAGACCAGCCGGATGACAGAGATGGCGCTGGCAACAATGCAGAAGAAGACGACCCTCTCAAAGACGCGACATCGCTCTATGTAGGCAATCTGTAGGTCATGGGCGCTTCACTGTGACCGCTCTCAGCTAAAACGTCTATAGGTCATTCTATACAACCGAAGAGCAAATCCACGAGCTGTTTTCAAAGTGAGAACCCTCCACTATCAGCCAGTTCACCTTCACTAATGATTCTTAGATGTGGTGAAATCAAAAGACTGGTCATGGGCTTGGACCGATTTCAGAAGACGCCTTGCGGATTTTGTTTTGTCGAATACTATACTCATCAGGACGCCCTCGACTGCATGAAATACATCGGTGGAACAAAATTGGACGAACGGGTCATCAGGACTGATCTTGACGTTGGCTTCCAAGAAGGAAGGCAATACGGTCGGGGAAAATCAGGTGGCCAGGTTCGAGACGAATACCGAGACGAGTTTGACCCTGGAAGAGGCGGGTATGGGCGAGCAATTGACGCAGAGCGACGCAAGGAAGAGGAAGAATATGGAGCTGGAAAATGATCGTCCGCGCACACGCAAAAGGCCCCCTCTACGACCAGCTTTGAATCGCAATCCTTGTCTATACAACGCCAGGACCTCCCATATGGGCCCGATCACCGAACTCCATCTCGATCCCCTACGGAGTCTAGGACTTGTCTCAACCACCAAACATGTATCCGGATGTCCGAGGTTAATTCGGGGTGGAAGCTGGTGCCAAAGACATTGCCTTGCTTTACTGCAATGATGTCGCCGACGTCATCTCCTGCATCTACCTCTGCCCCTACCGCCGCAGCCTTGTTCAGACGGCCTGGTAGCTTTCCCATGATCTCAACACGAGAGCTCATTGCTGACCTTGCCTGCTCGTCTTTGGCTGTCTTTGAAGGGGCAACTACCGTTCCGGCAGTTTGTTCCTCAGCCTTCTGGATGCCGTCGACACTGGGAAGGATCTTCTCAACAACAGGCGCTCGAATGAAGATCCCTGGGAAGGGTGCGCCAGATGTTGAATCTCCGGCTTTCAAAAACGGCAGATCCAGGTCCGCGTGAAAGCTCTCGATCTGTCTGCCGAAGTAGTTGCGGTGCACACGCACGTCCAAACCACCGATTAATTCCTGGCCTCCTTTCTTGGTGGCATTGGCTGCTTCAGCGAGAAGAATCAAGCCGGCACATGTTCCCCAGGTGGGCTTGCGCGAGACTCTGCAGAGACTCGGTCAGTTCGTGGACGGCAAGCCGAGGATGGGGAGGGCATACTTGACAAATTCTCGCAACGGTTCGAGCAAACCGGATTGCGCCGCGACAAAGGAGATAGTTGTGCTCTCACCCCCAGGGATTATCAATGCATCAGAGCGTGCCAATTGTTCTGCGTTCCTAACCTCAATAAATTCGAACGGTGCTTTGACGCCCTCGTGCTGCTGCAAGTAATTCGCAGCTCTCTTTAGAAGGACAAGATGCTCAAGGAAGGCGCCTTGGAGGGCCAACACGCCGGCTGTGATTGTCATTGACGCGACATGCAACAGAATGCGTTGCGGGCAGAGGAAGATATAGCGGTTTCGAACATGAACCCGATATCAGTAACATCAGAGTCATACCCGGCTTTTTTCACCACCGGCGAGGTTGGCAATAAATATTCTGCCACCGCCTGATTAGTAGATCTCCCATTGGTGTATCGGACCCCCCCTCCTTCGTGCCTGCGCCTGCGCCTTACCAGGAACAAGACATCTTCCGCCGTCGCAAACGAGGTTCTCTGTACTAACTCCGGACTGATCAATCACTGTTCTTCCATGGAGCACCTTGCGCTCCCTGAATAGTCACATCCTAGTACGGAGTACTCCACATTATACCTCATCTTGTGATGTAGCGGATCAGACATATCCCTCACGTCAGCCTCCTAAGCCTTGTGGAACCCCAACATGGCTTCTCATCTCCCTGGTCGCGTCCAGCCTTAGGCGTGCTATATTAAGCAACAACAGCCTTTGAACCTCGATCTTCTAACGCTCCTGCGTCACACTTTCTCAAGCATGCTCAGCTTGGAGATTTGTTGCTAGACAGAAATTACAAAGAAGAACCCTTTCTAGTCTTGCTCTCCTTCGTCCAGCCTCGTTCTCATCGGGTCCGAAGTGAGCACAGAAATCCGTGGTCGACCAAACATTTTCTCCGGTGCTGATGAACAACTGCAAGGTGATTTGAAGATCCTGGAAGAGTCAAATATTCGCAGACACCTTCCACAGAGGCATTTGCTCGGCCTTAATAGGTTGACTACTTCTCCGCGGTTCCAGTACATCGAACAAAGCTGACCAACTCCCTGACTAAAATGTCTTCACAACCTCATCCGAAGTACATGGCCACCATTGACCGCTACTATATTGATACGCGGTCGCTGGTCCCAGCTCTGTCGAAGGCAGAACCATCACCGCCTCTGCCGTTACTATCGACGCTTCAGTTTTCTGACCAAGAAGCCGTTACCCGCTTCATCCGCCCGGCGGATCGTTTCATGTCCCTCGCCAGCGCACTGCTGAAATACACATTCATCCACAGGCGCGCCAAAGTACCCTGGTCGCACGTACAGATCTCGAGGACTCCGCATCCTCATCGTCGGCCTTATTGGGCCCCAACGGAGGATTGGGAGCCCCCAGAGGAAGACACCGGCAGGATTGGGGGTCTGGAATTTAATGTTTCGCATCAAGCTGGTCTCGTTGCCATTGTCGGCTGCGGCATCCCAACAGCTCAACTGCCGACTCTAGATGCTCACCATATTCCTCCTTCTGACTCTTCTACGCTCGTTGGCTCCTTCGACGGTTTGGATTTGACGGGCCACCACACACTCAGTCTGGCGCCGGGCGAGGTCAGGTTGGGCGTCGACATTGCCTGCACAAACGAAGACAAGCGCACTCCGCAAGATATAACATCACAAGCGAAATTTGACGAATGGGTGGACATTTTCGCCGAGATGTTCTCAGATCGCGAGCGGTGGAATATGCGCCATGCGCCGATCCACGTCCCCGTGGTTGAGCACGAAGAGGGCGACTACTGGGATAGCGACAGCTCGTCAGCAGACACTGCAAATGGAGAGGCGACGCTGGTCAGCCTCAAACTCCGCCGATTCTACGCCTACTGGGCCCTCAAGGAGGCATATATCAAAATGGTCGGCGAGGGCCTATTGGCAAATTGGCTTCGCGAACTCGAGTTCCTGAACGTCGTGGCGCCGGCCTCGCCTGTTAATCACCAAAACCGGCATCATAACCCAAATTCATCTCGGGCATTATCACCGTCACCCAACAAGCCACCACACGTGCAACACAACAACAGGCCACATGTTGACGTTATGAAGTGGACGTCGCCGGAGAGGGCTGAGCGAGGGACGACTACGCTCCTATACGGGAGAAGGGTTGAAGACGTCGACGTCGAGCTAGTTGCGTACGATGAGGACTTCATACTCGCCACAGCTATGCGAGGTGTAAAGGAACCAGAGCCAGGCGACAGACCAGGGGACAGAGCTCGGTGGAAGCGGTGGGTGAGGCTTGATATTGAGGAGGACATCAGGCCTTGTGCAGAGGGAAGATGTCGCTGTTTGGGGCAGCCGCCTGGGCCAACGATACAAGCTATGGCCCGAAAGGGAGACAAGTAGACTGGCACGGTTCGGCCACGAGTCTTTTGACTTGGACTTGCCTTGTAGCATTGTTATGACCATAATGACCGGTTTATAAGGAGTTCAGAAATCCGTACGCTCATCCGATGCTTCTGATTCAACTTCAAACTACTCATGTCTAGGCAATCACATGGAGCTTAGCATGTTTCGCAAACTCACCGTTGGCACCAATTCCTCGACCTTGTTTGACCTCTTCCCCCAGAAGGTACAGTTCATCCAAGAAGGCTGGGATGAAGCTTCCTGGGCCCCTACAGTCCTGTCTAGCCTCTGCCCTTTCCGCGGCAATTTCGTAATGCAGAATCCCGGCCAACGCTGCCAAAAACTTGTCTTGCCGATGCACCGCGACGTAACTTGCAATGACGGAACCTAGGGCACAACCGGAGCCGGTGATCTTGCCGAGCCAATGCGAGCCATTCTCGATGGCAACAGTGCGCGCGCCGTCCGAGAGATAGTCTGTCTTGCCAGTCATGAGCACGACGCAATGTTCCCGCAGAGCGATGGCCTTGACGAGGTTGGCCTTCTCTTCTGCCGTAGAAACTGACGGCCCGGAATCCACGCCTCTTTGCTGCGTCGTAGACGTACCAGCTACGGCGCCGATTTCACCCTCGTTGCCCTTGATGACACTGAAAAAGCCGGCGGTGAGGAGTGTCTTGACGGCATTCCGACGAATAGCAGTTGCACCGCCACCGACAGGGTCAAAGATAACAGGCGCTCCGACGGCATTGTATGCCCTCATCCCTGCAGTAAAGGCGTTCAACTTCTCGGGGGTTGCCGTGCCCATGTTTATGACGAGAGCGCCGCCTAGTCGAGCTAGATCTGGTGCTTCAGGGCCGTTCTCGGACATGATGGGCGAGGAACCGGTAGCCAGGCAGACGTTGGCTGCAAAATTCTGGACAACGGTGTTCGTCATATTGTGGCAGAGGACAGAGGAGGTCACATGTGATTTTATGATGCTAGTCACTTGCGCGACCTGGCTCGCGAGCTCAGTGACGAACGCTGTGTTGGGCGCCACCGAAGCGTAGTACTTCTGAGGAGCAGTCTTGATCAAGTCGAGTAGCGATCTGGCAGAGCTTCGAGGATCCGTTGATGCCATGATGGCACTGACCACAGCGACACCGTTCAGGCGGTTGGAGCCGTGGGCAGACTGGTGTAGGACACGCTGGACATTCGATGCGTTGATGCTGCCAATTGCCACACATGGAACAGACTTCTCCGTGCCGGTGGAACAAGCAGCCAGAATTTCTTGAAGACCTCGAGTGCCGATGATGGATTTGGTGTCTGTCTTTGTCGGGGTTGCAAAGGTGGTCCCAATACCGAGATAATCTGCGCCGTCTTCAATCGCTTTCTGGGCTTCCTCGACCGACGAGGCTGTTACCCCTATGATGGCATCCGGGCCTAGGATCTTCCGGGCTTCAATGCAACCCATGTCATCCTGCCCTATGTGGACGCCTTCAGCGCCCACCGCCTGGCAGACATCAAGTCGGTCATTGATCAGTAGAGGGACGTTGTATTTCCGGGTGACAGCATGCAATTTGGAGGCAATATCAACCATCACACCAGTGTCCGCATGTTTGTCGCGATACTGGACCAGGGTGACACCGCCCTGGATAGCTTGGTCGACCACCTGGACAATGTCCTTGCCGCCGAGAATTGCAGGCGTGGAGTCCGTCACCAGGTACAGAGACCAGTCGACCGGTGGTTTCCCTCTCGACTCCTGCGCCATGATGGAAATGATCTCAGGTTCGAGTTTGTCAAGCTTAGCGACGATGGACCCTTGTGTCATTCACGGCAAGGTCATGGTAGTATCAGGTATCACTCATTTCTGAGCACCTATGCGAAACACAACCGTATTTTGAATGTCTCACAGGGCAAGCAAAACAACTAGAATAGTCTCTTGGATAGTCAGACTGAATCTTCTCTTCCCTTGACAAACGGAGTATGGAGAAAACATTTAGCGTCGAGGACGAAAGGCAAAAGACCAAGCACCGATTGTGTCATTCGACAGTAATTGCGACTTAAACTACAGGTAAGGTAAGGTGTTCGATAGAGGGCCCTCAGGCATGCCAGGTCAGACAGGGACTGTGAATTCTTGAAATCAGCATTGCTTTGGCCACCTGACAGACTCTCGAATAGCAGTGAATCCATGTCCAGATCATTTCATGTCACTAGGTTGAAGTCTTCGTCGAACAATGCAGCAGGTGACTTTGCCAGGCAACAAAGAATAGAGGCGTCAGGAGCGGGGCTTGGGCGTTGGTTCATGACCGGCCTGTGGTACACAATTCTATTGTTACGGTGCTTGCAACCGCAGGTGCCAGGCGGGAGTCCGGTTGGTTGCCGGTTGTTTACAGTTAAAGGAAAAAGCCTCATCAGCCCCTAAGCCCCCGCACGCCCGGAAAACCCGCCTAATTCCTAGGCGATTAAATTTTTCTGCCGTCCTCGGCCGCTCGGTCTCCCGGCCGCCTGCAGTGTCTCCATTGCAGTTAGCGCTGTGTGCACTGTGGCCTGGCCTGCCCGAACTGCTTCCTCTCACTTTTTGTCTTTGCCGCCTTCCCAATTCTTCTTTCTCTTTCCCATCATCACTTTTACACAAGTGAAGAATCGAGGATTCTCCTGTTGCACCAGGCATTCTCATCATCATCATCATCAACACCACCACCGAATCCTCCTCTATCAACCCACTGCGGGATACTCCTTGGTACCACAGTTTTCGATTTCGCAGCGACCCAACGCTGGTTTCCATTCCACCTACAGAACCCACGTTCTCGATCAGACGCAGCCTCGATTGTTCATGTATCAGGCAGCCTTTCACTCCAAAACCAAAACCAAGCAAAAGCTGGACATATTTCCGGCCAGCAGACACTCTTGTAGTCCTGCAAGGTCATCATATGGTTGATACACCGACTACCAATCGTATCCTTCATGTTCTATCCTACAACCCGGTGGTGATATCCACGCATGTCTGGTCGCTCTGAACGAATCGCCTACGCCTCTTTGTTTCTCTGCAATCACCCCAAATATTAAGACAAAAATTGGTTCAACAGTCAGATCCTTTCTCAGGAAAATTCGACATCCCTCAAAATGGCTACCATCAACATTCGCCGGGATGTGACCGATCCCTTCTATCGCTACAAGATGGAACGCTTGATGTCCAAGATTGAAGGCAAAGGGAACGGCATCAAGTAAGCCTGTCAGCCTCCTCATCAATCTGTTTGTGCTAATGAACCCTACAGAACTGTTGTCGCGAACCTTCCAAGTGTCTCTGCCTCTTTGGCCCGTCCTCCAGCCTATGTTATCAAGTATTTCGGTTTCGAGCTTGGAGCTCAGACTAATACCAACCCGAAGGACGACCGCTGGATCATCAACGGAGCTCACGAAGCAAGCAAGTTGCAAGACTCCTTGGACGGCTTCATTTCCAGGTTCGTCCTCTGCAGGTCTTGCAAGAACCCCGAGACCACAATCAACGTCAAGGATGGCCGGATCCTGTTGGACTGCAAGGCCTGTGGTCAACGCACTGACGTGGACATACGCCACAAATTGAGCGGATTCATCCTCAAGAACGAGCCAAAGGGTGGAAAGAAGACCAAGAAGGAGAAGATGACGCGTCGCGACAGGGCAAAGGCTGGCAGCCAGGAGAACGGTTCCGCCAACGGTGGCAGTCCACATGACTCCAACTCCGACAAGGGAGATGCCGACGACGGTGACTTTGAACTGGCCGCTGCCAGTGACGACGAGTTCACCAAACAGATCACTGCCGAGGCAAAGAGCATTGCAGCCAAGACCAATGGAGATATCAAGGATGACGAATGGGCGGTCGACACCTCGGCTGAAGCGGTTGCTGCTCGCGCCAAAGAGTTGCCATCCGACCTGAAGCGCTCCCTCGCTTTTGATGAAGAAGAGGAGGGCGAGGACAATGGCGTCAGCGTCTACGACCAGCTTGGGACCTGGATCATCGATGAGAGCAAGGCCAGAGGATCCGTCAGCAAGGTCGACGATGTGGATATCTACAAGAAGGCCAAGGAGTTGGGGATCGAGTCCAAACACAAGACACTCACTGTTTTGGCACAGACAATCTTCGACGAGAACATTGTCAAGCAGATTCCTGCTCGCGCCGAGATGCTGAAGACCATGATTGGCGAGTCTGAGAAACACATGAAAGCCTTCCTCGGTGGCACCGAACGCTTCGTTGGCAACGATCATCCAGAACTGATTCCCCAGGTCCCCGCCATCCTTATGGGATACTACCAGCACGATCTTCTCAGCGAGGACGTTGCCAAAGCCTGGGGCCAAAAGGCAAGCAAGAAATATGTCGACATCGCCACCAGCCGAAAGGTTCGTCAAGCCGCCGACAAGTTTCTGCAATGGCTCGAGGATGCTGAGAGTGATGACGAGAGTGACGAGGAATAGACTCTGATCTACCTATTTTTCAAGCACTCCTTGTCATCATTTTCCTTCGTTCAGCGCGTGCTGCAACATATCTCGACACTCCACTCCTGGCGCGACCGGTCATCCTTAACATGCTTTTGGTCACTCTTTTGGTCTCAGCAACCAGATTGTCCTCTGAAGGTCGGGTCTATGCCTGTCTTTTGCCACTCTACATGTAACTAGACTCTTCCAATGCCAATCTCTTGCATAAGTCATAACTGGCCTTGACTCTTATAGTACCTCATCCTCGCCTTTGCCCTTTACGGTAATCATCCTCGACTGTCCACGCCCAACTTTGCCCTCCAGTCGGGGAATACAGATGGTAGTCTTTCTGGAATATCATCTGGCAGCTTCTCTCGAATGACGTTGACCAGCGCATCAAAGACCAGTCGGTATGCAGCAGGCGTGAAGTGTAACCCGTCAGATAACAACTCCTCAAAGACCTTGTTCTTAGGCGCAGACTTGCTCCCGATCAACGGATCTGTTGAGCCCTCCGTCCAGCCCGCTTTGAGCATGAAGATCGTCCACAGATCAAGTATGGGAAGCCCAAGGGCTTGCCCTACCTCTCGGCAGGCGGTGGCATACTTGGCTGTGGCTACAGCGGTTCTTTCGCCGGGTGCCATCTGCCACTCATCAACTGGAGCTGGCACGATAAGAATGATTTTAGTATCATGTAATTGAATCCCTTCGTAAGTGACGATATTTGTCAAATGTTGCTTGTATTCCTCGATCGGGACGTGCTGTGGCCTCCCGGGAAGGCAGGCATCATTCGCGCCGAAGAACACGGTCATCAGCTGAATTCGAGGGATGCTGGACGACGGAGGAGCGGCCGGGAAGAATTGCAGGAGATTGTCGTAGCCGGCAGGGGCAGTATAACCACTGAAGCCCCGGTTGAGGACATCCACGCGTCTCATATACCACTCCGCCAAAGATGAGCCCAAGACATGGCTGGCGGCTTGGGTGATGCTGTCTCCGAACAGGATGAATTGGGGATACGTCTTGGGACGAGGGGCCTGGAAGCGAGGAGAGGCGGAGAGATCAGGCGAGTGAGACATTGCTTGGTTGATCGCTGATGGAGATCTGAAAAGTAGGGGCGTGGCGTTGGAATCTGAATGGTTCAAAGAGGTCGGTGGGAAAGTGGCAGGGCGAACAACTCATGTTATTAGTATCTCGAGAAGCGCAGGGGCCCCGGCGTGCATGCTCTGGAGGGCACAGTCTTCGTCCTCCACTACGTACGGTATTATTGACGTCTGGCAGAAACGACGTCGTGCACGATTCCTGGTGTTTTGCTTTGTTAGCTGCATATGCGGCGCAGCTATCAGATCCCTTTCCATCTGCCACAGACTTGTTCCCTGAACGAATCTTAATTGTATTGAATCAGACCGTGGTGGCGTCCTGGCCCAGCACACAACTCGTCTTCTATCATAGTTCAGGAACACTCCACGTCGTCTATGAAGCTCCCATGAGGGTATGCGAGGCGTGGAATTGTTTGCAGAAGCGCCTTTGGCGGGGCATTCCAGGCATGGATCGCCGCGACTTGGTCCTCCATTCCAACTCCACAGACACCCGCCAGCTCAGACTCGTCTCCGAGTCTGTCAGATGATACAGTGTCGGATTGCCAGCATCGTCGGTTCAGCTGATCCAATTGCCTCTGTCAGAGGGACACACCCTCTCCTCATTTATCGAGACGCCTTAGCCCTTTGCTTTCGAGTGCACCTGCGTGCAACGGATCCGCAGGCACAGTGATTCACCTGCTAAAGTCATTCTGTTCGCCGCTGACACCTGACCCCTATAGCCATCTCTATAACTCGTCTGCCACACCCCCTGTGAGCCTGCTGCCTCTTCGATCAATGGCCAGATGATGATACGAGTTCAAGGCGCCAGTTGCCCGTGAGAGCCGCCCTGTTCTCGCCTGTCTCGGTCTGTTGATCGCTCCTCCCTTTCCTGCTGCGCCGGTCCTACTCCGAGATCAGACAACCAGAATGCCCAAATCCTACGTCTCTTTTCACGACCCCAATGATCATAATGGTTTCAGGAGCCTATCGCGGCATCCAACCTCGTCCCCCTCTTCGCCGGAAACGATGCGCAGAGCCAGGTCGCCTTCCCTCTCCTCCAGTGAATTGAGGACTCGACTACCACCTTCCCTGAACATGCCTTCCGAACCCACGGAGGAAAGCGAATTGCTTGGGGGAGGCGACAGATTGATACGCAGATACAGCGAGAACATGCCGGAATCTCCGCGGTCGAGGCGACTGTCAAGGGTGAATAGTTCCAATGCAAGTCTGCGTAGGCGGAAGGACTTCAGCACCCGGCCTTCCGGAGAGAACAGCCCCGTATGGATGCGGAGCTCTGGTCTTCGAACACCGAAACTACAGCAGTCCATCTTGGGATCACTGTCAAGAGACGACAGGTCATGGTACGATCAATTCACCTCCACAGACTGGGTTCACGACAGCATTGCCGATGGATATCGAGTATTGGAATTGAGGAAGATGAAGGGCTTCCGAGGACGCGCGTGGCGATTTTTCGATTCCACTCAAGGCTGGATTCTGATGGTTCTCATCGGCGTTGCGACTGCGTTTTTGGCTTACGTTGTTGACGTGACCGAGTCTGCAATATTCGATGTCAAGCGCGGCCTTTGCCGAGATGCGTGGTATCTTGGGCGAGAAAGCTGCTGTGCAGGGAAACGAACATGTGATAATTGGAAAACCTGGTCGCAACTCATCTCTGCTTCGCAGGTAGGCGAGACATCCATCGACTACGTCGCGTTCATAATCGGGTCCATGGTGTTAGCAGGGTTGTCCTGCTTTCTTACTTTGTATTCGAAAACGATAGTGCCGTCAAACATTGCCTCAACGTTGGATGAAGATCTTGGCGCCGTGAGACGAGACGTGGATGGCGGCACCGACGAGGATAAGGCTGGTGCTGCTCGACCAGCGAACGGCCAGGAGGGCCAACCTCCCAGCGTTTATTACTCGGCTGCTGGCAGCGGTGTTGCCGAAGTCAGAGTCATCTTGAGCGGCTTTGTCCTCCATGGATACCTCGGGCTCCGAGTACTCGTTCTGAAAACCGTTGGCCTCATTTTGAGCGTGGCCTCCGGTATGAGCCTGGGAAAGGAAGGCCCATACGTCCATATTGCCGCATGCATCGGAAACATCGCCTGCCGTTTGTTCTCAAAATACGACTTGAATGATGCTAAGAGAAGAGGAGTTTTGTCGGCGAGTGCCGCGAGTGGTGTCGCGGTCGCCTTTGGATCACCACTGGGCGGAGTTCTTTTCAGTCTGGAGGAAGTCAGCTATTATTTTCCTCCCAAGACGCTGTTTCGCACATTCTTCTGTTGTATTGTGGCAGCGCTATCCTTAAAGTTCCTCAATCCATACGGCACCAACAAAATCGTCCTTTTCGAAGTCCGGTACTTCTCCGACTGGCGGTATTTCGAACTTGTCAGCTTTGTATTCCTAGGCGTCGTGGGCGGACTTGCCGGAGCGCTTTTCATCAAGGCGTCTCGATTCTGGGCCACAACGTTTCGTCGGATTCCAGTCATTAAGAAGCATCCTATGTTAGAGGTTCTTCTAGTTGCCCTCATCACCGGCCTCGTCAGCTTTTGGAATCGCTACACGCGCCTTTCCGTGACCGAACTCCTCTTTGAATTGGCTAGTCCTTGCAATCAGGACACAAGCACTGGACTCTGCCCGAAAAAGAACGAAGTTATGTCGGTCATTGGGTACCTGGCATGGGCGTTTGTCGCCAAATCTGTCCTCACCATCATCACCTTCGGTTTGAAGATTCCCGCAGGCATATACGTGCCTTCGATGGTCGTTGGTGGCTTGATGGGTCGCATGGTCGGTCACTTCACCCAATATCTTGTGCTGAGTTATCCCAACGTGTTCCTATGGCGCGAATGTCAAGCATCTCAAGACATGGAGGCTTGTGTTACACCTGGTGTGTATGCCTTGGTCGCTGCCGGGGCTGTCATGTGTGGAGTCACGCGCCTGTCGGTTACTCTGGCGGTTATCCTGTTTGAATTGACTGGAAGCCTGGACCATGTACTACCCTTTTCTCTCGGAGTGCTTTGTGCCAAGTGGACGGCAGACGCGGTCGAACCACTGAGTATCTATGACCTCCTAACAGATATGAATATGTATCCTTTCCTCGACAACAAGGGCAGTCCCGTCTTTGACTCTGAGCTCGGCGACATTACCTCCCGATTCCGACGGGACAAAGTGATTGATATTACCTTGTCTCCCCTAGTCAAGGCAAGTGAGCTACGAGTCAAGCTTCGCCGAACGCAATCCCTCGGCGAACTCGATGGCGGCTTGCCTATCATCCGGAGCAAGATCCTTGTCGGTCTCATCCCTGTGCCAGATTTGGAATTTGCCCTGGACAGGATCCAGGACGAGGAGAGCACGCTCTGTCTGCTTTCCACTGCCAACCATATCCACAACACCCACCATCAATACTGGGACGCGTTTGAAGAAGCCGGATACGACTCTGGACGCGAATCGGATAGCGAAGAACCTTCGAACGCGAATCCGGTGGACCTTACTCCCTATATCGACCCTGCACCTGTGGCCTTGGATATGCATTCGCCTATGAACCTGGTGTATCAGTGTTTCGTGAAGTTGGGATTGAGGTATGTATGCGTTTTGAATGAAGGGGAGTACAGAGGCATGGTACATAAAAAGGCATTCGTCAGGTATGTCAAGAGCTTGGAGCATTCATCACATTGATGAAATATGCTGTGATGTGCTTGAAACTCCCAATATACAGAGTAGACCAAGAGGGGCAGAGCCGGCCGGGCAACCGAACGAACCGGTTCTGATTCGGGAAGGCAGACAAGTGTCACAAAGTCGATAAGGATACGAGGGCTGGAGCAAGCCTTGGAAAACATGATCGTCAGGACATGAATGAGCATCCGATCATAACATGGGCAGAGCATTAATGCTCCTGAGGAGCAAAACCCTGTCTTTCTTATAGCGTACGAACATATCTGTAAACCCAGTGCATTAATATCAACGTTCCACCATTCATAATCTGGGTGTTCTGGACACTGGGTCATTTGCTCGTTGCTGGGATGAGGCACCCAGGGACAGGACAACTCCGTGTTCTACACAGCCTCGTCCTCGTGTTAGGCTATATAGGCTGTATGGGCAACCTAGGATTCAGGGCCGAGATCCCATATCACGATTCACCTGGAATGCAGGTATTGTGACTGCGTCAGTACGCGCTGCATATGGAGCCCAGTCCTCATCAGAGACTGCAACGTACTGGGTGCTATTGACTCGACTCAAGGCCGCAAACGGACCATGTTTTGTTCCTTCCTAAAGCGGAAAGAAAATTAATGGAGGGTCATTTTCCTCGCTGTTTTCAGCGCTCTATCCTATCCTGCGCCTCCCATACACAAAACGGGCAGCATAAAGGGGAGGTGGACGGACAACGAAGGGAAGGACTGTATCGATGGTTGTATTAGTTGTTGTCAATGGCTGAAGCCTGGCTCCTTCAACGAGGCAAGGCGGGCTGACATAAGCCTACACGTGATCTGAATGGCCTACCGCGACTTTACCTTGTTGGGCACAACGGAGAACGCGATGCCGGCTCAGGCTCCGCCTTCAACTCCACGCGCAGGGGCAGCGTCAGCGTCAACAGCAACGTCTGGCAGCCCGCCTCTGACCATAATCACAGATCTCCGCGCAAGAGAACTCCCTCTCCCTTCTCCTCGCAGGAGGATCCCTGCCTGCGTACGCACCGCCGACGGTGCGGCTTCTCCCCTCAGCAATAGACCTCAACTATGTCCAGTTAACGACGGACCGCCACAGTCTCGGTCAACCTCGCTCGCTTTCAACTACGACGACTGCAACGGAAGTCCCCGGCCAGTGCCTCCCTCCGCCATCATGACGAGGGTCAGTGCGAGCTCTGCTGGAGAGAGGGAAGCCTTCATAAAAGCAAGAGAGTCGTCTCCCGGGCCATACCCTCGATCTTCTCTAGAGAGCGCCTCTAGCATATCCACCACCTCTTTGGTTCTCGAGAACCTCAACACAACTGCGTCGGCACAAAAGCTGTTGCACCCATCACAATACCGGGATGACGCCAGTGACCCCGAGCTACCCAGATTCAATGACAAAACCTATACAATCAGCGGACAACACATGTCTAAGGGGTTGCGACGGAGCCTATGGATAGTATCCGTGGTCGCCATCCTCGGTTGGGCCTTTGCTCTGTTCGCCTTTCTGGCAGCCGGGCGGTATACACATGCGTCTAAGTTGGACTATGACCACGAGACGCCAATGAAAAGTTCGGGGAAGAAAATTACCCTTGAGCAAGTGCAGACTGGCCAATGGCAGCCGAGATTCGCCTCTGTCGCATGGACAGCTGGCCCTGACGGAGAGGATGGTTTATTGTTGGAGATTGATCAGCCTGGAAAGGATTATCTGGTGGTGGAAGACATTCGCAGCCGAACGCCGTCGGCATCTAGTGCCTTCAGGAGCCGGACACTGATCAAGACTGGATGGATCAAGATCGACGGACAGCAGATGTGGACGGATGACTTCTGGGTTAGCCCAGACATGAAGCACGTCCTTCTCCTGGCGAAACGCGAAAAAGTATTCCGGCACTCGTTTGTTGGGCTTTATTTCATTCTCGACGTCGAGACTCAAGACGTTCAGCCTTTGGATCCCGCGTTCCCGGATAGACGAATTCAATTGGCAAAATGGTCCCCGCAAAGTGATTCAGTGGTGTTTACCAGGGACAACAACTTGTATCTCAGGTCCCTGACTTCGGGAAAAGTTACTGCCGTCACCGAAGATGGAGGTCCGGAGTACTTCTACGGCATTCCCGACTGGGCATATGAGGAGGAGGTATTTGGCACCAACACTGCCGTTTGGTGGGCGAGAGACGGTCGATATTTGGCCTTTCTACGCACGAATGAAACTGTCGTCCCCGAATACCCGGTCCAGTACTTCCTGTCAAGACCCAGTGGGAAAAGCCCCATTGAAGGCCTGGAAAACTACCCTGAAGTCAAGGAGATCAAATATCCAAAGGCCGGGGCTCCAAACCCTGTCGTTGACATGCTGTTCTATGACATTTCCAAGGGACAAGTCTTCACCGTCGACATTGCTGGCGGATTCCCAGATGAAGACCGCATCATCTTCAACGTCCTGTGGGCAGATGACGGCAAAGTTTTAGTGTCCGAGTCGAATCGCGAAAGTGATCGTGTCAGAGTCGTTCTTGTCGACGTTGTGACACAGACTGGCGAGACTGTCAGAACTGTTGACCTGACCGATGTGGATGGAGGATGGATCGAGCCTACACAGCATGCAAGATATATCCCGGCAGCTCCTAGCGATGGTCGACTTTCCGACGGTTATGTCGACACTGTCATTTCTGACAACGGTAACCATCTTGCATATTTCTCTCCGCTCAACAGCTCGATTCCCATCATGCTTACAAAAGGCGCATGGGAAGTGGACGGCGGGCCTGCAGCAGTCGATTTGAAGAATAACTTGGTGTACTTTGTTGCTGCCAAAGAAGCACCGACCCAGCGCCATCTGTACAGCGTGAAGCTGGACGGCACGGAAACGCAGCCTCTTGTGCCAACAAACGAAGCTGCATATTGGTCATCAAGATTCTCCACGGGGGCAGGTTATATTAACCTGTTCTACGAAGGACCGGGTATTCCCTATCAAAAGGTCGTGTCTACCCCGGTGAATTCAGAAAAGCTTGACCAAATGCTGGCCGACAATCAGGCACTTGCCGAAATGGCGTCGTCGCATGAACTGCCACAGCAAATCTTTCAGAATGTCACCATTGATGGCCAGACCCTGCAGGTGGTCGAACGCCGTCCTCCTCACTTCGACCCCAAGAAGAAGTATCCGGTCTTGTTCTACCTGTACGGTGGCCCCGGTTCTCAAATGGTCAACCGCAAATTCCACGTCGACTTCCAATCCTACATTGCCGGGTCATTGGGCTATGTCGTGGTGACTGTTGATGGCCGCGGAACGGGATATATTGGGCGCCAGGCCCGCACCATTGTCCGCAACCAGCTCGGGAAGTACGAAGCCCATGACCAGATCGCCACGGCCAAGATCTGGGGGCAGAAATCGTATGTCGATGCTTCCCGCATGGCCATCTGGGGATGGTCGTACGGCGGGTTTATGACGCTCAAAGTCCTAGAGACGGACGCGGGAGAGACGTTCAAGTACGGCATGGCTGTCGCACCTGTCACCGACTGGCGGTTCTACGACTCGATCTATACAGAGCGGTACATGCGCACGCCACAGCACAACCCTCAAGGCTACGAGGCCTCGGCCATCGCCAACGTGACGGCGTTGGCGCAGAACGTGCGGTTTCTGGTCATGCACGGCGTCGCCGATGACAACGTGCACATGCAGAACACGTTGACGTTGCTGGACAAACTCGACCTGGCGGGCGTCGAGAACTACGATGTGCATTTCTTCCCCGACAGCGACCACGGCATTTCCTTCCACAATGCGAATCACATTGTCTACGACAAGTTGAGCAAGTGGTTGGTCAACGCGTTCAATGGTGAATGGTATCGGACCGAGGATCCGAAGCCTCTTGAAGATAGTTGACAGGATCTGATCCTGTGTGGAAATTGAGTGCTCAGCCTCTACTGTCATAAAGACTTTAAATTTAAATCCTTGTTACCACCATTACGGTGCCGACAGTGTCCCAGACATGACAAGATATGTCAACTAGAGGTCCATCTTTCCAGGGAACGTGCTGGGATTGGAGGCAGTTGATGCAAAGGGCGATGCGATGCCTAGAGCGGCTGTGTAGAGCTTCGTGACATTCCTCCTTCAGCGCGCGTCCCGACCATTTTCGATTTCAAATCGGTCAATTCTCATACTCGTAGACGGCAATCCTCCCTCTCCTCCATTCATCGTCAGGATATCTTCCCGGGTTCGCTGCTACATAGAATCACAGATCCGAATATCCATGGATGCAGAGAGACGCGATATCATTTGTGAGGTTCAGCTCGAAGAGAGTACTAGCATTGTATCTGTGAGGTTCAGCTCGAAGATAATAGTATTATTCAATCACCACTGAAATAGTATCCGTGGTCAGATAGAGGAGAGAGAGAGTATCATTTGTGGGTTCAGCTCGAAGATAGTATTATTCGATCACCACTGAAATAGCATCCATGGTGAGGTAGAGGAGAGAGAGAGAGATTGTGTCTGTCAGAGTCATCAACTACAGTTCGCCGCTGGAATATTCAACCTGTCTCTTCAAAGTCCTGCATCATTCAGCCTGTCTCTTCAAAGTCCTGCAAGCATTCAACCTGTCTCTTCAAAATCCTGCATCATGTAATCCCATTGAGCCCAGTCCAGCGGCATATCAGCCATGGCGAGATCCTGGGCCAGGGTCGGGTCGGAGGCGAACATGAGGTTATCTGGCGGGCTCGGGAGCTGTGCCGGCTGGAACTGCGGGAGAGGAAGCTGAGGTCGGGCAGTGGCGGCTTGATGGGATTGGGATTCGGACTGAGACTGAGACTGAGGGTTGGAGGCGGTCGAGGCTGCCAGGGCCATAGGGTACAGTGTGTCGTTGTTGCTGTTGTTGTCAGACTCGGTAGGTCCGGCCGAGGGGGTAGGCCGGTCAGGGTGTGCCAGTGCTTGAGATGGCGGCTGAAGCGGGGCTAGGAGGGCATTCTGGCGCTGTTCCCGGAGGGTCTGGATATAGTCGGGGACGGCTAAGGCGTTGGGCTGGAGGCCGTGGGTGGATTCGCGCAAGGCGCGCTCCCTTGCACTGTAGGCCTTCAGACACAGGCTGCCGACGGCGACGTGCAGCGGTTTCCTGTGGTCGGTGACGTAGTTGGGATGGTGGTGGAAGACCTCGTCGACCTGGCGCCATGCGCGGTCGACCTCGGGGCCGAGGGTGTGTGTGCGCAGCTCGTCGAGGAGATAGACGAGGGCTTGCCACACAAAAAAGACGTTGGTGTGCCACATGAAGCCGCGCAGGCCCTTGGAGGCGTGGGCCAAGTTGTCGGCCTCGAGGAGGCTGATGGACAGCTTGAACATGTAGTCGCGCTCCGACGCCGGCACCTCTTCCTGGTTGCGGTACTTGCGCGGATGGTGGGCCATGAGCCTCATGCTGTTGACCGCGGCGCGGCCGATGATGATGGCCATGAACTGCACGGGTATGGACGGGTCGCAGTACCTCAGGAACTTTTCCTCCAGGCGCTGCTCGAGTTCGTTGATGCTCGCGTCCCGCTCTTCGAGCGACGTCGACCAGGGCGAGGCCAGCCGGAGGTTTTCGAACGCTATGTTGGTTTTCTTCGACATCTTCTCCTTCCAGAACTGGCCGAATTCGCAGCGGAGGAGACAGGCGATCATTTCGGTCGGTCTGGTGTGAGGCACAGGCGGGCTGGTCATGGCTGGGTAGATGTCACTGTCGTTGACGTTGCTGGGCGGTTGTGTGTCGGAGAGGCCGAAGTCGCCGAATCTCCCAGACCCGCTGAGTTCCGCCGACCGGAAATCCAGCACGGCAATCTGCCACCACAGACGTCGCCGCATCTCTGTTTCAAATGGCGACACCCCCAGATTGGTGCCGTCACGATGAAGGCCCAATCCTTGTGCCACCCGGCTGGCCACGCCGGCCAGCGTCCACGTCGTCCTAGAATCGTACACTTCACGCATCGACAGTAGGTAGAGCACAAACGCCTGCAGCACCCTGATGTCCGACGTCCCCATGAACCTGGCCCGGGCCAGCGCTTTCCGCGTGGCATGTCGATATCTCGTGAGGAGCGTCTTTCGACTTTCGCCGAACTTGATTTCGCATTCGTTGTCCTCCATGGTGAAGACAGCAGCATTGTATATGGAGAACAGGAGGGCCTCTAGGCCCCTTGGCAGGGCGTCCAGGTGGGTGGTGGCTTGAAGGAGGGTTTCCTGGAAAGTGGGCTGGTGTATAAATTTGGTCATGGGGTTCATGTTGTCTAGAAAGATCTGCCACAGGGAGACGATTTGGTCCGGCGGGGGATGAAGTTGTTGGATCGACGTGCTGGATGGGGTGTAGCCGAGCAAAAACCCGGATGTCTCTTCGACAGGAGAGCCAGCCTCGTCCTCGTCCTCGGAATACTCGGCGATAGCTTCTTTCGGGAGGACCTGTAGGTGCATGGGTATTAGTGGCTACATGCTCAACCCCAAACATATGCGGCATTGATCTGGGGGATGGGGCTCTCCCGTACCTCGGTAGAAACACTTGTCCATAGATTGTTGTCGATGAATCGCGATTTACCATGGTCGACGATCAGCTGGCCGGTTTTGGAGCATGAGGTGGAGAAGTATTGACGTAGCGAGCTAGAGGACTCTGCGCTGGGTTGTGAGGCGCTGTCAGGGGGATCCGTGGTGGTAGCAGCCGGTGTGATTGTCGGGGTGGTGCTGCCGTCGACGTCGACCCCCATGGAATGGAGGAGCTCTTCGCATTTCTTCAGTCGAGCAACCAGCGTTTCCTCTGCAGAACGCTTCTTGCGCCGACGCGGGGCCGGAGGCACGCGAAACACACATTCGCCGTTGGCTTTGAGACAGTTGGAGCATGGACTCTGCTTGTCGCACTTGACCTTGCGCTCGAAACACCTGGTACAAGAGAAGGCCTTGGGAGGGCGATCCCCGCCGGCACTCATCTTGGAGGCCGGGCCGGTCTGATGCTCGCACCGGACTCACACGCTCAGATCATGGCTTGTCGGTGTTATCGGCAATGAGAGGTCTTTGGTTCCCATTCATTCCACTATCTTCTGGTTGGGAAATAGAAATAGAAAGGCGCCTGGATCAAGAAAGAGACAATAGTACTCGAAACTTGTACCTTACCTGAGAATCATTTACCATCAATGATGAACACGCAAACACGAGCTCAGCATACAAGCAGCAGACGGTAGACGATAGACGGGTAGAACAGACGGTGACCGGTGGACGTTAGATGTTGCTGTTAGGTAGTTATCGTAATTCAGGCACCAGCTGCCAACTAGTCCTAATTAGCTACGAACAAATCAAGTCTTGGCACACGTTGCTGGACTTCAACTTCAAGTTATCAGAGTGCTGTCTATACCTATACCTATATATATATGTATAGGTACGTATCCATACATATCCGCCCTACTGATAAGAAAAGGGATGGTACACAGTATACAAATCAAGTACGAGGTTGCCCATCATCCCATAATTGCTACCTGTGTAGACGAATGTGGATAGTCTTGAGAGAGGCACCATCCCGTCGAGGCTGGGCACAAGCCTGGAAAGACTGCTCCTCACTAGAGCGGCACAGTACTTGGGAAGTGTTGGGCGGGGGTTCAACAACTTGAAGACTGCCCCGGGCCGGCAGGGTCGTCGATCCCAAAGGGTTCCCACTGCACTGTGTATGTGACGTGTCCCTGGTTTCGCCCTCTTCTAGAGCATATTGCACCGTCGGTCGTTCTCCTGAGCCCCGCCACTGCCTTAACCGTTGACAATAACGCCCCCGTTGGGATGCAGACTCTGACCGCTGATCATGCTGCTGTCGGCACTCGCCAGGAATACAAAGCATGTGGCGATCTCACTAGGCTGCGCAGGTCGTCCCAAGGGCGAGGTGAACTGCTTCTGCGCTTCTTCCGTCATAGTAGCGGGGATCAGAGGCGTCCAAACAGGGCCAGGGCAGACTGCATTGACTCGGATGCCTTTATCCATCTGCTGGTTGGCTAGGCCTCGAGTGAAAGAGACAATGGCTGTTGTTCAAGTCAGTTCCCTTGTTGAAGTCAAACACGCGCTGGGATGGTGACTTGCCTCCTTTAGTTGAGGTATAGTCTAGAAGGTCGGGGCGGCCGATGTATGCATTGATAGAAGCGCAATTGATGATGGTGTCGCCTCTCTTCATATGCGGGACCACAAATTTCGACAGGTAGAAGAACGAGTAGATGTTAGTCTCAAACGTCTTCTGCCACTGTTCGATGCTGATGTCGACGATGTCCTGTTGCATCATCTGGTAGCCAGCATTATTCACCTACGTCGAAAGGTCAGAATTTGCCGGGGCCCAAGTAACCGGATTGGATTGGTTTCGCCCACCAGGATGTTGATACGGCCCAGCTTCTGTAGAGCTGTGTCAACGACCTTCTGACAGTTGTCGGGCTTCCGCAGATCGGTGCTCAATAGGTAGCAACTTCTGCCATGCTTTTCCACCAACCGTTTCGTCTCTTGGGCATCCTCTTCCTCTTCGGGTAAGTATGCAATCAAGCTATCGGCGCCCTCCATGGCATAGAGAATGGCTATGGATCGTCCAATGCCGCTGTCACCGCCCGTAATGAGGGCCTTTTTGTTGTGCAGCTTTCCAGCCGCCTTGTACGTCTGCCATCCACCATCTTCTGTAGGGAGCTTATCATTGATAGGTTCGAAAGGTAGGTCACCCTGTTTCCCGGGAGGATCCTGGTGGGACGTGGGTACTTGGAACCCGTGTTGGAAGGGAGAGTCATAGTCGGTGGCTTTCTTGACGTCTTCCATGGCGAGCAGCAGTCACAAAGTTACAAAAGAGAAAGAGGATGTGAGAATGAAGGACGAAGATTCGGGTCAATCAAGTCAACGGAAAAAGTATCATTGTCGAGCGCAGGCTTAATATCATCAGAATTGTTTGTCAAGTGCACGTCATAACCTGAGGTGATGTCACTCGAGATCTGGACAGAATTCCAATGGAATCGGGGCACATCTCCGGTCGAGGGCGAGGGCCGGCAAGCTAGTGCGACACAGGGATTCCGAGGCGCAAGATGGACCATCACATTGCGAAGGCGCAATCATACATCGTGACCAACGTTGTCACGCCGAGCTTGACCATCGCTATTGACGGTATGAGAAAGCGGCTCTACCAGAAGTCGAAGTTGAAGAGCACTCTGGGAATACGGAGGAGCAGAAGCGTTTCTTCACAGCTGTCACGTGAATACCCGTCTAGGACTTATGGTCCGACGTAGCCCTCACGCCGGGTTCAAGTTCGGGCCTGACACTCGAGGCTGAGGCTTGCTTCGGGCCCGAGCCTTGTATCACAAACCCGCCCGCGAACGGTCCACGGGTCCATCGTCCATCGTCCATTGTGAGCTCTCCGTGTCCGAAACCCTCACCAGAACGTATGCGGTCGGTGTCGGGACAGTCCCCTTGAGTCCTTTCGTCTCGCGTCCGGGTATTGGCTCCCCCCAATCCGACGCAGAGCCTAGAGCCTGCTTGAGATGTCGCGTTACAATGTGGGTGGACCTGAAGAGGTAAACAATCCTCGAGTGCCTTTAAAAGGATGTTCTTGTTGCCCTCGTTTTGTCTACTTGTTGTTCTTGTGTCCTCTGTACATCCCTCAGCCTGCTTCTACAAGCACTACATCAATCTTCACTTGAAAAAGGGCTAGCATCTCTCCCCATAACAATCATGACAGTAAAGAATACAGATCCGGTCCCAGTCACCTTGAATCCATCTACCAGGGATGCGAGAGAGGCCGTTGCTGCATCTGACGGGCTCCCTGATCAGCATGAATACCCTCCATTGACAATCGTCTTGATCTCAATTCTGGCAATGATGCTGGCTACCTTGCTGGTAGCCTTGGTACATCTCCCTGCTCCCCTGGTTGACAGGACTTTCCACTAACCACGAGCCCAGGACCGAACGATTATCGCAACAGCTATCCCCGTCATCACCAACCATTTCGACTCCCTCGCGGATGTAGGCTGGTACGCCTCGGCTTACCTGCTGACTCAATCCGCGTTCCAGCTCTTCATGGGCCGGGTGTACACCTTCTACAACCCGAAATGGGTGTTTATCGCCTGCGTGGCCATCTTTGAACTGGGCTCCCTGGTCTGTGGCGTTGCTCCGAACTCGACCACTCTCATCGTCGGCCGGGCCATCGCTGGCATGGGCAGTGCAGGGATCTTCTCCGGCGCCATCACCATAGTTACCTTCCTGGTTCCTCTGCGAAAACGACCTGCTTGGACTGGCTCGCTTGGAGCCGTGTTTGCTATTGCGTCGGTTGCCGGCCCACTGCTTGGAGGTGTCTTCACCGACAAAGTTAACTGGCGCTGGTGTTTTTACATCAATCTCCCGGCGGGCGGAGTCACCATGGTTATCCTCGCCTTCGTTCTCAGACTGCCCCATATCAAGAGAGAAAAGGTACCGCTGAGGCAGCAGATCAACCAACTCGACCCACTGGGCACCGCTGTCTTTATACCCGCAATCGTATGCCTCCTCCTTGCCCTAGAATGGGGCGGCACCGAGTATGGCTGGTCGAGCGTGCGCATTATTGTTTTGCTGGTTCTTGCAGTCGTCCTGTTTGTGGGCTTTGTCGCCATTCAGATTTGGCGGCAGGAGATGGCCACTATTCCGCCGCGAATCATAATGAACCGCTCGGTAGCGGCTGGAGTGACTTACGCTTTTTTGTCCGGCGCTGGCATGGTGACGATGGTCTATTTCCTACCCATCTGGTTCCAGGCCATCAAGGGTGCCTCGGCCGTACACTCGGGCATAATGAACCTCCCTGCTATTCTGGGTCTTACCATGGCAAGCATGCTCGCCGGCTTCGGCACCCGCCGCTTCGGCTACTTCACCTTGTGGATGTACCTGTCCACCATCCTCACGCCGATCGGCGCCGGCCTCATCTCCACGTTTACCACGACCACATCCCATCCAAAGTGGATCGGCTACCAAGTCCTCTGGGGCTTCGGTCTCGGGTTGGGGATGCAGCAACCCAGCGTGGCAGCACAGACTGTGCTCGCAAGGAAGGATGTCGCCATAGGGATTTCGGTCATCTTCTTCGCCAACACCCTCGGCGGTTCCATCTTTGTCAGCGTCGCCAACAACATCTTCGACAACAAGCTTGCCCAGGGCCTGAAGACCATCCCCGGCATCAATCCCGACCTTGTCGGCCATGTCGGCGCCACCGACCTGCGAGACGTCGTCCCAACCCAGTCCCTAAATGCCGTGCTGACGGTGTACAACGCCGCGATACGCCATGCCTTCTACGTTGGCGTAGCAGTCAGCGCCGCAACCGTCATCGGAAGCTTGGCTATGGAGTGGAAGAATCTGAAGACCGCCGCTGCCGCGCAGGATGCGGCTGCCAACGCCAACGCTGCAGCTCTACCGGGAGACTACCCTGGTTCTTCTACCAAGACCGATGCATCGACAGGGCGGCCGACGCCGGACGAAAAGAAGATTGGAGATGTCTGAATTTCGTTACATCCGACCTCCTCGGTCAACGGGTTTCACTTCTCTCGCGTGGCGCCTATCACTTCTTGACGTCCACCAATATAAGATCACTATTCCTCGCGAGGCGCGTCTTATTTCTATATATCCGTCCAATATAAGATCACTTCTCTTGCGAGGCGCGTCTTACTTCTATATATCCGTCTAATATTAGATTACTATTCCTTATAAACCGCCTATTACTTCCTGATGTCCGTCCAATACAACATCACTGTTCCTCGCGAGGCGCGTCTCACTTCCTGATGTCCGTCCAATATTAGATCAGATCACTGTTCCTCGACGAGCGTGTGCCGAGGGGAGGGTAAATAAGCACAGCAGGTCTTAGGAGCAGGAGCATCGGATTGGCCAACCACTAAGTCGGCTAAAGTAGTTTAAGATTAGGGAAAATGAATTTAGCTTGTGGGCAGTATATAGACATTGCGGCCACATGTGCTATTACTACCTAAGTACATCAACAACAACAATAATACACCAAGTTCTTCTGCTTTCGTGGCAGTGGTAGACATGGTGGGTGACGGAGGTCTGTCTGTCCGTGGCAGACGCGGAACAAGAGATTCTGATGGCGATGGGGCTATCGCTGCATTGTCCGTGATGGCAGACGCGTTCAATCCAGCTTCAATGTACATCTCAGAGGACAGCTGTAGGAGGACCGCGGTCCGAGTTGCTTGACAGAAACACTTGAGCAGTAGCAGGTAGGTACTATGTAGTGAACAGAGATGCGGAGTACACTGCATGTCGCTGTTCCTGCGGCGGACGACTTGCCTTCACGTCTGGCCCTTGGGCACTGAGAGCTTCAATAGCCCCACTGTCTTCTGCCAAGTGGGATGTAGGTTTCGAGGTTTGATTCACCAAGGAACTCAGCTGGGGTGGTGGTTGTGACGCGATGTCCTATTATCCGAAGCACCTATGAGTATCCGGGGTATGAAATAGCCATTCAGATGGACAAAGCCTACCTACCTTGCCTGTTTCTTGGCTGATACCGGTAATAATGACGGTCTTCTCTTTCTACGACAGCTTCGTCGATGCTGGATCGATCGAAGCATACCGGTCACGGTGGACTGTCTTGGTGACTTGATGTATCTTGACAAAGTAGTCGGCAGGCAAAGCAGGAGTTGGGGTAGCCAGTCGGTATCAACATGATGTATGGTATGGGTGATATTCGTGGGTCAAGGTCTTGTCTCTGAATACCTAACCTTTCAGTGTGGGGCTGACTTGAAGCCGGAGGTCTATCTTTATATTAGCACTTTCTGTGGTCGAGTCTAACCAAGAGCATCTCCCAGTTGCACTGCCCCGGCTTCAGTCTCCAGAAACTTATGCCAATGTGAGCATGGTCGATGGGTCCCATGACCAAATTACGGGGTCCCCAGTGTGTGTGAGCGAGGTTGACCGCCCTTTGACCGCCCTCCACGAACAACGCTCTAACTCGGGGTAGTTTTCTATCCAGCCGAACAACCGAGCTTAGTACGATCCTGGTGATTTGTCCCCCCTGACTGTCAACCATGGCTCTGTGTCTCTCGGTTAGAGCACGAGCCCAAAGACCAGACTTCTCGGAGGGGCATATAATTATATAGCTGGACTCTCTGCAACCCCATGGGGGAGTCTTACTCCAGTCCTCGATTCCCCGGAAAACCGAGTCTTTCAATCATGGCGGCCGATGCACCAAAGATAATGAAGCCGGAGCAGGTCGAAGATGTGACGGGCCTTGAGTCTTCCGTCGAGAAACAGTCGGATGGTGGCGACGCTGTTGTTGACGTTCAGCAAGAAGACGAGAAGATCTCGTGGCGACTTGGACTTGCCTTTGCCGTAGGCACGACTCAATTTGCAGACCGCAAGCCTTTTGTCTAACTTTGGAGCAGGCTTTGGTGTTTCAGGTCATTTGCTACGAGACGACTCTTCTGATTCCATCAACCATTTTGAGTTACATCGAAGCAGACCTTGGGCCTGATCCTTCTTATACCTGGATCGCGAATGCCTGGTCCCTCTGCGCTGCCGTCGTGGTCAGTATCGCTGGTCGCCTAGGCGACATCTTTGGCCGACGATACTTCATGCTATGCGGCAGCACCCTCGCCTTTGTTGGCGCCATCAGTGCGTATTCTGACAGGATCTTTTTTTCAGAAACACCTGCTAACACTTTCAATCTTTCACTTTTAGTCGGTGCCACAGCACATGGGATCCCTCAGATGATTGTCAGCGGCATCTTCTTCGGTATCGCTGCTGGGATCCAGGAGACCTACTATGCGTGCCTGATGGAACTGGTGCCCTACAAGAGACGGACTTTCTTCATTGGTAAGAACGGTGACGAATGACTGGCGACAGCCTGCTTACACATGTGCTAGGCCTCGGATGTGTCTGCGCTCTGCCAGCTCTGATCTCTCCTCTGATCGCCTACGCGATGATGGATCACTATAGCTGGAGGGCCTGTTACTGGTACATGTGTGCCATTGGCGCCGTCTCTTTCTTGCTCTTGTTCTTCTTCTACAACCCGCCGAATTTCGAGAACAAGTACAACGGGACCAAAAACCGACTGGAGCTGGCCAAGGAGATCGACTACGTTGGCCTGGTTCTCTTCACCTCGGCCGGGGTTCTCTTACTGGTTGGACTCAACTTTGGCGGTCGGGCTTATCCATGGAAGTCGACCGAGACCCTGGTTCCGCTTATCCTTGGGCTCGTCCTTTGGCCGGCGTTCGGCGTCTGGGAATGCTATACAAAGTCAAAGCTTCCTCTAATGCCTACTCGTCTATTTCGAAACATCCGCTCGTAAGCATGACGCCGAGAAAGAGAGAGAGAGAAAGCGAATGTTTTTATGCTGACAAACCCCGCAGATTTGTCGTCGTGCTCGTGGTCTGCTTTGTGAGCGGCATGTTCTACTATAGTTTGCCGGTGCTCTGGCCCAAAGAAACCGCACTTTTCGTGCCTGCAAGCGAAACCATCCGGCGCGGTGCATATGCAGCCCTAACGAATATAGGTACTTGGGGTAAGCCATTCATTCAGCTTTGGTCGTGGGTTTGAGGCTCCAGAAACTGATCTTCATTTACTAGTTGCTGGCATTTCCCTCGTTCTGATCTTCTCTCGTCTCGACCATGAGCGATGGCAGATTGTTTTTTGTCTCGTCATCCAAATCGCCTTGACTGGCTCCCTGGCCTCGGTAGGCGTCAATGACAACGCACAAGTCGTCGTCACAGTCTTTCTCCTCTCCTGCTTTGTCAACCAGCCCCTGTTCATCTCCTTCTCCATCATCTCCCTCGCTCTGGAGGATCAAGCCGACATGTAAGTCACTGCCTCCATCTTGCTATCGGCATGATGCATTACTAATCTACCATGCTTCAGCGGTGTCGCCTCCGGGGTTCTGTCCACAATCCGCCTGATGGGAGGTGCCATCGGCGTGGCCATCTACACCACGATCCTTTCAAACGTATATACGCCTCGCCTCATTCGCAACATCAACGAGGTCGTGTCAGCCACAGGGTTTCCCGAGAATGAGACTTCAGTGCTTCTCAAGGCGGCCGTTGCAAACACCGCTGCGGCGTACAAGGCGGTCCCTCATATCACCTCCGAAGTCATCACGTTGTCTGAACGGGCTGTGAAGAAGGGCAATCTGTATGCTTCTGGTGTGGTGTGGTTGACTGCAGTTGCATTTGGCGGGCTCTCGGTCATAAGTGCTTGTTTTATCAGGAGTACCCCACGGTCTAGGAAGACTGCCACCAGGGCTGTCAAGTTGCAGAATGAGCTGTCCACCGTGGAGGCATCGAGGGATGAATGAGCAAGATCTCTACGAGAGCTTGTGGCTCAGCCCAAGATGTGAAGACGTGGCCTCAGGCTGGGGAAAGGTTGGATCTTGTGAGAGGACTGGATGGAAGAGTCTCCTCTACGCAAAGAAACCCAACACTTAGGTAGATGCTCGTCGAATCGGCGGAACCTTCAACAAAGCTGTTGATCTGTTACCTCTTCGCGAGTTCCAGTCAGACAATGTTTGATCTTCTCCACCTGCCGCGACGAAGAAGCAACCAAGCTCGTGAAAACGTGTTGTGGACGGCGAGGGGCCGGTGAATCAGGCGCGATGTCGTTGTAAAGGTGGCGAAGAGTTAATGATAGAGAGCAACGAAATGGGCAGCTCGTGACCGAGGTTGCCCTCGGCTCTGCAACATCATAGTGATCGTCCATGGTGGGATATCAGTCGTCGTCAATAAGGGACCCACTCTCGGCTTCGCGAAAAGTAGAAAGGGGGTAATCTGACCGGCTGTGGAAGCACAGGTCTGTTACTCGGTCCAATTGCTGATCATATATTGTGGCATAAGAAGCTCAGAGGCGGCGCTGAGACGATTCTTTTGGCAGCATACCAGGCATCGTCTCATCATCGCTCTGTAATCGATTATCGCTGATACTGCTACGATGTCTCCCGGAAGAGGACGAATCCTTGAGATTCCCGATTCAACTGTTACTATTACGACAAAGGTTATTGACGCGACGAATGTGTCCGGCATTCCCGCCAACAGCCTTCACTACCCGCCGATTGAAGGGATCGACAAACTCAGGCCTCTACCGTCGCTTTCTTTCCTTCTGGAGCATCCCTCCGGTCAAAAGCTGTTGTTCGACCTTGGCATTCCAAAAGATCTCACGACGCTTGGCCCAGAGGTTGCTGATCGTTTGGCCAAAGTCGCTTACCGGATCGAAGTAGAAAAGGATGTGGTGGAAGTGCTGGAAGAGAACAACATCAAACGGGACGAGATCAACGCGGTGATCTGGAGGTGCGTAATGGATGCACGTGGGCGCTGAATCCGCCCAAGACCCGTGTCGATATTCAACCTATTCAGTACAAGGCTGACAGTTCCAATCACAGCCATACCCATTGGGATCACAAGGGCGACATGGCATTGTTTCCTTCCACGACCACGTTGGTCCTCGGACCCGACGCAATGGCGACCTTTTTCAAACCCGGAGGAGGCAACTCGGGCGTCGGAGGGATCAATGAGCGGGATGTCAAGTAAGTGCCTTTTGTTTTGTCGTAAAAGTCTGAAAGAAAGCTGGGATCATTTGCGCTGACACGGTTTCAATATAGAGGCAGAAAGGTACATGAGGTGGACTTTGAAGGGCCTGGATCTTTGCAACTAGGACCGTTCCGAGCGTTCGACTACTTCCACGACGGCTCTCTCTACCTCCTCGACACACCAGGACATAGTGTCGGCCATCTGTGTGCCCTCGTCAGAACGACTGCGGATCCCGCAACATTTTTGTTCTTTGGTGGCGACTGTGCACATCATTGCGCAGAAGTCAGGCCCTCCGAATACCTTCCGTTGCCCACCTCGATCCTACCCAACCCTCTGCCGTCATTTGATCGTTCTGTTCCTCTCTGCCCGGGTACGTGTTTCGAGGACCTGAACATATCTCGGGGCAGGGACGCCCACGGACCGCTGTGGCAGCCTAAATCGGGCCATGACTTGGCTGAAACCATCCGAACCATCGGGAAGGTGCAGGAGTTCGATGGAGAGGACAACGTGCTGCTACTGCTTGCACATGATTCCAGTGTGAGGCATGTCCAGATGCCTTTCTTTCCTGAAGCGATAAACGACTGGAAAAAGCGCGGACTGGGAAGAGATCTGAGATGGTCCTGGATTGCTGATCTAGAGCCGAAATTTCCCAAGAACATCTAGGCCTTGTAGGCGTAGGTATGTAGACAATTTGAGGAAGTTCTCACCTTTGTGCCGTCGTGGTGCTCTCTGGGCTCTTGATGCCGCATTTGTGCCTGAACTCCACCCTCCTAACCCTGGGCTTTGCCACCTCCGCGGGGCCAAAAGCGCCACGAAGCCTGCGCAGAGGCAGACCTCGGACACTCAAAATCCACACCACCCCTACCACGGGCGCAAGGCCCATGGATAGGTATGATGCCAATCGAAGACGATCTCAATGACGGATATGGAGACGGAGATGAGACACGCCGAGTGTTCTCTATCAACTATAGCCTGATAGGCATAGTGGATCTTAGCGCACAGTTGCTGTAGAGCAGGAGGCACGCTTGAATTGACTACAAGAACATCAACCTCCGCTTGTCGGCCCACCTAGTGTACGCCGGTACGGAGTAATTAGGGGCTAAGGGGCTCATTCGTCTCCAGATCTCGAAGTGAGGGGGAGGCAGCTGTCCGGGGTCCGAGCGGAGTCCCCAGTGATTCATCATCCATCACTGATCAGTTGATCCCTGATCCCGTCCAGCCGAAACCTCGGCTTGAAGCTCAGACCGAGATAATAAAGCCCCTTAGCCGGGTCGACGCATCAATCGCTACCTAGGTATCTGCGCGGGCGGCAAATCGCTTCGTGGGCAAATGGACAACGTGCGCGTGGCCGACAGCCTTCCACCTCGCACTGGGCGTGGCCGACGACGGGCGACAGTCGCATGCCGTAGTTGCAACGCCAGGAAGGTTCGTTGTAATGTGGCCTCGGTTGGGCGGCCCTGTGCGAATTGCGCGCTGGACAAGGTCGATTGTCAAGTGGTTCCTCGCAAGAGAAGAGGGTGAGCTTGATCCGCACTGCCCATGATGGAAGACTGATGCGAAGTCACAGTCATAGCAACAATGTCGGTGGCGTCTCTCTTGTGGCGCCCTCGGGGCCTGAGATGCGCTCTCAACAGCACTCAATCGATTTCGGAGGACTTATTGGTCCACCTCGCGAAATCGAGGCTGAGGCCCGGGATCCAGGAGATGGGGCTGAACACGCGACTGCGTTTCTTGATCCTTTGCATCATGACTTAGGGCCGACAAATCGTGCGGCTTTGTCATATACAGGTAGGGAGAACTCTCTTACGCAAACTCTCCTGCTGACTTCGATCAGGAGACAATGGCGAAACGGCTGAATCATTGTCCTTTGAAGCGTACTTGGTTCCATCGGGCACAGCGAAGAAAACGCCGCCCGAGGAACTCGAATTCCTGAGGGTCAAAGGAGCTTTCTCTATTCCGCCCAAGGATGTCTGTGATGAAGCTGTCCTGGCTTACTTCCGCAATGCACATCCGCTACTGCCTGTTCTCGATGCGAAGTCCTTTTTGGATCAATATTCCAGGCGCGGCTGCCAGGGCATCAGTCTGATACTGCTGTGGAGCATTCTCCATGTCGCTGCCAGTGTACGCACCGATTGTGCCTCCTTTCAAGCTACGCCCACTGACACGCCAACATAGTTTCTGCGCATGGAAACCGTCACAAAGTCTGGATTTCAGACGAAAAAGGCAATGAAGATCGCAATGTACCAGCATGTCAAGGTCTGTGTAGTCGGCTGGCCCAGTAGGATCATAGAATTACAGGCTAACCTCGAAAATGAAGCTGCTTTACGACAACAACCAAGAGCCAGACCAACTCGTACTGGTGCAGGCTGTGATTCTTCTAGGATACTGGCACCCAGACACTCAGGACCGGTTTGAGGCGTGGCACTGGACCGGAATCGCAATCTCAATGTGTCAAAGCATGGGATTACACCGCTCCTCTTTCGGTTTGAAAACGAGAGGTCCCCAATCCGCCGATCTTATGCGTTTGGCTCGGCGAATCTGGTGGTCTTGCCTTGTCAGAGATCGATGGCTGGCCTTCATCAAGAATCAGCCGATGAGGATTAATTTGGAAGACTGCGACGTACCTTTCCCAAGCACCTCGGACGTGACTGAAGATCTAGATGCCATTCCTCAGCATATCAAGGACAGGTGCATTCCTTATTCGTCCAACGTTGTCGGGGAGCTCTGGAGCAGGCTCGTTAGGCTCAGCGTCTTGTTTGGCAGAATTCTGAGGCTACACTCGAAGAATATCTGGCGAACTGACACAGGGCAACTAGAGAAGTACGAGGCTGAGCTGCAAGAGTATACAGCACTGGCGGCGACTGGCCAGGTGTCGAATCCATACGAGCAGTTCTTTGCATGTCAAGTTCGACTTCATCACGAGTAGGTCTTCCCGTGACCTCTTCCCGTGACAGTCTTTGCTGACGAACACACAGAGCCATTTGGATCGTGCTTCTCCGGCCATTTGTCCTTTCACATCCCAGGGATCCTGCGGATGCGCTGCAGTCATCGTACCGGACCCAAGCGGCCCAGAAAACGAGGACTGCCGCGAACAACATGAACGCCGCGCTCGAACAGATTATGGATCTGAACCTGGTCGAATTTATAAGTCCGGCAATGTAGGTACTCTACCTCGTGCTGCAAAGAATTCGAAAGCTAAGCTGTCATATAGACTCACTCCGTTGATCCTAGCTATGCAAATGCATCTGCTGGACTGTAAATCTAGCACCCGCTCGATCTCGCGCCTTGGGAATCACAGGCTGCAGCTGTGTATGCTTTTCCAAGCCGAGTTGAAAGATACCTACTGGGGCGCCGATGGAGCCTTTCGGATGTTCGAACAAGCCCAGGAAAAGCTGTCGAAGATTGCCAGTCGAGAAGGCGAAAGGACGAACGCTGTCACCTTTCCGAACGCTGCAATGTCGCCATCGATTACTGCCTTGACGCCCACATCTAACGACTTCAGCCAGAGCGAGATGGGACCCTCGGTGGATGATATATTGACCTTCGACTTCGCCTTCATCGACCCACAAGACTTTCCATTATATGGAATTGGCTATTCGTGAGTTTTCAAGCCCAAGGCCTTTCGTAGCTTTGAGGTCTGTGGTTTGAGCTAACCAACTACTCCATACTATGCAGGAATGATGGATCTGACCTACAGAATTCCTTCTTGGGGTTGGAGGAATTCAACGAGTTCGTGGAGACGAATCACGCCGCGGTCACGGTATGAGAGGGTTATAATCTAACCTGCCCACCTCTTTTATACAACAATAAATCCGAGTGGGATATGGATTCGAATTGTGTAGAGGCATTCATCGTCATCCCACTCTGCGACCAACAATACACGACCAACTGCGGCAATTCCTAAGCAGACATAGCAATGAAAAGGCCTTGACCGAGGTCGAATAAGGAGCCCTCGAGCCGGTGCCGAATTGCCGGCCACCTACCGGCAGCCCTGATTGGTCTTAAGACACACATACCTGAGGACCCCATACTCCGCAATGGTTTCGGCAATCATTGCGGCTGCCATCCCGTCCACTTGTGCAGTTGGCGTCTTCTAAGGCACACTCATACACCTTCCCCGGCATCCGGCCTGGCGGCTCCCAGCTTCCACGAGCAATGGACAGCTGACTCCAAGCAACATGTTGATCATGGATCTCGACCGAGGAGCATCCGAGCCAGGAAGTGGCGTGTCTCGTCCGAACGAGCTTCCACAAACAGAATCGTCCTGTGGCCTCGCTCGGACGTGGGCGGGGCGATTGACCACTGCCCCAGGCAGATCAAATCGCGGTTCTGGCCACACACGTATATGTATATATATATATATATATATAGCGAGTGCCGCGTTTATGGTATTAGGTGATGTATATTACAATTTCTGAAACCCTTTTGAATCCACGAATTCAAAGCATGCCACACAAAACTTCTACTCCGCCGGCCGGAGCGACGAATGCCCCGTCCTTGGGGTTTCACGGCCATATCGACTCCCCAAAGGAAGACGAAGTACACGAGAATGAGTGGTACCGCCAATTCCATCCCGACTATAGTGTTGCTGAAACTCCTCTGCACACGCCTTCTGGTGTGCACATCATCATCGTCGGAGCCGGCGCCGCCGGGCTGAACATCGCCTACAAGGCTGCGCGCCAATTCGCACCCGGGGAAGTGACATTCTCCATCTACGAGAAGAACGAAGACGTGGGCGGGACATGGCTTGAAAACCGCTATCCCGGCTGCGCATGCGATATCCCGTCTCACGCCTATCAGTGGACATACGCCCCGAAACCCGACTGGAGCTCCTATTACGCTGGTAGCGAGGAGATCTGGCAGTATATCAAGACCTGGGCGTAAGACCTCCCTTTTGGACCCAAAGCGAGATATACACAGATGCTAAGTTGACCTTCAAACGCACTAGAGTGGAGAACGACCTTCTCGAAAAAGTCAAATTCGGCCATAAAGTCACCCGGGCGGAATGGGACGAAGACGAGGGGATCTGGAAGGTGCAAGGCGTCGACCGAGACGGCAAGCCATTCACGGACGAGGGCAGCGTGCTGGCGAGCTGCCATGGGCTTCTGAAGTAAGTCTCAGCCGCCTCCACTGCCAGAAGAGACGGCATTGCTTAACTTTCCGTCTTATCACAGCACCTGGAAATACCCAGACATTCCAGGGATCAAAACGTTCCGGGGCAAATTGATGCACAGCGCCAGCTGGGACCAAGAGTACGATCTCGAAGGCAAAACCGTGGCCGTGGTCGGAGGAGGCTCCTCGGCGGTCCAGATCGTTCCGGCAATCCAGCCCAAAGTCAAGAAACTGATCCCATACCTACGGTCGCCCATCTGGATTACAGCGGGATTTGGGTCCAAATATGCTGCGCCTGGCGGCGGCAACTTTCAATGTAGGTGACAAGGCCAAAAGGACGTGTCGACCCAATCCGGCTCACCTGTGCACACAGACTCGCAGGAGCAGAAAGACGGGTTCAGAAAGGACGCCGCACACCACCGGCAATACTGCCGCGAGCTGGAAGGGGAACTTAACAAGCGATTCCTTCTGGTCAGTATATAGATACTAGGACCCAGCCGCTCCGGTCCATGTCCATGCATTTGAAATCCACGAAATGAAAAGCTGACAGACGGCACAACTTCAGATGCACCTCCACAGCGACGACCAGAAAGTCTCTCGAGACTTCGTGGCGGACAGCATGCGCACACAACTGGGCAACGACCCGCGCCTGTCGACGCACTTGATCCCCCAGTACGCCCTGGGCTGTCGACGCATGACGCCCGGGTCCGACTATCTGTCCTCCCTGCGCCGGCCCAACGTCGAAGTGATGATCGACTCGGTCGTCGGCGTGACGGAAGACAGTGTCGTCGACGCCAGTGGCAGAGAAACGAAAGTCGACGTCATCGTCTTCGCCACGGGCTTCGATGTGACGAGGCCACCGTACGAGATCATCGGTCGGAATGGCCGCAATCTCGGCGAGGAATGGGCCGAGTTTCCCAAGGGATATCTCTCTATCATGGCCGAAGGGTTCCCCAACATGTTTTGTAAGTGTTGATTGATGCTCGTGTCATTTTCGGTTTTTTTGATGCTCCCCCTCTTCTATTCCCTCCCCCCAAGGGAAAAAAGGATCTAGGCCAGCCAAGGCTAACCGTTAGCTTTTCCTCCCTCAAGATTATATCGGACCCAACGGTCCCGCGTCTCATGGCTCGATCCTCCCCATCGTCGAATGGCATACGCGCTGGATGTTCAAAGTGATCTCGCACATGCAGCGGACATCTATCAAAGCGCTGGCTCCGTCGCGGAGAGCCGTCGACGACTTGCAGATCCATACCCACGAGCTGCTGAAGAGGACGGCATGGTCGTCGGCGTGCAGCAGCTGGTTTAAGAATGGCAAAAAGCACGGTCCTGTGACCGCCATCTGGCCCGGTAGCCGACTGCATTATTTCGAGGTCATGAAGGAGCCGCGGTTCGAGGACTTTGACATCGAGTACTTTGGCAATCGCTTCGCGTACATGGGCAACGGCTTCACCAGCACCGAGCTGTCGGAGAATGGGACGGCGGTCTGGTACTTTGATATCCTTGAACGGGAACAAGCGAAAGGCACGACGGCCTTTTGGGATATCGAGGCTTGATGGCTTGATTCTGTCGGTCCAGGCTTTTTTCTGCTTGGCAGCCTGTTCGCTGTTGGTTGTCCTAAGGCTCGAGCCGGGTGATATTAGCCGGGTGATATTAGGTTGGTAGATAGAAGTCGAGGACCAAATCTATATCATATTTTTTTCCTCTTGAATTTGCATCTGCATCTGCATCTGCATGTGCTTGTACAGTCCAGTCCAACTCCCGAGTCCATCGTCTCACTCTCTCTTCTTCTTCTTCTTCTTCTTCTTCTTCTTCTTCTTCTTCTTCTTCTTCTTCTTCTTCTTCTTCTTCTTCTTCTTCTTCTTCTTCTTCTTCTTCT